TCAGGTTGATTCCATGCCTACAGATACTTTGCGAGGTGTCAGCGGTTACGCCAAATGACGACCCCCTCAATAGGCCATTTTCGTTTCCTCAAATTCTAACATGGCTCCAAGGTTAGGGGGAATAAAACAAAATAATTCTTCAACTTCGATGTGATTTCCTTTCTTTTATTCCCCTAAGCCTCGGAGCCAGGTTTGAATTTTATCATATCGAAAATGGCCTATTTCATTTGATAAGTTTGCCTGTGATTCATTTTAGAATAACTTACGACCAAAGAAAAGTAAGAGAGCAGGAAAGTTCAAAACTTATCAAGAGTATGAAATCTACAATATAAAAAGCAATAATATCGGACTATAAAAGGATACTGGCCACATTTGCTCCTAATGCAGTTTCAATCACCGTTCGAACCGACCTTCCCGACATACTGTTGCATATTAATGTGACTTCGTAATCGGAATATATAAATAATATCTAATTTTCCAACAGAATTCTTGTATCAAAATAGCTATTTCTCAACAGGTGTAAAAGAACATCCGTCGCAACGGCCTGGGAAGGTTTTGAAAATAAATATATGGTCAGTGTCTCGTATTTCGGCAGAATCAGCTAAGGCCCTTGCTTGTAACCAGTTGTTGCGTTCTGAATACAAACTCACACGCAAATGCTTATCTCATAGCTTTTATCATGCTGTTCTCGAAAACTGGTTCGTTCATCTCGCCTTTTAAACACAAACTATGAAGTTCTACTCGCTTATTTTAATTGTGTTGTATTACAGTTTGGTTACATGTCACGACTAAGTATTGTTCTGACTCGTATTCAAATTTAAATGCGAGAGCAGATTTGCCGATTTGCTTCTTGTTTCATTATTTGTCAAATCATCGATCGATGTTCACCAAATTGCTTGAAAAAGGAAGGGAAAATTGAATGCTGGATACATGAATTTCAAGTTTTTTTTGAAGATACGTGCGATGCGAAATAAACTGTTTACATTTCGGTGCGTAAACACCGAAGCGAGCGCCGATTGCAATGAATTCCAAATTCCTTCCTGATTCATCAACAATTCATATCAAGCAAATCTACTACTACTACTACTGCTCGTTATTCGATAAATTCGCGAAGCGACGCGGTATGTGTGAGTGTGACCTGATAGCTTTTTCATTATGTAAATTTCCAATGTCGACTCGCCGCTTTTTCAAACCAGTAAAAGTTTTTTGTTTTACACAATAGTGTAATACAAAAGAAAGTTATGGCAATGAATAACATAGGAACATAAGTCGCGCATTTTGTTCGACCGTGCAAGCAAAAAAAAAAAATCGTATATGCGCGTCTGACTACCTTGCGTCCAAGCGTATGAAATTCGTTTGCGCATTTATCATATATGCGAGCGGTACGGTAATGATATCTTACTTTGACTTGCTTATTTGACGGTTAACGGTAAAAACATTGTGATTAGCCTGAGAGATTTGAACGCACCCACGCAAAAATTAATTTTAAAAAATATTTTTCTCTGGGAGTTGATTGGCCGTGGGGCAACCCCTGCAGTCAAATTCCTGATAACGTAGAGATCGAGAAAAATAGAGATTACTTCATGGAAAATGCGCGCGTACGATTTTTATTCACGAGTTATGTAGTATCAGAAAACGAACGAGTGAGCGCAGCGAACGAGTGAGTTTTCTGATACGTATCAACGAGTGAATGAAAATCGTACAAAGCATAATGTGTTTATTTCATAGGTGCCGAGATTTTTTCGTGTTGTCTTTGGTAGACAAATAGCACAAATGGGGCGATGAAAAGCGTAAAAAGTAGTTTAAAAATTTCTCAACAACAGGTTAATAAAAGTGCATAAAGTTCGTAACACTTCAGCTTACCTGTGTTCATCAGATATCAATCAAGTTCAATGTCTATTAATATTATAATAAAGGAGCCATGCCAACAAACTACTTAGTGTCATGTAAAGAAAGTCAATATTCAGTTATCATCAGAGTCACTTTCCAGTTCTAAAGGCCTCAGACGTTTCCATCTTGCCGCTTCGGGACTTGACGGATCTGTGGTAAGCGTCGGAGACTGATTTACTGTGTTGATATGAATGGAAAAATTACCACCTTGAATAACAGCTCCGCTGAATAGTGCCATGGACTGCTTACCGGTATTCTGGGAGTCGGAGGACGACGGACAAGCTGTTTCAGAAGAGGACGAAGCTGGGGTACCAGCCACCACACTGCTTAGCACTTTTGACATGTGCATCTGTTGTTTCGTTGAAACAGTGCTGTAGTTTTCTATGCTTTTCAAATTCCTATGGCCAGATAGCTGTGCAATTTGCGTAGGGGGAATGTCATTTTCACTTAGCGTCTGGATCATTGTCTTTCTGCCGCTGTGATTTCGAAGCCTGTCGTTTTCGATTCCTGCTTTCTGCACCATTGTCTTCATTAAACCGTTGAGTTTGTTTACGCCAACCGCACCGGACTTGAACCAGCTTTTTCTTGCGAGCGAGTCCGCCTTTAAACCGTTGTTTACGGCCAGATAAAAGGGAGCATTGTCTTGATTCATTTCCTCGGGTCTCTTCCAGGCAAAAAATTTGTAGACTGCGACAGGATCTCTTTCAGTTTCGTCGGTCGCAAACATTTTCGGCGGTACAGCTCTGACATTGCTGTAGTCTGAGCCAGTTCTAGTTTTCGTTTGACGTTCATTGAACCCCAAGTATTCCACTCCGTTTGCCGTTTTGTGAAGCTTTACATCCCACCAAAACATATCACGATGTTCTTTGCACCCACGGAGTCCAAAGTGAAGAGTGTTGTTTAGCCAGAGCATGTTTAATAGCGCCTCAGGACTACACATACCGAGCAAACCCTTCTCGTACAATATCTTTAACTCTTCGGTTGTCAAAGCTACCGATGCTTTCGGTTTATTCCCTTTTCCTTGCTTCTTTAGCTGCTTTTGCTTGGATTGAAGAACTTTTCTGGTTTTCTCAAAGACCAAGTCGTTGATTATGCTGGCAGAATAGCCCTTTTTCTTCAAATGTCGTTCGAAGCTGGCCATTAAACTTCGAAGCGAAGTCGGCTCGTACTCGTTGCCATCTTTAGTGCGTACGGAGATAATAAATTCGCTAATGAATTCATTCAACTCAGCCGCTGGAATATCTTCAATTTTCTTGTCTTCGTCCTTCGTTTTCAAAAATATGTCAAGCAATCTTACATCTCTTTCAGTTTTTTGAGCGGTATTTTTGTTTTAGTGTTCTAAAATGAATTCTTCAACTGAGTAAACAGAAGCGAACCTTCCCTCGGCCATTTTTCAAAGCGCGCGGGTTTTGTGCAACGACTCTCGCATGACGTTCTCTTCAGTACGTTCATTCATCATTAGTGAAATTTCGTCGTTCGCGTTGCTGATTGGACGAACGATAATTTTTCACGGTGAAATTTTATCGTTCGTACTCCTGATTGGCTACATTTAGAATCAGTACGAATTTTATTCACTACGATTTTTGTGGGTAAATCTCAGTACCTATGAAATAAACTTACTTATTCGCAACAGAATCAGTATATGAATGGCGTCACACAAAGCTGATTAACGCCGCTGAAGGTTCGTATATAAACTTTGCACATGTACTTTGCCCCTAATTATCAAAAACACGTGGAAAGTTTAATCACTCTTTTTCAACCTCGTTCTCAAGTTGCTACCATACTTATATTAATTGCATCACAACTGGTTCGCCCTCTTTGTCTACGAGAATTGAATCTTCAGATAGACTGCATCCTTGAATGAAGCTATCAACCCATTTTCATGAGAACCGGAGAAGAAGATAGAAGTCAAATCTTTATTCCAAGAGGTCGCTTTTCGAATTCTGGTGAGTCAACATCAAGGTTTTTTTATGAAAGGAGCAGCATACGTTTCCTCAGACCTGTGCTTATGGCTAAGCAAAACGAATGAAAGGCTAAGATGGCGTCAATGTATTGAAAGTGAAAGAAGGAAAATAATCGAGTTGTGTCCCTGTTGTAATGTCTCCATCAGGTAGCATAACGTACGTGGAAGCAAAATTAGTAAAGCTTTAAGAGCAGATAATGTTTCAGAATTGTGTATCATATTGGATGTGAAATATCATTACAACAGCCACGTGTTTTATAAAGCCTGACTCAACAGAAGCGTTGAAAGTCTTAACAATCGTTCAATGTACAATTCTTAAGGAAATCAGCAGAGAAACTTTGGGCTCAACTTCATTCCATGAAAATGTTCCAACCCCCAAAAAGACACATCTAAATCTGTATACAAATGAAGGAAAAAAGGAAGAAATGAAGTTGTGCTCTTTTCTTCTTGACCATGAAGTGCGGACCCACAACCCAAAGGTTTCAGACCGTTTTATGACGAAGACTGACTATAATAAAATAATTTATTTATTCGTTTATGTTGACAGTCATATTTGTTTAATTAGCCCAGGAATTTTTAAAGGGTGACGAAACTTAATTCCAGCGCGACATACAGGAATGAAGGAACGGGAGGTCATCTAACTATTGAGAGTGAAGGTAAGAACTGATAGAAATGTGTGTCCCTGTCATCGACAGCTGATCGATTATGATGTTCTTCGAGAGTTAGCATGGTTGGATTTCTAATACAAATAGAGCCTTTACGAGCTGCACATTTAAACTAGCTAAAAGCTGACACAGCGAAGGCGAGGAAAACAATCATTCATTGTGCCAAATCACAATGAAGGTTTTTTCTCTCTCTGTTATTATAATTTTGTGTCTTTTGTTTGTCTTTGTTTGTTTCGTTTTTCTCTCCTTTTTTAAGGCCCATATTTCGGAACATTTGCTTGCTAAGAAAAAATCCCACCGCTGCTCATGGAAAAAAATCACAACGTACGAGTGATTGCTTTGAATTTATCAGGCGACTTTACGCTGATATCTGCATGAGTTAATACAATGACGGCCTGGTCCATACGGGCAGGAGAATGATGTTGGCTTTTTTTGATATGTTTTTTTTATGGTATATCTTTACCTATTAGAACATTTGTCACATGATAATGAGCGGAAGCATCAGGAGGGTGGAAAATGGACCAGTCAGGTATGCACATATTTTTACAAAGAAAATGGCGAATTCGACACTAAACGTTACTCGCTGCAACAATCTGTGGAAGACCCGCATGGGACTACGAACAGCGAGGAAATACAAAATATTGGTAGTTATCGATGCCCTATTTCCAAAAACGGAGAGGAAAACCTGTCCACCTATCATCAGTTTGTAGTGATTAAAACAACTAATTGGTATTGTTCGATCTGAAAGGATTCAGAAAAAATTCTCCTGCAAAGGTCGAAAGCAAAGGATCGTGTAGAGAAGTGTAAAGAGGGTCAAGCTAGGTATACACCAGTAAAGATGATTGTTGAAATCGAGGGAGAAGGATCTATGAGAGATTTGATTAAGTTTATTTGTGAAAATGAACTTAAAAATTTTGTTTAGCGATAATTGTCAACATTTCTCAGAAAGGTTGTTTAACCAATTTAAAAAGCCAAGCCAAGACACGAGACGCCCACATTCCACTGCCGTACCAGCCGGCGTTGGTATCACTGTTGTTTTGTTGGCATACGTTTGGGCAAAAAAGTGAAAATAGCTCACCGAAAAAATAATGACCAAATTGTATAGACTGTGGTCATCTCTAGTTTACAAAAGCGATTTAGGATCGACAGCTGATCATTTTTTAACGAAGTTAATTAAGTCATTATTGCTACGGATTTTCATCATGTTGTTTTTCTCCGCTCATTAGCTACCACTGCTAGTGAATCAAAGGTCCATAAGTGATCTGATTTGGGCTACTCTCATTGCTGCCTCTAGGCGCAGCCTTCTTCGCTGGCCTTATGCACCTGTTCCTTGAACGCCCTTTTCTCGTCTCTCCCTGTGGATTCCACCTCCGCTCAAGCTATGTTCCTTTAGTATTTGGTTTCCCGAATTTGTTCGCAATCAAATCGAACTTGCACCCTCATAGTAATTACGATTCTGAATTTGTCGTGACTGAAAAGACTTGCTGGTGTATTAAACATGTCTCCCAAAGAAAATTCTCACTCAAAGAGGCTCTGCAAACTTGTTTCACTTTGCATGTTACTTTTTTCCGTACAAATTAATACTTCTTCAGATTTTATGGATAGAAATGTAGAAGCACAGACGTTTTGTGAACATGACAGTTGTGGTAGCCATATTGCTTGAATTCTCTTCATACGAACGTTAAGCGGAAGGAGGACATAAATTGTCGTGCTGGCTGTGCCCTCTTACCCCCCTTTCACAACGCCTATTTGCCTAAAATATCGTTAACGCCGCATCAATAAAGGCCAATCTCTAACTCCAACAATATCTACAAAGGCCACTTGCTTTATAAATAGATGTTGGATAGAATGATGCAGCGTCAAGATAGCAGTTTTACCCCGCACACTATCAGTTAAAATACTTTTGTCTCAAATGCGTCAGATTACAAATACCAGAACTACAGCCGAAGTTTTTAAATAACACCTGTCACCGAACGCTATTAGTAAAGGCCCAGAAACTGTTGCGTTAAGGCTTTCTTCAAAATTATGCGGGGCATATATTTTTTCTGTTCCGCTCCGACTAAAGAACTATCTCAAAGCACCATGAAGCAGGGTAGTCACAACTTTCTTGTTATTATTATCTTTACCAACGAACTACCCTAAGGGACACTTTGATCAGTGGAGGTATATGCTTGAGCTTGTGTTCGATAAGTCCCCCCCTCCTTATTGAATGAACTTTAATTGCACTTCAGGTCATCTAAAGACTTCGTTGCCCCATGAAGATAAAAAGCATTAATCTCCCCTTCATCGCCTTGCAACTACTATATTAAAATGGATACTATCTTTTTTATTACTATTATTTTTCCAAGGCTTCGTAGCAGCACGAAGTAAGATATCGCTTTGATGAACCAAAGTCAGATGTTAACATCTCACTTTGCTATACTATTTATTGCATTAGTTCATTTTATTTCTCATAAACAACTGGCAATGGATGATGTTTCATCCGAAACATGTTTTGTTTTCATTGAAAAATACAAGAAGAATGATTTTCAAAAGCATCGTGGTGTTCATCAAACACCATTTTTCTTATTGTTATTTACAATACTTGGTATCGGAAGATACGGAGAAAAACTCACAAAGGTTAAAAAACGATTTTCTGAAGGGGAAAATTTGATTGATGAAAACCTGTAATCCATTTGGCTGCATAGGAGGGTCCCAGTGGAGTTTAACAGTCAGCCATCAAAGGACTTAAAATATCAACGTCAGCCGTCAAAAGCATATATGTTTGCCGTCAACCGTCAAAAACTCAAATCAATTCCAACCGTCAAACAACTTAAAGAACATCTCTACTTAAGCCGCCTGCTAACAACATTTTTAGAAACTTAAGAATGGTAAATCAGTCCTACAAAAACATGCTCAGCCTACTTCATTTTCACTGATTTCTGCCTCTAAAGACAGTTTGAATAAACATTTTTATATTTTACTCAATAGTTTAACGTTGAAAAATAGCTGGCTTCATTTATAATTTGTCCTTGTACACGCCTCTACGCACCATTCCTGCCTTTCGAAAAAATCACAACTGAGATCTCGCTCACTCAAGTGTCTTGAAAACTGTCGTGAAATGCCTCATTCGCCATCATCTTGATGACTTTCTCGAGGTCAAAGATGTTTTTGTCTTTGATCTATTAATTTAATTAATTAATTTGATTATTAATTTAATATGCTAAAAAAGTAGGCGAAGGACTAATGTTTCAATCGAGTGAAAGAGAGTCCTAAAAGAGCGCCAGATACTAACGAAACAATCCATTTAAAGAGAATCCTAAAAAAACGCATGAGATTCTAACGGACTAACGAAACAATTTCTAAGAAAGAGAATATGAAAAGTGTGCGAGATAAATACGTAACAATCAAACGAAAGGGAATTCTAAAAATGCACAAGATACTAACGTAACAATCCGATGAGAGAGAATCCTGAAAGCCCACGAGATATCAACGTAACAATCTAGTAAAAGAGAATCCTAAAAGTGCTTGAGATATTAACGTAACAATCCAATGAAAGAGAATTGCGAAAAAGCGCAAGACGTTGACGTAGCCATCCAATAAAAGAGAATCTCAAAAGTACTCAAGTTATTAACGCAATAATCCAATAAAAGACAATTTAAAAGTGTGCGAGATACTGACGTAACATCCAATGGAAGAAAATCGTAAAAATTCGTAAGATATACTATCGTAACAGTCATTATTCTTATGCTGAAAAAGGACACAATACCTTAAATAGAGAATAATACATTGGCGCGCGTAGATATGGAATTTCTCTTGGAGTATTTAACTCGATACCTCAGAGTGAGCGCAGCGAACGAGTGAGATGTCGAGTTGAACACGAGAAGAGAAATTCCATATCTACAAGCAACCATGTATTATTTTCTTTTATCATATAAACACAATAGCCCTTTACTGAGAAGAAAAAAAGCCGACTTCATCAATGAATGAAAATAAATGAATCGACAATCCCCGAATAACAATCGTAGAGTGCGTTGGCGCTAACTCTTAAGATGGAAAAATGCGTTGAATCGTGATTACAAAAACAACAATGGTCGTAGTTTTCAATTTACAAAATTCTCATTTATTGACTTTGTCCTTACCGGCAGAAGTCTTTCAGGTGAACGGCCAAAATCGGCCAATGACAAATCTTCCAGTTGTCGATTTCATTCCCAGAGAAATGCTAACACCAAAGCCACTGAATACGCAACTTTCGGTTTTTCCTTTAGTATATTAGTTTTCTTCCCCTTCTAGGAAAGTTTGAACCTCACTGTCCGTCATCAATATGGATTTTTTAGTGTTTTAGCCACCGTAATTCGAGGAAGCTCCGACAAACAACTTGCACTGAGAATTGTGAAGAGTTTGCCGTTTATTCATCAACCTGACCGAGTGGCGCCAAAGGCGAGTGACGTGTAAGCAGCTGATTGGCTATATCAATACACGTCAAAAAAAATCTTATTTTTTCATGTGTGTTGATATTTCCCAACAAAATGCCTCCAATCTCTTTTTGGTGACATTCCCAGAGTCTCTATTCTTTCCACCTCACTGGTACGAGATTGGAAGTTGAATGTCATGCGCAAGGACTCTTAACGCTAGCGGGGTAATTTGGATATAGTTGCAATGCGGAAATCCGTGATTGACGCTTGATCGTCTAACTTTTCATCTTCAACGTTAGACACCTTTATTTCCCCGTGCTGTATTAGTCACTTTGTGGTATATATCATATTCGAGGCTGGGAAAATTGTACTTTCTAATTTGACAATGTGAACTACTTCGTAAGATTTTCCTTGAAGTCAAGATCAAGTCAGGCGAATATTATCGAGCTCTTGCAGTCGCTAGTTCACGAGAAATCGAGTTGGGTCACAGAACTTTACAGATATCACGATATCAAATCCATCTGCTTCTACAGTCAGACTTCAGTAAGGCACTAACATATGATTTAATTGTGTCGGAGATAAAGTGTGCCATCAATAGCAAAGTTTGTATCATTAACTGCCGGTTAACGGTCCGTGTTTGTGTAACTAAGTCACTATCCAGTTGCGTGATTTTAGAACGTAGTTAATGGTGGCTTGCAAATGAAGCAAATACTTATAATTCCTTTATACCTTTGAAGATTAAAATAACACTCATGGAGCAGACACGAAAGGTACAACCAAGTTCAGATATCGACCGTTTGAGCTTGAAAAGGAATAAACAGCGTTACTCTTAATGAGATACAGTTCTAGAGAAGCTGCACTCAAGTTCTGGTTTGGGCAGGAATTTCGACGTCGGATTAGCCACAATTCGGAATCTGAAATAAGTCTTTTTATGTAAAATCATAACGTGTTTCTACCAGAACCAAAAGCAAATACCTACAGTTTTAGCCTAGTCCGAAGTCAACAAATTCACATTCCAAAATTAAGAATTAAGAAGGAGAGCCAGACACAGCCAAAACTCAATTTTGCAGCTCCTCAAGCAGAGTTTCTAGCAGAACATTTGCAGGGAATTATGTGCAATGCAGCCTGTAGTTGGCAAAACTGGACCATAACTCTGCAGTAAATATAAAATGACAAGGCATTTCAAAAAATTTGATAACACTTAACGAAAATGGAAACGGTTTTATCTAAAAATAGAGAATTCCTCGCTTCTGCTGTCATAAATGCAAAATTTCCAAGAATTCACTATGCTCCTGTTACCACTCGGTATGTACTGCTAGTAAAGTGGTTCTTGATGAGGGTAAATGATCGCCGTAAAACGGCCAAAAAATATATCCGCTAGGCGTAAAATTGCCAACTTTTAATCGATAGTCGTGAAAAATGTTAACCGTTAAGAAAATTCTTGGGGAATAGCCAAAATTTAATCGTTAGCCGTAAAAGCCATCACCCATGAGACCCTCAATGAGGCAAACATGAGATGTGCGCATGGTGATTCGCTTCACAAACGGATTCCTCTCGTGTACGATATCACCTGCGCGCAAAATCTTCCTTTTGAAGATTTAAAGAAGCCCTAGGAAGACTGTTTAGCTCTTTATTACATCCATTTTGAAATCACTGGTGGTCCCTGTGATCTGATTGGCTCTAATTGGTGCGATTTATTCATGAATCGCACCATTTTTTGCTCTAAATCGCATCTTTTTTCCAGCCAATGAGGAAGTTACACTTGAAACAAAACAACCAATCAGATTTCAAGGCTTGTTTAAAGTAACCAATCAAATTGCAGGAAAATGAAAGACAAAGAGTATCATTTCGCAAATTTTGCAACTTTTGTTTCCATAACTCTTATTTTTCCCCCCCAAAAATGGATGAATTTAATTTTTCCAGTTTTTGAATGATGACAATGAGATCCTTCAGGCTGAAGACCAACATTCCAGGGACTTTCCCACTTTTCGTGTACATTTTGGTGAACATTTTGACGATTTTCTACCCTCTCAAGCTCAAAATCCGCACAATCCCGAGTCCACCGAGTCAGCAACAAACGAAGAAAATCAAAAGCCACCACAAGAGTTGGATGTTTCAAGATTTCCTATCATTTCAAGCGATGAAATACAGGAGCTTAAGTCTGTCGCTTCGAATAAAAATACATTCCGCTCCACAAAACAATGGATGAATGTTTTCAGAAGCTGGTGTCAATGCCGCCATCTTGAATATGTCTCCATCGAAACAATGGCGCCTGAAAAACTTGACAAGGTCTTGAGTAAGTTTTACGCCGAGGTGAAAAAAAAGGACGGAGATGACTACGAGCCAGAATCCCTTAAAATCATGCAGAGTGCCATTGAACGGTATCTAAAGGAGAAGAACTATCCATTGAGCATCGTGCGATCGAGAGAGTTTCACTCCTCACAAGAAATCCTCAATGCGAAAGCAATTTCCCTACGTCAACAAGGAAAGGGAAAGAGACCCAACAAAGCTCAGCCAATCACACCTGAAGAAGAGTCAGCCCTGTGGGAAAAAGGTCAGTTGGGTGATTTTAATGGAAAGGTCTTGACCAATGTCAACTTCAAAAATTTGACAGAACAACTGGGATTTCGTGGTCGCCAAGAACACTACGATGCATACGTAGAAGACGTAATTATAAGACAGCGAGAAGATGGAACTGAAGTTGTTGAGTTCAGGGAAGGTCCCACAAAAACGCGGAGCGGTGGTCTCACCATCAGGCGAAGAACAACACCACAGGCAATGTTCAGCACCGATGGCGGAAAAAAGCGATCCAGTGCGGCTATTCAAGCTTTGGTTGTCCAAGCGACCCGAAGGAATGAAGAACACAGGGCCACTCTATCTTAGCATCATAAATCGTCCTAAATCAGCAGATGTTTGGTACACCAAAAAGTTCGAATGGGACAAAACACCATCGGCAATTTAATGAAATCCATGGCCTCCTGTCTCAGGACGAATAAGAAGCTAACGAACCACAGCATGAGGAAAACATTGGTATCAAAACTGAAGAAGTCTGGTCAACCGCGCAATGTTATCTGTGAAATAACAGGCCATGCACGTGAATCTTCGTTAGACGACTACGATGAAATAGACGAGAATCACAGGAAAGAACTGTCTCACATTATCAGTGGATATAAAGAAGTGTCAAACGAAAATCAAGCAAACGAAGTCTCCCGCCAAAACACTGCGAATGAAGCCTCAAATCAAGAGATTGCAGTCCAACATAAACGAACACCTCTGGTTCCTATTTATCACGTCCAACAACAAGGCCAAATGCATCAGGCCATGGGCTCCAATCCTGGTTTTCAGCCGGCTGAATTTTCAGGATTTCCACCACGTTTTCCGTTGCAGTCTCAGTACCGCATGGAAGCCTTCAGTTGTGCTGCTCCCGTTCCATCGCAGAATTACACAGGCTGCACCTTCAATTTCTTCTCTAGAAACAGCCAGAATTCTCCACCCCAGCCACAGAAGAAACGAAGAGCTTACATCATTGAGTCAGACGACGAGGACTGAACTTTAACGCTTCACTATTTTTCTGAGTTATTGAGGACTTCTCGAATTTCTTGAATGAAAGTTGTCTTTCTTTTGATACGCTTGACTGAGTATTTGACACATGACGTCAAAGTCTTTCTGTTTTGCATTTCCGGTTCCGCTTTTTATTTAAAAACCGGCTCAGTACTGCATCAATAAAATATTCGAATTGACCAAGTCCTGTATTTGGGTGATTTCAAAATGGATGTAATAAAGTGGTAATTGAACCTCGTGTCGTGCAATTTTGGTCTGAAATCATACTTGTGATTTCAAATCGAACTCGCGCTGCGCGCTCGTTCGATTTTGAAATCACGCGTATGATTTCAGCCCAAATTGCACTCCACTCAGTTCAATTACCATTATTAATTCGTGTTGAAATCCATATCAACTCCAACGAATATTTTGCCACAATAAAGAAATCAGCAGACTTAGTTTAGCTAATTAAGTCTGGCGTCTGAATGATTATTACACAAACGACTGGTGATTCTTTTCTGATTCGAGTTAAGTTCTAAAACTTCGCCTCAAATTTTACTAATGTCTAAATTTGGACTGACGGGTTAGTGATTCCCTTGAGAAAGCACAAATTTGTTTATCTCCGAAAAGTTTTAAGCGTGGATGTGGGCACGATTCAAAACGGCGACCATTTAGAAATGCCCTTGCACATCTTAAGAAATCAGTTAAAGTTATCAAATTAGTGTGTGTGCGAGTAGCGGCACAAATGTTGAATTCCAACCAACGCATTTAAACGCACCAAAAATTCTTATCATTTTGCGTCGATAAATTTTGTTTAATTCTCGAGTTTTATCCCCAGGCCTTTGAGAATGCCTCGAAAAAGAAGTTCTCGCAAGAGAATTAAAGGTGGAGGATGGAAAGAGGAACTTGTCTTCGAGCCTGGAATATCGACATCCTTTTATCTAACGCAGGGTTCCCTAATAGAGGAAATGAGCGAATTTAATGGGATTGACGAGTTCGAGGAACTTCAAAAAATTTGGCTTTATAAAAGACCTCTGAAGAAAGGGCAACTTACCCAGTTTATTTTAAACCATCAGTTTGTCGTGATACGTTCGAAGCATTGGTATTGGTCCATCGAGAAACACTGTGACAAAATTCTCCTTCAAAGGAACAAAAGTTGTATCATGGTCAGAGAATACGAAGAGGGAATCCTCAGAAACACTCCAGTGGTCGAAATAAAACATGGTGGTAGCAAAGGATCTATGCAAGATTTGATCAAGTTTCTTTATCGCAAGGACGAGCTAAAGAAAGCATACCATTGGATGGAAGATAATTGTAAAGACTTAGCAAATCGAGTGTTTAATGAATTTGTGGTCGAGAGTTCGGTGGGTAGATCATGGCATATTTGGTGACATTGACACTTTTAATGAATAGCCTCATAACAGGAATAACATTCTTTAGTGTCTAGTTTAAATGAACCTCTTTTGAACAACACTTTGAACCAACAGTATTCTTATCTTTAACTTGGTCTCTTAAAGATTGTAGGGGTCTTAGCTGCCACTGCATGACGATCACTACAATCGTTTAAATATATTTTAGAAACATACAATCAAGAATTAAAAAGCTTTGCCCATTTTAGGCTAATCTTAGTTTAGAGTAACTGCTAATCGCAACTCGTTCATGTTTTTTGTTTACTTTTTAACTTTTTAATATTTCTTTGTAAATAATCATCAAAGTGTTACTTTGACTTGCTTGTCTGTGGTTTACACCTGTGTTTGAAGATCGAAAGTTAATCGTGTTTGTCAAGGTTAATAAAGTCATTGTTACTATGGATCTTCATCGTCGTTGTCTTTCTTGGCTCATTTGCTTCCACTTCCTGTAAATCAAAGGTCTATAGAAACTGCTTGCCACCTCGAATCCCTTAGGTGCTTTCATTTCTGCTGTATCCAAGCGAAGCCTGCTTTGCTAGCCTCATTGTCCACGATTCTTATGCATCTGATCCTTAAACGCCCTTGACTCATCTCTCCCTGTGAGTTCTACCTCTGTTCTAGCTATATCCCCCTCAGTATTTGTTTTCTAAAAGGGCTCCCCAGCCAAACCCAACTTGTGCCCTTTCATCATTATGCTAAATTGTTAGTGACTGAAAAGACCTATTGGTGAATTAAACATGTCTCCCGAAGAAAAATTCTCATTCAAAGAAGCTGTGCGAAGTTGTTCCATTCTGCAGGTAGTTTTTTTGATACAAATTGATACAGATTTTTTGGTTAGAAATGTAGAATTAGCGACGTTTTGTTAACTTGACGGTTGTGGTAACCATAGAGCTTGAATTATCTTAATGTGAAAAGCGTAAGCGGGAGGGTGGCTTCAATTGTCTTGCTGCTGGTTGTGCCCCATCACCCAACCCCACCCCCATTGCAACGCTTCTTTGTCGTCGTTTTCGTATCGTTACTTCAATAATTTTATCGACGTAACCAGCAGTTTAAAAACTAGCTTATATTTCATACTTTCATGTTGAAAAATAGCCGACTTCATTTTTAAGTTGTTTTTGTAAACGCCACTACGCACCTTTCCTGCCGTTCGGCTAGATCATAAATGAGATCACGCGTAGCCGAGTATAGTGTCTTCGAAGTTGTCGTGAAATTCCACAGTAAGAGATTTCCCAATCGTTTTAATGATTCCATCTTTTGTCTATGTTTAAAATGCTACAGTGAGAGAAGGACTAATGTAATAGCGTAGTTTGATCGTTCGGGTGAGTGTATTCCTGAGAAGGACTGTTGTTGGTAGTGGTGACTGACGTTTCGACAACCTGAGCGGAAGTCGTCATCAGAGTCAAGTGAATAGTTGTTGTCAGTCGAATGTTCTTAGTCTTAGCTAAGGCAGAGTTACTAACTTCAGTCAAGCACCCCATTTTGTTGGAGAAAGACCACCACATCACATCATTAATTGTCAAAGACAGCCATAAACGAGTCATGCATGGTGGTGTGAAGTCCACTCTGACAGAACTAAGAGTACGATTTTGGATCGTACAGGGCATAAAGTTCTTTAGATCTATCAAGCTCCACCGCCCCCGCCCCTCCCAGAATTTAGAGTAAAGGAATGATCACAATTTATCTACATTGGATTTGATTTTGCGGGACCTTTCAAAAGTCATTCTGGCCCTCAGCAAAAAGTATGGATCTGCCTCTACACTTGCTGTGTCACCAGAGCTATTCATGTGGATCTCGTACCTAGTCTCACAGCCTCTGCATTCATGAGAAGTCTCAGAAGATTCACCGCTTGTCGTGGCACTCCTCTGTTGATGGTGTCTGATAATGGGAAAACCTTCAAGTCAGCAGCGCGAGAAATCACGAGACTGATGAACAACCCGGCAGTAAAACCAAACTTCGTCAATGCTCGGATGAAGTGGACGTTCAATCTTGTAAGGGCCCCTTGGTGGGGTGGCATATTCGAAAGACTTGCAAGATCTGTTAAGAGATGTCTGAAGAAGACTATTGGCGGTGCAACCCTTACCTCTGAAGAATTGCTAACAGTAGTCGTGGAAGTGAAAATGATATTGAACTGTAGACCTTTGTCCTACGTGTCAGGCGAGGATGCGGAAGAACCCCTACCCCGTGACATCTCTTATGTGGGCGACACCTAATGAGCCTTCCAGACAGCAACACCAGCGACACTCCAGATTATGACATTAATGTTCAGCCAAAGGATCTAAGTTGAGGAATACAGCACCAGAGCAACGTTCTGAACCACTTTTGGAAAAGAAGGAGTAACGAGTAGCTGATCAAGCTGCGAAATGCCCATCGTTACCTTAATCAGAATGAAGCTATCAGAACTATATCTCTTGGAGATGTAGTTGTTGTGCACGAAGAAGATCAGCCCAAAGGGAAGTGCGTGTAAGAAAGATTTTAGATCTCATCTTTGGATCTGATGGTTGAACCAGGGGAGCCTCAGTTCAAGTCCGAAGCAAGGGAGGAAAATGCACGAAACTCATGCGCCCAGTACAGCGGGTTTACCCTTTAGAGATCCAGTGCGAAGTTCCTGTCCAACAAACAAACGAAGCAAGCTCAAGCCGGAATCCTGATCCAGTTAGCACTGAAGTGAGAACTGAGCAACCAGTGTCTACACAGAGCTGCCCAAAACGAGCAACTGCCGTTGAGGCTGACTGAAGGAAGGAAGGCTGGAGGATCTGAATTAATGAGCTTTGAACTTTTTTACGAATTATCGTTGAGTTTAGGTTTCTCGATACTATGTAAGGGTCTGTTGACCAGATAGAATTAGGTAGCCAAATAGTAGTCTTGTTAATAGTGGGGGAGTGTTACGGATTCGTACAGCGTGACATCGAGTCACGTGAAACAACGTTTGCGATCATGCAACTTAGCGTTGTCGTTTTGTTCGTTTTAAAATTAAACTCCTTCTCTGTGTGGTTAATATTAACCTATGTGGGTTCTTAGACTCCTTAAAGAACCAGCGATCAACCCGCTATAAGGCCTCACCTGCTCTTATAATTTGAACAACTTCGTGAGGTTTTCCTTGAAGTCAAGATCAAGTCAGTCGAATATTATCGAGAAGTCGCCGTCGCTAGTTCCCGAGAAATCGAATTGGGTCAGAGAACTTTTCAGGTATCACGATATCAAATCCATCTGCTTCTACAACAGACTTCAGCAATGTACTAACCTATATTTAATTCTGTCGAATATAACTGAAGTGTGACCTTAATTGCAAAGTTTGTATCATTCACTGGTTAATGATCAAAAGCTTCATTAAAATCTATTGACACTGAATAACATTGATGTGCAGAATTTCAGTAACACTACTGATAATAATACTTTTCTTTTGGATTAACATGTGACACAGCGAAATCATTCAAACTGTTCTAAAATGGTGCATCACTACTAACGACTTTAAGGCAAACGATAACATCAACAATAGCAAGCTAGTTTATCATCAGTTGTAGTCAATTTCTTTTCCAAAAAGTTCTAATGATTACGTACCAATCGAGTTCATCCACTTGAACTTCCAGCCAAGCATTAGCCCACTTTGGACTGGAAATAATTTTCTTGAGCTTGATCAATATACCGGCTAAAGGACCATACTTTTTTAAAAGTCTTCTAGCGCCGATTAAATAGAAACATGAAGCCTTGGTAGAAATCGTTTCAGACGTTGCACCAGCGCCCTGAATTGTGTATTAACTTTACGTAATGTTTGGTATGTGTGGCAAGCATTACCAACGAACAGAATGGCCGATGACGCAAACACTGTTTCTAAGATTTTTTCTAGAAATTCATTGGGAAGATTTCCAATGCCACATTCGTCATCTCCTCTCATCGCAAATAAGTCGATGTCTACATCTGAAACAAACAGAACCTTCATCAGCTTATCACCATCATTGGGCTATACCATTGTCGACTTCAATTTGCAATTCTGACTCCGTCTCGTTTGTTCAGCTCCAGTGAGTATGTCCCTTAGCCCTATCTATAGCAATATCCGTGTCGTCACCAATGCCGACGATACTATCAGGTCCACTTTTTGCGTCAGTGTCACCCATTTCAAAATCAACGACGTCCTGCTCTATTCCATTTTATTTGCTTAATCCTCGGAAATTTCTCCTTCTCCTGGGTCATTTGCATCGAATTCTTTTCCACTAGCGTCGTTGTTATCCGCAACTTGTTCCAAGCTCACGTACTGTTCGTCTTGGTTCTCAGCAAAATGTCGAAGGTACACGGTAGCTGCTGAAACACTTGCTAACGGACTGAACACATGCTGCCCGCCAACTCCTAGAGAGGAAATTATTTGGATGTCGATGTTACACAAGTTTGCTGCTGCATACGGCGTAATCTGATCCCCATAGGTCCCATCTCGCGCCATATGAGTTATATAGTCGTCCCAGCAAGCGAACTCATCATCTGCCAAATGCTCCAAAAGTGGGAAGCCATCGCTCTTGTACAGACTACTTTTTAAGTACTCTACTATTTCTTTCCGCGTCGTTTCAGGAGATCTCAAATGCCTAGTCTCTTTGTCTGGTGCGATAGCGCAGCAAATTGGCAATTGCCATCTCCAGGAGGATTGTAAACCAATTTAAAACCCTGATCTTCGATAGCCTTTGCATAATCATCTCTTCTCATAGGTATGTAGTACTTTTTGTAGTAGTCAATTTTTTTCTTTTTAGACAGCTTGGCGCATTTTTGTTTCCGTTTTTCTTGCTCTAGTGTTAGGCTTGTGACATCGTCCACAGAGACCCATTTCCTTTCTTTCTTTCCTGTAAGTGGTGAGGCGTATGAAACCTTATAACTATGCAACTTGATCTTTCGTTTCTCGATACGACCCTCCGTCACATGCCGTTTATTCGATGGCTTCCCTCTCAAACGTATATACACTTTTCTCCGATGCTATAAACCGAGGACGGATTTAAGCGAAGTTGTGTTCGCTGCATCCGCTTGTCACATCTACTCGTGGCTTTTTTAGCTTGCTTTCGTAATTTCAAAGCTTGCCGGGAACGCCGATTACGGTCACTCTTAGTCGGGCGAACCCTCCCAGCACTAGGAAGGATTTCGTATTGAGATCTGCTCTCTCTGAAGGCGTTGCACTTTCGTGCAATGTATATTTCGAATGGTGTTTTGTAAGCTATCACTTCTTTAGGGTCGTTATTTAGAATTCTTTGATAAATAGGGAGCTGTTTTGCCAAGTTTATACCGTCTTGACCTATTTTTTAAGGTCAAATTCCATCTTAGGTCTTAGTTTCCTGTGGCAACGTTCTACCTTGCCTTGTGATTGGGGGTGGCGCGGGTGACTGTAAATCAATTTTATATTCATGCGATCGCAAAGTAATTTCAAGGCTTTCTTGAACTCCCCTCCTTGGTCGCGCTGGATTATTTCTGGCGATCCATGCTCCATATAAATAGATTCCAATTCACTTGCAATAACCTGGCTTGATTTGCTTTCCATAGGACGAAGCCAAAGGAAACGGCTGAAAGCATCAATCACTGTTAGAACGTGTCTGTACAAATGTCCATTCATCTTCACGGATCCTTTTTTGCTCATATCTATCGAATCTATTTGGTGCCTGACATGAACGTCTGTGGCTCTGATAGGTTTCAGCTTCGCCTTATTAAGAAGCTTAGTATTTCGGCGATAATGACTTTTGTCCATGTTTAGAAGAGTTTATATTTTAGCTCGACTTACTCCTAAAAAATTGTCCCTCAGTAAGCAAGCCAACATCCCTGCACCAGATCCTTTCGTCCTTTCAAATTCCTTCTTCGTTAACCTTTGATGATTTTCACAGGCTCGTGAAATGTTTATCAGTCGGATCCGCACTCAAGAATATTTCCACACTCATTTCAACCAATCAATTCAACGTTGCTGGGTAAATCTATGTGTTACTGCCAGTTATTTTGAGACTGAAAAGTTATACTCTTTACGTGCATGTCAATCTCACGGTGCTGATTCAGTAGAAGAAAAGTCCGTTTCAGAGTCAGGTCATGCTGTTTTATCTAATGTCTGATCGTTAAGGAGATCAGTGCGTCGAGCAAACCTTGTTTCCTTTTTCTTTCTTTCATTTTTTTTTTTATTCTTTAAATCAATTAGTGTACCGTTAGAAAACGGCTCACACGATTATTTGTACTCACATCTCAGAGAAAGCAAGGGCACAAATTTTTGCGTGGGTTTTTGGGGACCGAGACATCATTTACAGCCTTCAACATAAACAACCATTTTAATGTTCATCATCTCTCACTCGTGTGACTGTTTCCGGCCTTATATAAAACGTAATCGAGCAACTAGTATACGCTAAGAAGACCTGTTTACACCTGTTTAATGTAAGTCACTGAGTATATGATTCGATGCAGACACATGCAATACCTTATTCGTTTTTTGGATTTGTTGCATGCATTTCGAGATCAAGAGAACATAATTGTCCCAGTTATGTTCTCTTGGGGAGAAAAATGATTTTGTCCATATTCATATACTCAGGCAGATATTCAAGAATTTGAAAGTGACAACTCTCTAGAGTGCTGTCACAAGGTCCAAATTGGTAAACAAATGTGCGTGCTAACAAGGTCTATGCAGGCATGGAAAGACAAAAAATTTGTCCGTCAAGTAAGTCAGCGGACTCCCTTGTCCAAGTTTGTAATTGGTTTATGACTTATTTAGTCCCTCACTGATCACACAAGTATAATGTTATCGAATTTTCCAAAATTTATAGTACTTAAGAGTCTGAGCCAGTGATATATATGGAGAGTAATTGATCAGCGTACTCATTGTTTTGCCAGCTGTCATTTGGTGCCAATTTTAAATCAGTTAAACGGTTTGCGGCCAATGCTTCTCGACTTATGTCTAGCAAATAAAAAGACACTGATCGATATCAGCGAGCCCGTAATGTGACATGTATACTGGTCAGCGGTTTTTTTTTGGTGCGACAGCTGTCACTTCAACATCTCAATGTGGATGTCCGCCATAACAACAATGCACTGAAAGAGTTAAACGATTGCATTGGAGACATTACATTTAGGACTAAATGTTCTTACATTTAGGACTTTATTACATTTAGGACCAAATGTTATTACATTTAGGACTATTACATTTAAGACCAAATGTTATTACATTTAGGACTTTATTACATTTAAGACCAAATGTTATTACAGTTAGGACTTTATTTCATTTAGGACAGTTATTACATTTAGGCCTTCAACAGCCTCCAGGTTAAACTTCTGGCCAAGCATTTGCAGCAAACCCAACTTGAACTTTGTCAAGGAGTTGTCACGGACCAATACACAGATATTGTATTGATCGAATACAAGGGGATGCTCGAGGTTGATGTCGGCGAGAATCTCTTCTCCTGCTTTGTGAAAATTAATCTCCTCCTCTGCAACGTAAATATCCTCGTCAGTTGCGACCAATTGTTGACGAGCTTTTGCCGCTAGCCGGCCAAAAAAGGAGGTGATCTGTCGCTCCGTCAGGAATTCCATTGGCTTGAAGAGACGTTTGCCGTCGGAGTTCAAGGCGCGTCTCATTTCCTTGGCTATGTCTTTGGGGTGGAGTTTTCGCCCTGTTTCCTGGCCGAGATTAAACTTCGCCTAAAGGTAGCTTTTTTGCTTTTCGTTAAAACGATAGGCCTATTTAGATTCCTTCAAGGCCCAGCCCTCTTGTGCAGTACTTGAGATAGTGACAAGTGTTGATGTAGACAACAGCAAGGTTAGCATGCTTGCCATGCCTTCGCGGAGACAGTCGTACTCCGTTTTAGCCAGGTCTAACAAGGAAAATCTTTCGAGTGATGTGGTGCATTTTTCAAACGAGAGATGTCGTTCATGGCTTGAAATCCGTTGAAAGACCCTAGTGCATCCATCCTGTGGACTTGGAAAAGCCCCTCTTTCCACAGCAGCCTCTTCAGATTCCTTCTCCTTTTCAGCTGGCTTTTCTCTAGATGCCCTTGTTTACTTAAAATCTCCAGCAGAGAAAGAGCCTTCCATCCATTTATATCCATGATCTAAGACGAAAGAGATTTGATGATAAAGCAATTATTACATTCATATGTGGATAACGCTATTTTCCTGATAAATTACTATCTAGTGAATAAACGTTAATAAAAATCGTGATTCACTGGACAAGCATTTGTCCAGTGAATAGCACTATTCACCTTTTGCGGAACAACTGAGGCCTGTTATGTAGGTTGTTATACCTCTATTTAACATTTCATTACATGTTGGATAAAAAATATAGCGGAAATGCACATGTTACGTCGATTTTGTCAACTAAAATGGTTTGTATCAAAACACAAAAAATACCCTGGGCATAAACGCGCGCGTACAGATGTGCTCACCTTGCGTAATGTTATAAACTAAAAGGATACAATCGACTCACAAGTAAAGTTCGCTATCCGGAAGAGTGTCATGGCAGTGTTTCCACAGTGGTAAAATACAATGTTACAAAACTAAACTAGAGCTTCACGTAAAATGAATAGCTAATTGCTTGGGATGGGCACAATATAACTATAATAATACATTCACGGTCTTTCAGTTCTTACCTGAATTCATTGCTACGTCGAGCGGCTTTCCTCTTCCAACAGCATAAGCTCTCCAGGCGATGAGCTTTCCACTGGTACAGCGAAAGTTATTTAACTTGCTTTTGCCTGCTATCTTGGGCAGCTCGCCTCTTACGGATTCTTCTAGAGAATCTGCGACAGCCACTCTGACCCCTTTGACGCCGCCGTGTGAGAGGAGCGCATCTTTCATTTGATGTGCATTCGTGACATCGTTGCCCTCGTTGACGTACATCCGGATGCGGGTTTTGGCCGTTGCTCCCGTTCTATCCGCAGCACCTTTACCTACCTGAGGGTCACTGAAGTCCAGGCCTTCTACCTTCACTCCTGTTGTAGCTTCAATGCTGGGACATGCTAAAACTGTGCTTGCCGAATGGTAGCACCCAGCATTTTCTTGACGTAAGTAGACTTTCTCTATCTCTGGATGCTCGGTCTTTAGCATATGAATGACGTGCTGTAAGATGACGACTACTGCTGCACTTCCCTGGCTACACGACTGGGTTATGGTGATGAAGCTCTGTGCTTGAAGCTATCCGTCAACTTTGCGGTATGCAACAGATATGTGCCATGAAATTCCCCGTTTACCGAACCAATAAGACTGGGATTCTCGGTATTTTTGTGGGATAGATTTCATGGCCCAATCATTTACCAACAGCACGGTGTGTTCATCAAGACGGTACAGGGAGTCAAGGCGTGCCTGATCTTGCTTGACATTTCTTAACAAGTGGCACTTCCACGCGTGGATAGCCAGGTTAGCACTTTTGTAGATAAAGAAAGCCTCGTCTCGGTTGTCTTCACGGTTGAATGAAATTTCTCGCAACAGTTTCTCTATATCGCTTAGTGCAGATGCTAAACTTGTGCATTGATCACACTTTTGGTCATGAATGTGACTACATGACTGCTTCAGGTCTGCGTCTGATGAATCACCCAGTGAAAACGTACTGCAGTGTTCTGCGACAGGAGAGCTGTCAGTGATATGAACCTGGTAATAATGGGATAAATAGACAGTTTTAGCAAAGGTTTGTGGGGTATAGCCTTATATACACTCATATCTTAAATATTGCAAGGGATATTCCCTCGTATTTCATACGTCAGTGACCTTTGATGAGATACGATTTTAAATCTTTCGAGGCATATGCCCTCTACTGATAAACAAAACATATGCAACGGAGAACCACGTACTTCAATTTCATAAGCAAGTGCAAGACTAAATTTCCATTTTGAGTTTTATGGACGCGCGGTGCACCCATGCATGTGAACATCCTCCAGTTAGTGTACATACTGTTCTGGAAATCATTACTTCGAGCTCAAGTCAAACAAATATAGCGGGCAAAAGATTGAAATTTTAACAAAACAAGTACAGTCCCAAAATTAACCGTAAAGCTGTTTACCTCAAAAGACTCACTTATGGGCGACAAAATTTAACAATATTCGATTGACTTGTGCTCGGTTAATTGTCTTATTTGAGGCGAACGCAACTTAACGCGCACGAACTCTCTTCTCGGCTCCCCTTTCTACGCCTACCATGCAGGCTAGTTAAACCAGAACGAACGAAGAATCAAGTTTGAACACTTCTTGCTATTGCAATTGAAAAATAATGTGCTAGAGTGCGAAATTGTTCTCTGAAATTCAGTCTTCTTTTCTCCTACTTGGACATAATACATTCCCACAAAATCCCAAAAGAGGATGGAGAAACAAACAAATCGAGGTACTCTCAAGTGTTTTCAAGTATAGGAAAAAATGTATTACTTTAAAGTCACCCTTGAGATATAGCTTTCCCGCCTTCAGCGCCTCCTGTAGACCTTGTACTCTCTCTTTTCTTGCTCCATTCTCCAAAGCTTGTTCTAGAACAGGACAAATCGTTAAAAGCTCGTGCCCCCTCTGCAGCAAAGTAATCGAGGCCTTGAAGGGACTTGCGTAGGGAGGCACTACACTCTGAAAGGATCCTCGTCATTGTCCTCTCGCTGAATGGTGAAAAATTAGTTTCCGAGCAGTACTGTTTGTATTGCCTAAAGATTCGCTTTGGAATCAAGGTTCGTATTAAGTTAGGAACCGCAATGCTCTGACCATTTGATAGTTTAAGATTCTTTGTACTTAATGGGAGATCCTACACTAAATGAGGGCTCGTGGTGAAACTTAAAAAGTGGTCTAGATGCTGCCTATCAATCCGTAATCGAGGGGCCTCTTTTTTTGGCGCAGGGACTGTTCTACCGTGCTGGAGGCGAAGCAAGCCGGCCTGGGTATAACGGTATGGCGTCAACCCAGGAATGAAGGCCAATAGTGCTTTGTAGCTGGCGATGCCTACCATAATAGACGAAACCTGTTTTCTTGTATCCCATGCCTTTACATTGTATGCTTCTGCCAGAGTCGCAAGATAACTTCTATCAGATGGGGGCCACACTGTTTCATCACCCAATATTTTACTAACTGTTTTAGAAGTTTGCAGTTCAGTCCACAGATAACCAGGGTCATCGGGATAAACCACTTCGAGGACAGAAGAAATTATCTCCTAGGTTCTTTGCACGTCTCTTTGACGTGTTCTTTGACTGGCCTGGGCCTACTCTAGCCAGGGCTTCCAAGTGCTTGGATTTGGCACTCCTCAAGAAAAGCATTCAGTTTTGAACGTTGAAGCTCAAAATCAGACATTACATTTTCCACAGAAGAAAATGTGGTGCTCGTTGTCTCTAGTGATTGGACGAAACTTCGATCTTCAATCTGAAGACATTCCATTCTCCCGGCTAATTCTTCTGATGCTGTACATTTTTCACTCTCCTTTGAGAAATTAAAAGAGAAAATGTGATAACTTGCAGGATGCGCGTAATGCCAAGTTACATAGCGTCCGTGACCCGCTAAGTATTCCAAACTAAAAACGCTTTGTGCTATATAGACACGTATCGAAAAACCTGTAGGTCTAACATACGTAATTTTAGAAGCGGTGTTGTTTGTCCATCGTCAAAGGTGGTAAGTCAATTTCGATTATCAGTTGTATCTTATCCATGCAAGCTGCACAATAAATGATTGTACTTTATGACCGGTAGTTAAGAGTATAGTGGCCTGTCTCAGTGGCAGATCTAGGGGAGGCCCCCCCTCCTTATTTTTGGTAAAATACAATTTTTTCGCAAAAGAAAGGAATGCCGGCAAAATATTTTTGGGTTTACACACCAAAAAAAATAAAAACGCCTCCCCCCACCCCATTCACTACTGGGTCTTGTACGCTATCGGCGCTAAGTTCACATTTAAAATACACAATAGCGCGCAAGAGAGCACTGCAATAATTTTTTGCTGGCTTCTACACAATTCCTAGGTACTTATAAACACACACCGTGAAGAAAGAAGCAATCACCTTATCACTCACCGAACGCAATGATGGAGATATAAAAGTTAAACTTTATTACTAACATTTTTCCGGCTTTCCCTTTAACGAAACGTATCTGCATTGCTTCATGTTCACTGCTTTCTGAACTCTCTTTATCTTGAGATGTTTCTTCCTCTTGAGGCAGTTGGTATGAAGCGGAGACGTCTGGGGAGATGCTTGCTTGGCTAATTGGTGGAGCGTGTTTTAAAACTAGTTCTTGCAAATGGTCCCTGCATCGCTTACAAATTGCTAAAGGCAAGAAAACTCAATGAAATTAATATTGCGCAATTCCAATTGATTAATTGGTTGAACGAATTTAGCTTCTAAATTATCAAAGTTTTTAAGAGACAACAGAGATACTAAGGGTACGTAACATGTGTAGCATGACTCAAGCAATTTTCTGTTTGTTTGTTTGCTATATGTTTTTCGCTATATGTTCTTCATACTATAACTAGATAACGCCCGCCCTATTACCCATGTGGGATAAAGGTAAGCTTCTGACAATTATAATAAACAATAATTGTAAGAGTAAACTACGAGCACTCCCTCACTTTTTCTCAGATTCAGCGGGCGAGCACGCTTCACGCGCGTGGAAATCAGCCCCGTGAGAACACGCGTGTTCTCGCGAGAGCTGATTTCCACCCACTTGCTCGATCTGAGAGAAATGAAGGACTGCTTGGGATCTATTATCGAACTTGTATGTGCGCTCACTCCGTTGCAATGACTCGTCTCCTTGGAAACATGTGGTTGCGTTTCAATGCATGAAACGCTCATAGAAGTAACCGATCGCATTTAACTGAACGTGTAACGGCACTAACTTCAGCAAATTTTAAATTACTTACGGGTTCCAATAGGATAAAGCTCCCCCACTGTATCGCAATAAAAGAAGATTCTTTACTCTTCATACTGCGATCTCCCTTCACCGTTGAAGATTTATGTCCTGCCACTTTACCTGGAACAGAGCATCTCACCTTTCCACTTCTCAAGCGAAGGCCGTACTTTTCTCGATGGTGAGAACATACAGTAGATGACAAATGGGAACTTTCAGCTGTACATATTCCTAAAATTTAAGTCCCATAAACCAATCAGAATTTATTTTAGTACAAAATAAAACTACAAGAAAGTGTTCAATCATTTAAACGAGAAACTGTGCCTGCTCTTGCTAGCAACAACGCCATTTCGTCACAAATTGCTTCATCCGGTCCGATTTTATTTGAGTAAACCTCCTTATTATATTCGTTAAGAGAAACACCCTGCAAATCTTCTAGATTTTTTGAGCTTGATCCGCATGGCGATGTTAGCTTAAATAACGACAAAAAGCAGCAAGATGCCATGACGAATTACACTCGAAACAAATTTAGGTTCTTTTTGTTTGAAGAAGATATTAAGAAACACCTGAGACCAGTGTCAACATTTCGAAACTGCTATGGTTTGTTGACTTTTGGGACGTGTGGTTTACTGACTTCCGGGACTGACTTACTTTCGAAAGGCTCACGGCGCGCAGTGTACGTGACCATTCATGATGAGTAATGAAACTATCCTGATTTTCGTTTCAGTTCATCGAGTATAACCTGAAAGATTTTCATTTTACATATCAAGCAAATTATCTACAAGCTGTCACTCTATGCGCAAATATTGGCATAGCTTTTTTCCTGGCCTTCAGTTTCCCACGCTGGTGCATCAAATCTAATTTGTCACGCAATAAGCATGCTAACTATATTTGCGCCGTGGAAACTAATTCCGGACGGTTTTAGGCTTACGTGGTCTTAACTCCGATGATGGCTTGGTCCAAGAGAGTATAATTAATCCTTTCTTGCTTGCTCAGAGTAGAAGTCATACACATACCACTTAGAAGTGAAACTGCACATATACGGACGTAAGTTGAACCCTTAAAACGAATGCCCCGCTTTAATTTCCACGCCGTTCTCTATTTTTTCACCTGTAATCGCTTACATTGGTACGCCTCACTATAATGCGTAGAACTAGATTGAGACTTGCTCGTTAATGAAAATAAATTTTTTTTTTCTCACCGTGTGCTTGCTCGATAACTTTCTTTAATGTCCCCGGAGGAATGGCGTCTTTTCTGCTTGTTTGAAGAAAGTAAAAGAGCGTCGTTGCAACTACTGTAGACAATTTCGATATGTGAGCTGAAAGCATTATGTCAAATAACAACTGGAGAGTATGTTTTAAGCAATCAAACATTAAGAATTTTACCAATTTCAACGACGCTTTTCTGGGGGGGGAGGCCTAGAGATCATAGAAAATGATCGCCGTGGATACTGATAAACAATATGTAAGATGAAGATCAGCGACGTCGTTCTCTTTATTGCTAACCACTACTCGATAACTACCCGCCACTTTCGGTTAGGGTTTTTCAAATATGCTTTCCAACTCGGCTTTGAGAAGACCTTTTTTGCTATCTGGTTCGTTCGACGCCTGCATTTACTGAATTTTTACGAAATCTGTCAAGGCTGTCTGCAGTTCAGCTACAGAAAGTTTAAGTTTTAAAATTGAGGGAAATATATCGTGGGCCTCAATTTAACAAGACTCAGAGCTTCATCTTTAGTCAGAAAATTTAAAGAGCACACATAAATATAAAAAGTAAACTTAGTGTCAGTTAAAACGTTTCAATCTATACACATTCAAAATTTTTGCAAGATTTGGTCTATACGTAATCTAGTTTGCGTCATCAGAGCAAGTTGCATAAGGATCTCACAAGAAGCTTTAGACTACTTCACAGCGAACCGATCCTTTCGTAGATTTCTTAGTTACGTTAGGGTTAATTTATCAAAATTTAAAGCGAAACTTAAACAAAATGTTAACGTTTTCGAGCTAAGATCGCAATAAATAACTATACACAAACGAGAGTGAATAGCGTTTAATTTCTTCTTATAATATTAACGCAGTACGGTTAAGAGGGTAGGGAAAATAACAAGTCAAGAAGCTTACCTTCGGAAAAAAAAAATAAAATGGTGAAAACAACTTTACTGAATTAGAGAAAAATAAATGCCATACAAAGGCTACGATTAATACAGCCCGACTACGAGGTACATTTCACTTTAAAACTTCCTCATGATGCTTACTTCAAACAAACTAACCACATAAAAAACACTTACTTGATTAAACAGTCTGAGAGAACTCGGGTCATAACTTTTAGAATGACATTTTAAGCAGCATTTTATAATTTCATCTTCCTTTCGCCCTCCTCCTGTTAGTAATCAATCGAGCAACTACCGATTTGGATTTAATAACAATTAAATAATACTTTTCTTAATTAAGGAAGCTGAAAGAATAATTCAAACCCTTTATCTCCATAAAGTTTAGATACTGCTCTACTTTCTAAGCCTTTAAAGCAGTCTAGGAGTTATTTCTCTCCGCTTTCTTTTAATAAGAAGGATCATAGGGGGCTGAGAGAAATCAACGCTCTATAAGAGACCATTTAATTTGAGAAATGATTGGAAGCAAGTGTAGGAAAGCTTAGAGCTGAAAATGGGACTCATTTCAGTTTCACCAAGATCGGGAGTTTTCTGTCTAGTGACCAATGTCACCTTGATCAAAAGGGTAGACTCCAGACTCCTATTTTAAAATGGATACTATCTTTATCATTACCATTATTTTTGTTGTTATTTACAATACTTGATATGATTCATATATTACTCACCTGTTTTATTGGCCTCGGAAGATACGGAGAAAAACTCACAAAGGTTAAAAATGATTTGATCTTAAAGGGAAATTGATTGATGAAAACCGTCAAAAGCATCTATTTTTACCACCAACCGTCAAAAACTCAAATCAATAACAACCATCAAACAATTTAATGAACATCTCTATTTAAGCCGCTTGCTAACAATAGTTTTAGAAACTTTAGAATGGGAAACTGGTCTTACAAAAAAATGCTAAGTCTATCTTTATTTTCACTGATTTTCGCCTCTAGCAGGCAGTTTGAATAAATATATTTTTTTTCTCAAGAGTGTGACGTTGAGAAAAAAACGTTACGTAACGTTATAACTTGTCTTTGTACACGCCTCTACGCACCATTCCTGCCTTTTGATAAAGTCTCAACTGAGCTCACCCTTACTCAGGTGTCTTGAAAGTTGTCGTGAAATTCCTCATTAGCAGTTTTTGCCATCATCCTAATGATTCCCTCGAGATCCAAGACGTTTTTGTCTTTGATCTATGTTAAGTATGCTAAAAGTAGGCGAAGGACTAATGTTCCAATCGAGTGAAAGAGAATGCTAAACGTGCGCCAGATACAAATGTAACAATCCTATGAAAGAGAATCCTAAAAGTGCTAACGTGAGATACTAACGTGAATATTAATCTCTATTAATATGAATTTAGACTTCGATAACTGAGGGGCCTGGACTGGGTACACACAGGGTGCAAATAAGTATTTTCTCTTTTCTTTAAGATTGAGCAATTTATTCAGCATATAAGTCATAAGACATGGGTAGAGCCAATGGCTATTCACTACGCTAACGCGTTTTAATTGCGAAATTACTTTAGTATTACCGCTAGTGTGTTATTTACGTAGGACATATACATTTAATAAACTGTCTGGTCCCAAAACAAGGCTCTGTCTGTTGTGGCGTTTAGGTAACAATCCAATAAAAGAGAATCCTAAAAGTGCGTGATATACTAACGTAACGATCCAATGAAAGAGAATCCCAAAAGTGCGTCAGGTATGTACATAATCCTGTAAAAGAGAATCCTAAAAGTGATTGAGGTGCTAATGTAACAACCCAATAAAAGAAAATCCTAAAAGTGAGTAAGGTACTAACGAAACAACCCAATGAAAGAGAATCCCAAAAGTGCGTGAGATACCAAAGTAACAATCGCATGAAAGAGAATCCTAAAAGTGTGTGGGATACTAACGTAACTCGAATGAAAGAGAATCCTAAAAAAATGCACGAGATACTAACAGGCTAACGAGACAATTCAGAGAGTGAGAATATCAAAAGTTTGCGAGATAAATACGTAACAATCAAATGAAAGAGAATTCTAAAAATACGCAAGATACTAGCGTAACCATCCAATGAGAGAGAGTCCTGAAAGCCCGCGAGATATCAGCATAACAATCTAATAAAAGGGAATTCTAAAAGTGTGTGAGGTACTGAGTCAGATGTAACAGTCCGATGTAATGTAGAATCCTAATGGGGCACGAGATAGATACCTTGAATTCGAATGAGAGTCTTAAAAGTGCTTGGAATATCATTGTAACAATCCAGTGAAAGAAAGTCGTAAAAAAGCCCAAAATATTAAAGTAGTAATCCAATGAAAGAGAGTTCCAAGAGTGCTTTAGTTATTTACGTAATAATCCGGTGAAAGAGAATCCTAAAAGTGTGCGAGATACTGACGTAACATCCAATAGAAGAAAATCGTAAAAATGCGTAAGATATACAGCCGTAACAGTCATTATTCATATACTGTAAAAAGACAGAACACCTTTATATTTAAGATGACTCATAGAAATATATTTTCCTAATAACCACCAAAGGCCCTGAAATTTGACTGTAAACCGTCAAACCTTAAAAATTAACCATCAACAAAAAATCGAAATATAAGAACCGTCAGCCGTCACAGCTACCGCCGCTCCCCCCTCCCTCGTATGGGTTATTCATTTCAGTATCTAACTCACAATTCTGTATTTTCCCTTCCAGATTACATTTACCATTCTCCAACAAAATGCCTCCAATCTGTTTTCCATGACATTCCCAGGTCTTGCAACCTCACTGGCACGAGATTGGAAGTTTAATGTCATGCGCAAAGGCTCTTAATGCTAGCGGGATAATTTGCATACAGTTTCAAATGCGGAAATCCTTGATTGACGTTTGACCATCTATCTTTTTATCTTCAGCGTTAGGTACCTTTATGTCCTCGTGCTGTATTAGTCATTATGTGGTATATATCATATTCTTTCTAATTTGACAATTTGAACTACTTCGTAGGATTTTCCTTGAAGTCAAGATCAAGTCAGGCGGATATTATCGAGCTCTCGCCGTCGCTAGTTACCGAGGAATGAGTCGAGTGGGTCACAGAATTTTACAGATATCACGATATCAAATCCATCTGTTTCTATAATCAGACTTCAGCAAGGTACTAACACATAATTCAATTCTTTTGGTTATAAAGTGTGCCTTTAATAGCATAGTTTGTATCATTAAGTGGTTAATGGTCCGTGTTTGTGTAACTACGTATGCCGTTGTGTGATTTTAGTACGTGGTTCATGTGGTTCGTGAATGAAGGCAAATACTTAGAGTTCCATCATACGTTTGAAGATTGAAATAACACGCATAGAGCAGACACGAATTGAAAGGTACAACCAAGTTCAGATATAGACCGTTTGAACTAGAAAAGGAATAAACTGCGTTATCCTTAATGAGCACTCGATCGCCATAAAACAGCCAAAACATTTGGTCGTTAAGCGTAAAAATTGCCAGATTTTAACCGATAGTCGTGGAAAAAAATTTCTGGTGAATGGCCAAAATTTTAAACATGCAGTGTGATGCACGCATGGCGACTCGCTCCATAAACGGGTTCCTTTCGTATGTAAGATATCTCCTGTGCACAAACTTTTCCTTTTGAAGGTTAAGAGAAGCCTTTGAAAGACTATTAAGCTCATGATTCGTATTGAAATCGGGACTAACTTCGACGAATCCGGCCGATGAAGACGTAAGATCCAAGCCGTCTGTGATCATAAACTAATCTTATTATTTCCATGAGAGAATTAAACATACAATCGGCCCATTACGTTATAGTAAAAACACTGAGGGATCGAATATCTATTTCTACAATTGGTTCATATAAAAGAAACATTCCAAGGATTAGCTCGGTATGTCACATCACGCCCGTAAATGTACATTCAAGCGAGTACAGGTAGCGCACTCGTAATTATTTTGAAAACTTTTCTTATGCAGGGATGGGTTTCTGTGTGAAGATGAGTGCAAATTACGAATATTGTTGTCCGAAAACATTTGAAACCTTCAAAAGCGGAAGATTATATTCCCTTAATCCGAAGATTTAATACGAAACAGATGACCTGAAAGCAGGCAATTTTGTCCATAGATGCAACGGTTACACCAAAACAATAAAACTGCAATTTCAAGACAGCCGCGCTTGCAAGACGTAGCTTGCTTTTAGCGGCAACATAATTAATTCTCATCTCTGTTAAACAGGTTCAAGTGACAAAACTAATGCTTGTTAAAATGGAAACTTTCGAAGTCACAACCACTTTAATCATCAATCTGTGCATGATTGTCTTTGTTGAACTGTGTTGCCCGTGACAAAAACTTGCTGTCCCCTGAAAGGAACGTGCCATCCAGAATGAAGAATGCCCCTGTCTCAGGGACGATGAACCATTCCTTAAATGGGACCTCATCATCCTAATCATTGCCTTTACCACTATACTCGCAAGAATTATATTTTTTAATGCTGATGGTAATTCTGACTGCATTAAATATGCCTGTCTGGCTAATTGTAACAAACTTGAAAAAAGCTGATGTCCAATATTCATTACTTGTATAAGATCATTTGCAGAGCTGATCCCTTGTGTGTTATTGTAAATCAAAGAACACAAACTCATTTCAACACATCGTTGTCCAGCATTCTGCCCCAAAACTAAATCGTTACTTTGACTATATGGAGCTACTATTGTTTTGTTAGGGTCAACATATGTTGGAGGGCCAGGTTTTTTTCTTCTTTTTTTATTTTTCTCTACTTAATTTATTGTTGCAATAATTTGCTACATGCATGGAGCCTCATTCTTGCAAGAACACATCAGTTTGTTATAAGAAAACAATGTTAAATATCGACTGACATGCTCTTAAAGGGATCTCTCATAAAGTTCGCGGACCGACCCGTTCCGAAAACGCTCGACATCTTTTAGTGTGGGTCTATCGCGAACGATGAGTGCATATTTTGTATGTGTTTTGAGCGTACTATACACAGTCTCCGTGCTGATTTTGAACCACGAAAGCTTCTCTTCGTCCGCCATTACACCATGCCATGTGCTCATTAGTCAAAGCGTCGCGCATGCGTCAGAGTCAAAAGGTTGCGCATGCGTGATGAGGACTTGACTGCGATTTGCGACCGAACGAAAAAAAAAAAAAAGGAAGCCGGAATTTTAACTCGGGCGTTTCCTTTGGAAAGCCCGAGTAAAAATTATGCTTTCCCGGGAATATTAGAGCGTCAAATTGTCTTTCAGGCTGGCAACCGTTTAGTACGGCTTGGAGCAAATCGAAGTTTGCTGGAATAAAAATACGCTCTGTAAGATTCTACTTACTGGTATTTGGATTTTCTATTTAAAGTTAAACATGATGCTTTTGACTTGTGCTGGCTGCCAATGAGGAGATTAATTGTTAACCAATTATCACTCTCTAGATCTCCTTTTACTTTTTGAGGAGGAAACAACCGGTTTTTTGAAAAATTATCCTTGAGCTCTCCTGATTAAGTCTAGCTGATCAAGTTCGCCTTCTTAATCAGTACTATTCAAATGAGAGTTTCATGGTTTTTTTAGTTGAGTTAACTTCTCTACCTTCGATTTCACGTTTAGTAATATCAAAATTTGGACTGACCAGATTTAAGTCCAACTCCAAAAAGTTTTAAAGGTGGATGTATGCACAATCCAAATCTGCGACCCCTCGAAATATGTCCTTAGTTTGAACAATGTTTCCATCATTTTCCATCTCTTTTGGGAAGTGCTTGAACTTAACCCTTCTTTACATAGCTCACGACACTCTGTCTCTCTTGACTCTCTATCTTGGGCAACTGAGTAGGAATCCTTTTTTTGTCTTAAAGTGATCATCCAACTATAAAAAAATCTTTTAAATGTCGTACAGTTTTAAATTTTGTTTCATTTTCGATTCATATCCGCAGGCTTTGTGAAATGTCTATATTTAAAGGCGCAAAGAAGGGTAAAGGTGGAAGTTTGACCGAGAAACTGGTCTTCTACACAGGATCAGAATATGATTACTGTAGTCATGACTCCCTCAGAGAGAAAATGAGCGAACATAAAGGGATTGACCACTCCGAGAAACTACAAAAAATGTGGCTTTTTAAAAGACCTCTGAGTGAATGGCAACGCACCCAGCTTGTTTGGAACCATCAGTTTGTCGTGGTAGATTCACCTGGTTGGTATTGGTCCCTTGAGAGAGAAGGGGAAACGCTTCTCCTTCAAAGGAACGTAAAGTATACCGTCGTTAAAGATTATGAAGTAGGATGCCCCAGATACGCTCCAGTAGTCGAAATAAAACATGGTTATTGCAAAGGAACAATGAAAGATTTGATTGAGTTTCTTTATCGCAAGGGAGAGCTAAAGACTAATTACGATTGGGTGTTCAACAATTGTAAAACGTTCGCAAATAGTGTGTTCAATGAATTTGTGGTAGAGGGTACGGTCGAAAGAGCATTCAAGTTTTTGTGAACAGTGACACTTCAAATGAAGAGCTACTTCAAAGTCATATAGGAATTATATTCTATAGCTATTTCATTGAACTATTTTTTTAACGTCAATTAGAACCAATAGTCTGGTCTCTTAAAGATCGCAGGTAACCGAGAAACCGCCTCTCGACGATCGCTGCAATCGTTTCAGGTGAGATTTCTTACGCATCTGAAGCTTCGGGTGAATTTTTAAAGATATTTTGGAAACTAACAATCAAGAGTTTCATAGCTTTGTCCATTTTAAGACTAACCTTTAGAGTAGTTCCTAGTCGTAACTTGTTCATGTTTTTTGTTCACTTTTTAACTTTTTAATATTTCTGTGTAAATAATCATCAAAATATAACCGACTGTGCTCATCTATGGTTTTCACCTCTGCTGCCTCCAGGCGTAGCCTTCTTCGCTTGCCTCGTTGTTCACGATTTTTATTCATCTGTTCATAAAACACCAATGACTCATCTCTTCCTTTGGGTTCCGCCCCGCTCAAGCTCTTAGTATTTGGTTTTCTGAAGATGTGATCAATCAAACCTAACTTGCGCCCCCTAATAACTTTCGTTGTGATTCCGACGTTGTCGTAACTGAAAGTACGCGCATTAAACAAGGTTTCCGAAAAACAATTATTACTCAACAAAGCACAGCAAACTTGTTTCACTTTCCATGTTATTTTTTTCAATACTAATAAACACTTTTTAAGATTTTTTGTAAAGAAATGTAGAATCAGCAATTCGTTTTTGTCCTCACCGTTGTGGCGACCATAGAGTTTAAATTCTCTCTAAATGAAAGCATAAGCGGGAAGGATGTCAATTGTCGAGTTGTTCGCAATGCTTTGGTGCCGACTACGTCGTTTGCGCCGCATCAAATAAACGGCAGCAAACAGGACGGCTGCCAAGGCCATTACCTTTGGATGTGATATAGATTGTGGCAGCCTCGAAGTAGTAGCTTCATTTCGCACATAATGCAAAGAGAAAACCGCTGTGCTAAGTGCATCAGGCTTCAAGTATCGGAGGTAGAGGTGAAGCTTTCAACAGAACATCTGTCGCTAAACGCCACCAACACAGGCCCAGGCCTTTCAAGGTTTCGCTTACGCCATTTCGCTTGTGAAAACTTTTACGCAGAAAATATGTAAGCCGTTAAATGTTATGCAAGTCTACAGAAGATAATGAATCAATCTCTCTTTTTCTTAGCGTATAAAGGTGAACTTATGCAAGTCCAAGTAAGAATAGCTTGCATTTTGAGAAATGGTAGGTGTCACTCGGGATGATGGGAAACAGCAGCCTATTAGTATACAATACCACGAGCCAAACTTGGATGAAAACAAACGAGTGCCTCACATCTCATTTCCAGTTTTATTTGGAAACAACATATAAATAGTTTGACAGAAAAAATGTTTACATCAGTTTCTCATAACAGTTGTACTGAGGGCTTACATTCGATAAAGCACTATACAAGAATTAGAAGGCCGATATTCGATACAAATTATGCATGAATTAGAATCAGTGTAACGGCAATATTAACGAATTGTGTTAAATATCACCAAGAGAATATATTCACTTGACATCACTGAAATAGAAAGTTTTCGCCGAGACACGCCAATTTCGTCACGTGCATGTTGTTTGAAACCCTGGTGAAACACTGCAATGACACGTTATCCATGAGTTTCATATGTTATCAAACCCTTGAGTGGGATAAAGCATCAAACTGTAGGGAACACATTTCTTAATTTTAATGACAAAATGTGATTGACTGACAACATGTGAAAAAATTCGTGAATATTTCCATTTTCCTTTATTCCTGAGGCGCGATCGAGAAGCTATTTCAAAAACACGTGCATTAGGTTTCATTAGGGTTTCCAAACACTCGAAAACAATAAAAGCACTTGGCCTGCGGCCTTGTGCTTTCATCAGTTTTCTCGTGTTTGGAAACCTTGATGAAACCCTCGCACTCGTTTTTGAAATAGTACCTCTCTTTTTCATGCCACAATATTTTTAAAACGTAAACTATACTTATATTTCCTGAATGTAACCTTGAAAGAGGAAGGAAATGAGCAATTTACCAGATAAAGTCGACCACTCCATTCACCCTTTTAAGCCACTTAGTACTCGATGAGAATGAATTCTGACCGCTGGTGAGACACAGACAGACGCGGCTTGTCTGTATTCTAATTTAGACAAAGGGAACGTAGATACTGACATTCTTAGACTCCAATCCACACCTTACAGCTCACTTTTTACGTCCTCGCGTGACAACAGCTGCTTAATAGGATTGGACGTTGGTCGATGTTTTGTTTTCATTATCAGTCTGCGACGATGGTCTGCAAATTTTCTATCAAAAGTAAAAATACAGAACCAATGTCAGGATGGTTTTAGGGTTACTTGACCTTAACTACCGATGATGGCTTGCTCCGAGAGAGGATAATTTAAAAAACAACCGGAGAGTACGGTTTTTAGTTAATTTATCAAGTCCTCCAACTTATTGATTTTTGGCATGTAGCTTTTGCGTCAATAGAAAAACATGTCTCTATTCAAGAAAGCGAACTAAATATTAAGAATGCAGTTTTCATTAATTTAAACGACGTTTTCTTTTTCTGGTGTAAAGATCATAGAAAATGACCGCCGTAGATAGTGATAAACAAGATGTACGATGAAGATCGGCGACGTCGTTCTTTTTATTACCGACCACTTCTCGATGACTACCCGCCACTTTCGGTTGGGGTTTTCCAAATACGTTTTCTAACTCGGCTTTGAGAAGACCTCTATTGCCGCCTTGTTCGTCTGACGCCTGCATTTGCAAAAATGCAATAACGGATAATTAAATTTTACAAAATTTGATCAGACTTTGGACGTTGTTTTCATGGTAGGTGACGGAATGTAAGTTGTTTGGCTTGTGCGTTGTGAGTAAAGGAGCAGAAAAACACTTTTTAACTTAGAAATGATACAAAAGTTAAATGCGGATCTCTCATATTCCGATAAATCTCGACCCTGGTCGACGAAGTTCTTGTGAAGGCCACTTACCATTTCACTTTTCAAATGAGCGCGAAGTTTCTGGTTAATATCACTCTTTGTGCACTGCCCCTTGATTTCATAACATCATTCGCAAGAAAGCCCAAACGCTGTGGTTGGTACAATATATCCAAATGCTGTGATATGATTGGTGCGAGATACATACCCTTATGCGGCAATCTGATTAGGGCGAGATACAAACCCTTAAGCGGCAATGTGATTGGTGGAGATACATGCCCTTATGCGGCAATATGATTGGTGCGAGGTACATACCCGAGTGCGGCAATCTGATTGGTGCGAGATTCTTTCCCTAAACGCTGTGATTGGTCCAAAGTAACTAAATGCTGTGATATGATTGGTGCGAGATACATACCCTAATGCAGCAATCTAATTGGTGCGAGATACACATCCTTATGCGGCGATCTGATTGGAGCAAGATACACACCCAAATGCGGTGATCTGATCGGTGCGAGCAAATAAATGACTAACATTTTACGGCACCGGAAGTGTTTCCACACGGAAGTCAGTCGCTAACCACTTTTACTCGCGACTAGAAGTTAAGGACGTGCTCATAAATGTATTTTTGTGGTATATCAAAACTTTTATCGATAAACAGCAGAACTTGACCCCATTTGAGACAACCGTTTAGTTCTTAAGAGCGAGTGTTACCAAATGGCCAAACAATTGGTGGCAACAGCTGAAAATTCTATTTCGCCCATATTTCAAAGTTAGGCCGGCCTTAGAGAGAAGCAAACCACTGCATGCTTCGTTTGGCTGAATATCGATTTATTTTCTAGAAAATCGATAATAACAGAATTCCGCCAAAATGCCGCTTTTTAAATTGCAGTTGAATCTCGGAACGTCGCGTCACAAAATGAAAAAACTTGGACTGATGTAAAGTATGTGTTGACAATAATTTAAGCAAATCTTAGCCATTTACTTACACAATCTAATTGAATTTATCTAACCTACTTCAGACTAGATCAAAAATAGGTCAAAAGTTACCCGTTATTTAACTATGTGCTACACAAAGTAATTGACTGAAAATCTGGCTTTTGCAAAATGAAGTGTAGTTCTTTTCGATCTCCAAAGGATTTTTAGGGGAAACGATTCAGCGCGACTTAATCAAATTTTAAAGTTGGATAAAATGCACCGATTCGACAGTACCATCAGTTAGCCGAAAATGTACACATTCACGCGTAAACTCAATTGTTTGGCATTTTACGTCCAATCCACAGCTTATTTAACATGATATCCTCTTACCTTCCATGTTGCTGTTTTGAAGAAGAGGGCTACAATCCTGAAATTGTCGCATCGTTCAAGTAAAGGCAAAATGACTTGGCTGGATAGTCAACGCTTTCGGGGTTTTTGATTTGAGGTTTCTCTATTCCCATTTCGTTGAAAAGGAGGCTGTAATTACGTCACGCAAGAGATATTTGCTTAAATAATATAAGTATTCAACCGAACCGCGAAACAATCGTTGTCGTTCATGAAAGCGTTAATTGAATTGTGGTAAACCTGGAGGCCGGCAAACCGTGGTAGAATTCAGTCTCATTGCTATTTCAATTAATACTTTCATGAACGACAACGAATAAATGCAATATCGGCAGGAAAAAAAGAGGACAAACTTACCGAAAAGCCACGAATTGGCTCTGCTTTAAGGCAAGGCGAAGTGACGACTCTTCGACACAGCGATTACACCATGTGATAGTTTCGCGCCAATTTTTACACTAGATGACGTCATGCCCCCAGCAGATCGCTGTTCCATTTGCAGTTTGTAGTTTTGGTGGTTTCGGCGACATAGCCTTCACGTCACGCACAAGCAAGCTCGACGATTCGCTACAACATCGAAATATTTTATATAATGTTAAGCAATTTAGCAATGTTCAGCTAGAGCGTCTGATTTTCTGCAAAGCTATTCGACGTAACGCTACACCATTTGTGTGTACGCTGTACCATTCGACATTACGCTGAACCATTTCACACAACGCTGCAATTTTTGTTTGTACGCTGTACCATTCTACATTACGCTGAGCCATTTCACGCAACGCTACACCGTTTGTGCGTACGCTGTGCTATTCGACATTACCCTGAGCCATTTCACGCAACACTACACCGTTTGTGTGCGCGCTCTGCTATTCGACATTGCGCTAAGCCATTTCACGTAACGCTAAACCTTATGTGTGTACACGGTACCATTCGACATTACGCTGAGCCATTTTACGCAACGCTAAACCGTTTTTGTACTGTATTGAAAATGAGTGCTAAGCTATTCGCAATTGAGCTAGTCCATTTCACAATTTCATGTGCCAACTCGACATAGGGAACTAGACCATTTATCATTTGGCTTAATTATTCACGTTTAGGGTGTTTTGTTTCATGAAGGAAAACTAAACCGCCTATAATTCGGCCATGCCAATCCTTTATTAGCTATGCTATCCTGCCGCTCATTCCTAGACCAGCTTTGTATTTGCTGATCTATTTGACATCCTTGTATTTTTGGTGGTGAAGGCCGCCCATAAGACACTCAAACACCCGAACACACGCAGTTCAAGAGTTCTCGTCTGCGCAATGAAGTTTGCAGAGTTAAGTAGCAGCTACATTCATTTGATTAGCCTGAGAGATTTGAACGCACCCACGCAAAAACGAAGGCAACCCCTACGTCACACTCCTGATAATGTAGAGGTCAAGAAACTAATTTATTCGCTACATGATAAAAACTCTGACGGCGTCACACAAAGCTGATCAACGCCGCTGAGGGTTCGTACATGTACTTTGCTCCTAATTATCAAAATCACGTGGGAAGTATAATCACTCCTACTTAACCTGGTTCTCAAGCAGCTACTATACTTATAGTTTGCATTACAATTGGTTCGCCTTCTCTGTCTGCAAGAGTTGAATCTTCAGAGAGTCTGTATCCTTGAATTAAGCTATCAACCCCTCTTCATGAGAACCAGAGAAGAAGATAGAAGTCAAATCTTTATTCCAAGAGGTCGCTTCTCGAATTCTGGTGAGTCAACATCAAGGTTATTTTATGAAAAGAGTAGCATACGTTTCGTCGGACTAGTGATTATGGCAAAGCAAAGCGAATGAAGGGCTAAGATGGCGTCAAAGTATTGAAAGTGAAAGTAAGAAAATGATCGAGTTGTGTTCTTGTTGTAACGTCTCCATCAGTTAGCATAATTTACGTGGAAGCAAAATAGTAAAGCTTTAAGAGCAGCTAATGTTTCAGAATTGTGTCTTTCATATTTGGATGTGAAATATCATTAAAACAGCCACGTGTTTTATAAAGCGTGACTCAACGTAAGCGTCGAAAGCCTTAACGATCGTTCAATATACCACTCTTAAGGAAATCAGCAGAGAAACTTTGCTTTCCACGTCTCCGGTTCGCTCACACTTTGAGAAAATTTGCAATTTATCCGTTAGTGTTTGCCTTAACTGAGAAAATGATGATTCACCGCTCTCAATGAGTTTTAAAGTAAGAAATGCCGGTCAAGTTGATCAATTTGTTCAATAATCGTAAGCTCATAATCGTATCTTGATGTCTTCTTGTCTTTCGCATCATGCTCTTTCCGAGTCAGAGCACTGAAGCAGATTATGCAAAGTGGTCTGTAGTTTCCGATGTCACAAGATAATTTGGTATTGAACAATTATTCGCCGGAATTATTAAAAAGTGTTCGCCGCTGCTGTCACGTCATTCGCCTTTTGCGCCACTCTGACTGGTCGTTCACCGTTCGTTTGTCGAAATTTCTCGGATTACTGCTAAAATACTGAAAAATTTGTATCGCTCACAAACAACGAACTTCAAAATTTCTCAGAGGCGGAAGAAAAACAAAGTAGGCCAAGAACAACCAAAAGTTTGGTATTCAGTGGCTTTAGTAATGGCATTTCTCACGACTGAGAACAAAAATAGACAGCTGGAAGATTTGCCACTGACCGATTTTGGCCGTGTTCCTGGCAAAGAAAAAGTCTTTAATTGTGAATTCTGTGAATTGAAAGTTATCCCCTTTTTCGTTTTTGTTATGATTCAACGTATTTTCCCATCTTGAGGCTTATCGCCGACAATCGCCGACGTACTTTACGACTTTTTACGTGGGTTGTGGATCCTATGTTTTTCATTTATTAATAACGTCGACTTTTCTTGTCAGGAAAGGCCTACTACGTTTATCTAAAAGACAATAGAATAAATGGTTGCTAGCAGATATGTAATCAACTCTCTTCTCGTGTTCAAATCGATATCTGACCCGTGAGCTATCGAGTTGAACACTCGAAGAGAAATTCCATATCTTCTTGTACCTATGTATTTTTCTCCATTTATCAACTGACAGAAATGATAAGGGGAATTTGCAACCGTAAAGGGATTCTAAAGGTGGCGTTTCAGAGCGAATCCACTCTTATGGAGGACTAACGCTCGCAAACATGGTCATCGAGAGGGGATGCTAGGAAACAAAATTTTATTGCATGGTGTTGAGTCTGTAAATTACGACGTCAACTCTGCTTTTTTTCGCGAAGTAAAAAGTTTTAGAATTAACACTAATCGCTTTTCTGAGGTCATTGTTGGATTGTTTAAATAATATATTCCTAACTTAGAAAGTTTTACTCGTTGTTATTGCAACTTGTATGCGTTGTTTATGTGTCCGTTTGCGTGTGAAGCTGAATACACTGATTTTGTATTTGTAATATTGTAACCCCCCTCGTTAAGCCTAGGTGCTTTTGGGGAAAACAATAAAATATATATTAAAAAAAAAATAAAAAACCCTCGTAAGGTCAGTTGTAGAACATCTCTACGGTGGCCAATTCATATCATTTTAATTGATGAAACCAAATTATCTTGTAACACCCTTCACTGACGTAGCATCGCAATTTCTTTAGAAACTCACCCCCTTTATTCGTTTATGTTGACAGGAATATATATTTAATTAACTTAGGAATTTGTAAAGGGTGACGGAATTTAACTCGATCGAGCGTGACATAAGGGAATGAAGGAACGAGAAGTCGTCTAACTATTGAAAATAAAGGTAAGAACTGATAGAAATGTGTGTCCTTGTCATCGGCAGCTGATCGATTATGATATTTTTCAAGAGTTAGCATGGTTGAATTTCAAATACAAATAGAGCCTTTACGAGCTACATATTTAAACTAGCTAAAAGCTGATTCAGCGAAGGCGAGGAGAATGATGGTTCATTGTACCACGTCACGATGAAGTTTTTTCTTTCTCTGTTTTATCATTTTGTGTATTTTATTTGTTTTTGTTTGTCTTTTTTATGGCCCATTTCTGCGGAACATTTGCGCGCTGAGAAAAAATCCCATCGCTGCTCATGGAAAAAATCACAACGTACGAGTGATTGCTTCAAATTTATCAAGCGACTTGACGCTGATATCTGCATGAGTTAATAAAATGACGACCTGGTCCATACGGGCAGGAAAATGATGTCGGTTTTTTTTAAATATGTTTTTTCATTTTATATCTTTACCTGTTAGAACATTTGTCATATGATGATGAGCGGAAGCATCAGTGGTTCGAAGGGTGGAAAATGGACGAGTCAGTTACGCACATATTTTTACACAGAAAATGGCAAGATCGAAGTTAACCGCTACTCGCTGCAAAAATGTGTGGAAGACCTGCATAGGATTACGAACAGCGAGGAGATACAATATATTGGTAGTTATCGATGCCCTCTTGTCGAAAACATAGAGGAGAGCCTGTTCGCCTATCATCAGTTTTTAGTGATTGAAACAACTAATTGGTATTGGTCGATCGGAAAGGATTCAGAAAAGATTCTCCTGCAAAGGTCGAAAAGAAAGGATTGTGTAGAGAAGTGTAAAGAGGGTCAACCTAGGTATACACCAGTAACGATGATCGATGAAAACGAGGGGAGAGGATCTATGAGAGATTTGATTAAGTTTATTTGTGGAAATGAACTTGACAAAACGTATAATCTATTAGACGATAATTGTCAACATTTCGCAGAAAGGTTGTTTAACCAGTTTAAAAAGCCAAGCCAAGGCACGAGAAGCCCAAATTCCACTTTCCCACTTATTCTTGTCGGTTCATTTCTTATTGTATTATTGATTGTAGCCAAGTATAAACAGAAATTTTAATATTTCTGTGAAAATTATCATCAAAATGTGTCGACTGTAGTTATCTCTAGTTTGCAAAAGCGATTCAAGATCGACAGCCAATCTTTTTTTGACAAAAGTCATTGTTTGTACAGACGTTTATCATGTTTTCTTTCTTGGCTCAATCGCTACCACTGCCAGTGAATCAAAGGTCCATAGAAACTGGTTGCCACCTTAATCTGTTTTGGGTTATTCTCATTGCTACCTCTAGGCGTAGCCTTCTGGCTCTTCCCCGTCTTCTTGTGCATCTGTTACTTGAACGCCCTTGTCTCATCTCTCTCTGTGGGTTCCACCCCCGCTTAAGTTATGTCCCCTTATTTTTTAGTTTCCCGAAGGTGTTCCCAATCAAACCAAACGTGCACCCTCTAATCATAGTTACTGCGATTCTGAATTTGTCGTGACTGAAGACTTACTGGTGTATGAAACATGTCTCCCGAAGAAAAATTCTCATTCAAAGAAGCTCTGCAAACTTGTTCCACCTTGCATGTTATTTTTCCAAACAAATTAATACTTCTCTTATGGAAAGAAATGTAGAATCACTGACCCCTTGTTAACGTGACGGTTGTGGTAGCCATAGTGCTCGAAATCTCTTCATATGAATGTTGAGCGGGAGGGGGACATCAATTGTCTTGCTGGCTGTGACCTGTCCCCCCCTCTCCCGTTCACAACGCCTCTTTGCCTAAAATGTCGTTAACGCCGCGTCAAACAAAGGCAAATCGCTAACTTGGCGATACTTCTTGTGGTCGCAGCAAACGGGAGATGTACAAAGAGCACTTGCTTTATAATTAGATGTTGTTCGCGTTCCGAAGAAAGTGAACGACTACGGCTAATTTTTTAAAATTCCTATTTCAAATGTAACGCTGTGTTCCATAATCAGTTTCGAGATAGTTTTGACAGTGAGAAAAAATGTTTACATCGGTTTCCCATAATAGTTGTGCTGTGGGTCTACATTCGATAAAGCACTAAAATTAGAAGGCCTATATTCGATACACTTTATACATGAATGAGATTGAGTGTAATGGCAATATTAGCGAATTGTGTTAAATATCACCAAGAGAATATTTTCACTTGATATCAATGTAATACAAATTTTTTGCTGGGGCAAGTAAAAACTATCGTGGCGGTGCGGTGGCCTCATGGTTAGTGCGCTCGACTCCGGATCGGGTAGTCCGGGTTCGAGCCCTGGCCGGGGTCATTGTATATTGTGTTGTGTTCTTAGTCAAGACACTTTACTCTCACAGTGCTTCTCTTCACCCAGGTGTACAAATGGGTACCAGCAAACGTGCTGGGGGCAATCCTGCGATGGACTAGCATCCCATCCAGGGGGGAGTAGCAATACTCCTAGCCGCTTCACGCTAAGGAGTTAAGTACCGGCCCCATGGGCCACCTGGGCTCGTATAAAGGCTTTACTTTTTTTACTTTTAAGTAAAAACTGTACTCAGATTTGCGTGTTTCTACGGTATGTCAACCCGCAATCACTCATCAGGAATAAGTCTGTTCACTCATCTGTTTATTCTTTGCTCATCAAGCATTTTTTTTCTGATTTTTGTACTTTTGTTGATACAAAATTGTATATTTTTATACTAATGTGCCACTGATTTCATTCGCTGTTACTTATCTTTATTTCATTGTTCCTTTCATTGCGGGGTTCTGAAACTTGGACATACGTCTTTAACCAGTCTTATCCTCTCATGCTCTAACTACAATGATACAATGCAACAAAATAAATCACAGTTAATTTAAAGTTTGAATAAACAGATTTGATCTCAGCAGCAATTAAATATAGTGTAGTAAATGGTTCAGAATATTGACGTCCACTTATTATCATCTGTACATAAGTTCGACAAAATAAAAACCAACGCTTGTAGTCGTTATAAGATTTATGAACAATGTTGGCAATTTACGAGATTTATAGCATCTAGGTCACTAACTCCAGACTTCTCAAACTCATTAATTAATTATTCATAAGGTGATCATCCAACCGAGACACGCCAATTTCGTCACGTGCATGTTGTCTGAAACCCTGGTGAAACACTGCAATGACGCGCTATCCATGAGTTTCATATATTATCAAACCCTTGAGTGTGAGAAAGCATCAAACTGTAGGGAACTCATTTCTTAATTCAATGAAAACATGTGATTGTTTGACAACATGTGAAAAATTCGTGAATATTTCCATTTCTTTTATTCCTGAGGCGCGATTGAGAAGCGATTTTTTTAAAACTCGTGCATCGGGTTTCATCAGGGTTTCCAAACACTCGAAAACAATAAAAACACTCGGCCTGCAGCCTCGTGCTTTCATCAGTTTTCTTGTGTTTGGAAACCCAGATGAAACCCTCGCACTCGAAATGTAAACTTGAAAGAAAAAGGAAATGCACACCAATTAATTCCCCCTTTTAAGCTACTTAGTACTCGATGAGAATGACTTCTCAACCTGTGTCTGGAAGCTAATTTAGACAAACGAAACGTAAATACTGACATCAAAAAGGGGTCGAAATTTCTGAACTCCAATCCGCACCTTACAGCGAAAGGGCAGACTCTAGACTTCTATATTAAAATGGATACTATCTTTATGATTACCATTATCTTTGTTGTTATTTACAGTACTTGATATAATTCATATACCACTCACTTGTTTTTATTGGCCTCGGAAGATAAAGAAAAAAACTCACAAAGGTGAAAAACGATTTGATCTGAAAGGGAAAATTTGATTGATGAAAACCGTCAAAAGCATCTATTTTTACAGTCAACCGTCAAAGACTCAAATCAATATCAACCACCAAACAATTTAAAGAACATCTCTACTTGAGCCGCTTGCTAACAACAGTTTTGGAAACTTTAGAATGATAAATTAGTCTTACAAAAAAATGCTCAGTCTCTTCGTTTTCATTCATTTTCGCTTCTAACAGGCAGTTAAGATAATTTTTTTTTCTCAATAGTTTAACTTAGAAAAATAGCCGACTTTATTTATAACTTGTCTTTGTACACGCCTCTACGCACCATTCCTGCCTTTCGATAAAATCTCAACTGAGATCACCCTTACTAGGGTGTCTTGGAAGCCGTCGTGAAATTCCTCACTGGCAGTTTTCGCCATCATCTTCATGATTCCCTAGAGATCAAAGACGTTTCTGTCTTTGATCTGTGTTTAGTATGCTAAAAGTAGGCGAAGGACTAATGTTAAATTAACGTAGCAATCCAATGAAAGAGAATCCCAAAAGTGCTCGAGTCATTAACGTAATAATCCGATTAGAGAGAATCCTAAAAGTGTGCGAGATACTGACATAACATCCAATAGAAGAAAATCGTAAAAATGCGTAAGATATACAACCGTAACGGTCATTATTCATATACTGAAAAAAGACAGAACACCTTTATATATATATATATATTGACTCATAGAAATATATTTTCCTAATAACCGTCAACCGCCAAAGGCACTGAAATTTGACCGTCGACCGTCAAAGGCCTCAAAAATTCACCGTCAACTTTCTTAGTCGAAAAATAAGAACCGTAAATCGTCACAGCTACCCCGCCCCCCTCCCTCGTAAGGGTTATTCATATCATTATCTAACTAACAATTTTGAGAAGATGTGTATATCTTATTTCTATTTTGCATTTTCCCTTCCAGATTCCATTTACCATTCCCCAACAAAATGCCTCCAATTTTTTTTTGGTGACATTCCCAAATTCTCTATTCTTTCCACCCCACTAGAACGAGATTGGAAGTTGAATGTCAAGGTAATTTGCATATATTCGCAATTCGGAAATCCTTGATTGACGTTTGACCATCTAACTTTTCATCTTCAACGTAAAGTACCTTTACGTTCTCATGCTGTATTAGTCACTGTGTGGTATATATCATATTCAAGGCTGGCAAAATTGTACCTTCTAATTTGACAATTTGAACTACTTCGTAAGATTTTCCTTGAAGTTAAGATCAAGTCAGGCGGATATTGTCGAGCTCTTGTCGTCGCTAGTTCCCGAAAAATCCGGTTGGGTCACAGAACTTTACAGATATCACGATATCAAATCCATCTGCTTCTACAATCAGACTTCAGCAAGGTACTAACAAATGATTTAATTGTATCGGATATAAAATGTGCCATTAGTAGTAAAGTTTGTATCATTAAGTGCCGGTTAATGGTCCATGTTTGTGTAACTAAGTCACTATGCCGTTGTGTGATTTTAGAACGTGGTTCATGATGGCTCGCGAATGAAGCAAATACTTACAATTCCATTACACGTTTGAAGATTGAAATAACACGCATAGAGCAGACACAAAAGGTACAACCAAGTTCAGATATCGACCGTTTGAGCTAGAAAAGGAATAAATAGCGTTATCCTTAATAATAGCCCAGTCCGAAGTCCATAAATGCACTTTCCAAAATGAAAAATTAAGCAGGAGAGTCAGACACAGCCAATACTCAATTTAGCAGCTCCTCAAGCAGAGTATCTAGTAGAACATTTGCCGGGAATTACGTGCAATGCAGCCTGTAGCTGGAAAAATTGAACCATAGCTCTGCAATAAATATAAAATGACAAGGTATTTAACAAAATTTTATGACACAAACCGAAAGCGGAAATGGTTTTAAGGTAAAAAAAATCTCTTGCTTCTGTTGTCATCAATGGAAATTTTTTAAGAATTCACTAAGCTCCTGTTACCTCTCGATTTTTAATGCAAACAAAGTAGTTCTCAATGAGGTTAACCGATCGCCGTAAAACGGCCAAAACATTTAGCCGGTAGGCGTAAAAATTGCCAAATTTTAACCGATAGTCGTGAAAAAAGTCGACTGTTAAAAAATTTCTGTTGAATAGCCAAAATTGTAATAGTTGGTCGTAAAAGCCATCACCCCATGAGACCCTCAATCAGGCAAACAGAGTGATGCACGCATGATGACTCGCTTCACAAAAGGGTTTCTTTCTTGTGTACGATATCACTTGCGCACATAATCTTCTTTTTAAAATTTAAAAGAAGCCTTTGCATGACTATTAAGTTCTAGATTCGTGTTGAAATCCGGACCAACTCCAACGAATCCGGTTGATGAAGACGTAAGATCCAAGCCGTCTGTGATCTTAAACTGATCTTATGAGAGAATTATGTACAATCGGCCCATTACGTCAGAGCCTCCAATTGCTTCCAAAAACACCGAGGGATCGATATCTATTTCTACAAATGGTTCATAAAAAAGAAAGATTCCAAGGATTAGCTTGGTATGTCACATCAACAGACACGTCCGTTTTTTCTTTCTTCTCATGTCCTTCAATGTACATTCAAACGATTACAGGTAGCGCACTCGCAATTATTTTGAAAACTTTTCTTCCGCAGGGAAGGGTTACTGTGTGAAGATGAGTACAAATTACGCTCTTATGTTGTCTGGAAACATTTGATAACCTTCAAAAGCGGAAGATTATATTCCTTTGAACCGAAGACCGAATACTAAACAGATGACTTAAAAGCAAGAAATTTGTCTATAGATGCAACGGTTAAACCAAAACAATCAAACTACAATTTCAATACAGCCGTGCTTGCAAGACGGAGCTTGTTTTCAGCGTAAACATACTTCATTCTCATTTCTGTTAAACAGGTTCAAGTGACAAGACAACGGCTGATTAAAATGGAAACTTTCGAAGCCGCAACCACTTTGCTCATCAATCAGTGCAAGATTGTCTTTGTTGAATTACGTTATCCGTGACACTGAAAAACTTGCTGTCTCCTAATAGGAGACAGAATGAAGAATGCCCCTGTCTCAGGGACGATGGAACATCCCTTAAATAGGATTTTATCATCCTAATTATTGCCTTTATCAAGAGGGGATCCCTATATTCCGTATCTTGCGCGATTTGTTTTGTTTGTGAAGAAGCCACAAAAGCTATATCCTCTGAACGAAGCACATTCTTTTGTATGTGTTTTCTTCAATTTGCGAAAACTTATGTGCGGAAAAATTACATTTAATTAAGAAAGAATCGACCGTCTCTAGAGGCTAATGAAATTTCGCCATTAAAGAGAAAAAATTACATATGACGAGAAAAATTCGTTTCCTTGCGAAGAAAGCAGTAACTTCCCGCTCATGCATGTACTAGCTGTTCAGTTTATTTTGAGAAAGTGATTCCATTCTATCGATACAATTCCACTATACTCGCAAGAATTATATTGTTGATTAGTTCTTCTGGTCAATTGTCTCCAAACTGTGGCATGGATGATTTTGAAAAAAAGGATTCTGACTCCTGCACAGGTCTTGAAGAAGTCGTGATTTCGCTAGTTACTTACATCTTAATGCGTTTACAACAATAGTTAGATCTTATAAAGCTTCGTGATGTGTTTGTGACTTCAGTTAGATATTAATTTCCTTTATACTATACAGTACATTCCTTCTATTGATTCTCTAACTCTGTAAGAGCTATTGGTTACTAGAAATCCTTCTTTCATTACGTTCTTTCATTTCGGACACTTATCCCGGCCCAACGGGTGTGTCATATTGCCGTTCCTCAGATTGTACCATGTAGAAAATGCGATTCATCAAATGCGATCGCACAGAAATAAATGCATTTGCTTTAACCCTTTAACTCCCCAAGATCTGATTGTTAATTCTTCCCTCTAGCTGCTACACATTTACTTGTAAATTAATTACGAGAATTTGGTGTTAGATCAAGATAACGACTTCTTCCTGATAAGTTTGAATATTCTCATTACCTGTTTGCTGAATAATGTAAGGATATTGTAGGGAGAAGTTTCACGTTGATCACTTTCGGGAGTTAAAGGGTTAATGAATGTAACGTCTACGTGTTACCAGATCACCTGTGAACAATCCTCCTCCAGTTAAGGAAACAGCATACGTAGCACGGGCCTGGAGAACAAGTTTATTAGATAATTGTGACTTATTATAGAGGAAATTATACTTTCCTGGGAATGTTAGAGCGTCAAATTGTCTTTTAAACAGATAACTGGCTTATACAGCTTAGAGCAAATCGAAGTTTGAAGGTAAAAAATATGCCCTATAGGATTCTAGTTGCTGGTATTTAAACATTTAAAGGTGGATGTATGCACAATCCAAATCTGCGACCCCTTGAAGTGCGTCCATAATTTAAACAATGTTTACATCATCTTCCTTATCCTTTGAAAAGTACTTGAACTTAAGCCCTGCTTACATAGCTCATAACCCCCTGTCTCTGATTAATCTTGGACAATAGAGTAGGAATCTTCTTTTGTCTTATAGTAATCATCCAAGTATAAAAAAAGACCTTTCAAATGGTTGTTTAATTTCGATTTAAATCGATTTAAAGACAAATAACCGTGAAAATTGGACCGGGGGACTAGTCTTCTACACAGGATCGAAATATTATCACCTTATTCATGGCTCCCTCGTAGAGAAAATGAGCGGACATGAAGGGATTGACAACTCCGAGGAACTACGACAAATGGAGCTTTATAAAACACCTCTGAGGGACTGGCAACTTACTCAGCTTGTTTTGAGCCATCAGTTTGTCTTAATAGATTCACGTTCTTGGTGGTGGACCATTGAGCGAAACAATAAATACCTCCTCCTTCAAAGGAACCGTAAGTATGACGTGGTTGGAGATTATAACGAAGAATCCCTCAGAAACACTCCAGTAGAGGAAATAAAACGTGGCGATTGCAAAGGAACAATGAAAGATTTGATTTGGTATTTCTATGGGAAGAAAGAGCTAAAGAAAAAATACAATTTTGTGGATAATAATTGTAAAATATTCGCAAATGCTGTGTTCGATAGATTTGTGGTAGAGGGCACGGTCAGAGGAAGATGTTATATTATGTGAACAGTGACACCAAAAGTGAAGAGCTGCTTCATAGTAATATAGGAATTACTTTCTATAGCTGTCTAATTGAACCTTTTTTCAACGTTAATTTGAACCAACAGTCTGGTCTCTTAAAGATCGCTGGTATTCAAGAAACTGTCACTCGATGATCGCTGCAATCGTTTCGGGTGAAATTTCTTACATATCTGAAGCTTCGGGTGGATTTCTAAAGGTATTTTAGAAACCTATAACCCTTTAACTCCCATGAGTAAGCAAGACAGAATTTCTCCTTACAATATCAATACAATATCATGCAGACAAGTGATGAGAATAAAGAAAAATATCTATTGGGAGATCATTAGTTGATCCAATACCAAATTCTCCAAACTAACAACATAAGAACTATATGGCAGATGTTAAGGAGAATTACTAACGAGATCTTGGGAGTTAAAGGGATAATCAAGAATTTCATAGCTTTGTCCGATTTAGACTAATCTTTAGAGTAACTCCTAGTCGCAACTTGTTCACTTTTTCAACTTTTTTAATATTTCTGTGTGAATAATCATCAAAATATAACTGACTGTGCTCATCTATAGTTTACACCAGCGATTAAAAATCGAAAGCTGATTGTTTTTTAACAAGGTAATAAAATTATTGTTAGCACCGATCTTTATCGTCGTTGTCTGTCTTGCCTCATTCTTTTTCAGTGCTAGTGGATCAAAGGTCCATCAGTAGAAACTGCTTGCCATCTCGCTCTTATTTGGGCTATCTCCTCTGTTGCCTTCAGGTGTCACCTTTTTCGCTCGCCTCGCCGTTCACGGTTTTATCCATCTGTTCATGAAACACCACTGACTCATCTCTTCCTTTGGGTTCCACTCCGCTCAAACTATATTCCCCTTAGTATTTGGTTTTCTGAAGGTGCGCTCAATCAAACCCAAGTTGCGCCCCTAGTCACTTTCGTTGTGATTCCGAATTTGTCGTAACTTATTTAATAGTGCATTAAACAAGGCTTCCGAAAAACAATTATTATTCAAACAGTAATTATTCAAAGAAGCAAAGCAAACCTTTGGACGTGATATAGATTATGGCAGCCTCAAGGTAGCAGCTTCACTTCGTTCGTTATGCAATGAGAAAACCGCTGTGCTAAGTGCGTCAGGTTACAAGTATCAGAGTATAGGCAAAGCTTACAACATTACACCTGTCATTTAACGCCAAGCTAGGTTTCGCTTACACAATTTCACTTGTAAAAAAAATTTAACGCAAAGAATATAAATGCCGTTAACTTTCATGCAAGTTAACAGAGGATAATGAATCAGTCTCTCTTTTTCTTAGTGTATAAAGGTGAACTAATGCAAGTCCAAGTGCGAATAGTATACAATACCACGAGCCAAACTTTGATGAACCAAAATGAGTGCGTCTCATTTTACTTCCAATTTTATTTGGAAACAACATTTAAATAGTTTTTAGACAGAAAAAATTTTTACATCAGTATCCCATAACAGTTGTACTGAGGGTCTACATTCGATAAAGCATTATACATGAATTAGAAGGCCTATATTCGATACACATTATACATGAATGAAATTCAATGTAACGGCAATATTGACGAATTGTGTTAAATATCACCAAGAGAATATATTCACTTGATATCAATGAAATACAAATTTTTCGTTGGGGTAAGTAAAAACTATACTCAGATTTGCGGGTTTCTACGTGTATGTCAACCCGTAATCACTCATCAGGAATAAGTCTGTTCACTAATCTATTTACTCTTTGCTCATCTAGCATTTTTTTTCTGATTGTTGTAGTTTTATTGATACAAAATTGTTTATTTTTTGTTCATTCTTAAATTTTATACTAATGTGCCACTGATTTCATTCCCTGTTACGTATTTTCGTTTCCTAATTGATCCTTTCATTGCAGAGTTCTGAAACTTGTGCGCATATCTTTAACCAGTCTTATCCTCTCATGCTCTAACTACAATGATACAACGCAACAAAATAAATCACGTCCCTTAACTTAAAGTTTGAATGAACAGATTTGATCTCAGCAGCAATTAAATATAGTGTAATGAAACGGTTCAGAGTATTGACGTCCACACATCATCTGTACATAAGTTCGACGAGATAAAAACCAACGCTTGTAGTCGTTATTAAATTTATGAACAATGTTGGCAATTTACGAGATTTATAAAATCCAGGTCACTTGCTCTAGACTTCCCTTTTTGATGCCAAAATATTTTTAAAACGTAAACTAAACTTATACTTTCTGAAATGTAACCTTGAAAGAGAAAGGAAAAGAGCAATTTACCAGATGAAGCCGACCGATTCATTCACCCTTTTAAGCCACTTGGTACTTGATGAGAATGAATTCTCACCGCGTGTCTGCACGCTAATTTAGACAAACGGAACGTAGATACTGACATTCTTAGACTCCAATCCACACCTTACAGCTCACTTCTTACATCCTCGCGTGACAACAGCTGCTTAACAGGATTGGACGTTGGTCGATGTTTTGTTTTCACTATCAGACTGCGACGATGGTCTGCAAATTTTCTATCAAAGGTAAAAGTACAGAGCCAGTGTCAGGACGGTTTTAGGCTTACTTGGCCTTAACTCCCGATGATGGCTTGCTCCGAGAGAGGATAATTAATCCTTTCTTGCCTGCTCAGAGTAGAAGTCATACACATACTACTTAGAAGTGAAACTGCACATATACGGACGTAAGTTGAACACTTAAACGAATGCCCCGCTTTCATTTCCACGTCATTCTCTATTTTTTCATCTGTGATCGCTTACATTGGTACGCCTCACTATAATGCGCAGAACTAGATTGAGACTAGCTCGTTAAGAAAAAAAATGATTTTTTTTCTCACCGTATGCTTGCTCGATAACTTTCCTCGATGCCCTCGGAGGAATGGCGTCTTTTCTGTTTGTTTTTAGAAAATAAAAGAACATTGACTGACTTTCATTGACATTGACATTGACTGAATTTCAATCGTTCCAGTTACTGTAATCAATTTACGATGTAAGCTGAAAGCATTGTGGCCAAAAACAACTGGACAGTACGTTTTTTAGTAAATTTATCAAGTCCTCAAACTCATTAACTTTTGGCATGTGGCTTTCGCGTTAATCGAAAAACGTGTTTTTATTCAAGAAAGCGAAGTAAACATTAAGAATGCAATTTTTACTAATTTCAACTACGTTTTCCTTCGGCCTAAAGATCATAGAAAATGACCGCCGTGGATAGTGATAAACAATATGTACGATGAAGATCAGCGACGTCGTTCTTTTTATTACTGACCACTACTCGGTGACTACCCGCCTCTTTCGGTTTGGGTTTTCCAAATATGTTTTCCAACTCGGCTTTAAGAAGACCTTTGTTGCCATCTTGCTCGTCTGACGCCTGCATCTACAAAAAATACAATGACGGATAATTTTACATAATCTACCAAGGCTGGCCGTAGTTCAGGTACTGAAAGTTTAAGTTTTAAAAGGGAGCGAAATATATCGAGGGCCTTACTTTCACAAGATTTAAAGCTTTATCTCTAGTTGGAAGATCATATAAAATATTTAAGAGCACATTTAAATATTTATATAACGAAGATACACTGAGGACTGAGTGTCAGTTAAAACGTTTCAGTCTATACGTATTAAAAAATTTGGCAAGATGTGGTCGATACGTAATCTTGTTTGCAGCATCAGAGCAAGTTGCATAAACAATTCACAAGAAGCTTTGGACTACTTGACAGCGAACAGATCCTTTCGTAGATTTCTTAATTACGTTCGGGTTAGTTCATTTAAATTTCTAAAGCACAACTTAAACTAAACCTTAAAGTTTCGAGCAAAGATCGCAGTAAATAATATCCTTGTCAGCACCTTTGGAAATGTCCAAAGAACAGTATGGAGAGTACGCAAACTGATGTTAGGTTAAAGAAGAAGTATCTTACCTTATCTTTGTTCCTCCCTCGAGTTGCCCAGTCAGGTTTTGGATACTCGTACTTCTTCTTCTCCTCTATCTTTTTAATATCTCCTGCAGTAGGTTTGGCGACGGAGCTTTTTCCTTTGCTCCATTCGGGTCTTGCTTCTTTCCAGTAATCTTTCGCTTTGGGTTTGGGTTTTTCAGGGATCTTGGGTTTATCGACAGGGTTCTTTCCTTTCGCCCAGTCCGGCCGCGCCTCCTCCCAATACTCCGACTGCGTCTTGGTGGGTTTATCGGCCTCCTTTTTTCGTAAAGAAGCCGTCTTCCACTCAGGCTCCGGCTTAGTCTTCGGCTTAGTCTTCGGTTTTGCTTCGAAATGTTCATTTGGTTTGCCAGTGAGGTAACCTGTCGACTTAAGTTCTCTGGCCGAGCGGGCCCATTCTGGATCCTAAGAATAGGACGAGATAAAGTAACAAAGTGTCGCTGTTCACTAACTATTACAAGATCTAGTTTCTGGCGGGCGTGACAAAAAGCTGCCGGAACTTTCGGTTTCTTTTCATTTCCCAAGTAAGTTGTCGAAACGCACGGTAACCATGAGAGTCTCTGTCGCAGCCGTTGTTCAGTCTTGTCATGCAGAGCGCGTAATGCGTGCAGTGTACGAGGGACAAGATCAAACAACAAATGCGAAAGAGACGAATTATCCATATTGAGATGTGGAAAATCTGAGTACGCCTGAAGGAAATGGGTTAAATTTGGATGAAAGCCCGAATATGCGTTCAACTAATTTTGTAAAGATCAAGACACCTTTCCCCCAGCGCCGCTTAGTAAACGGTTGTGTTTTGCAATTAAGTTGAAAGTGCTGGGAAGGGAAAATTAAGACCGTCACGAAACTATGCCCATTTCCCCTTCAGTTTTTTTCCCTCCTTTTCCCGTTAACTGGCCTACTTTTTATTGGTCATGCAACAGAGTACTTTGGCTGCTAAAAAAAACGCGCCGAGCCCTTACGGAAATTAACCAGAATCAAGAAGCCCACATGCGGAAAAAAAAAAATAAAACAAAATGGTGAATTACTAGAAAAACAACTTTATTGAATTAGAGAAAAAATAAATGCCATACAAAGGCTACGATTCTGTTATAAAATACAGCCCGATTACAAGATACAGTTCACTTTAAAACTTTCTCATGATGCTTGTTTCAAACAAACTAACCACATAGAAAACAAATAGTCGATTAACCAATCTAAGACAACTCAGGTCATAACTTTTAGAGTAGCATTTTCAGTGGCATTTTATAATTTCATCTCCCTTTCGCCCTCTTCCTGGTAGTAATCAATCGAGCAACTATCGATTCTGAGTTGGATTTAATAACAATACAATGATACTTTTCTTAATTAAGGAAGCTGAAAGAATAATTCAAACCCTTTTTTCTCCATAAAGTTCAGATCTTGCTTTACTTTCTAACTATTCTAGAAGTTATTTCTCTCACATTATTCCAATAAGAAGAGGCATAGAGGCCTGGGAGAAATCAGCGCTCGATTAGAGACCATTTAATTTGAGAAATGATTGGAAGCAAGTGTAGGAAAGCTTAGAGCTGAAAGTAGGACTCATAACAGTTTCACCAAGATCGGCAGTTTTCTGTCTAATTGCCAATGACACCTTGATCAAAAGGGCAGACTCTAGAACCTAACCAATTCAAATTCTTGACGAAAAAGGAGCTTTTCTGACTGTCCCAGCCCTAGTCTCTCAGAAATGTCTCAGCTCTGCACAAGGTGGAGGAGGAGCCTGGAGAGTTTTATGGAGGTATGAGGGTTTTCACATAACATCAAATAAAATTAGTTGCACTCCTGCACTCATTTTGAGGTTTCTTCTAAAGGTCCGGCTCAACTATAACATCTTTACAATGAAAAGATTCCACGGGCTTAGAAAAAAAATTCCAAAAAAGAACCTAAAAACCTGGCTTTTAGGACAAAATTGCTTACATTAATCAAGTTTAAGTATAAAACTACCCTAGACCAGTTGAAGTTTAATCATCTTCATCGTGCCTTCCGGTGGTTTTCAAACTGACGCCTTTCCACTCTGGATCACCCGCTTCTCCGTCTACACCAGGACTTTTCGGGGCCTTCTTTAGTCCATCTCGCCAGTCCTGCCTCTTAGACTCGCCAAGATCCCCTCCTTCTTTCTTCTCTGTCTTCTTGAGAGCCACCCTTCCTGACCAGTCGGGTTTCTTCTCTCCGTCCTTCTTCTTATCGTCACCCCATGGCTTGTTACCTCCCTTCTTCAGTTGGGTCTTTGCCCAGGCGGGCGCAGCCTCCTTCTCTTCCTTCTTTTTGTCTTTCTTGTCCTTTTTAAGGCCAGTGAGCAGAGGGCTGTCTGTGCGCTTGACACGGTTCATTTTACTCATGAGTTCCTCGCTCATCTGTTAAACAGAATTTCTCAATGTTAACAGCTGTGGGCTAGATTGATTTGGAGATCAGTTCATGATTTCAGAGGAAAAGTTTGGTTGAATTTGCTCAACATCCACGTATCGCAAATGAAGGTTTTAAAATCGAATTGCTCAACACTGAGCTTTTTCATTCCCGTTCAACGAACCTTTTTTATTTCCATCTGATCCACATTCCATCACAGAATCCTTCATCAGAAAGGTTCTTCTTCTTCGTTGCTTCTTTTGAAGGATGTTATTGACACTAATTCACTTGCCGAAGTTACGATCAAACGTCACAACTCATCAATGATTCGCAGTTGTCGATAATAATCGAAACGAAACGAAAATGCAACGAAACATTGATGTTGGTGTAGTATTTCGATCCTGCTGAAAACTACAGCTTCCATTCGAAATATCATCCCCGAAATGAATGGGTAAAGTTCAGTTAGTTCGCCTCGCTACTCGAGATGTAGCATAACCACTGCAATTTTGCGGCGTAAGCTTTAGTAACCAACCCCATAAACCAGGCGATGAAATTGAAACAGAGAAGACTGATAAGTTCGTTTCAGAACCCACAAGAAAACCCTCGAAAGAATTCCGCATTTCTATTGCTATATACACGAAATGAATAAGCAACAAGACGGTTGACCTGGGAAAATCCTTCGAACGCCATATCACCATCGCATGAAAAATTATCTGTTACTAAGCAAGCCTAAGGAATTCACGTTCATGAAAGTGATATTTGCTTCACCCAATAGAACACTGGAAATAGATGGCAAGAGAAAATTACCTTATTAGACTCCTTTTGCTTGGCCTTCATGGCCATGAACTTCTCTTCCCACGCCGCAGCTTGAGCTTTACGCACCACGTTTACAAAGTTTCCTTTCTGTTGGAAAAATCATGGTATATACTTTTAAAAATTATTCGCCAAAGGCGACGCGAATATTGCAGGACAATTCTACACGCTTTACTGAACATAAGATTACAATCAATTTACTTCAATTTTTCTTTGTCAACGACTTAAATAAATCACCCAGTGGCCATTTTGAAAAATAGTACTGCGAAATATATTTTATACCTAGCCATAAAAGGTAAAACCAATCAGAGAACAGGTAAGCAGTTGTATAATCGACAGTGTTACTCTCTTCCTTCCCGTCATACTCTGCGATCTCATTCTCGGCGAAATTTAATAAGCTGTGTGATATCCCGTTTTTTTTCAAGCATTGTTTTTTGAAGAATTTCCTTTTTTTTCACTCTTTTTCTGTAGTTTTTATCATTTTTCTTTGCTTTACTATGGTTAAGCTGTTCACAGATTCTGTACTCGAACTAACAGCTCCTTCGAAACTCGTCCTCAGACCCCTAATGAATTGGCGCGTGAGAGATTTACAGAGGTTTTTTGTTAATGCCAACTGGTTAAAACATACTAAACGCACCTTTGGTGGAAGAGTCTTCTTCTGTTTGGGTGAAATGCAAAGAGAAAGAAATAGATAAATTTTGATTTGATACGAACCAACAAATACAACAATGTGTGGATCACTGGATCATTAATTCAAATACAAACGGCAAGCTCTTGTAAATGGTAACTGTTACTTACAGCTGTTCTTTGCGGTGCCACCTTCCTGAAGAAAACAAAACAGATAAGGAGTTATTTTTAAATAACATTTAGATTATCTTCTTCGTTTTTGTGTTTTACAAAGATCACTCAGGGCCCCCCCCCAAAAAAAAAAAATAAATAAAATGACTGCACTTGGCGCGCAGGCGGTGCAAATTTCCCGCCAATGAAAAAACTCACGTGACAGATGACGCAACGTATCCACGTCTGCGCGAAAACGCAGATTTGGAATTTCTCAAGGGAAAACTTCAATATTTGACGGCTCAACTTAAGCTTATCTAAGAACATAACAGAGGTATGATTCTAAATCAAATAGGATAATAACACTAACATGAACATAAAAAGTCTTACTCAAATGACGAATGTAAACTTCAGCAACAGACCAAGAGTTAGTGTTAGGATTTCCCTTGTAGAATAGTGGAACAACCTCCAAAATCCCAAAGGAACATACCACGTCTAATTTTAATAAGCCGTTAGACTATACTAGGAAAATTTGCAATGAAAATTTGCTGTTGTAATTGCAGCTATTAATAATTACAGAATTTTAAGCAGGCTACATGGGTGGTTATATCACATTACCGAATTTTCTCGCAAGCCTCGCTTTCGAGGTGCGGACTGGTAAATTTTAATGAGAGAGTTTTCCTTAGACCATTAAAACAAAAGATTCCGAGTTAAAAAATAGAAAGAAAAAGAAATGACTCAAGTTTCATGAAAATTGTAGCGCAGAGAGTAAAGGAAAATCGTAAGTAGATGATGTCATTTTGCAAAAATTTCTGAATGGTCATTGGCTGAGAGCATGAAAATTTGAAACCAACAGTGCAATAAGTAAGAATTAAATTTTTTTCATTGAACAGTGATAAAATACTTTTATGAGGTTTGGAGTATATAAGCACTTGAAAACTGTCGCTCCATGAGCTTAGCAAATTATTTAGCATTTGAAAAATTAACCTGTGATTTCTTATTCCAAACCGAACTTCAAATTGAATTTTTCATGATAAACTATTCAAATGTCCGCATGCTGACACTTTTTCCAAAGCATTAACCCTTTCACTCCAAAGATCTTATTAGTAATTCTCCTTACTGTCTGCTATACAATTCTTATACCTGGTAGTATGAGTTGGGAGAATTTTTGTATTGGATCAACGAATAGTCACCTTATTGATATCTTTCAAAACTTCTCATCGCTTGTCTGGTTGATATTGTACTTATGACACACGGAGAAATTCTGTTTCATTCACCTTTACCACACCCTCAGAGATATTAAACTTATATGCGTTTAACCCTTCAACTCCCAAGATCTGATTGTTAATTCTCCCCACTAACTGCTACACATTTCCTTGTAAATTAGTTACGGGAATGTGGTGTTAGATCAAGATGACAACTTCAACCTGATAAGTCTGAGTAATCTCATTAACTTTTTACTGGATAATGTATGGATATCATGGGGAGAAGTTATGTGTTAATCACTTCTGGGAGTTAAATGGTTAAGACTACACTTCACAATTTTGAACTTCTTGGAGCATCAAGTGCATCCCACTGCAAATGTGATATTAAAAAATAATGACTTACTTTCCCTCTTTAATTAAGAGATTATTTTCATCTTCTGTTTTCTTCACCTCCGTACGAAGCCTATTGATCTAAAACGTAACAAAATGAAGCTGCATAAGTCGTACTAAATTGCCTTGTAGCCAAACTTATTGTAGTTAACTATCAGAAACAAATTCTGCACAAAAACACACTGTAGGTATGAGAAATAGCTATTAAGAACTAAACAGATGGTGAATTGGGCATAACTAAATGTCTGCACATTTGGAATTAAAAATAAAACTGTTAGTCACATGATATGATTGATGCAAGCTAAAAAACACCTGCAATTTCTGATATTACTTTCATCACATCATCCTTTGTTTCATGGGCAGCTTATTTTTGGCTAGCAAATGGGACACATTAGATTCCACAAGAAAAGAGATGATATCACATCCCCCAAACCCCTTTACACAATGACCAGATAGATATACAGATCCCCTTATGATCCAATTTGAAAAGCAGTGAATCAATGACTTTTAATGAAAGGTCAAATGTAGCAAATTGTTTTTTTTTCAAGGTAAAAAAATAAACTTACATCATTAGTGTTTTTCTTCATTTTTTCTTCTAATTCTCTCTTTTGTTTGGCAAGAGCATTAGAATTCTCCTCGGCCTTTCGGAGTTGTGTTCGAAGGGAGCGCAGTTTGAGGTCAAGTGCATCTAGTTCTTCTTTGCTAGCAGGTTCATTCTTAGCTTCCCGCTCTTCAACAATGCGGCGCAGTTCATTAGCCAGTCCCTCAAGAATTGCCTCTGTTGAAAGTAAGGTCACATTTTTATGTAAGAATATCTGTATTCTCTTCATAAGCAAATTTCATTCTCTGGGTTACTTATACCAAATTGTGCAATTAATGGAAGACTTTTATATCCCTTTACTACAATGAAGAAATTTCACTTCTGGCACTAAAAATGCTAGTACAATTGAATGTACAAAGGTATGTACCTCATCATACATGTACATGTAGCTGCACGAATTTGAATCAGGTTTGATTACCAGATAATACATACAGCAGCAAATACATGTACTTGTATATTCATGTGCCAGAGACAGCGAGGAGCAGCTGCTGAAACCACAATCAAATGTACTATTTTTAGCCGTTTCTTTAAGTAATTGAATGCTGCAATTAAATTTCCAATCTCTACTATGGCAGCCGAAAAAATCCTCAAGTATTAAGGACCAGACATTTTGAAATTGGCATTTGACTGAGAGCAAAATCTCTTTCATATCAGCATCAATAAACTACTGTAGGAGATTCGTTTTGGTTTTTTTTATATGCTCAGAATTTGATTGGCCCAATATGATTTGTCTTCAAAAGATGCATGATATAATGTAGTTTACCCTTCCTGGATAAGGGTGACCATTATCTTCATACAGTGCACACTGCACAATACTTAATGCATGAATTTCACACTTACGCTTTTTCTGGGGATTCAGTCGGTCAATGATTGTTTCTTCTTCTTCATCTTCCTCCTCTTCCTCTTCCTCTTCTTCATCCTGTTCATCTCCATCAACATGATCTTGATTGAGTCGGTTTTTCTCTTCTTCCATTCTCCTTCTGTCCTCTTCCTCTTCTTCTTCACGTCTTCGCCTTTCCTCCTGTTTTCGCCTTTCCTCCTCTCTTTGCCTTTCTTCTTCTTTGCGCCTTTTCTCTGCTGCTTCCTCCTCAGCCTTCCTCTTCTCTTCCTCCTCTAACAGAAAAAAAATGGGAGGTTTGAATTAAGCCATCTCTCATGTCAAGGAGTGTGATTAGAATGAAAATGAACTTTTAAGATTATAAATGGTGTTGACCAACAAAAGGAAAAGTTGAATCGTGAAACAAATAAAGCCAGACTACTGTCAATGGAACAAAGCAATAATTAAGACTGGCCAACCTCTCTCACGGCGGCGGCGTGCTGATGCACTTTCTTCAGCAGGTTCATCTACAAGAAACAAAAACATTACACATAAATTGAAGAAGATGGGAGTGATCATCACAGTAATGAACACTACTTACATGTGAAAAAAAAATGAAAAAATTTCAGGCCTGTACAGGAACTGAACCCATAACCTCTGCAGTGCTCTACCAACTACTTTAACCAGCTGGGAGCTTGGGGATTTTGTTGGTTCTTAATGAACCTGTAAAGTGATGAATGTCCTCAGATATGAAAACAATTTGTTCACCACGATACCTACAGGGCAATGTTGAGTCCATTTAAAACATAATATATGAACCATCAATTATTCTATATAAGCAAAGTGCTAGTACATGTACTAGCATATCACTTAGAGTATAGTATTGCTTTCAGTGTATAATATCCTATATCAAATAGAGGAGTGATAATAATGCAGATAATGTCTGGCTTAATAAAAGATTTCATAGTAAATTGGTTTATTTTTACATAATTTTATCAGTCTTGACAATAAAAAAGAAAACTTGTGAATGAGAACCTCAACTAAGTAGTCAGATCTTTGGAGGAATAGTATGCACACACCTCTTCCACCTCCACCGTCTCTCTTCTTGCGTCGCTCTTCTCTCTCCCTCTTTCTCCTTTCCTCATCAGCTGCATCTTCTGCATCCCTTTCAGCACGCCGTGCTTCGCGCTCTTTCCTCCTTTGTTCCCTTCGCTTGGCTGCCTCGTCCTATGATGAAATTTAAAATGTAGACAACTTTAGACAAAGTCAAAAAATACCAGCCAAGAGTTTCCAAAACACAGTAACTTCTGACATGTGTTATTAGAAGTTTGTGAAATGCCAGTTTCTTAAAATTGTGGTCATGAAAAACAACTGGCACACAACTAAATTACTTTTTTAAATCAAGATTTCATTTTTGTCTAATTGCCCATCCTTTTCATTGTCCCTTAAATCATTGTGTTACATTACAATTACCAAGACTGTAAACAGGTAAAGGCAGCAGTAATTTTTTTATTTTGATTCAAGTTTAAATAACTTCCATTTTTAAATTTATTGCTAAAAGGACTGCATGCAAATGGTCGAAATGTTTTATTATATCATATCATACTATGTAATTAGTAATTTTTATTTTAAGACAGTGATCATTAGATTCCACATCAAGGCCTCTCTTGATACCAGCCTCATCACTGAATGGGCTCTCTGAATCAACAGAGTTTATTGCATCACATCACAAGACTTGGACAAAAGTTATAATAGGAGGACTAGTTCATACAAAGGCAGACTTTCAGTTTCCTAAATTTATGATTTACAACAAGACTGTTCTCATAAAATGTCATTAGCACTTCAGAACATTATTAAAATAAATGAACACTACATTCATCCTGTACACAGGGTGTTAAATAATCAACATTGTCATGATTCCATAAAATTCTATTGATACATGTACATGAATATTGGACATGTTTGTTAATTAGTACCACACTGAAATACTGAGGGTGGGTTTAGATTTCTCCCCTTTGCTTTTCACAGTATACAGTGCATATTTTGTGACAGAAACAGAATCGATATAATATACATATTAATAAAAGAGAAATTCCTCTGAAAACTTATTAACAAGCCTGACCTAAATTAAGAGGTTCAAAGTAAATTTTTCACATTAAAAAGAAACAAACAAAACAGCAACAGAGGTCAAAATGTGTAAATGGCTATGAACTTCCTATGTCAAAAATAAGTTACTAAACAGCAGGTAAATGCTCTCGTTCCTTAGAAGCACAATTACACAGAATTATAGACAATAGAATATTACATGGAATGAGTGATAAACTTCAAGTTTGCAATAAGGCTCTGTGCAAATTTTCGGTACAGAAGTACAGTGTAGCAAAAAAATGTAAATTAGTTATATGGCACTCAGAATATCTGTGTTATGTTTCCAAATTCTTAAACTTACATTCACAAAATCAAACAAATTTTCAGTTGTACTTCACAACATTGAATTTATTCACAACAGTAAAAGAACAAATAAATGAAGCGTTCATGGTTTTCTTGTCAACAGCTCAACAACCTTAGATCTATTAACATTAAAAGCTGCCCACCTTAGCATATAAATAGAGAACAGCTTTGTCACACTATGATCAAAGTGCCTGGTCTCTTTGTGTGGTTTATACTCTTGTCTGCTCTATATTGATTGTAGTTATTTGATTGCTGTTAGAATACTTTAGTACAGAATACATTTAATAAGTGTTAACATTTCATCTAAAAGATTTTATGGTTAAAATATGGTAGACAGCAAACAGATCTCTAGGAAAATATTTCAGAAATGTACTATAGAATTGGGTGGGGTCACTGAGCAGCTTGACCTTTCAGTTGAATCATTGCATAGATGAATATGTTAAAAGCCAGCTAATCAAATACTATGACCAAATATAGATAAAAGTTTAAAGGCTTGTAGTTATTGTTAATTCAAATATGTTTGCTCTGAAAAACTCTGCATGGGTTAGTCAACATTTTAAAATACTTTTTTTTACCAAGACCACCTCGAATAAACTTCAAATTAACACAGACACAAACAGAAATTAGAGAGTTTCAGAAGCTATGAAGCTATTCAAAAAATAAAAGAATAGTAGTTTCATGTAATTTTTCTTAGAATACCCTGTAATGAAAGCAGCAAGAGCTGATATGCTTTCTAAGGTCTTACACAAAGGGAGCAGATTAAAACTCATGAACCATTGCTGATCAAACATGCTTGGAAATAATCCATAATGGGACTCTGCTGTGAGGAAAATGCTAATTTTTTTTGTGGGTTGGCATCCAACAGTTGCTAATCCTTTTTCACTTGGCTTCAATTTTAACTATGGTGACATGACAATGTCACAATTGGCTGGACATGGATATTGTTAGAGATATAAACACTAAGAGCACAGCCAAACTACCAAAGAAATCTTGCTGCTATAACAGATTGCCTCAGTTAAGCAGATTTATGCTAATTCACCAAAGAGACCTCTTGTAACACAACTGGCAAATTACAGACTGCTCCATTCTCTAATATGAAAAACATTTGTGGCTAGGAAATCCATCATAACGCAGAGAAATCACAAACACTGCCAAATACTGAGAAAAGATATTCCTTAGGATATATCTCTATTGCATGTTTCAAATGATCATGGGCTCAACTACAGATTATCCTTTAGTAAACAACATAATTTACATAAATGAAGCTCAGTGAGCTCGCATGTCAAACAAGAACAGGATGACTTGACAATTTTAAGTTCAGTAACATTGCTCCTGAACATAATATCTTTATGTAAAGAAGTCATAGCATTAGTTTATCTTACACAATTACACTCTCGAGGAAATATGGAAAGGAGTTAGAAAACAGATCACTTCAAGGGAGTGACCCAGCCTCCATAACATTCAAGTTGCTCAACAACATGAACACTGTCTCATATGAATCACACTGAAAAATACTGTTAACATACCTCCATTTCACTTTTTGAAATTTAAAATTACTGGAGTAACAACACACAAGATGCAGATCTTGACTAGGCAAGAGAGTTCTTTGATTTTGTCAGTGATGTGGAGTGCAGAGGTTGTGGAGCTTTTGGACAGCAGCACAGACCAGCAGCCAAGGCGTCTGCTAATGTATTGATTTGCTTGTCTTTGGAATGCTTACAATCTGGCTTATAAATTCATTATTTTCTATCTCTGGTTGCATCAGCCCCAGGTCCCCACAACAAAACAACCTTAGTTTATTTGTTCAACATGCAGAGTCAATTGCCCTTTGTTCCCATTGATCTTACTGTCACAGGCCAACACAAACATCAAATCCATTAATTGACATTTTACATCACATCTCAGCTTTCCCAACTTACTAGACTGAATTGGGCAGCAAATAAGCATTAAAACTATCTCATGTAACCAGTCAACTTCAGGCACAGAGCAAAGGCACAATTAGAACTCTCTAAATCAAGTGCAAAATGACAAAATGTTGAACAGAATGAGGGAGGATCAAATTGCAACACCATGAGCCCACCAGCTTATCTATGATGTAAATATATGCATTAGGCTTAGATTGCTTCACTGTCAAGTATCACCCAAGGATAGAGTGGCAACTGAAGACATGAAGACAGGTCAACCAAGCACATTCCATCACATACATGTAGAAAGCAGAGATTCTAAGATTTTCAGTTCTACCCAAATAGGAAAATTCTGTACAATGTACACACAACATGTAAGTAATTTCTATCTTATCAGTTTATTTTACAACACTTGTAGGGTGATCTGTAAGTTCTATTGCCTGAATCTCTGAGATATAATGAGGGTGGTAATTTCATGCTGCATTTTCAGTTCTTCTGTTTGATACAGATTCTACAAAAAATACATTTTAAAGCAAGCTAAACAAACAGATTGCCTAGATAGAAGGAGATGATATTAGGCAAATGTATCTCTCTAGATGAGATTACAAGCAGGTTCTTCTGGTAGCACTGAAAGTACAGTGAACAGTGCAAGTTATGTTGTTTCTTGGAGATATCTAAACTACATAGTAAGAGTGTTTTTTGGTTAGAAATCAATGAGGTGATAGCACAAGATGGTTACATCATGATATCAGTGAAAGTGTCTAAAAAAAAATGCAGGCACCTAATTTATCAGCATTTCACAAGGGTAATTCACTTGGAACACATGGAAAAATGTTATTTCATTACTGTCCTCCAGGAAGGTTCTTAACAAACTTAGCAAACTGCCTGACAAGAACAACAAGATTCCCCACTAAATTGAAAAGGAGATTAAGATTTTCCCTAATGACAATGGAAGGAACCTAGAGCAGGAAGCAAGAAGAGATGGAACACTGCATCTGTTGCTGATGCCTGCTTAATTCAAATTGAACTATGAGAAAAGGACCACTTAACAAAAGAAAATCACTGAGAATGATTAAAGGTTAGTAATTCTTACTATTTTTTACACACTAGTTAGAACATCGTATGAAGCATTCCCTAACTGTCTAGAAGTTTCTGCAGTAACATAAACACCTCTTATGAAACCATGTCACAGCTGTGGTCTACATTCTGCTTCTTTTTACAGATGATTTAACTTTCTATATATTGTTCCCACTCTATATAGTTGCAAGAATGATTTTATGATGAGTAAATGATAGAATAACCTTCTACTTTATTAATAAATTGAAACAGAAAAAATAATTAACAGGAAGTGAAGCATGACCTCATGTAACACCTAAAGCAATGTGAAAATTGATTTTTTCTTTTCAACACTGCAGCAGTACAGACAACTGTATACATGTAATGTTAAAGAAAGAATGCTCCAAAAAATCTAGACTCTAAAAGAAAAATAAACACTGTGCACTATCTTGTATATAAATGTATCAAAGTAAACCAATGTATCGATGTGGGTTCACTCATTGGCATGAAAATAATTATGGATTAGTGTCAGTATGAAAGCAATTGCATCCCTACCCCTCCCTGCCTCAACAATAATCAACTGAAAGCAAGTAAGGGTTAATGTTGGGTTGGGGGAAGGGTAGGTACCTAGTTGCCCAGGTACTAACATTGATCTATACATGTACATAATTATATAAAATTGTAAGGAAACTGAATTTCACAATGATTTCAAAAGAATTTAACTGTTTCCTTTGATCTTCCTTAAGGTTGTAACTTTGAAATCCCTGAAATATTACACCTGACTTACAGTATACATATCCAATGTAGAGGAAATTGTATCAAGCATATTTTTTAAAGAACTTACAATTTACAGTTCAGTTCAGTGGTTTGAAAAAGAGCAAAAAATACAGGTGAAGTATCTGCAATTTTGAGGCTGCAGTTGCATCATTAATTTTTTGTAGGGTTCTTTATTGGGCAATTTTAGTGAGTGAATAAAAAATCACAACACATGCTCTGATACCAAATTCTCAAACATTCATGAAATATTAAAACTGACCAATAGATCAAGTGCATAGGATATTTTGTTGTCAAAAAATGCATCTAGCCTTTGAAATTTGCTGTTTAATTTAGGAGTTTGGATGAGAACATAAAATATTGGTGCGTAATATGCAATCTTAGAACTGCAGGTGCAGCATTTTTCCAAAATTGCCTCATAGAACTATTTTAGCAAGAACATCATGCTGATGTACATGTGCAAGTCAATATCAAACCTCAACACATTCTGATATCGAATTATAGTGTATCAGAGAATCACAGTGGTAACAGCAACATTGATCATATACTATGAAGAGGATACTGTTCTTAGTCTTCAAATCTATGTATTTCTTTGTAAACTCTCTCCTATTAAACTCAAGACACTTGCCCTAAGTCAATTCATTCTGTCCACTGTGGATTTTCACTGAGTTTAAAGATTTATTACTTTTCCTAGTGCAGTAACCTAAAAGGTTTCTGAGGAGAGAAACATGTAAAATGGAGTTGAAGGGATACTTCCTACGAAAGGAAAATTGAGTTGGTCTACAATGTTTATGCGTAAATGTAACAAGGAACTCTACAAATTTCTTACACCATAAACATGTATGTGTTGAGATCCATAAGTTTCATAAAGAACTTTTGAAGATTTACACTCAAACAAAGATTCCATCTCCAGTCAGACAGTTAAGGAAAAAAAACAGAACTAGACAAAAAGATATCGTTCGTCTGACTTCAAAGTTTGTCAGCCGTGGTTAATCATTCGATTGAGGTCGTGACAATTGTATCGAATTACCTTGCGCCATTGACCGCGATAAAATCTGAAGAACGATAATTGTTATTTTTAATGAATGCTAAAAACCAAACCTACTTGCGTGCAAAACTCATCGATAAGGAAAGAAATCTTGCTATGCAAACGAATAAAAGTCATCGAAAAGAAACAAAAAATCCTGGAACACAATAAAATTTCTATTGATTTGCTTTCCGTGTCGACTGAGCCATGACACACCTAAAGAATGCACATTTATTGATTCGTTTAAACACCAACCGTAGTTAAAGATAGGTGATTAAACTAGATAGTCGTTGTTTAAAAAACATATTTAAGGGTTAAATGTGGCAAGGAAGAATCGAGGTGAACTTTCGTTTGCAAAAGTAAGGTTTTTTATGGCAACAACGAGGCATTCATTAGTATGCATATTTTTAGTAAAATATTCCAATTTACCATTTCCTCAGACGTTTCTTGGTCCGCAACCCGATCGCGATATCTCCTTCTGCGACCAGTTTCTATTTCGGAACAAAGAAATATTTCCGTGAGTTATAGAACTTGAACTTCGTCAATGAAATAAGGCCTTGAATCTAAACACTGTGTATGCCGAGGTTATTGAGATAAATTTCTAACTAAAGTACTTCGTTGCGCTGATTACTTCTCGGGTATGCAATGCTCGTGGATGACTCGATAGAACGGTGCTGATCAATGATCAAAATTAAGCACTCAGCGATTTCATGACTGCATTTATCTGTAGGGTCAATAGATAACGATTCTCAGAGCAATAAATTGTTTATCTGTTAACTGCCTTTAAAAAAAGTCAGAACGTGTCTTCGGGGTCACTCATGTTTAGCATGCAAACAAGCAAGAGTTACAGTCGTGTTGTCCGACTTTCGGGTTTTTCACTTCCCAGGTCAAATCCTCGACTGCTTCAGTAACAGATCAGGACTTACCGCTCGAGCTGTCTAAAGCCGAAGACATCTTTCCCGTTGGTTGTGGTATTCGCAGCCGACCAGAAGAAGCTAAAATATTTTGCAACCTTGTCTTCTATACGCAAAAGAGCAATCGGAAATGAAGTGACGCGATTCATAAGTTATCAGCTTAATCGCTCGTTCCCATTGGCTGCTGAAATAATACCAGAGTTAATTGGCGTGACTGGATTTACGAGATTCACATACATCTATTGTATTGTCATTGTTTTCGAAGGAAAGTAACGGATCTCTTACGTAAAAATGAAAATCCTGGCATGACGGTGAAAGATTTTAGGAGTTTTACCTCTGTCATCGGAAATTTTACTCAAATGGAAAATTCGGTTAAACCTCTGTATTTTTTCTTTTCCGTGTCAGTAACAAAAAAGCATAGCTAAGCATTCAATGATCAATTTACACTCTGTTGCCACTTGTTCAAATATATACCAATTACTGAGATTAGGATAGTTGAAAAGAAGAAAGAACTCATTTACCGAGGTACACACTGCTCTCTTTCTGCTCTTCTTTCTCGCTGCGTTCTATTGTTGTCAACAAACTACTGCCGTTGTACTATACATCCTACAAATATAGATCATTTTCCCGCTCTTATCTGTTTGAAACTTTTTGTCTTGCATAAACAATCAAATAACGCCCTTTCTTGATCTCCTTTAATCATATTTATTGGCCTGACAGTGATTCTTCCAGAGTTCTACTCAGAGAGCTGACCACTAGGACCACTCATTTTTTTCCACAAAAAGATGTACTGTCTTAGCTCATTTGATAAAAATTGGTCCGTTTGTTGTTTTTTTTTTGCAGATGGGCACCCCAAGACTAGGTCAAGTTCTCTGACGCTGCTCCTCCTCAGCAACGTTTTTGGTGTTGAAGTGTAGTTCTTTAGGATAAAGAGTTATTGCTGCTCTATCCGAAATTGAAGATAATTAAACTTGCTAATTGTTTCAAGCAAATTGCGTTTGAAAGTGTATCTGTTACTGTTCATAATCACAACAGATGATATTTTTTTAGACTAATTTCATATGTTCTTTTTATTGTCTGTCATTTTATGCTTTTGGAAACCTTGCAAGATAGACAGTATATTTTATGAACGATTTTCTCGCGTAACGGTAATTTACCACAAAGGCAATTATGACAACCAGCTTACAATTTTTTTTTATGAATTCTTTAAATGTCAAAATATTATGATCCATCCGGCTTGCTAACGTACTTCAAAAGGCAAGCATCTTTGTCGGTTTTCAAGTGACGTATTAAAAATTCCGGATCTACCTATTTGTAGGCACGTAATGGGCTGTTGAATGCTCGCCAAGGGTTATGATGCGTAGCCGCTCAATAAAACGCCGTAAAACACAAATGTGGTTTTTTTTCACCTTCAGTGGAGGGTTAAAGCAAATTTATACTACGCTTTTCGAGCCATGGGAAAAAAATTCTCAAAAATTCTTGATTGTGGGCGTGTTGGGAGGGGGTAAGCCTTTTTCAGTCACTGTTCCATTCAAATTCTGCCTGAAGTACTTTTCCTGATGGCGAAATTCATGGCGTAACGGAATGATCAACCGGACGTCTATACTCCAGTGAATCGAAAATGTACTTCGATTGAGCACCCCCGTGTAGAAAACTAAATACTCACTGGGACTGGGACTCTCCCTTTTTAGGTACTGTCGATGGTTCCCTCTGAAGAAAAGGATACTTTTAAAAGACAATATTGGCATCTAGCAAGAATTTTCATTATAGGTGATTTTTGACTTATTTGAGCGTGAAAATAAATGGAAATAATATATTAGCATAAGCCATTCAGCAAACATTTTAATAAGCCAGTTGATCATTTCTTATTCCTTTTGGCGGTCTTACCTTACAGGTAGAGTTTGGTTACCTTTTCCTTATTATGATCGTGAATTTGACATAGCTAGAGACAGATGTTTTTGCGTAAACTGCGGTTTGCGGCTAGTTATCAGTATATTTCCATTATGTTGCTAAGAGATGTTCAATTACTAAGAAAATGACTTAACCTCATAAAAATTGATCCCGTACAGGAATTTCCTGGAAATAACCCTCCCTTATACTTTTACCTCTTTAATATTCTCGTTTTTAGGCTAAATCCATGTCGAATTCCTAATCCGGAAAATAGTTTTTAAACTTTAATTTAGCACGTTGGACACCTCTTTTTCTTAGAGGTGACTTAAGGGGTAAACATGAAGTACTTTTCATCGTCCACTATGCATCATCAAAATATGGCATTTAGGTTATTTAGCGATATAATACTTATGGTGAATGTTGAATACTGCTGACTGACCTCTGAGGATGTAATACGAACAATGGAATCCTTTCAATTCTTTATCCTGGTCTTACAATATTCGTATGCTCAAACTTCCGTTTCGACTGTCAGAGATCGATTGAAAACTCCGCAATGTCTTTGTTTGAAGGTAAAGGTGAGAGAATTGCCCTCCAGTATCTCCGTGTACTTGTGCGGGCGGCCTTCTGTTTCTTCCATGGCGATTTCGTTGCATACAAGAAGATTTGCATGGCAAGGTGAAGTTGTATCGCCTACAGACAGTCCATATAGTTGGGATAGTTGTTAGGGTAATTTGGCGTGGCAATGACTCCACTGGTCTGGTTAATGTGTACTTGACGTAAGCCTGTAAACAGAAATAAGTAACCCAGATATTCTTGTATCTACACATTACCTCCGAGAATTTTATGTTAAATTAAACAATATGTGTCCCTTGGTCGCTTTTCTCTGATCGCATGTCTACGGGAAAGAGGAGCGATATCCATATTGTGAAAAAGATGATTCCCTCGTCTACGGCCAATATTTTTCATTTTTAAGGTTATTTCTCACCTTTTATTTGACTAAGCTGAATTCAAACATTCAACCTGACGTTTCCATAATAAATTCTCTGAAATCTTTAAAAGCACTCGAGTTATTTATTTAAACGTATTTTCAAATAAAAGGTAATAACTCAGGTAGGGGGAATCCCCTGAGGCAAATTTCACGGCAAACGCCCATGTTGGGGCTCAATTTTCAAGTTATTTCCATATTTTGTTTACATCTCGCACTTTAAAAAAATCGCAAAATTCGATTATGGAAAAATCTTTGCGCATGGAAAATCAAAAGCGGAAGAAAGTCCCCGGTAAAAAAAGGAAAAAAAGGAAGAGAAAAAAAAACAGGCCCAAAGAAGAAAGAAAGAGTACCATTCTGTCAAGAAAGGAAAAATCCTTCTTTGTGAAAGCGACAGGTACTGGCGGGACTCCACGCTGTCCAGATTTCGAACAAGAAATCGCCGGCAAACTAAAATTTGCCTCACATAATGTTTAAAAAAAGGTTTCCTTTTCTTTATGCGAGTACCAGCCTTGACACAAAAACATTAACAATCGCCTCGAATCGTAATTTTGAAAGCTGTATGTCGATTCGTTGTCTTGCTCCTCAGCCCGGTTCCCGTTTTTTCCATTTTTGCCGTGGTTTTCCTTTGCCTTTGGCAACTTTGCTTATTATTGTGTCGTCCTCCTCAACGCTATTTGAGCGATCGAGATATAAAAAAAGGTGTCAGCAATGGGTTACTTTTCCGCCAGGAGGTCCTGTTGTCCAATTGGTTTGATCCATCGTCGTTGACGCCAGGAGGTCCCGCTGTCCAACCACTTTGAGCGAATTGGTTTGAGGTTTTTGTCAAATTTCAAAACATTCTGGGAATAATGACAAACGAAAGTGTTTTTTTGATATTTGAAATTTTGTCTCGTGACGTCCATTTACGCGACACCGCATATTTTTAGCTACCCAACTTCAGATACAACCCCCATTGAACATTAGTCATTTGAACCTATTTGACTCACCAGAGTACTTCAAGAAAAAATTAACTTTCGAATAACGAAAATTCATCATATTTCCAAAATCTGTCTAAGAAAGACAGTTATTCTTTAATCCAAGCAAGCCCGTTTGAAGCATTATGACTCCTATTTGACTCACCAGAGTACTTCAAGAAAAAATTAACTTTCAATAACGATCTAAAAAATCTGACATGAAAATCCACCTGCTCCATGAAACAAACTATATCAATTTTGAATTTTCAATTTCAGTGAAAAACAAAAAGGAAAATGAAAAAAGAAAGGAATTGATGAGAGAATCTTCTTCAAAATGATCATCTTAATAATCGTTTTACGATGCAGTTTTTTTTTTACTTTTACTCTTTTTCTTTCATTTGGTGATTATGTAATTTACAATAATAAATTAGTCTTCTTCCATAACAATTAACAGGATGTTTTGTATTTTGACTATGAATGATTTTTTTCCCTGATTTCGTTACGCTCTGGAGTAATTCAAGCGTAAAATGATTTCTTTTCGCTATAAAACGTGTAACGTTTAATCAATCAAATCTCAAAAATCGAAAAAGAAATATAAGAAAAATCCTTTGTTTAGTTTTACTTTCCTGTTAAAGTTCAAGTGATGTAGCCTATTATTATTGATGGTGACATTAAAACAAGGAGAGAATTCATTTACATTCTCACTATTAGTTTGGTACTTTTACGCCCTCTCATTCTTTGCTTTGCCATAAAATCAAGCATTCGAGATAAATCATGTTACTCTTTATACAGAAAATTAGCAATGTTGGTTGCTATGCAGCCAATCGACTCTATGATACCGAATTCCTTATTACATTGATTTTCTCAAATCTCATAGCTTATAATTAATTAAACAATTTTGCCCCTCACCCAAAACAACAGGCCACTTTACATACATTAAAAATCTGGTTTAGTTATCAGACCCGGAAAGAGTATGCTATTTTACGGATATTAAAAATCCAAATACGACAGATACGATTTTGAAACATTAGCTGCTCCTGATTTAAGCTTTTACTACTTTTTGCTTCGGCGTGAATTCTGCCAGCGGATGTAGACATTACAAAAGGGACACAACCTATTAATTTCCCTACTTTGACCTCCTCTTCTAGATTGCTTTAACTCAAAAGCGGTTACTAAAGACAGCAGACGTCATTGTAAACATTGAAAATCAATCATGTTTTTGTTCTCTGACCCAGAAAGAGCGTGCGAACTAAGAAAAGATGACGCTAATATGCATAGATACAAATGCATTATTTCGTGCACGGCTTTAATCTCCTATGTGGCAGCCTGTTATTTGGGGGCACAGAAAGGAAAGGATAAGTAACATACTAATGTGCAAAAATGCTGGTAAGATTTTCATTCTCGTTTCTAAGGTGGCAAATATATATTGAGGAATTTTCCTCACAACTAAGCAGAGCAAGAAAAAAAACATGAAATAGAGCACATTTTTGATCTGTAAAGGATAAGTGACGATGAGATTGTAACAGTGAGTGCGTGCTTCATTAGCACTGGAGCGGGTGCATCATTTATGATTCATTAGCACGGACGTACAGAAACTGAGCAACAGTTTAGAGAGTGCTTGTATTTTTTCTCTGAATTGTTGATTCAATATCTAAGTGAAAGTGCCCTTGACTTATCCACTAAATGTGATATGACGTCCAGAAAACGTTCGAAGTTCATATAGATTAGTGTACTACGAAAACAAAACGAACAATGAAGAACTTAACAATTGTATAGTCCTATATAGATCTATATACTGAACGATTTGTCAAGCGTCATCTCAGTCTAAAACAACAAATGATGCAGAGCTGGACACCACATGATTCATAATTTGGGATAAAATGGAACGCACGACACTTAGCTTTCTCCTCACGTCTGAGTAACATAAATTAATTCATTAGGTTGAATAAATGTGATTACATTGTATTTGGAACGATTTTGAAACTATGATAGAGTCCGTTAATCCGAAAGTGAAGTGTCATATCTTTCCTTCTCAGTGGCATTTTTCCCCGCTGAAATGAAGAACCAGTTTACATAACGTATGTGATGTACAAACATTTTTTTTCTTTCGTTTGATTGAAGGTCTATATCCTCATCCTTTCAAATCTGCTTGTTATCAAGTTAACAGAAGGTAAGAGCTCAAATACCCAATACGCCGTTACTATACGTATTACCTCTTCTAGTCTGTACTCATAAGAATCAATAGCTCAGTTACTTTACAAGTTACTGTTCAAGTCAGTCAAATTGGCGCTGTCTCTCAAAGACACCATTGGTATCACTGACCTAAAAATTTGTTTCAAGTGCTTTTCAAGATGCATCAGCTGGTTTGGTTGTTGTGTCTCCTCACCTTATGAAATTAAGCAAGGGAAGGTAAACCTACGAGATTCTTTGGTTTTATCAAACAAGTTATTAAAGCAAATTTGTCACCGTTAAGGGAATGTAAAGCTGATGTTTCATGGGAGCGTTATAGCATTTCGGATTATAATTTTTTGAGACAACAGGAAAACTTTTTGTGAACACTAATGTAAACTCCGCAGCACTTTCGTGTCCCTTGAGTTGTTAGTCATGAGGTGATGAAATAAAAATTTTCTCCATTTCAGCTAGAGAGCTATTTCATATCACAGATTGGGAAGGAACATTATCTACTCCAGACTACCCTATGACATACCCCACCAACTCAAATCTCACTTGGATCAAGTCTGTTTCACCTGGTAATAAAGTAAAGGTCACTGTCCAAGATCTTGAGGTAAAGAATACGGCAAACCTAAATAACATCATTCTTGAATAATTCTTGCCTCTGTTACTTATAGTTGGATTGGACACTAGCAAGCGGGTAAGCTCAGTCGCCCTACGTGAAGTTTGATGAATGCAAAGCCTTCCCTTTATTGGAGAATTTCCCAAAGAGTGGCTGATAACACAGCCCGCCAATATAATCAATCCTCTCTTCACGGTCACGTAACCCATTAAAGTAATTCATAGATAAAGATTGATAAACTCGTAAACGGTTGTTTCCTTTTCCTAATTATTGGTTTTCGTATGACTTTCCCCTCAACAGACACAATGCAATGGAGACTACTTAGAGATCAGGGATGGAGACGTGGTGTCTCCGCTGATTAGGCGATTTTGTGGGAAACTTGAAAGGTCGCAAAGTGAGATTATTTCATCCGGGACTAGCATCTTACTACGCTTTGTGTCTGACAATGTAAATGACACATTCATGGATCGAGGATTTATCTTGCAGCACATTGGTGGGTTAAATAGTTCTAAATAACTAATGTTCAAGGGGTTGAGGGTGAAGGTTACAGTATGATTAACTGGGATTCCACAGCCGGAATAGGTGCTTTTTAACACAATGTTCCCTCAACTATCCGCTCTTGGGAAGGAGCCTTTTGATTAAAGAAAAATTGGTCTTAGCGGTAAACGAGTGTATCATCACGATGATTAACCGCCATCTTTTTCACAATATGGATATCACTCCGCTTTCTCGCAGAAACGTGATGAGAAGAAAGACAAAGATTAACTAGGGAACATTGTTTGATTTGACACAAAATTCTTGGAGCTAATTATGAGACATCTGTAAAAGTACAAGAATATGTTGGTTTCTTATTTCTGTTTACAGGAATATGTAAAGTACACATTAATCAGACCAGTGGAGTCATTACCACCCCAAATTACCCTAACAACTATCCGAACTATATGGACTGTCTCTGGACGATACAGCTTCACCCTGCCATGCTAATCCCGCTAGTATGCGACGAAATTGCCATAGAAAAGGAAGAAGGCTGTCCGTATGATTACATGGAGATACTGGAGGGCGATGGTCTTCACTCTACGGTCATAGAAAGACATTGCGGAGTTTTGAATCGATCTCTGACAATCGAGCGAAACGGAAGTTTGAGCATACGGTTCGTGTCCGACCAGGATAAAGAAAATAAAGGATTCCGTTGTTCATATAACATTCTCAGAGGTTGGTTTGTAATAATCTATATCCATTTAAAGTGCTGTAACTCTAAGTTACCAAACTAATTAGCACTTTCTTTTCATGATGCATCACACAGCTCACATATATTCTATCTGTCTCTGTTACGTGTTCCTTTGAAGAGAGAATCAAGCTAAGCGATTAAATCCCTTGGCAGACGTCTTGCTCCAAAGATCGTGCCTCTCATGTTACTCAAATTCTCTGATTTGTGGGCAATCACTTGCCATCTGAAGATTTAATTCGTTTCGTAAATACTATTTGTAAAGCTACATGAGAGAGATCTAAAAAAAGCTTATTAGAAGGGATAAGGTCTTTACGTAGTGTGCAGTCTCTTGATTTGATCCTCTCACCCCGTCGTCATCAAGAGGCGAAGAAATGTGCGGCTGTAATCGCCAAATACCACAAATCGTAAACTTGTTCAATATAAATGACTAAACGACAATATTTCTGTAAGGAAAGTAAGTAAATAATTATCAACACTTTTTTACTTATTTAACTGGACTTGTGTGGAAATTAGAAAGTTGTCTTCTGCTCTTATTCGAGTAGCTTTTCATGGTCCTAGGATTATAGTTAAGATATAATGATATTTATTTCTGATGATCTCTTAAAGATTGTGATATAATTCCCCTAGGTAATTAACAGATTAACTGGTTTGGTAGCACATAAAGTACCATTATATCACAAACCAAATTCTGTCATAAGATAACTGACCCGCACAAACTTGACAAAGATTATCACTCTATAATTCATATGAACATCACTGGACTAGTAACCTAACTGCACGAAAAAGGAAAAAGTCAAATAGACATGTGTCGTGCGCACTACTTGACGCTGCAACAATTGATGTCCCTTGTGACTCTCCTCATGTGCTCACACCATTTGTCGTTAGTTAGAGGATATTGGACGCAGTGGACAGAGTGGACGGAGTGTTCCCGCCATGAAAACCAGACTAGAAGCAGAACGTGCATAAATCCTTTGTCAGAAAGCGGACTGGATCTGCTTTGTGGTGAAATAGCAGAAACAGAGAGGCGGAAATGTAGTAAGTAGACGTTCACATTTATTTGCTGAAGCAAATGATAATGTTGTTGGTCAGTTGATCATCTGACTTCGAAATAATGATAAGGGAAAAGGTAATGTTCATCTGATTTGTTTACCACGAGGATGATCACAGACCGAATTGGAACGACACAAAGCCTTATTACCAATTTATTTTAGTAAAAATTAAGAAAAATAGCCAAGTTACGGAAGAAAAGGAAACTTGCCATCAGGAAAAAGTCTCAATTTAAGAGTCTGAAGCCTGTTTTTAAGGTGATTGAAACCAAGGTTGTGATTGGTTGATTTAGACTACAACTTTGAATCTCATTGGTTAATTTAAATCAAAACTTTGAATGTGATTAGCTGATTGAACTATCCGATAACAAACTGTCCAACAACAAGCAATCCGATAACAACTTTTGGAGCGTTATAACTTCAAATTATAATTTTTTGAGACAACAGGAAAACTGTTGGTGAACACTAGTGTAAACTCCAAAGCACGTTTGTGTCCCTGGAGTTGTTACTCATGAGGTGATGAAATAATAATTTCCTCCATTTCAGCTGGAGAGCTATTTCACATTACAGATTGGGAAGGAGAACTACGTACTCCAGACTACCCTAACACATACCCCACCAACTTGGATCTCACTTGGATTAAGTCTGTTTCACCTGGAAATAAAGTAAAGATCACTATGCAAGATTTTAAGGTAAAGAATAAGGCAAACTTAATAACATCATTCTTAAGTAACTGTTGCCTTTCTTGCTAATAATTGGATTGGACATTAGCAATCGGATAATCTCAATCGCCCCAGGTGAAGTTGGATGAACTGCAAAGCCGCCCCTTTGGTGGAGGATTTCCCGAACTGCGACTGATAACAGAGCCTGCCAATATAGTCAATCCTCTCCTAAAGGTCACGTAATCCATGAAAGTTCTTCGTTTTATGCGGAAACAGCTCTTTTAGGGTAGATTGATAAACTCGTAGACGGATGTATCCTGTTCTTAATTATTAGTTTTCATGTGACTCTCAACAGACGCAATGCAATGGAGACTACTTAGAGATCAGAGATGGAGACAGCGTGGAGTCTCCGCTGATTGAGCGACTTTGTGGGAAACCTGATAAATCGCCAAGTGAGATTACTTCATCTGGGACTAGCATCTTATTGCACTTCGTGTCTGACAATGTAAATGATACCTTCATGGATTTATCTTGCAGCACATTGGTGGGTCAAATAGTTCCAACTAAGTAATGTTCAAGGGGTTGAGGGCGAAGGTTACAGTTTGATTAACTGGGATTCCACAGCTTGAATAGGTGTTTTTCAACATTGTGTTCCCTCCACCGTCCTCTACCGGGAAGGAACCTTTTGATAATAAAAAAACTTGGCGGTAGACGAGTGTATCACCACGATGATTATGCACCACCTTTTTTACAATATGAATATCACTCCACTTTCTCGCAGAAACGTGATGAGAAGAAAGATAAAGATCAACTACGGGACATTGTTTGATTTAACACAAAACTCTCGGAGCTAATTAAGAGAAATGAAGGGTGGATCGCACGTAGAAATTACAATTTGTAATCGGGAGTTTATAACAATTAATAGACACCTGTAAAAATACCAGAATATCCTGGTTTCTTATTTCTGTTTACAGGTATATGTAAAGTACACATTAATCAAACCAGCGGAGTCATCACCACGCCAAATTACCCTGACAACTACCCGAACTATATGGACTGTCTCTGGACGATACAGCTTCACCCTGCCATGCTAATCCCGCTAGTATGCGACGAAATCGCCATAGAAAAGGAAGAAGGCTGTCCGTATGATTACATGGAGATACTGGAGGGCGATGGTCTTCACTCTACGGTCATAGAAAGACATTGCGGAGTTTTGCATCGGTCTCTGACGATCGAGCGAAACGGAAGTTTGAGCATACGGTTCGTGTCCGACCAGGATAAAGAAAATAAAGGATTCCGTTGTTCATATAACATTCTCAGAGGTTAGTTGGTAATAATCTACATTAACTTAAAATGCTATATCTTTAAATAACCGAGCTGATTGGCATTTTTTTTATGATACATCGCACAGCTCACGTATCCTCTATCTCCTCTGTTACGTGTTCCTTTGAAGAGAGAATCAAGCTAAGCGATTGAATCCCTTGGCAGATGTCTTGCTCAAAGTTCGTGCTTCTAATATTACTCAAATTGTCTGGTTTGTCAGCAATCACTTGCCATCTGAAGATTTAATTCGTGCCGTAAATACTATTTGTAAAACCACATGAGAGAGATCTAAAAATAGCTTATTAGAAGGGATAAGGACTTTACGTAGTGTGCATTCTCTTGATTTCTTCTTCTCGCCTCGTTGCCACCAAGAAGCGTAGAAATGTTTGGCTGTAATCGCCAAATACCACAAATCGTAAACTTGCTCAATATAAATGACTAAAAAACGATATTTCTATAAGGAAAGTGAGTAAATAATTATCAACACTTTATTACCTATTTAATTGGACTTGTGTGAGAAGTAGAAAGCTGTCTTCTGCTCTTATTCGAGTAGCTTTTCATGGTCTTAAGACTATTATTAAGATATCATAATGTTTATTACTGATGATCTCTTAACGATTGGGATGTAATTACCCATAGTTATTAACAGATTAACTGGTTTGATAGCACAAAAAGTACCATTATATCACAAACCAAATTCTGTCATAAGATAACTGACACGCACAAACTTGACAAAGATTATCATTCTGTAATTCATGTAAACATCACTGGAATAGTAACCTAACTACACGAAAAAGGAAAAAGTCAAATAGACATGTGTCGTGTGCACCCTTAAACAATCTTGACGCTGCAACAGTTGATGTCCCCCGTCACTACCCTCATGTGATCACACCATTTGTCGTTAGTCAGAGGATATTGGACGCAGTGGACAGAGTGGACCGGGTGTTCCCACCATGAAAACCAGACTAGAAGCAGAACGTGCATAAATCCTTTGCCAGAAAGCGGACTGGATCTGCTTTGTGGTGACCTAGCAGAAACAGAGAGGCGGAAATGTAGTAAGTAGACGTCCACTGTATTTGTAGAGGTAAATGATAACGTTGTTGGTCAGTTGATCATCTGACTTCGGTGATTGAAACCAAGGTTGTGATTGGTTGATAACTACAACTTTGAATTTCATTGGTTGATTTAAACTACAACTTTGAATGTGATTTGCTTGTTGAACTATCCGATAACAAACACTTCAATAACAAGCTACCCGATAGCAGCTTTTGAAGCGTTATAACTTCGGATTATAATTTTTTGAGACAACAGAAAAACTTTTTTTGAACGCTAGTGTAAACTCCGAAGCGCCTTTGTGTGCCTGGAGTTGTTACTCATTTGGTGATGAAATAAAAATTTCCTTCATATCAGCTGGAGAGCTATTTCACATCACAGATTGGGAAGGGACATTATCTACTCCAGACTACCCTCAGATCTCACTTGGATTAAGATCGTTTCACCTGGAAATAAAGTAAAGATCACTATCCAAGATTTTGAGGTAAAGAATACAGAAAACCTAATAACGTCATTCTTGAGTAATTTTTGCCTTTCTTACTAATAATTGGATTGGACATTAGCAAGCGGGTAATCTCAACCGCCCTGGGTGAGGTTTGATAAAATGCAAAGGTGTCCGTTTGGTAGAGGATTTCCCGAACAGCGACTGATAACCGAGTCCGCCAATATAGCCAATCCTCCGGTCACGTAATCCATGAAAGTCCTTCGTTTTATGCGGAAACAGCTCTCTTAAGGAAGGTTGATAAACTCGTACACGGCTCTATTCTGTTCTTAATTATTGGTTTTCATATGACTTTCCTGTCAACAGACGCAATGCAATGGAAGACTACCTAGAGATCAGAGATGGAGACAGTGTGGAGTCTCCGCTGATTGAGCGACTTTGTGGGAAACTTGATAAGTCGCTAAGTGAGATTACTTCATCCGGGACTAGTATCTTACTGCGCTTTGTGTCTGACAATGTAGATACCTTCATGGATCGAGGATTTTTCTTGCTGCATTCTGGTGGGTAAAATAGTTTCAACTAACTAATGTTCAAGGGGTTGAGGGTGAAGGTTGCGGTAAAATTGGCTGGGATTCCACAGCCGGAATAGGTGCTTTTCAACGTAATATTCCCTCGACCGTCCGCTGTGTGGGAACCTTTTGATGATAAAAGAAATCGACAGCAGACGAGTGTATCACCACGATGATTAACCGCCACCTTTTTCACAAGATGGATATCACTCCACTTTCTCGCAGAAAGGTGATGAGAAAAAAGACAAAGATCAACTGAGGAACATTGTTTGATTTTACACAAAATTCTCGGCAATAATTATATAAAATGAACGGTACATGGGGCGTAGAAATTATAATTTATAATCGGCAGTTTATAAGAATTAAATGGACACCTGTAAAAATACAAGAATATCTTGGTTTCTTATCTTTGTTTATAGGAATATGTAAAGTAGACATTAATCAGACCACTGGAGTCATTGCCACGCCAAATTACCCTTACAACTACCCGAACTATATGGACTGTCTCTGGACGATACAGCTTCACCCTGCCATGCTAATCCCGCTAGTATGCGACGAAATCGCCATAGAAAAAGAAAAAGAGGAAGGCTGTCCGTATGATTACATGGAGATACTGGAGGGTGATGGTCTACACTCTACGGTCATAGAAAGACATTGCGGAGTTTTGCATCGGTCTCTGACGATCGAGCGAAACGGAAGTTTGAGCATACGGTTCGTGTCCGACCAGGATAAAGAAAATAAAGGATTCCTTTGTTCGTATAAAATCCTCAGAGGTTAGTTAGTAATAGTATGCACTCACTTAAAGTTTCGTAATTCTAAATAACCAAACTAATTGTCTTTTTTTTTCATGATGCATCGCACAGCTCAAGTATCTTCTCTCTGTCTCTGCAACGTGTTCCTTTGAAGAGAGAATCAAGCTAAGCGATAAATCCCTTGGCAGACGTCTTGCTCCAAAGATCGTGCCTCTCATGTTACTCAAATTCTCTGATTTGTGGGCAATCACTTGTCATCTGAAGATTTAATTCGTGTCGTAAATACTATTTGTAAAACTACATGAGAGACATCTAAAAATAGCTTATTAGAGGGGAAAAGGTCTTTACGTAGTGTGCAGCCTCTTGATTTGATCTTCTCGCCCCGTCACCTCCAAGAAGGGAAAAAGGGTTTTTGCTGTAATCGCCAGATAACAAATCGTAAACTTGTTTATAAAACATGACTAAATTATAATATCTCTGCGAGGAAAATGATTGTGTAATTATCAACACTTAGCTTCTTATTTTAAATGGACTTGTGTGAGAAGTAGAAAGCTATCCTCTGCTCTTATTAGAGTAGCTTTTTATGGTCTTAGGATTATAGCCAAGATATCATTATATTCATTTCTGATGATCTTTTAAAGATTGTGATATAGTTCCCAATGTAATTATCAGATTAACTGGTTTGGTAGCATCACAAGCAAAATTCTCTCATAACATAACTGACACGTACAAACTTGAAAAGGTGATACATACAAGCATCGTGTGCACCCTTAAACAATTCTCGACGCTGAAACAGTTGATGTCCCTCGTCACTGCCCTCATGTGTTCACTCCATTTATCGTTAGTCAGAGGATATTGGACGCAGTGGACAGAGTGGACGGGGTGTTCCCGCCATGAAAACCAGACTAGAAGCAGAACGTGCGTAAATCCTTTGCCAGAAAGCGGACTGGAACTGCTTTGAGGTGACATAGCAGAAACAGAGAGGCGGAACTGTAGTAAGTAGACGTCCACTGTATTTGTAGAGGTAAATGATAACGTTGTTGGTCAGTTGATCATCTGACTTCGAAATGATGATAAGAGAAAAAAGGGTGACAACAAACTTGGACGAACACGCGGCGGTAGTCCGATTTGTCTCTCACAAGTATGATTAGAGACCGAATTGAAACGGCAAAAGTTCTTATTACCAATTGATCATAAAAATTACAATATCCTTAAAAAGAAGAATTGCCAAATTGTGAAAGAGAGGCAAAACTTGCAATTTGCAACATATCAAAGTCATTGCCCACAAAGTAGGACATTTGATACTGGTGATTTTTACATGAGCGTGGCACTATTACGCTTGCTCGGTGTGACCAAAATTCAAGATGGCGGCTCGTCCAAAAAGAGAATCGCGACCACCAAAACGTTTTATTGACGAAGTTGAGCAACCGAAGCCTTGTGCTATGAAAAAAAACCAAAGGAGGAAAATAACCTCTACGTTATTAACAAATTTTTAAATCTCTTCTTGTAATGCCCACAGGACTTTTCTGATCTTGCAAGGGCTTGTTGCAGTCTTTCTTCAATTTTAAGTCTTTTTGTCGCCTCATTAACGACACTATCAACGCATACGAACTTGATTTCCAATGGTCAAGTAGCCTCCTCACGTACGCACCTCCCTTCTTTCTGGCACAATCTATCTTTCCTTTTAGCGTCCAAATTTTTTTCATGATTGTATTTTCCGGATGTCGGGGTCACGCAATACTCTGTTTGGCAAATGTCGCAATGACTTTGATATGAAGCCCCAGTTTAGGAGTCTGTATACTGTTTCTAAGGTGATTGAAACCAAAGTTGTGATTGATTACACTACAACTTTGGATGTGATTGGTTGATTTAAACTACAGCTTTGAACGTGATTGGCTCATTTAACTCTCCAATAACAAACTTTCCGATAACAAACTATCCGATAACAACTTGGCAAGTAAATCAGTGGAAAATAGGAATTTTTAAACCAATCACAATCGAGTAAATTGGAAATTTCATGATTTATTGTTTTATCCAATCAGATATGACCTATTTACTATGACAACTATACTATTATAATATATTTTTTTGTTTTTTCAATTAACAGGTGTTATATCGCTGTCAAATACCTAACTATCTTCAAGTGGTATTTATCACACATCAAGTCTTCCCAGCTTTTCTTTAATGTCAAGTCATTTCAGTGGAACCATGCACTTAAGTCAAGACAACACTACACCAAATCCAAGTCGTTCCTCCGCTGCAATCTTCTTAAGTCAATCTGACGTCACGCTTCCTGCACGTAGTTCTAACGTCACATCGTCTTTAAGGCAATCTATTTCAAATTATTCGTTGGGCGTTCGACCTTTTCTACAGTGTCACAATATTCAAGTGGTGATAATGTAACTGATGTTTTGCTTACTTCGAGCAATTCAGTCGTAACACTCCAGGCAAACAAATCGCTTGACGTCCTTGACACTCGACCTCTTGGTCACTATGGTGCCAGTTTTACATTGTCGTCAAGTCAGCTTGATGCTGGACTCTCTGCGAATCATTATCACGATACTTTTTTGTCGAGTCATCTCGACGTGCCAAGTTCTCATGATGTGATGATACCTCCAAGTCGATATGATGGCTCAACCTCTAAACGTAATTACCTTGTCACGCAATCCACAAGTAAGGACAATGTCACAGTTTCTTCAGGTGCTTTGCGTGTTTCAGCACTTCCAAGTCATTCTGTTATCAAATTATCTCCAGAGAAATCCCAGGTCACACAGTCTGTAACACTTACAACACTTAAACTCACACATCACAAGACAGGATATTCTTCGTTGGAGACAATGAGCTTATTAAGTACTTCCTCTCTTAGTGATAAAGTCGTCACTCACACAAATCATGCAAGCGGAGTTGATTTAAGCTCAAGGAAGACGGATACCTCTACTCAAAATAGGCCCTCAGCTTTGCCCTATTTTTACACACCGTCAATATTTGCATTAAACAAGTCCATTGTTACAAATTTTTACTCAGCTGCAAAAACCAGTGATACATCTGAAAAAGCGAGGCACGACCATACGAACACATCAAATGTTCTCCATTCAACGTCCTTGCCTTCCGGTATAAGTTTTCAGTTCTCATTTCTATCTGGCACATTTATTCCTTCCACCGAAAAAAGGTCTTAAGATCGCGTCACATCATTGGTAAATGAAAGTACTTTGATAAAGCCTTCACTATCCGTAGACAGAGACACACCTTTGACTGCTAATCCAAACTCAAAAACCGTGGACACCTCTCATGCCTCTCCAGTCGACTCATCAATGAATGGCACCTCCTCTAACAAATCTTCTCCAGGATCAAGCTTAATGAATTATACAGTGGAGAATAATAGTGTACACCAAAGATGTATGCTGATGGTGCAACTCTTATGTGCAACTGTTGTTTCTGTGATGTTACCGGTTGTTGATTGAATTGGAGAAAATTTGAAAGTAGTCTCAAAACGCTTTTTTTCCTTTCTAATTTGGAGGATTAATTTTAATAGCATGTTACGCGAGGTTACAGGAATTCAATCACTAACGTAGAAGTTGAATACGTTGTTGACAATTAACCTTCTGTAACGAGAAAGAAGTGTTTGAAAAAGAACTCAAGAAACTGTACACGAAACTGAGAACATTTTAAATTTTCAATGCATGTCGAGGGAATAAGTGCTGTTTACGACATAAATAATAAAAAAAAAAAATTTTTAGAACGTCCTCATTACTTTTAACTTTAATTGGGAAAATAACGCAAAAGAATTTGAAAACAATTTTTCTTGCCAAATAGCGTGATATAATATTCTCCTTCACTTCTTCTCAGTTTTTTTTCAATTTTTAGTAACTTATTGATTAACCAAACATTTGTTTAAATGTGTTATACAGCGGAAAGAAATCATCTTACACTTTGTACAATTATTGAGATAGCATGAAAATGTCATAACAAGTAACTAATTATATCAAAATGTGTTTACCGCAAATTAAATATTGAGTGTTTTGGTGAGATAAGTAGCAGAGAATAACACGATTCAACGGATACTGCAGGAAAATTTGGGTTGTTTTTCATATAAATACAAAGGAAAGAGCCTCTCTGATGAGTACGGTGTTTTTTCATGGAAATCGAATCCTGAGGGATGAAAATCTTACGTGCAGTTCAGGTTCAGGTAAGCTTTTGGTTAATATTCCTAATGATCAACATGAATCACCGAAGAGAAAACATCGGAAGTACGGGTCGTAACCACTGCGTTGAGTGCTTTTCTGGTGAAAAATAGAGAATCTTTGAGGCAAGACATTTTCAGTAATCGCTGTTAATCGCAAGGGGTTTTGTCTCGGTGACAAACTCAAGTGACTTAGTCTTAATAATTGGAATGAACTCGTGTCAATGCAATTTATGGAAATGTTTATGATAGGTTTTTTTTTTTATGGAAAACGTTCATTAGAGCAAATGGAACACCTTGCAAAGTAAGAGAAAGTAATTGGCGATGGGAAATTTTAAGGTTATCAGCGTTCTTACGCACCCAAAGATTTTCATTCCAAACCTAAGTATTGAAAGTTGGTATGACAATGATTTTTTTCGCTCTTACATCACAAGTTCCATGGCCTTCATTAGTGGACTATTGCTGTTTAATTTTCGCGCTATTTACGGAAGAAGATTTCAAGTTATTAGCACGCACTTCAACTTAATTGAGTTGCACAAGCTGGCAAACATAACGACGGCCTAATTTAATTTCGCTGGCATGAAATCTTTTCCCATTAATTCAAACAAAAGCTGACGCAATTCACACTTATCAACAGTTGCGTAGAACCGTGATGTGAGTTTTTGTAAATATTGTTTACGTCATTCCATTTGGTTTTGATCCTGCTTGTTTTTCTCGAAAAATCAAAAGCTCACTAGTTCGTTTTATTGCACAGAGAACTTCGGAAACGGTTGAATTAAATTCCGTCCAATCCTCATATACTATTCAGAACTTCTTTTCCTCAGATAATGTGGAATGGTTCAACTAATTAAAATAAATGAAGTGTCATATCTTTCCTTCTCATTGGAATTTTTCCCCACTGACACGATGAACCAGTTTACATAACGTATGTAATGTGCAAACAAATAGCATTTTTTCTTCGTTTGATTGAAGGTCTACATCCTTATCCTTTCAAATCTACTTGTTATCAAGTTAACAGAAGGTAAGATCTCAAATTCCCAGTGCGCCGTTACTATATGTATTACCTCTTCTAGTCTGTACTGTAATCAATAACTCAGTTACTTTGCAAGTTATTGTTGAAGTCAGATAAAATGGCGCTGTCTTGCCAATGACACTATTGGTATCACTGACCTAAAGTGATACCAATATTCAAGTGCTTTTCAAGATTCGTCAGCTTGTTTAATTTTTGTGTCTCCTCACCTTGTGATATTTAGCAAGAGAAGGTAAATCTACGAGATTCTTTGGTTTTATCAATCAAGTTATTAAATGTAATAGTGTAGGAAGCGTGGCAGTCGGAGCGATTGATCGAACCGAGAAGACGAAAGAAGAACAGGAACAAACAGAGAGCAGTTTACAAGATCAGTTGCTCCGACTGCCACGCCTCCTACATCGGTGAAACTGGCAGGAACCTCACAACTAGACTGACTGGACACAAACGAGCGACGAGGAAAGGCGATGTCAACAATCACATTGCTGAGCATCACCGACTTACGAACCCCACTGTTGACTAGGACTCTGCACAATGCCTAACCTACAGCACCAACTACTTTCAACGACTGACTCTGGAAAGCTGGTTTACTAACTTGGAACAGACTCCCCTCAACAGGTGTCAACCACCACCGGCACCATACAAACGACTCATCCACGACATTAACATTACAAACGAGCATAACAGAACGACCTAACTTTACTAACAGGTCGAGACTGACCAATCACGACCGACCTACGTCACTTGAGTCTTACAGCCAATAACATCACGGCAAAAATGCCCAATCGGTCTATACAAACCGGACTAAGAACATTCGACTGACAACAACTATTCACCTGACTCTGAAGATAACTTCCGCTCAAGTTGTCAAAACGTCAGTCACCACTACCGACAACAGTCCTTCTAAGGACTACACTCACCCGGAATATCAAACTAAACTATTACATGTTACCCCCGGGTTCAAACCATTTACTGTATCAAGTTATTACAGTAAATTGGTCATCGTTAAGAGAATGTACAGCTAACGTTTGGAGCGTTATCGCATTTCGGATTAGAATATTTTTGAGACAACAGGAAAACTTTTTGTGAACGCTAGTGTAAACTCCCCAGCGCCTTTATGTTCCTTGAGTTGTTACTCACAGAGTGATAAAATAACAATTCTCCCCATTTCAGCCGGAGAGCTATTTTACATCACAGATTGGGAAGGAGAATTACGTACTCCAGACTACCCTAACACATACCCTACCAAATCCAATCTCACTTGGATCAAGTCTGTTTCACCTGGAAATAGAGTAAAGATCACTGTCCGAGATCTTGAGGTAAAGAATACGGCAAACCTAAATAACATCATTCTTGAATAATTCTTGCCTCTCTTACTTATAGTTGAATTGGACACTAGCAAGCGGGTAAGCTCAGTCGCCCTACGTGAAGTTTGATGAATGCAAAGCCTTCCTTTAGTGGAGGATTTCTCAAAGAGCGGCTGATAACAGAGCCCGCCAATATAATCAATCCTCTCTTAACGGTCACGTAACCCATTAAAGCACTTCATTTTATGCGGAAACCGCTCTTATAAGGTAGATTGATAAACTCGTAAACGGTTGTTTCCTGTTCTTGATTATTGGTTTTCGTATGACTTTCCTCTCAACAGACGCAATGCAATGGAGACTACTTAGAGATCAGAGATGGGGACAGCGTGGTGTCTCCGCTGATTAGGCGATTTTGTGGGAAACTTGATAGGTCGCAAAGCGAGATTATTTCATCCGGGACTAGCATCTTATTGCGCTTTGTGTCTGACAATGTAAATGACACCTTCATGGATCGAGGATTTATCTTGCAGCACATTGGTGGGTTAAATAGTTCCAACTAACTAATGTTCAAGGGGTTGAGGGTGAAGGTTACAGTATGATTAACTGGGATTCCACAGCCGGAATAGGTGCTTTTCAACACAATGTTCCTTCAACTATCCGCTATCGGGAAGGAGCCTTTTGATTATAGAAAAATTGGCCTTAGCGGTAGACGAGTGTATCATCACGATGATTAACCGTCATCTTTTTCACAATATGGATATCACTCCGCTTTCTCGCAGAAACGTGATGAGAAGAAAGACAAAGATTAACTAAGGAACATTGTTTGATTTGACACAAAATTCTTGGAGCTAATTATGAGACACCTATAAAAGTACAAGAACATGTTGATTTCTTATTTCTGTTTACAGGAATATGTAAAGTACACATTAATCAGACCACCGGAGTCATCACCACGCCAAATTACCCTAACAACTACCCGAACTATATGGACTGTCTCTGGACGATACAGCTTCACCCTGCCATGCTAATCCCGCTAGTATGCGACGAAATCGCCATAGAAAAGGAAGAAGGCTGTCCGTATGATTACATGGAGATACTGGAGGGCGATGGTCTTCACTCTATGGTCATAGGAAGACATTGCGGAGTGTTGAATCGATCTCTGACAATCGAGCGAAACGGAAGTTTGAGCATACGGTTCGTGTCCGACCAGGATAAAGAAAATAAAGGATTCCGTTGTTCATATGACATCCTCAGAGGTTAGTTAGTAGTAACCAACATTCACTGTTAGTAATATATCTCCAAATAACCAAACTAATTGGCATTTCTCATGATACATCGCACGATTCACCTATCTTCTCTCTGTCTCTGTAACGTGTTCCTTAGAAAGAGAATCAAAGTAAGAGACTGAATCCCCGGCAGACGTCTTGCTCCGAAGGTCCTGCCGCTCATGTTACTCAAATTTTCTGGTTTGTCGCCAATCACTTGCCATCTAAAGATTTAATTCGTGTAGTAAATGCTATTTGTAAATGTCACATAAGAGAGATCTAAAAATAGCTCACTAGTGGGGGTAAAGCCTTTAATGACTATACAGTCTCTTGATTTGATCTTCTCACCTCGTCTCTATCAAGAAGGGAAGAAATATTTTGGCTATAATCGCCAAATACCATAAACCGTAAACTTGTGCATTAAACATAATTAAATGACAATATCTCTGTGAAGTAATTTATTCAATAATTATCAACACTTTACTACTTATTTTAATTGGACATGTGCGGGAAGTAGAAAGCTATCCTCTGCTAATATTAGAGTAGCATTTTATAGTCCAAGGATTAGAGTTAATATATCATTATATTTATTTTTGATGATATTTTAAAGATTGTGATATAATTCTCCAAGGTAATTAATAGATTAACTGGTTTGGTAGCACATAAAGCACCACTATATCACAAGCTAAATTCTCATATAACATAACTGACACGCAAAAACTTGACAAAGATGATCGCTCCGCAATTCATATAAACATCACTGGACTAGTAACCTAACTGCACTGTAAAGGAAAAAGTCAAACAGAAAAGCGTCGTGTGCACCCTTAAACAATTGTCGACGCTGCAACAGTTGATGTTCCCCGAGACTGCCCTCACGTGCTCACACCATTTGTCGTTAGTCAGAGGATACTGGACGCAGTGGACAGAATGGACGGAGTGTCGTCGTCATGAAAACCAGACTAGAAGCAGAACGTGCATAAATCCTTTGCCAGAAAGCGGACTGGAACTGCTTTGTGGTGATGTAGCAGAAACAGAGAGGCGGAACTGTAGTAAGTAGACGTCCACTTTCTTTGTAGAAGCAAATGATAATGTTATTGATCAGTTCATCATCTGACTTCCAAATGATGATAAGAGAAAAAAGGGTATATTTAAGTTAAAGTTAAATTATTATATTAAAGAAAAAAGGGTGATAACAAAATCGGGCGACCACGCAGCGGGAGTCCGATTTGTTTCACACGAGTATAATTACAGACCGAATTCAACGACACGAAGTCTTATTACCAATTAATCATAAAAATTACAATCTTCTTGAAAAGAAGAATAGCCAAATTATGAAAGAAAAGGAAAACTTGCAATTTGCAAAAAGCCCCAACTTAGGAGTCTGTACACTGTTTCTAAGATGATTGTAACCAAGGTTGTGATTGATTGATTGATTGATTTAACAAACGATAACAAACTGTTTGATAATAACTTGGCAAGTATATTAGTGAAAATAGGAATTTTTTAACTATCACAATCGAAGAAATTTTAATCTTATGATTAACTTTTTAATCCAATCAGACTTGCCCTCTTTACTATAACAACTATACTATTACAACATTTTTTCTTTTTTATCTTTTCAATCAACAGGTGTTATATCACTGTCAAACACTATCCTACTATCTTCAAGTGGTACTTACCACGCATCAAGTCTTCCAAGCATTTCGTTAATGTTAAGTCATTTCAGTGGAACTGTGTACTTAGGTCAAGACAACACTACACCAAATCCACGTCATTTCTCTGCTGAAATCTTCATAACTCAATCTGATGTCAAGCTTTCTGCGAGCAATTCTAGCGTCACATCGTTTTTAAGGCAATCTATTTTAAATTACTCAATGGTTGCACCGAGACAGCCCTTTTCCACATTGTCACAATATTCAAGTGGTGATAATGTAACTGATGTTTCGCTTACTTCAAGTAATTCAGTCGCAGCACTCCAAGCAAACAAATCGCTTGACGTCCTTGACACTCGATCTTTTGGTCACTATGGTGCTAGCTTTACATTGTCGTCAAGTCAGCTTGATGTTGGACTCTCTGCGAGTCACGATACTCTTTCGTCAAGTCATCTCAACGTACCAAGTTCTCGTGGTGCGATGGTACCCTCAAGTCGGTATGACGGTTCAAGCTCTAAAAGAAATTACCTTGTCACACAATCCACGAGTCCAAGCCATCGTATTGTTAAGTTATCTCCAGAGAAATCCCAGGTCATGCAGTCTGTAACACTTAAAACACTTCAACGCACACATCATAACACAGGATATTCTACGTTGGAGACAATGAGACTCTCATCTTTGCCCTATTTTTACACACCGTCAATGTTTACATTAAACAAGTCCTTTGTTACAAATATCAACTCAGTTGCAAAGACCAATAACACATCTGAAAAAGCCAGACGCGACCATATGAACACATCCTTGCCTTCCGGCATAAGTTTTCAGCTCCCAGTTCTCTCTGGCACATTTACTCCTTCCACCGAAAAAAACTCTCAAGATGGCATCGTACCATTGGTAAATGAAAGTACTTTGATAAAGCCTTCACTATCCGTAGACAGAGACACACCGTTGTCTGTAAATCCAAACCCAAATACCATGAACACCTCTCATGCCTCTCCAGTCGACTCATCAATCAATGGCAACTCTTCTCACAAATCTTCTTCAGGATCAAGCTTAATGAATTATTCAGTGGAGAATAGCAGTGCACACCACAGATATATGCAGATGGTACAACTCAGTAAACCAGACAATGTAACTCATATCCAAACCCGTCTGACGAACATCATTTCCGATGCAAACAATTCCTCGCTTTCTACCCATAAACTTTCTTTACTGAAGAATAACCTTGACGCTACGTTGACGAAAAGATCCAATCATTCATCATTTCCATCATCAAACATCATCCAAAATTTCACCTCAGACGTGAGCATCTTAACAGATTCTTCTTCTGATTTTCTACGCGACATATATACAAACAGACTTGCTTTATCCAGTGTACAAAGTATAGATAGAACAATCTTTGCTACTAAAGGTTTCAAGGCCACTATCGCCAAATTATCATCTTTTTCTAAAGCGTCAGGTAAACGTTCTTATTGTTATTTTATTATATAGGACAAACCCTTCGAGTACATGAAATCGAGTGTTCTTTGTAAACTTCTCGAATACAGAAATAAAAAAGTGAGAGAAGTCTGGGCTCTTGGTTTTCACTTCTTCGTTCAGCTTTCAGGCTTTTTCTTTCCATTTTTTAAAGTTCCTGTGATAAAATTATTTTCCGTTTTGTGGCGGTACTTTGTAACATCGGTATTCTCCTCAAAAAGTTAGTACTTGAGGCTCAACGTTTGTGTACCAGATGAAGTTTTCCTGACTTAAGGCTAAACGTGCGCGTGTCAAAGTTGATTTCTCTCGTTAGGTTGATTCTTTTAAATTTTGGTTGTTCCACAGAATCTGCAGGTTTGGTCACTCTCATTTCTCAGAGAATCCAAGCTACCCCGAGTTTTTCGCTTCCCTCTCGGAAAGACAGCAACACGCCCGTAACTGGAGAGACTTATGCTCAACCTTCTGGCAGAATGTATTCGTTATCAACTCCAGCTCATCAAAGGCTTCAATCTTCTTCGCCTGTTTCCATTCCAGCGACGGCTCATAACCCTTTATTGGGAGACAGGACTACTCTGATGAAAACCACGTCATCACGAAATTTCTTAATCAAAAAGCCTCATACAAGAGTCGATCCGTCATCGACTCCTCACAGACTATTTGTTACTGAAATACACGTTTACACTTCGTTTCAAGGCCCTCAATCATCTTCACCAATGTCAACCACCTTTTCAACAATTGTAGGTACGTATGAGGATAACAATAGCTTCAAAATAACAGCAGAATGTACAAAAGGCAGTGACATGGCACGTATTACAATTTTCTTAACTTCTTGTTATAAGTGTAGCGGTAATTAGTATAAATCAACTGTTGTTCTCTAACAAATGCTGCAATTTGATTTTCTGCTCTACTCGCTAGTCATTCCGTTATAGCTATTGAGTAAAGTGAGTAACTTGATAGTGTACAGTATTTGAAAAAATGAATGAAAATAAACATATAGGCCTGTCTCGTTAAAATCTGAACAACTTGTAGATTCATACCAAAATGATAAGAGTATTCGGTCTAGCTTTGTATGTATGATAACGGTCACGCGACAGAAATTTCGAGCTCACAATTTAGTGCGAAATGCAGCGAGCTAATGATTAGCGAACTGAACCTGAGATCTTAAGTTTCGATCCTTGGTCATCCTTGGCTAGGATCAACGTTTCATGTCAGTTCCTGGGCACTCAAAGAGGTGTAACGTTTACTCTCGCCCCTCTCTGCTCAAGAACATAAAACATTGAACAAATTTTCACGATGTCACTAGTGTTGGAAATGAACTTGAGATTGATACAAAAAGACATGTACGACCAACACAGTGATGAAAAACGTGAGATGACTTTTAATTGCATTAATCGGACCGGTGTGGAATAAACATTGGAGCATTTCTAAATTTATTTTTTCTTTAAGCTGGGGTAATTGATGGTTAATTAATTTTTCTCCTCCAGCTCAAGGCCCAACGGGTAAACCAGACAGGCCACCAATTTTGAAGTTCCCTTGGCACTTAACACCTTTTTTGGTCATCATATTTATCATCCTTGTGGTTCTTGCAACTTACTACTTACGTGTTCCTGACGTTGTCCAAGCTATCATCCTTGCAGTAAAGGAAAAGAGGAAAAAAGAGAAGGAATCGAAAGCAAACGACCTTGACCTCGATACCGCAAACCTCGACTTGAGGAAGGGCAACTTCTCCACTGAAGGTTTGCAAACATCGCACTTTCATTCTTACCAGAGAGAGGTGTTTTACGAGGAGGCACTAAACTACGCATTTTTTGAGACGGCAGCAATGAAAACCGTCGAATTCTCTGTTCGGCTTGATGATGAAAACCAGCAAAATTCAGAATCGGAGGAATCTGTGGAAATATCTTGTGAAATGGAAGAGGAAGCCGTCAATAAAAAGCAAGGGTCTGATACACTAAGTGAGATGTTCCATGCTTGTGAATCTGATATTGAAACAAACAAACATGTACAAAAACGGTTTCCTTCCGTGGACCTGAGAAGGAGGAGCAACGACTTACAACTCCAACATACAGCGCCTTCGTATGAAATGTAGGATTAAATTTTCATAATCTTTTACGAGCTGGCAATACTGCTTCTATGAAAATAGTGAATAGAAACTGTAAAGATAATTTTCGTCCAAATTTAAGCTTGCAAAGATCCTTATATTTATTTGAAGTGATCATAAAATCTTAGGCTTGATTTAAAATAACAGCTGACCTATCTATCTTTTGAATCCAAGTTTTTGCAAGAGACATACGTAATTGAAGGTAGTGAACAGAGTCAAGGATATTATTTTCACAAAAACTTATGAAGGTTAGGTTTCCAACGCTGATAAATAAGCGCTTGCTTATGTACAAAGTCAAGGGTGAACCACATCCAAATTTATATTTGTAATACTTTTAATGGTCATAATTCGACTTAATTTCTGAGACAATCAGACTTCTCCATGATCAGCCATGGTTGCCATTCTTGAGCATAAGGGGTAAAATTATCTCCATTAGATGGAGTTAGATTTATAAAAACTTTAAACACACACAAACAAGACTCGTAAATTTGATGTAATATCACAGGTGGATAATGGCTTCTAAGGCTGTTCCTTCCGTTCATCATAGATATTTGGTTTTCACGTCAACTTTTTTTAACGATAATTGATTAATTTGACAGATTAACAGATTAGCCGTTACTAACCTCATTCCAACAACAACCTTCCTATTTCAATCTCTTTTTCCCGTATTTAGAGCCAATCATTTCCTTATCTTAAAACCTCTAAAATTCGATTGGTCCAGTACAAGTAGTGACCGCGCCCATGACGTACACAGGATAGCCATTCGTTTACAATAATCTATAAATATTTCCTCGTTATTTATCCCATTACCCTTCCCTCCCCAACAAACAAAGGAAGTCAACCTTACGATTGCCATATTTGTGAAGTCTTCCGGCTAATTAAAAGTAAATTTTATCCCGCCCACTTGGCTATGAGCCGAATTCAAATATTTAACTTGATTGAGCCACGCATGTCTGTCTTGCAAGCTTGATGTCATTTCATGACTCTGTCCCAGGCGGCCGCATTTTTCTGCTCCAGTGATGGCCAAGCGATCGAATGACATTTGATTGTAAGTTTAATTTAGCATAAATAATTTTCTTTATGCGGTTTGAAATTACATCGATATACTTAAGCTTACAAAATCAAGCTGGTGCTTGAAATCATTACTAAAAATTGTTTTCAAAACAAGAACCAATTCATTGGGCGAACTTTTGTTTGTGTATTTACACTGAACAGGTACTCAAGGAAAATAAAACATGAGAATTACCAGACCATTCAGTGTGTCACTGATATAATTTTTTGTGTAAATCTTTCGTCGATGTTGTATTGCAGGACCTACGTTTTCCGTGTTTTTTTTCGAAATATTAGTTTTTGCTGTTACAAAGAGCAGATTTCACGAAGGATGATGTTTTATGTGATGAAGTTCTATCGAGGGTCGGTCTAACAGGGTCTGATGAGGGTCGACCACGTTCAAACTGCGTTAACGTTCCTCGTAGTTTTTCTACTCTTTATCCGGTTACATGGAAAAGCTGTGAATGGAAGTGAATTCGGTAAGATGCCTTTGACGTTCACATATTTTAAGTTTGTGTTTTTGTAGACATAAGAGTAACATTCAAAATTTACGGGTTTCCTAACACTCGTGAGCAATATGATTTGTAATTAACATGTCACTGCAACAGCAGGGGTAGTAAAGTTTACAAAGATTAAAGTAACGTGGATTTCATCAAGTGTTATGCAATTTAAGGAAACCAGTCCATTGAATAATAGAAAAATAATAGGTTTTTGGGGGTGGGTGGTGCTTAAATTTTGATCTGAAAATTGAGCTAGGGAAACCCTAGTTTTTTAGGGAGTTACAAGGTCAAAACCAAACATGGTGAATATAATCTGTAAGGTTGAAATACGGCTGAATTGGGCGTCGTCTGCATTTCTATAAAGAGGGTCTTGATGGGGTGATGGCTAAAATTTTGGTGATTCTTGCGGCTAATGGTTAATTTTTCCGTTATGGTACTCTCATAATGACACTTTCTACATTAGAAACGTTTTTAAGGTTAACGTTTTTCACGACTACCGGTTAAATGTTGAATGTGTTCAATTTTTCTGCCAAACGGCTAAACTTTGGTTTTTTTTTATTAACGGTTAACTTCGTTGAGAACCTCTGTGGAGGAGGCGGTCCAGTCACTTTTATTGCTTCAAAAGGACAAATAGTGGTGAACCAGATTCCAAATCTGATTTATAGTTGAGTCAGAAACGATTGTTCATTCAAAACATTTTGAAATAGTCAACAGGTTAGAATTTTCAACTCGGTTGGTGGTCAAAAGATTCTAAAAGCAGGTCTTAAGAAAGGACTGACCACTTTTGTAAACATCACTGAGTTAAGAACACGCAATTGATCGTCCCACCCACGTGCACATACACGATGTTCGAGTCACGTGTACCTCGCGACAAATCGTGTAACAGTTGTAAAGGCTGACCATTAACCAGAATTGATCGACCCTATAAATCAATTTATGAGTGAAACATATCCATCAGAATAGTGGTAAAATATAGGCAGACAGTTGCTAAGTAAATAATGAAATTCTCGTTATAAATGAACCGAGATGGTCAGCTAGTCCTGATTGATGACCTGAGGCTTTACTTCATCACGCTGTATGATTGGGCTTGAAAATTAGTACCAATTTCTCGTCCAATGCGATTCCGGGCTAAACTAACTGCGACTTGGTCACTTGCGTTTTCCTGCGCTTCAGAAAGTTTGCTTGTTTTTGTTTCGAGTACTCATTGGCTCCGTATCGTATATTTCTTTCTTCTGATTTGAAACTGTGGCTGCTCTACTTTTGGTTTACCGAACCTCAAACTTAATGGCGCTTTATTGCGTTCAATTGGATTGTAGAAAGAAAGAACTCCACCCAAACTCCTTTCAAGTGCTTCACCCCCTTTAACAGAATGTTTAGTGCCCCTGGGATTTCAGTTTATTCTATAATAGTAAATAGAATGCAACTGCTCTTATTTCTCCAATAACAGTTATTATCGAAGGTGACATGAAGGTTGATAAGCGCTTTATTGAGCATTATATGAGAAGAATAAAAAAGCGTGGTGCTATCCTAAACCGAAGAGTTGGTGCGAGTTATTACTGGCCCGAAACGATCGTAGACGGAAACAAAATTGTGCGAATACCCTATACACTGAACATTGGATTCTACAGTAGATTGTTCGGTAAGAAAAGTTATAACACGTAAATGATTCTTTCCCTTACCCTTTCCACGTTCATTTCATTTTACTGTTGTCAAATTGGCAAATTGATTCCTTGCTGCCATGCGTGTGTTCAATGATAGATCACAGATGATGTCAAGGTGTAATAGGAAAGCGCAGTCGAGTGTGACACTTATTTTGATGTCTTTTGTGATTTATAACCAAACAGACCAACTGTAATATGGAATCTATTTGTTTTATGCAATAGAGAAGCAAAAAGTGTTAATGGTGACGTTATATATGCGTCTGTCCTCCAATAGATCATAGCGCTTATTTCAGCTTATTTACAATTCGGTGTTGTTGATGATAATGATGATGATTTTCATGAGGAGGGCTTCTGTTTGAAATATATAGCGTGTTTAAAATAGACCTCATCAGGAAATTATCAGCAATTTCAGTCATATCTGGGACTTCCTGCGAAGAAATATGTTGCATATTCCAAGAGGCTTTGCAATACAGATATACTCTCAATAAATTGACTATGGGTTGCTCTTGTCGTTCAGACTTATTTCGTTAGCCTGGATACTATAGGGTAAGTCTTTAAAAAGCTCTCTTGCCACCGATTTAAAAGAGTTTTAAAGCACTTATTTGATAATTTTCCAAGTGAGGTAACGCTATACGCGACATGATAAATGGTATTATTTGATGTTTTCTTTTCAGGAAATGATATGGTAAATGGTTTTCTAGCAGCCGTCCAAGAATTTGCTAAGCGGACCTGCCTTCGTTTTGAAGAGAAAGAGGACGAAGACGAAGATTACTTAGAAATTTTCAGTGGTCCGGGGTAAGGAATTGAAAGATTATACCGATGTTCCATTCCAATTTCTCGATGCATATGTATTTATCATTTGATGTGGCCTCTATGGAGTCTGATGAAGAAAAGATAGCCCACGTAGGAATGAACTCATTCACGAACGAACGCAAGTGTGCACGCACGCAGGCATGCACGAACAATGGATGGATGAATAAGAATGGATATTAGACAAGTAACGAAAAAGGATACTTAGAGCCAAGTTTAAAATGATCAATCCCTTTCACAGTGCTTAGGTCTCATTCACCACATGATGAAGGGCTAACAATCGAGACGTAAGCTTTAGAGACTCTTTACGGTGGCCAGTTTACATTTTCAACTTAGTTGATGGAAGCAAATTATTTTGTAATGCCCTCCGCCGACGCAGTACTACAGTCTTTGTACAAACTTTTCCTCTTTTGATGAAAGTTGAGCCTCGCGGCTCTTTAAACACCTCGGCATGTCTTGCCTAGCTGATTATTCCCTGATCTGAATTGACAGATGCTTCTCTATGATTGGACGGCGCGGCGGCAAACAAGAAGTTTCACTTGGTAAAGGATGTGAGACGAAAGGGAAAGCGACCCACGAACTGATGCACGCCCTTGGGTTTTTGCACGAGCAGAGTCGAAAAGACAGAGATCGACACGTTACTATCTTAACTCAAAACATTCTGGATGGTTTGTCAGAAATTCAATTATAAATGACACTTACCATGTGAACTAACATATGACTTCAGATACTGTATGGAACTGCTTTAGAACAGATTTATCCGAACAATTCAGTCAGCCGTCTGGTTCGGTCAGTGGGTCTGATTCGGTCCACGATCAGAGTCAGTCAGTCAGTAAGTGAGTCAAAAGTCAGTCATTTAGTCACGGTCAGTCAGTCAGTCTGTCAGTTAGTCAGGCAGTTGGTTAGTAAGTTAGTTAATTAGTCAGGCAGTCATTTGAACAGTCAAACAGGTGAATAATACTTGCTAGTCACTTCCGAACTAGCCACTGAGCGTTATCAATATTAACTACCTTTAGAAGGTGTTATCTTTTTTTTTTACTCAGATTAAATGTTTCACAGTTTTATGCTCTGTTTATCTTTAAATTTGATATTTCTTCTTTCTAGTTGGAGTGTCAGAATTCAAGACGTATAATCAGGACAACGGCAACTTACCGTACGATTTTCACTCTATTATGCATTATAACAACAAGATTTTTAGCAAAAATGGTGAAAATACAATCCAAGCTCTCATCGACCCCAAGATGACCTTGGGGCAAGAATACGGACTTTCAGCATTGGACGTTGTAAGAGTAAACATGTTATACAAATGTCCTCAGCTTCGGACGGATCGTAAGTGAATGTATGTTTTGTAATACACTTATCGTATCTGCCTCTAGCTTTGGTGAATGGATTGTTCTGTCGGTTGAAGAGTCAGTCAATCAGTGAATAAATATTCGATGAACGCGCCGATGATTGAATGGATGGATGAAAAAAAGAAGGAATGAAAAATGATTAAATGAAACAAACATTTAAAAAAGGAAGATGTGGGTAAATGAAGGAATCGAGTAGATAATAAATCAGATTGATTGATTGAATGAATGAAAATGAATAAAGGAATGAATAGAAAAGTAGATAAATGGATGGATGGATGAACAGGAGGAATGATGGCTGAAATAGTTTCGACATTGAGACATAGAAACAAAAAAATTGCACAACCAGATATTAGCGTCACGCAAACCAGTTTGCCTTTTTCGAATTTTGACCTTCCGAGATTAATTAACTTTAACGGTATGCTCTTCTTTAAAGTTGCACAGCTAAAACTTTTTTTTAATAATTACATTGTGCAATAGTGGTGCTCTACTTTGTCACTGTTTACACGTCTAATGATTACTGGGCCGGCACCGACTCAAGGGTTGATATTGTACTTGACGGAGCGAAAGGGGACTCGGGAGAGATAGAATTGGAATCTCCTGAAGATGTTCCAGACCCATTTGAACGGGGAAGGTGAGATTACTAATTGCTTTATCTGTTACCTTCTAGTTGAACAAACCTGCTGTCTTATCTTAATTTGGTTTCAATCACGTTGGTTGTTCCTGGAAGTGTTGTTTTCGTATGAGTCAAAAGAGGATTAATATCCATATGAATAGTGACAATGATAATGATAATCATTTATTTCTAGCACTTTACATCAGTGCTTTTACAAAAATTGTAATAATTTAGGATCCGGGAACACTTTTACCATAATCATAATATAAAACCAAACAAAGAAGTAGATTGACATGCTCAAAGATTACATAAATAAGCCCTAAGTCTGTTTTAAAAATATCAACAGACGGGACGCTCCTCACCTCTAACAGAATTGTTCGTAAAACTACAGATGAGTATCGTGGTTAAGCGTAAGTCGTTAATAGTGGTTCACTTTTCGCCCGATTGTTGACGTCCCGCTCGTCATGAGAGCGGGGTGCTTGCGTACGAAGCTGGAAAATTTGAAGCTTTTTTCATTTCAAGCTCTCTTTGAGGCTTGCCTTTGACTTAACAAGTATAGAGAACTGATAAAGAGACATTTTATATGATACTTGTTACCCAAAAAATATTTCTTATGTGATGATTAAATGTCCCTAATGTCTGAAATCTTATCATTTTCAGTGAGGATACATTTCCCGTAATTTCTCCTGCTGTTGGAGAATTAAAAAGGCTTCGTATCAGGTTGGCCGGAAGTAGCTGGAGCTGGTTCAATGGTTGGAAACTTGAAAAAGTAAGAAAAAAATTCTTTTCCGTCGTTCACCCTTGGAAAAGCTTTCAGGTTTTTATGACGCATAGACAACAATAACTAGAACAACTTGTTAAAGGCGCACAGGACGAGAAAAGAAGCGTGGTTCATTTATACATCGGTGTTACTGTGCCTCTCCAACCCTTATTGATATTTAGCACTGAAACGTTTAGTGCCAGTTGTTTAAACAACGTTTTAGACGTCGTGTAGCAAAACCGCGTTCCAAACTATCATGAATTTTGCTCAATCTTTCAGCCGAACATTTATTTTTGTGAACTGTGTCAAGAGGTTCAAAAGCTAGCAGTGGAAAGGTATTTATTTCTCTTATAGAGAAAGGTCCACTGCTTGCGTAAAACTGCGGTTTGGCTTAGACCTTATGTAAATAACCGGCTTTCAGCATCGGTTATTGAAACGAGATACAATTTTGGCGGCGGTTTTTGACGATCAATGAACTTTGAAAGTTCCTTATAGGGAGGTTTTGAAGTTATTAGATTTTTCTTTTAGTGTTAAATAGAAGCCCTTTGACAGTTTCGCAGAAACTTAAAGTTTTGAGGTTTTTTCCTGCTTGATTCAAGATTCTTTAGAGCGCGGTTTGGATGAAAAAAGATTAAACTTTGCTTTAATAACTGGCCTTAAGGGTTGAAACATGATTGAGGTTCGCAAAAGTATCGTAGTTTGTGTCTGCTTAAAAGAATATCGAGCAGTGGCGTGTAAAGGCCCCCCTACCCTTAATCCCCTACCCAGGCTTCCCACGGCTTTAGTCTCTTGCTCGAGCTTACCACCAACTAGAGGTGGGTAAAGGTGGATGAACTGCCGATGCGAATTTGGTAAGCTGATGCATCTTTAGTTCGATGTCGCGAAGTTGGCGCGACGCCTTTTTTCTTTTCTTGATGATACAAAATCCTGTGATAACATTTCAGACCACTTGGTGTTCGCATGGAAGACAACCTTTTTTTTTTTCTCTTTCTCTTATAGGTGAAAATAGAAACACCAGATAACAAGAAAATTCATTTCAAATATAATGAGTGGATTTATTCCGGCGATCATGTAACTTTGTCGCCCTCTACTAGGAGGAAAAGAAAGCGAAAACAGAAGATAGCTTAAGCTTGTCGTTTACTCGGGGTAGTGCGATATAAGAGAGGAACTTTTGACCAGATCCCGGACAAAGGCGACGCATCCAATCCAATTATCTCGTTACTTTGTCCGTCAAAAATTCGGTCAATGTTCGGTCCACAGTCGACCAATTGTGGTCGACGTATCCAATCCGACAATCTCGTTAACTTATCCGTCAAATAGTCGGTCAACGTTCGTTCCACAGTCGACCAATTGTGGGCTGACTGATGACCGACTATGAATCGATTATTTATCGTCTTTCGACCGATTAAAGGCTTTGGTCACCTCTTTTAACAACAAAAGCCTTGAATAAATGAGGAACTGCAACCTGGTTCCTGGGGTCCTCTCTCTTTCTCTCTCGAGTGAGGAAGGGAGAACACCTGAGAACGAGGTTTGAGAAAATGAAGAGCGATATTGTTTTTATTTATTAACGGGAGGCACCTGTTACCCGTTGTATGAAGGATGGGAAATCTCACTGAAGGAAAAACTTCTTTAGCCTCGGTTGCACTCACTGCGTAGAGTAAAAACTATCAATGGTGATCACATGTAAAACAGATTATATATACAACAATTTTTTTGTAAGTAAGGCTTTGAAAAGTTTTATTCTGTTATTTTATTGCGGGTTATAGCTTAGCTATTCAGTACTACTCTCTTAGAATTATTAGGAACATTGACTGTAACAAAATTTCAGTATAGTTTCGAGCAATTACGACTTCATTTATATTTTTTTTTGTACGTAGAGTTCATAAGATGAGATGGCTTTTATTTGTTTTGTAGAATACATTTAGCTTCACTTTTCAGTGTATAGTTTCAATTTGTGTACTCTCAAAAAAAAGCTGTTAATAAACAGTTCAAATTTCTTGTGCCTGAATATTTTATGAGGAGAGAGAAGATCAAAAACCATACGAATGGTTGATTCTTTGTTCTTCAAGCAACCTAGAATCTTTAATTTTCGCCGAGGTCACACTTAGTGAAGAAAGAGAAAAAAAGCGAGCAAGCTGAGGCCTGGGGAGGAGTAGTGAAGGAGAGTTTCCGCCCTTCCTCGCCTCTCCACAGATCCCCTCCTTGTTTTTCTCTCGCTAGACTCACATTGCGCGTCATCACAAGCTGACCGCTCGCAACAGACAATCCTACCCTAAGACTGTAAGTCCGTAGATCAACGGAGGATGCCTGCTGCGAACAGATATTTTGTTTAGTAGCAAGCTCATTAACTAGGGGAAAAAACCTCATATTTCCAAATTTTGTAACAATCGAGTTTTACAGATGGGTACTTGAAAGTAGATGATTCGTGTATGCACGTATGTCTAGTTACTTCGGATGCAAATGATTTTCCATTGTTTAAGAGTAAAACTTTTGCGGAGTTCTGTTTTGCAGATTTTTTTTCTAAATTTTTGAGGATCAAGTGCTATTTTCTATCCAAAAAATTAAAACCCGAAGATATCCATGCCACAAGCAGGAGCTCATACATTCCTTGTATTCTTTGTTTCAAAACCTTCTTTTTGCGCCTTACTTCTTATCAGCGGACGGTGGATTGATTGAGTGGCACAGTGGAAGACCATTAGATTTTAATCCGATCCCCTAAGCAATATTATTTCTAAAGTTTCGTTCTGTTTTTGCTTTTTTTTTTCACGCTGCTCTTTTCACTTTGAAAAGACCTATAGAGGTGCGACTGTGTTTGAGCATGCAGTTAAGAAGGTCAGCTGACTCTCCTTTATTACGCATGCTAAATTTTGCTGGGGGAAGAATCGCGGGAAGACGAAAATTGCACATGGAGTAAAGAAAATAGGTATTCATTAGATCGCCGGCAAAAATATACCTCAGGATGGATATACCTCATTTAACCAACATCTTGTCGAGTACTTTTGACCCCAACTTAAGAGAAGAAGCAGAAAAAACGTTGAATGAGGTAAAGTTTCATTAACTGCAATTTCTTTCGTGATTTGACCGATCGACTTCGTCAACACGCACATTGTTGGATATTTGAAACGGATCTAACAAACCGTTCTTCGTTTTTAATCAACAATTACACCACTAAATCTTATATTTAAGCAAACTCTTAATTGTACAATTTTAAATTAGGCCAAACTTTTGGAATTGTTTTTCAATTCAAAAGAACTTTAAAATGAATTTTATTCGACTTATTTTTATTTTGGTCATGATTTTGTCACGTATTTAAGATATAAGTTCGATGAGTTATTATTAATTTTTTGGTTTCCTTTCTATAGATTCACAAGCATCCAGGGTTCCTCTCACTTCTTCTTCAAGTCGTTATGTCTAACGATGTACAAATTCCTGTGAGACAGTCAGGTGCGGAAATTGCTATTAATTAAAACTGATAACGTACGTACATTGCTAAATTTTAGCATATATGTCGCAATTCACAAGTCAAAAGATTAACTTTGGCATTGAATTGTTCGATTAATGAAAGGTCAATCGCTTAATATTGGAAAAGAAAGTTTTTCTTAATGATATCACCAGAGTGACTTTTATTTGTTATGGTCGAAGTCCAACGGAGTTGGTGATGTTCTTGTTGTTAAAACTATTGTACCAAATTCAAGAGAATGCAAAGTATTAAAGTTAAAACCTTTGATTTAAATATAACCTCTACGCAACACAAGAAAACTTTAAAGAATCATTTTGGCCCAAGAAATAAGTGCACAGATAAAATTTTGCAAGAAGTGCAATTTATTTCTACGGGCCTTTTTAACCTCTTCGCGAGGATTAGTTATTCACCTGATGGTTCACTCAAGAATGATTAAACCTTTACACCCTAACATCAGTATCCACATTCTCTATGCTCTTCTCTATACATTTTTTTGGTACTGACAAGGAGAGATCATTTAGTAATCAAAACTTCATGGGTTGCTGATCATTTTCTACATTCTCATAATGTTGATAGATTATTTAGCATACTTTTGTGAGGAGAACTTTGATGCCGATCACCCTTAGAGTTAAAAGAGTTAAATTTTGCTTCACTGATACAGAAAATGTTTATGCTACATTTAACACCATCCTTGTAAAATGTTTTATTTGCCATCACCCAGTGAACCCATTGATTTGAAAAGGTTAAAAATGAAAAAAAATAAAAAAAATAAAAAAAACTTAGTATAAGAAGCAAAATTTTAGTAATCAGTTTAATTGATATTAATTATTTACTGGTAAATGATAAATATATTAATTTAGGTAGAACCATTTCTTACATATTCTGTAACATGGTTATTGGAAACATTTTGATCAGGAGAACAAAATTTAAGGATGGCCTTTACATGTTCTTGAAATGAACTTTTTGTTCACATGCCTGTTACTTGTATTTGTCACTATTTCTGATGTTGCTAGTGATAATATTTTGGTTTTCTTATTATTGATTCAACAAAATGTAAAACATAACACTAAAAGATTCCCTGTTGCATTGGGTTTGTATGTTACCAGATTGTAGAAGAAGTGAAAATGCATTAAGAACATCAGTGACTCACTTGGCTGCATCTCATGTGCCACCTTTTGGTTCTTGCTTCATTTTGACATCATCTACATTTGTATTACTAAACAGAAGCACAGCAACATGGAATTTAATTGTTCATTTGATGATAGTGACTCATACAGCATGGTGATTTAAGAGTTAGCAAAAAGATCTTGATGAGGCCTATGGTAATGACAAAATGCATATTTGCTCAGCCAAATATTATGCTGTAAACTATTGACTGCCAATGATTGCCTTTGTAGGTGTAATTTATCTCAAGAATATGATTGTCCAGTACTGGAAAGAGAGAGATCCTTCAGAACTTGTGGATACTAGTGCTGCATTTGTTATTGTTGAGCAAGATAAAGCTACCATCAGAGAAAATATTGTGGAGGCAGTTATTCATGCTCCTGAATTAATAAGGTAAAAATCTTGTAAAGCTACAGGTGTCTTTAAGTAAAGCTGAAGACAGGGCCCTAAGTGTGACTTTTAAATTGAGCAGTTATGATAGCCAGAGGGGACATTTTTCTTATGATAAAAGAACAATTTAAAAAAAAAAAAAAAACTGTGTGCATACTTTGCAGAATCCAGCTTACTGTGTGTGTCAGTCAGATTTTACGTCATGACTTTCCTGACAAGTGGCCTGGAGTGATTAACAAAGTGAATGGATTCCTGGCAGAGAATAGTCAAGGGACATGGATGGGTGCTCTTCTTACCCTATATCAGATTGTCAAGAAATATGAGTAAGTACATACTGTCTATTGCTATTTTCAAGAAATTCAAGCATGTGCATTTAACTTTACACTGGCGTGGGGTTGTTATTTTTTCAGAGTTTTTCATGGTTCCACTTTTAGAGCTTAGAAGTATTAAATGTGTACTGTGGTTTTTCTTAAAATTTGTGTTTATTTGGACTAGTCCCTTCAGTGATGTCACAGTTTATTGACATGTTTATTTTGTGGGTTATAATTAAGCTTTAATTAAAAGCTACCTGTTATTCTACACAAGGAGAAGCATGTGAAATATTTGATGCACTCTAGAAAGCTCCCTAACCTGAAAGAGAGCTGTGTGCTTGTGTCGAGCTCTTTGTCTGTTGTGGCAGTTATGTTTGAGAACCAAATAGTATCTTTCTTCCTTGTTTTTAGTTCACCCCTCATCCAAAGGCCCTTTTATTTTCTTTACAATTTCACTTTGAAAATCTAAGACTCCCTTTGTTTAATGGCTAGCAAAGGGACAATCCCAAGATGACTTTTAGGGCTACTGAAAATCATTTTTCTAGAAATGATTTCATTGCCTGTTACTGTGCTATTTCTCCTATTCAATTTTGTTTCACTCAAACTCTGTAGGTTCAAGAAGCCAGAGGAACGGCAATTTCTCCACAACATCATGCAAGTTCTTTTGCCACAACTCTATGCAAGAGTTGTTGCCCTGATAGAAGACTCATCGGAGATGTCAGTGGAGATCCAAAAACAGATTCTTAAAATTTTCTTTGCGCTTATTCAGGTTAGTTTCATCAACCTAATGGTAGAGAAAATAGTAAACTTATAGATTTCAGCTGTATACACATCATGCACCAGCAAGTTTTCCTATGGAGAGTACAGTGGGGGCAGAAGAACATGTCATGCATTTTTTAGTAATGGATTTAAACAAGATGGCATGTAACAATCAGTCTGACACCCTCAAAGATTTGCTGGACACCTAGTCTCCAAATATGTTCCCTTTCTTGAGAGGACACATGACTGACTTAGTGTCCATTTTGGCAAATCAAAGTTGAAATGCAGTCCAATTTTTTTCCTTATTTGGTGAAAGGAGTGGGTGTTAGGTGCTGCTCTGTGTATCAAAAAAAAATAGTACTTTTGTGCTTCAGCAGAATGTATGGCCTTGAATTTGAGATTTGAGCTTGAAAATATTCTTCTGTAAATGACGTGTATGTTCTTTCCAAAAAAATTAACACACATTCATGAAATAAGTAAGAATCTTTCATTCATTAAATTGTTTTTGTCTTGTTAGTATGTCCTTCCCCTTGAACTAATTACAACAGATTTTGGGAAGTGGATGCAAGTATTCCAAACTGTGGCAAGCAGAGATGTACCTCCGGTAAGAATCTTTTTACTCTGGATCTCATTGCTTGTACTTTGCTTTAAATAAATATTCTGCACCCAAACCAAGTGGCCCACTCAGTGTACTCCTTTGTGAATGAAATACCATTCTATTCCAAAGTTACCCCCTCCCCCCCCACTCTAGCATTTCTTCAGGCTTCCCTTAAAGCTCATAAATAATTATTTGTTTGCATTGGTGTGGAAAGGATACTGTAAAAGAAGTGTCTTGCAAAGGTGACAACACAGTGTCCAAGCTAAGTCTTAATTTTGGACCTCATGATCTGGAATAAAGTGCATTAACTGTTAAGTCACCCTGTCTCCCCTTTAACTCTTTAACCCCTAAGAGTGACTGGCGTCTCATTTCTCCTCACAATATCACCCTAGAATCACACTTTAAAGTCATGATAATAAAGGAAATGACCAACTAAAGAAGCTCCTGATTTTTAAACAAATTCTCCTTGTTAGCACTTAGGAAATGAACAGAGAATGGTAAAGAGAAAATGCATAATGATGATAGGGTGTTAAGGGTTAATATGAGCATACATGTGTGACTGAAAAAGAGAATGAATAGATCAATAACTAATATTTAGATTTAACCAAGCCTAAAAGCAGAGCTTGCATTTTTTTTTTCCCACACATCTCAAGGGCACAACACCTTGCCCCGGCAAGGACTAGAACCCAGGTCCAACTTGTAGCCCAGTGCACTGACCACTGGACTACTGGACAAAGCTGCGGCATTGGTGTGCCTAAAAACAGTTGAAACATCATGTTAAGGTTCAAATGGTCATACGACATTGTAAAAAATTTTTTCAGGTTATGGGGCTATGCAAGCTCCGCTACAAGTAAACTTGAACACCTTCCCACCATGCTACTATGTATTAACTAGTAAGTAAAAATGGAAACATCATGTTAAGGTTCAAATGTGACAACATCAATACATAGCAAATGGTCATTCACGCTCTCTTACCTGTAGTTGTGTGCTTTTTTTTCTTCTTTTGTACATTTAGGTTGCTCTGGAAGGTGATGAAGAAGAGTTAGCTAGACTACCCTGGTGGAAAGCTAAGAAATGGGCTCTGCATATTTTGTGCCGGTTGTTTGAGAGGTAAACCTGTCTTTTAGTACAGCACTAAACCCACTTGCATACATGTACCTGTGCATGTCAAAAAATTATAATTTTGTACATAGTTTTGAACCAGGAAGAATAAGGAAACATCATCTTTCGTTGTGTTAGTGGTTTTCATTTTTGTTTTTTCTTTCCCCCTTTTACTCTTGTATCAACATTTTGGTTGTCACCATTACTTTAATGTCCATAAAGAAATATTTAGGTGTTAGTCCTAAAAAGGGGTTTAAAGGGGAATATTTTTCTTTTTCTTTTTGCCTATTTGTGGGGCAGCTAACAAAGATGATGCTTTCATGTTTAAATGAGTCCTTTGGGTTTCAGATATGGTACTCCAGGATCAATAACAAAAGAATATGAGGAGTTTTCTGAGTACTACTGTAAACATTTTGCAGGTAAGTAAGCAAAGAGACTTTAGGTTTTTCCCTTCAGTAAAAATGTTGCAAGGTTGTATATTGAATTTTTTTATTGGGCTCGCTTTCTGTGTATAGATTTTTTCATCAAGGTTTCCTAGCATTTTTTATTTCTTGAAGTCAACCATCAAAGGAACCTCCTCCATAACATCATGGCCCATCCCAGAAGAAGTTAATACTGTGCTTTAGATTAGTCAACTTTGGACTGAGTTTCAAAAAAATGCAGGATTTATTTATTTAACTGAGAACTTGTCTTTTCTCACAGTAAGTGTGACACAGATTCTTCTGAGAGTACTGGATCAGTACAGACGAAAAGTGTTTGTAGCTCCAAGAGTACTTCAGCAAACCATAAACTACTTGAAAAATGGGTGAGTACATTTCTTTCAGGTTGTTATAACATTATGGGGATTACATTGATGCTGGTCTCAGCTTTGTAAATGCAGTTTGTTTGGCAATGATAAGTAGTGATATTCACCTGCTGTACAAATGGTGCTTCAAAGCATATTTTAAAGTGGTATTGATTTTTTTGTCAAAAAAATATACTTGTTTATTTTCCAGAGTTTCAAATTCACTTCATTGGAAAATAATGAAGCCCCATATCCAGGTAAAAAAGCAAACATACAAACAGAAAAGAGTTTTAAAGTTCAACTGAAGTTAGCTAGCAGGGATTGCCCAGGCAGCTATAAATTAGTGTAATGAACACACATAGTAGACAAACAGTTACAGACTCTAAGTTACCATACTGGTATGTACAGTAACAATTGGCAATCTGTGGTTTGCAAAGTTTTTTTGATAGATAAACTTTATGTGAAGTGCTTGGAATGGCAGTAGATTCCCTAAGAGGGAAGCCTGACTATTGTTGGTTACCCTTTTTAAAAGCATTCAAGGTTGATTGGAAAGGCCTAGTTGATGCTATGGGAGTTAAGGCAATAGCATTGTCTGAAAAATGTTATGATGTTATATTTATAGGCAATAATCCAGGAAGTTGTGTTTCCTTTGATGTGTTACACGGAAGAGGATGATGAACTCTGGCAAGAAGATCCATATGAGTTTATAAGAGTTAAATATGGTGAGAAAGGGAATAATATACTTAAGTACTACCCTGGAAACAGCTAAAGGACTTAGGCATGTAAACTTTAACAAATTTCTTAGAAAATATGTATATCATCTTTACTGAATTGAGCTGAAAACTAGCATGTGGCGAACAAATTTCAAAAGCCAATTTTTTTTACAGGAATGCAATAACCAAAGATTTAATGGAATGAATATTTTTAAATGTTAAAAGATTTGCAGTTAAGTAACATCTTGCACAGGAATAACTAGGCACATGTTTGAAAACTCAACAAAAAATTGAGGTGACATTCACAAATTTTCTTCATATTTGAACTTTGAGTAGTCCAGTACTTTTAAATAACCTGAAGCTTTGTCTCTTATTGACAGATATCTTTGAAGATTTTGTGTCCCCTGTCACTGCAGCAGCCACGCTTCTTCACACTGTAGTTTCAAAAAGAAAACAAGTTCTTGACCCTACCATGGTATTCTGTGTCCATGTCCTCAACCTCCCTCCTGAACAGAGGGATCCTCGACAGAAGGATGGAGCTCTTCATATGATTGGCACATTAGCTGATGTGTTGTTAAAGGTTTCTTGTCTTTTCTTTTTCATTTTGAATTGTCTGTTTAATGGGTTTATGTCTGTCAGTGATTGCATAGCTAGTGTTGTTCTGCATGCTGGCATAGGTGGGTGCTTCTCAAACTTAATTTGTAATACAGCAAAACTATGTTAGGAGTCAAGAGATTAAGAGATCAATTAAATTTCTCTTCCAATAAATAGAGAAACTTTTAATTTAGCGATAATCAATTGCCTTGGTTCAATTTAACCCAAACAGACAAGACCAAGAATTATTTCTCCTTACAGTATCAATACAATATCAAACAGACAAGTGATGAGAATAAAGAAAAATGTTTTGAATAAGGGGATTATTAAGGGATCCAATACCAAATTCTCCTTACTATCATCATAAGAGTTGTAGGGCATACAGCAAGGAGAGTTACTAATGATATCTTGAGAGTGAAGGGTTTAGATTGCTGTGGAAAACTGGCACCACCCTATCAACTAAGGAGAGTCTTGTTCTCGTACAATCTTATAGTTTTAAAGCAAGCAGTGTACTGTTTATTATTTTTAGAACTCACAGGCACCTTGCAATATGCTCCAATTTGTGACTGGTGTTAAAGATTACTCTGGTTTTTGTGTTACAACACTTATTGACAGATTGCACTTCAAATGTTAACCGCAAGCAACCACATTTCGTCCCTCTTTTTTTCTGTTAAGGAGTTTTTATTTCATCCTCATAAAGAGCTTTAATACAAGATAGGAATCCTTATGATAATGTAAGATTCTTTTGTATCAGCTATCATAATGCTTTCTTATTAATGATTTTGTCTTAAATTGTGTTGTGTCCTCTTGTTACAGAGAAAAATGTACAAAGTACAGTTGGAAAACATGTTAGTGCAACATGTTTATCCTGAGTTTAAAAGTTCATTAGGATATCTTAGAGCCAGGGTAGGAACAGTTTTTTCATTGATTCATTGATTGTTTTGTTTGCCAGTGAAGAAACTGATGTTTTATTTGATTGAAATATCGAACAAAATTTGCATCAATAACAATAAAAAACATAATTTTGCATTAAAGCTAGTTGGTACATCATTTTTGTGTAAAAAATCCAGACATATTTGGGACTTGAACATACAAATTTGTTATTAATAGCTCCCAAACTTAATCTGTCTAGGAATGAAATTACAAAGCATTGCACTGGAATTTTCCTTACTGTTTTTTTTTTGTGCATTGGTTGTTTTCAGAAAAAATAACAAAACAAATCTAATTCTCTTGTTAGTGTCTTCTAAAAGATCCTGATGATAAACAGAAAACAAAAATCTCTATGTTGAGGGGAAGATTAGAGCAAAGGGGATATTGATATAGTAGAGATTATTTTCATCTAACCCTTTGATTCCCTTACTGTGTGTGCTGCCCACCTAATGTATAGACTTTTCTTTAGGCTTGCTGGGTCTTGCACAGTTTTGGTGACATAACCTTTAAAGAAGAAAGAAACCTTGCCACAGCAGTGGATTCTGCCCGCATCTGTTTAACTGAAGACACTGATCCTCCAGTCATTGTGGAGGCAGCCATTGCTTTACAGTTTCTTATAGAGAAACAAGAGGGATGTGAGTTTTTTTTTTTCAATTTTTTTAGCACTTAAAAGAAGTTGCAATGCATAAAAACACCCTTTGAAAAGAGAAGATTTCTTATTTCATGAGTTGTTTTGTCAATGGTGTGGCAGAGCAAAAGACATAAAACTTGATAATTTTTTTCACCCATTGCCTTCCATCAGTTAAGTGCCCAATAGGTAGGTAGAAAATAAGGATAATGTAATGGAGATTTTTTTTCATTTTTATTTTGCAGCAAAAAAATATATTGAGCCACATGTGCGTCCAATCATCCTACGTGAGTATTCTTTATCTCATTTCCAGTACAATTTCAGGATACAACTTTGCATCTACTTTGATAAAAAAAATTAGCTGAAATCCTTAAAAAAGTGCTTAGAACAAAGCAAAGATAAGCATTCTAAAAAAGTTTTTTTCAGATGGAAAAAAAATTATTCAATTTCATTGCACCAACCTTTCCTTATTAGGGCTTAAAAATCTGCATGATTTGTGAATGATTACATCAAAAGACAGTTGTTCAAATAGCAGATAACATTATTTTATGGATAAATCGCTGTCCAGTGGATAAGTGTTAACAAAACATTCTGCGCTATCCACCTGACAGAGATTTATCCAGTAGAGGGGGTTATCCACCCTTCAAACAATGGGGGCCTGGTCTCTAGAGTGGAAGGGCCAGCATGAAACCCTGGCTGGTCATTGTGTGTCATCTGAGCTAGACACTTCACTCCCACTCTGCTTTGCCCAACTCAGTAGTATACTTGGGGGAAGAGAATGTGGAGGGGGAATAAACTATGAAGGGTTAGCATTCCATATTGGTCATTGTGTTTATCTGAGCTAGACACTTCAATCCCACTCTGCTTTGCCCAACCCAGAAGTGTAGATGGTAATGGCAAACTTTCAGGAACACATACCCAGATCAGGATAGGGGGGTTGGGAAGAATGTGGGAGGGGGAATAAACTATGAAGGGCTAGCATCCCATATTGGTCATTGTGTTTTATCTGAGCTAGACACTTCACTCGCGCAGTGCCTCACCCAACCCAGGAGTATAGATGATAATGGCAAACTTTTAGGGACAGCCCTTTAAGTATTAGATGTAATATAATGTAATATCCTTTATTTAAACACGATAGGGTTTAAAGCTCAAAGCTTGTGGGGTCATGTAAAAATAATTACAATATGAAACTATATTAAAATAGGGATAACATCACATACAAAATACAACTACCATGGTAAAAATTAAGAAATATTCAATAAGTTTTGAAAAAGAGAAATATTAAATGAGTTCATGTGTTCACATCTGAATAAATTGACTACAGCAATTGAGGCTTAGAATATTTAGAAGCATTTAAAATCACAGTAGCACCTGGGGAGTGACTGGGCCGACTGTGCGCTAAAATCAAGTTCCTTAAAATAAGAGTCCTTCTTCACTTTACAATAAAAATCAGTAAACTGGCCTGTAAAATGAGACAAGACAGCGTTTCCAAGGATAGTGCCTCTATAGCTAATAGAGTTTTTAAGAAACTGTGAGCTAAATTGCAGAACGATTATGTTATTACTCCTTCTGAAGTTTTACACAATGCAAGGTTTATTTGTCAAGTATGAAAGAACCACAGGTGCTTCACCTACAAACACGCTATGGAACAGTTTAATTAATTGAAGTTTATAATAAAAGGTTAAAGTGTTCCAATTTGAGTGTTGGTATACTTTGTCAGTGGGTATATCGTGAGGTAAATTATATATTATTTTGGCTGCCCTTTGGTAAAGTATTTCCAAAGATTGTAGAAGGTCCGTATTTGGATGCCTTGGTCCCTAAGAGTTAAATTAAGAGCATGCAGTTTTGTAAAGAATTTTGTATGAATGTTTTGTCACGAGGGCTTACATGTACATGTGTTGTGCTCATTTTATCTTTGTCCCCTCTGACTAACCATGCAGCCTTCGGTGTGATAAAATTTTTGTTTGTCCTCCTCTAGAACTGCTGAAAGTTATTCGTGAAACAGAGAATGATGATTTGACAGGAGTGATGCAGAAACTCATCTCAACATATGGACATCAGGAACAAGTGGCAAGCATTGCAATAGACATTGCTAGAGATCTGGTAGGACAAATTGAAATTTAGTTATGTGTTCAAGAAAAAATTGTTTGTTTTGGGCTTGTAAAACGTCCTTTTAACTTTTGAATTAGACTGTATGCCATTAAAATTTGCATGTAATCCTGGAAAAAGGCACCATTTAAGTGTTCGTAATTATGATATTCTCTGATGAAATTGTCTTCTTTCCACAGGCAAGCACTTTTGTTCAGTTGTTGGATGGGGAGGATAGTGATGAGAAAGCTGTTACTGCCATGGGAATTCTGAACACTCTGGAGACAATGTTGAATGTGATGGAAGGATCTAAAGCTGTAAGATGAATTTAATGTCATTGATTTGGTGAAGTTTTTATTTAGACACCTAGGTAGCTACTATTTTAGAGGGATAGTCCTTTGTTGACAGCAATTATTGATTGACTGAAATGTAAATTTTCTTAACACAGTGATATCATTTTTCAGATTGTACTTCAACTGGAACAAGTCGTGATTTCTCTAATAGCCAAGGTTCTAGAGCTGTCCGTAATGGGTAAGGAGTAGATATTTTTTCTGGCTTACTACATTTAAGTTATTCTCTCATTAATAGTGTTACTGTATTTCTGCGCAGAATTCTATGAAGACATTCTGTCCATTATCTGCACCTGTACATGTTTTGAGATCTCACAGTCCATGTGGGCAGTCTTTTACATGCTTTATGAAGCTTTCCAGAGGGATGCCTTTGACTACTTTGCAGGTATTGAGTCGTAATTTACTTTATGTAACCGTTGATGACCTGGAGTACATGACATGCTGAGAAACAATTGCCTCAGGTATGTGCATCCCTTTCCTACTGTACTTTGGAGTACATTTTTGAGGGAACCTTGCACAGTGAACTCTGAAGAATTACCTGCTATTTCAGGGTTTTTACTCAGCGGAAATTCAGCTGCGTGATTTTTACTCATCCAAAATGTATCATTTACTGTACGTTAGTCGCAGGATATGCTACAAGTAAAAAATTAATGACGCTTAAACTGTATGCATTTCTGCCACCCAGAAATGATGCCATGTTTACACAACTACATCACAGTGGACACACCTGCCTTTCTAGCAAATTCAAAGAATCTTGAGATAATCTACAACATGTGTAAAAAGGTATGCCGTATGAACATGTCGCTAATATTGTTCTTATTAAATTTAAAATTATACCTCTGCCTGTTCACTTAATGGTCAAAGAATACGCATGTAAAGTATACTGGCTTTTTACCCTTTAACTCCCACAACTGATTAATATGAAACTTCTCCCTATTATATTCATACATTATTCAGCAAAAAGGCATTGAGAATACCCAAATGTATCAAGTTGTAGTTATTAGCTTGATCTGAGACCAAATCCTCATGACTTATTTACAAGATAATTTATGGAAGCCAGAGGAGAGAATCGACAATCCCATCGTGAGAGTTAAAGGGTTCACACTCAGGATTCTTTTCATTCGTCATTAGATGTTAACAGATTCGTCAGCAGCAGAAGATCAGCAGTGCAATGCAGCAAAGCTGTTAGAAGTGACAATACTTCAATGCCATGGACAGATAGACCAGGTAAGGTAATTGACTGAATGGTTGTCAAATACAACAATTATTTAAGTGAGCCAGTGCTCGACGCTGCGACCGTTTTGGTCGCCTTGGCGAGCAGAGGAATATTTTAGCGACTGAATTCGCAACAAAAGTCTCCAATTTGACAACTTGGGCGCTTTTGTAGCAAGCTGTAGAAGTAACGAATAAAAGGGGTAAATTTCTAAAGAAACTGTGGTGTTGTGTCCATGGGAGAGTATAACAGGGTAATTTCGTATTATCGACTGAGTTCATGACGTAAATTGGCCACCGTTAAGAGTTTCAAAGCTGACGTTTCGAGTGTTAGCCCCTCGTCAGAGCGAGATTACTCTGACGAAGGGTTCTGATAAAGGGCTAACGCTCGGAACGTCAGCTTTAAAACTTTTAACAGAGGCCAATTTACGTTATCAACTTAGTTGATAATACCAAATTACTTTGTAGAGCTAACGGTTTAGAGACAGTTATACAATAAGCTGTAAATATGGAATTCTGCGGTCCAACATTAAGCTCTAGCCTACTCAGAGATTTCTTTGTTCTTTCAGTGGCTTCCGTTTTACATTGAAGCAGCGCTGGAGAGATTGACAAGGGAGGTGAAGGAGAGTGAACTAAGAACTATGTGCTTACAAGTGGTAAGGGAGATCACAACAACACGTAGTTTCAGTAGATACGAGCAGTAAACGTCCTCAAGCCGTGTATTTCTCAGAGACTTGTGACATAAAGCTTTCTTTTTGCATCCCAGTGAAATGTTGATGGAATCGATCCATCAAAGTTTTGAATGTACGTTTCAAGTTTCCCAAAGTCGGTTGATTTTTTTTTGAAAAGATAGAGAATTAAGGAGGTGAAAACTTCGTGACAAAAGTGAAACACGTAGCTGCAACTTCGTTGTGGCCATTGTTTTTGGTATTTTTTGCTGGCCCCCCACTTAGTTGTGGCTTCGTTGCAACTTTTGTTTCAGAGCTTACTAACTGCGTTTGTTTTGTGATTCCAGGCTATCGCGGGGCTAATATACAATACTCCCCTCTTATTAAGTATTCTGGACAAACTCCACTTTCCAAATACGAACGAAACTGTGACGGCGCAGTTTTTTAGTCACTGGGTTAGTGACTACGACTGTTTTTTCGGGTAAGCGGACACAAAATATTTTGATTTTGGTACTTTTAGCGTTTTGAGACAATTGAGAACATGATATTTGGCGCTGTTGCTCCAGATGACTTCGTTCGGTCCGATTTGGTTTTTTCAGACATTGTAATTGCCAACTTGCACTAGGAAACTTCATCATTTCCTGGGAAGGAATCACATGGTTTTCAGGGAGGGACGGAGGGGGGATCAGTCGTCGATAACAGAGTATAAATGAGTGGGGGGGGGGGAATCGTTAGAATATGAAAGAGCCTTAAAGGGGATCAGGTAAATTTTTTTGAAACATAACCTAAGTCCCACGACCCACCCTCCCCTCCCCTCCCTGCTGGCGAAAAAAAAATGAGTAGTTCTTTGGGACCCCGTATTGTAGCATCATTTAGGGCAACTTTTGATTTTCCTTGTTAATCTTTCCAACTTCTGAGTTCTCGCGTGGTGCACCTGCAACTGGTCAACAGGTGTCTTCCTATTGTCTCATTGCATATACTGATTGCTTGAACTTAATTCTAACATTCATTAGATCTTAGACTAAGGAGTAGTGAAGATTTATGTCCTCAATTAGCCTTGCTGTTACTGATGAACTCTGGCTACTCTTTTCTGTTGTAGTATTCATGATCGCAAGATGTTTGTGTTGGGTTTCTGTGCACTCATGGATCTTCCAAAACAGATGAGACCACAGGCCCTCCTTCAGTGCTCGCCCCAGATTCTCCCGGCCTTGTTAGTGTTATTCCAAGGACTCAAAAGAGCGTATGAAAGTATGGACTATATTTCCACATAGTGAAATGTTGACTTTTCTGTATATTTCTCGCTGGTCTCCTTAACAACCGTTGTTTAGTTGATAAGGAAACAATTTTTCAACCTTAACACTGTAAAATACATTTATTCAGAAATTGAACAATGATCAAAGCCTGCTGTTGCTGTCGGTTTTCTTTTTTAAGTTAATTTTGGTTAACAACTGAGTTTATAATATAAATTGGCTATCGTAGAAAGTTTCTAAAGCTGAAGTCTTTAGCGTTTGCCCCTCGCCATTCGCCCTGACGCAGGGGTAATGGTCGAAACGTCAGTTTTAAGAAAGTTTCTACGGAGACCAATTTACATTTTAAAGTCAGTTGGTAAAACGCAATTATCTCGTTATGCCCCCTCCCCTCTCCTCCCCCACTGACGTTGCACCATACTTTCTTCAGAAACTTACCCCCTTTATTCATTTGTTTCTTCTTCGTGATCAATCCAATCATACTCAAATCAACGCGATATTTTCATTTGTTATTTGATTGTTTTAGACCGAGGTGAAGGCGAAGGTGAGAATGAAGATGACGAGGAAGGGGCGTCTGATGAAGGTGAGCTTCCGTAGATTGGCGATTTTCCTGTTTTTCTTGGAGTTTATCTTTTCTTTTCGTTTATTGGCACTGAGGCGTCGTGGCTTAATTTTTTTAGAAGCTGGATTTGAAATCCAAAGGCCATGCATTTAATTCCCTAGCTCTGCGACTCAACTCTAATTTATATCTCGCAAGTGCAGACTTCAGTCTTCCACGGCCATTTGTTAGGTGTCGACAATTTTCTCTTCTCTTAGTTGGAATTCTTAATGATTTACTTTCTCTATACTCTACTCTCACGTGCGTTGGATCTAGATGCTACTTTTCACGTCTTTTGGTCTTGTCGTTTCGAAAATACGAGCTATGAGATTCAATTGTTATTTCAAGACAGTATTCGGCAGCCTCTGCATTTTTCAACGATTAATTTTGGATGGAGAAACAACGCCAAAAAACCTTGTCGCACGGACGACTATTTTTGCTCCATTTGTGAGAGTTTTGACTCATTTTTATTCTGTACTTTTTCTTAGATGAACTAGCGAGTGACGAGGATGAAATAAACGAAGATGACATTCAGTATATTGAAAATTTGGCGAAAAAGGTAGAAATATGTCTTACTGATGCAAGGTTTTAACAGATGACAAACTAAATGAAAAATTGACTGACTTGCCGGCCTTTAAAACGAATTGATGTCAGACAATTGATTAATTAACTGACTGATAAGCTGACTGGCTGAATCTATACTCAACGAACGACTGGATCGACCGACCAGTTGATTGACTGACTAACAAATTGGCTGGTCTTTAGGCTGAGAAATAATCGAATCAAAAAAGATACTAGCACAATATTCCGGAAAGTAAGTGCTCAAGGTAGCTCGCTCGAAACGCCGAATACACTCTCTAGATTTTTGCCAGTTTGGCTGCAATTGATAATAATGCATAGTTTATGTTTTGAAGGGGGGATCATTGCGGTTTTTATCGCCTTACATGCTCATTATTCTGAGCGTTCCTTAGTGAACTGCACGGGTGATGCGCTGAGCTTGAGTAACCGGAAAACGTGATTACATATCGAAACTAAATTCTGTTCGTGTAGATTTGAAAAAATCGTGGACAAGGCCATGTTAACTTACGGAATTTTACAGGTTCGAAATAATACGAACCGTACGTACAAAAGCAATTTGTCAAGGTGAATGACCCCTTGTGAAAATGGATCAATGCTAACAGTGAGCACCATCATTATCTTAAGAACCTAGCGTGTTAAACTCTTATATTTACAACCGTGAAATCCTATTTTTGCCCTCTTGCAGGCCGCTGACCACTTAGATGATGAAGATGATGTGGAAGATGAGGAGACAGCTCTGGAGAATTTTACTACATCTGTGGATAACGAAGAAACTGATGAATATATTGCCTTTAGGAATTCACTCCAAGGTGAGTACAGGGTTGGCGTCGTGTGATTTGCATGCGTTTCTTTTGCGTCGGCAAAAGCAATAGAAGTATTAAATGTTTGTGTTTTGTCCGTATCGCTCATGTCAATGTTATGTGTGGGTTAGAGTGAATGTGTTCAATTTTTAGCCCTTCAGGCCAATGACCCAGAATGGTATTCTGCTTTGACAAGTGTGTTAACAGAAGAGCAGGGCAATTCACTACAGGAAGTGCTTGTACTGGCGGAACAGAAGAGAGCTTCACTAGGTGAGAACTGTGCCAATTATCAACCAGCCAAAAAGGGTGAAATAGTAGAATAGTCGAACGTAACTTTTAGGTCAGTCATTTTTGTCAGTTGGTCAGTCTGTAGGCCAGCCAATTTGTTGGTCAGTCTGTCGGTCAATCGTTCAGTGAGTTATTTTGCCAGTCAGCTGATCTGTCAGTTAGTTCATCAACTGCCAGTCATCAATTCATTTTAACCCTTTAAACCCTTTGAGTGACCAGCGTTTAATTTCTCCCTGCAATATCCCTCCCGAATCACACATTAAGGTCATGAGAAGAAAGGTCACCGGAGAACGAACCTTTTGATTGGCAAACAAATTCTCCTTGTTAGCATCTTAGGAAATGTATAAAGAAAAGTATGGAGAATACACATTCTAATGTTAGAGTGGAAAGGGTTAAAGGTTGGCCCTCGGGAAAGTGTGAGGTTTTGAGCAGCGCGAGCCGTGGAGAGGTCAGTAAAGAGTCAGTGACCCTCAGTTAACCTCCCCACCCCCCCCCCCCCGACTCGTCTCCAATCTTCCCACGGGCGGAGAAACGCGCTTCCTGCATTGCAAAGTTAAGGGCGTGTTTACAGACTATTGAGGGTCAGTGGTAACAAAATTGTTTAGTGGGTTGGTCAGTTATTGTCATAAAAGGTTTGGTTAAATGATTTTATCGATCAATGGCTCATCGATTGATTTATCATCTCTGAATAATGTATTGAGTAGTAGCGAAAGTAAACTACACGACTTAAAATCCAGTGCACCAATCCTCTTCATTTCGACCTTAGCCAGGCTCTCTGTGTTTGGTTCTTGGGTTAGACTCTCGGCTATTTTCCATCCCACAGAGTCCAGGCGAATTGAACAGCAAGGAGGATACATGTTCACCAACATGGCTGTGCCAAGTACCTTCAACTTTGGACAGTAACTGTGAAAGATTTCTGTGTTGCCTAGCTCTTTCACGAAGGGGCTACAAATAAAAGGGTTTTTTTTTACGAAATTAAGGAATTAACCTTCGAACATAATTTATATCGTCAGATTGAAGAGACATTTGACTTCTGACTATTGACGTCATGTGAGTGACTTTGTGATTGCGTGACTTTTCTGTTATGTCGGAAGCGTAATTGGTGACATACAGCAGATCACGCAACACCGCGATTTCGCGTTTCTGCCGTACTTGTTATCTTGCTCGCTTTCTTCTTTTTTACACAATAACATCAATTTTATTTGTTAAGGGTCGATTTTGCTGACCTTACGTCGAATTATTGTTTTCGGCAAACATTTTGATAATGATATACCTTTGCAAAGTTCTATATCAAATGAAAAAATATTGCAACCTCAAACCCGCCACAGCAGGTGTCACGCTAGCTGTCATGTTGGCAGTCGTGCCCTCGCGATACATGATGTCGTTTGGCAGCTCGAGAAGCGTCAAAGGACTTAAAAAAACTTTAGGAAAATAGAATTAAAAAAGATCCGGCGTCTTACAAAAACAATCAAAAGTGTCGTTTATGGTTGAGAAAATTCTAAATTTTGACGTGCCAGTCTTATTACGGAGGGGTTTCAGATTTGGAACAGTGGTATTCCATAACGAACTGTTCTCATTGTGATGCTAAATATCACTTTCAATACCGGAATCCGATCTTGAGACGGAAATTCGCAGTTTTAGCACAACGGAAAAAAGGTAGAAAAGGCGCAGGAAAATCCATTTTTTCCTAATCATTTTTGAGATCCTATCTCGGAAAGATACAAATAACAATCGCACACCTTTCTTGGTGGAAACAGAAACAGTCGAAAAGTATTATGGATAACTGCCGGTTGGTAACGGTTTGTCACCAAGAATAAGACTGACTGTTAAAATGACTTGAAAGTTCAGACAGCAAAGCTATTTTAATAAAAGAACAAATCAAGTAAGAGGTTGTTCGGTCGTTATTGCAGACAGGTGTTGCATGGTCGTCGCTTTGCAAGAAAAAAGAGCTACCACCAACGCCAGCCTTTGTTAATATACAGCTGTTTCGAGAAAGTGTCGGGGTAAAAAAAGACAAAAGTGCGCGAAACAATCTCGAAAGGTAATCTGGGTGTCCCGGTACTCAATGAATTTAAATAAGAAATAAGAAAATAAGTTCATTAAACCTGCGATGCCTCGTCCTTACAGTGTCGTGTTTTCAGATTTTACAACATTCAAGGAACCGTGACTTGAAACCTTCCACAATACCTTTCGCGGTTATCACTTGCAATGTTACACTTTTTTCACAACAACTATTTAAGCCAAAGGCTCGCCATTTTCTGCTTTTAAATTGATCCTTTCAAACTGAGTTTACTTTCATACGATAGCACAGGTCATGGAAGTTCACTTGTTGCACTTTAATTTCATTTACATGGGGGTTCGTGACATCAAACTACATCTGCATTGGTATCTAACCTTCACTTTGTTTATCATAATCAACTGAACGATTAAATTAAACCCATAAATGCCTGGAATATTATGTTTAGGAAGCATTTACAGTAACAGTCTCTCCAGGATCAACATCTCTTTCGCCGAAAATGTAAGTTTTGTCTCCGTCTTTGACGGTGATCTACAGAAGAGTAAGAGATTCTTGTGATAAGTGCTACGATAAGGTACTTAAGATCACTTTTAGCTTTTTAAAGGGGGTTCGTTAAGTAGCATAAAAACCTTGCAGTGATCTTTTAACATCCGGCGTAGAAAACCGATTAGGTGGTAAGAATAAACAAAAAGTAACGGGAATGGTTATAGAAGGCAAAGATTTACACGGACTGCAATTGAAGGAGACAAAATAGTTTCCAAGATTCACCAGTGGTGACGTAGCTTCTTTGAAGTAACTTTTCCCAGCTTGCTGTAACTGTTATTAATCGATGCAACTCCATTTTATTGGAAAAAGACAAGAACGTGATGTGATACGATTTAAAAGCCTAAACAGAGGGGAACATTTTATGATCAAGGTTGTGGTACAGTTTTTAGAGCGTTTTATTTGGCTTTAAATTAGAGCGCTCACCTTAAAATACATGTACGTTCCCTTGATTTTAACATCAAGTTCCTCTAAAACTTTCCATGTCACATATCACACCTCTTGATGAAGAAATGTGATTTTGCTTGCCTGAAAGGCCAGATTCCGAGACAAACGCGCCAACTATTACCTAGACTTCTCTTCGAGTATACTTTTTGAAATTTTGTTCTTGCATGTTTGTCGAACGATTTGTTAAGTGCACAGTTGTTTCAGTAAATCTTACCTTAGCAACAGTCCACCCGTCAAAATAACTTCCGTTAGGGTTTTCTTGTAATCTGATCTTCAGCTTTCGAATAGTGCCCACGTCTTTAAATGCCACAAGGTAGTTGTCTTTCCTGAAATAAAAAAACAAAACAAAAAACTAGTCAGTCCTCATATGTGCTTGTCAAATTAAATTTCTTAGACACCCTCAGTGAATTACTCAAACATCACCAAATACGGTCATTTTGATCTAATTAGAGATATTTTGGGTCTTCTCCGCCACTGAAAAGTAACTTGACTTTTCGAAAGTTGTCTCCAAACATGCTAAAATAGTCCTATTATGGATGCTACCATTTTGAAAAACAGCTTAGTGACCTGGCGATAGATGCGATACCATAAAACGTGGTCGAAAACAGCTGCGTCACTGGTTATCACACGAAAAAAAAAATTTTAGGCAAATATGCCTTTCGCTATGGCTCCTAATTGTTCGAACTGATCATCAAGAGGTTGAAAAAACGGAAATGAGGCTCTGTTTCGTCTTAGATAGCGGCAACGCAAGACTCAAAATATCAGCGTCCTACATAAAATTTTCACCACGTTCAAAGACAATCTTCGAAAGGTTGGGTTACTCTCTGAGATTTCACAGAGCAGCCAGTGTTATCATTTTACCAATACTTTTTAATGACAGAGATAGAAATTACACGGTTCTGGAGTATAATACTCCGATCCTTTGAAGGTTTGATTAAAGTCCTTGTGTATGACCAACCAAACGAAAGCTGATGGTGCACTTTTAAAATATTTAAGCGTACTTTTAACTTACTGCACAGGGTAGTCCAGCGTTTAAGTCTGTCATTAGATAAGGTAGACCTAACCACTTTTAAGTTAGATCAGATTCCAATCTTTCCTTTAACTTCACTTCAAATTTCTAAAACTCATTTTCAGATAGATGAGATCCTCAAAAAGACAAAATCCTAGAAATACCGCGTATTTAAAGATGATTATGATGATTATGGCAATAAACGACATCGGTTTTTTTAATCAATATAACGTAGATGTGACTTACAAAAATACTTAACTTGTCTTGACTGTATCGTAAGTATGTTAGTTAAGTTTAACAATTCGCTCTGGTCGCAACTTACGCATTCCCCTCAAAGTCGTCGTAAAGGCCGCCTTTTGCAACACTACTCTCCCCAGAGCTCCCCTTATCACCGATCAGCTCGAGGTACAAAAAGGCGTCGGAACCATCCCAATATCCATCACCAGTTTGCACCATTACCTCCATGTTTTTATCTGAAGAATAAAACAAAAGATCAGACATAACTCCATTCCGTTACGTGTCTCGAATAAGGTTATGAAAAGCAAGGCAACCGCAGCTCTGAACCATAGGAGTGACCAGCATTTATGATTTTTCACTACAGAAGTACTACTGAATCATTCATTAGGGTCATGATAATGAAAGAAGTGATAGCCAACTTAAGAGGCTTTGATTTTAAACAAATTCTCCTTGTCAGCGCCAAAGGAAAAGTATAGATAACAGTAAAGAGAAAATATATATACTTATGAAGTTATCAATTGTGTTTACATTTGCAACTTAACATAGTCAGATTGTTCAATAGTTCTATTGCCTTTTCCACTTACACACGTCGTTTTTCTGTGGGCAGTTGTAAAACTTGTTAATCTTCATGATATCAGCCGCGGACATGGCGTTTTCGTTGCCAAGCTCCATATTAGGATCTGACCTCGCTTCCATGGTGACCAGGCCTGATGACTTAGCAAATGTGGTCTTGCTGTATTGCATGATGGACTTGAAGTCGTAAGCAAAGCCCAAATTGTCCATGTCAGTTTTCTTCATGACTTCGTCCTTAACAGCTATTAAATAAAGAAGATGCCTTTCAGGTGATTCATAACTACCTTAAATAGCTTTTACAAAACAATCTTAAAATCTCTTGTCGGAGACTTTGTGATTCGTGCGTGACACATGTCAGATGACGAGTGTGAACATTATGTCAAGAGCTAGAAGCATCACCTTTAGTGATTTTGGGACATTGATCGGTTTACATGATCAACATAACCTTGAATGACCTTCTAAATCATTACTTAGCAACAACAAATCACGATGTAAAGAATATCGTATAAGAGAGTGATTTCTTTCAAATTTTGCAGAGTAGCTGTTTACACACCCGTTGTAAATAAGTGAATACGAGAGTGGAATAAAACAGTTTGAATGAGTCTAATTCTATCCCTAGTCAACGGGGCAAAGTTTACGAAACGCTGACTTCACTTGACCTTTTGACCTTCTACGAGTGACTGGCATCTTAATTCTCCTCACAATCCCTACCCCCCCCAAAAAAAAATTCCATGAATAGCTTTTACAAGACAATCTTAAATCACCGACTTCACTTGACCTTTTGACCTCCCTACGAGTGACTGGCATCTTACTTCTCCTCACAATCCCTACCCCCCCTAAAAAAAATAATTATAATAATAATTCTCCTCACAATCCCTACCCCCCCCAAAAAAATAATTATAATAATAATTCTCCTCACAATCCCTACCCCCCCAAAAAAATAATTATAATAATAATTCTCTTCACAATCCCTACCCCCCAAAAAAATTCCATGAATAGCTTTTACAAGACAATCTTAAATCACCGACTTCACTTGACCTTTTGACCCCCCCTACGAGTGACTGGCATCTTACGTCTCCTCACAATCCCGACTCACCCCCCAAAAAAAAAAAAAAATTATTATAACAATAATTCTCCTTACAATCCCTACCCCCCCCAAAAAAAAATTCCATGAATAGCTTTTACAAGACAATCTTAAATCACCGACTTCACTTGACCCTTTGACCCCCCTACGAGTGACTGGCATCTTACTTCTCCTCACAATCCCTACCCCCCCCCCAAAAAAAAATTATAATAATAATTCTCCTCACAATCCCTACCTCCCCAAAAAAATTCCATGAATAGCTTTTACAAGACAATCTTAAATCACCGACTTCACTTGACCTTTTGACCCCCCCTACGAGTGACTGGCATCTTACTTCTCCTCACAATCCCTACCCACCCCCCCCAAAAAAAAAAAAATAATTATAATAATAATTCTCCTCACAATCCCTACCCCCCTCCCCCCCAAAAAAATTTCATTCCATTCCAATTCCATTCCAATTCCACCTTCTACGAGTGACTGGCATCTTACTTCTCCTCAAAATCCCTACCCACCCCCCTCCCAGAAAAAAGAAAAAAATATATCACACTAAGGTCACGAGAATAAAGGAAATGTTCATCAACTGAGGAAGCTCTTGATTGTTAAACAAATTCTCCTTGTCAGTAACGTTCGAAATGAACAGAGAACAGTATGGAGAATATGCATACTGATGTTAGGGTGTAAAGGGCTAAGCTTGTACCTTTCATCTAATTTCTCTTGTTTAGAAACCCTGATGAAACACGATGCACGAGTTTTGAAATAGTAGATCAGAGTTTACAGGGACATAAGTACTTTATTTGTGATATTTCTGCCTTGACTTGACAAGGGTAAAAGAGATAAAAATAAGAGGGGGTTGAAAAGGTCACTGAGTCAACAATTTTTTCGCCAACTGTAGATTACAATAAGAAAAAAAGTAAAGCATAATTGAACAAGGCCTACCTGGATCAAGATTGTCTTCATAAATTTTCAAGTATGAATCTCGATCCTTTCGGTTGTGTTCGTGATAAAACCCCAGCAGATGAACGATCTCGTGTAAAATTGTTCCTTTGTATTCGCAGCCTGTTCCAAGAATAACATCTTGCTTTCCTGAGCGTTTCCCAATTTTGGCAAAGCATCTAAAAATTATCAATAAAGTTACTAAGAACCCTATGAACGAATAAAATTTAAATTAGGACCAAACTGTAGACTACAGCCTCGAGCTTGTTAGCCCTGCGGGTCGTCTACACATGTGCATACTTCTTGGGCGTTCCCATAGACTCTGAGTGATGCTGCTTTTACATTTGGTCGATCACAGAAGGTTTCACCAGTCTGTTAGTTTCCCCATAGCTGCATTCTCAAGGAAAAAGGGAACGACCTCTCGTTTCGAGACTAAACTTCACCCTCCCCTTCCTTCCCACCCGGACACTCTCTCCCCTTCCCGCCGTTTCCGGTTAGTACTTACATTTGGTAGTCAACTGCAGGCTGAAAACTAACATAGTCGGTCTCTCTCTTTCGAGCCTGAAACTTCACACAAGTAGCTTCGTGTACATCTTGAATAGCACGCTGCAACTCAGTTTTAGCTTTGGAGTGAAGATCTGTACAAACAGATCATATGGGTAAAACCATGTAATTTAGATAATAGATAATTTGGAATAAAAAGATGAAGGGATAAACTAAATGTAATGACTGGGAAGTTACCTCGAAAAACACGTCTTTAAAATATAAAAGGTTTTCCAACTATTCCGATGTATTATTTCTCAACTAAGGTCTCTTCGTCCGCCTTTGAGTGTTTTCTTTAAGGCAGACAAACACCTTGAAATAAGAAAGGGATGATTACTCAATCAACTACTGTATCAATGAAAAAAGCTAGTCACACACCATCTTGAACCACATAGGGAATCTTGACGACTGTTTTGCCATCTTCATCAGAGGTGGGCCATTTATATAGGGAGGGACGTACAGCTCCCCTCTTTGAAAGTGCTCTGTTGTCTTCCAGCAGCGACTCTTTCGCATCTATGAAAAAGAAATAAGAAAAAAAAATGGATGTAAACCATTGAGGCGGAGCGGAGCTCGAGCGCGCAAAACAATCAAGCGGAATCCTATACGTCGGTGTCTAGACTCGAGTGTTTTGCGCCAAAGTGTTCCGTGCAAAATTCTCAAACATGTATTCAGCACGAAAATCCTTATGATTTAGCATGAAATACTAAAACTCAGGCCGTTTATTTGTTGTTCTTCCTTGGTAGCGATTGGCTGATTAAGAAATACATTTGAATCACAATTTAAACTTCTTCTGTCAAACTCTTTAATTCTTTACAAAATTATCTTTAACCCGTCTATATTGTACAAATAAAATCAGCCTCTATACAAAATCTCACATCTTTTTGTCTCTTGTGAGATCTCGATGTACCAGGTGTTGGAATTGTACGACAAAAGAAAAACGTGATCTCTGAAAATAAGCAAATAACATTTACAGCAACAACTATCTCTGTAAATCCTTTCTTTTTTTGAGATCGCGGTGAACGACGCCAACCTTAAACTTCTTAAAACTTAAAAATTATTTCTGCCATAATTCCACGATCACAAAAAGCAACGTTTTTTCTGTTTTTCGTTCAGTCATTATGTCCAACGAAAGAGGAGTCGTGCTTTTTGTGCGGGCGCCCGATAGTGTTCAATGATCAAGCATTGAAAAAATTAATCATTTTCTGTTAGTTTTGTTTGCTTCACTCTCGCCCCACATTGACCCGCTTGACTTTAGAGAGTAAATGGTAAACTCTGTACTCGAGCAAAAAGGCCCATCAAGCCGATTTCTGTAGCATGAAGTGACTATGATTGGTGCTACTCCCCTTGGGTAGAAGTCTGGTCTATCCCAAGGCCAACCTCCTTCATTTTGTCAGAACTCCCAGAAACAGTTTGCTGGTATCCATCAAAACTCTTGGGTAGAGGTGGGAGATGTTAGACTCAAGTATGTCAAATATCTCGTCACAATTAACGTGTCCATAAAGGACACAACTCATTGACCTGACAAGGTCTCGACCCTGAACTTCTCGACCTAGAGTCCAACGCAATAGCCATCGGGCGACTGCGTCTCCCACACGAGTCTGGAGGATTGTCACGAAAACAACCATAACTTAACAAAGAACAACATTCTATACGGAGGGGGGAGGGGTAGGGGGTAGGAGGGGGCAATCATACTTCTGGACGGAAGCTCTGTTAGTTAGAACCTGTTAGAGCCTCAAGTTTTGTGCAGAAAAAGTTTTTAAATTCAAGTAAACCTCATGCATACCGACTCGAAATCAGCGATTTCAAATATGCTGACAAATTAAGTTTCTAAACAACAGAAAAGGTAATCCTGTTTTACAATAATGAATTTTGACTCTGCACTCCAGCCAAACAAATTGTGCACGCAATGGTAAATAAACAAAACCTGACTTCCTGCCAACCTACTTCGAGACATCTCCTGGATAAGCCGCAATGAAATTAACTTACTCGATAACAATAATAAAGATTTCTTTCGTAAGCTGCCAAATACATTCGTGACGTCTTGAACTAATCCCTGTTCTGAGCTCACGTTATGTTCTTGAACTTTTTTCAACAACTGAATGCATTCTGCCTGCAACGATAAATAAACAATAAAAGTGTCCTCTTACCAAGCATCATCAGGTCATCAACTGGAAAAGCACTAAAGAACTGAAGTGCCGTTGATAACAACAAGATTTCTTTCCACAAAAACATGACAATTTTTCAGAGCAAAAATATATTATTTTGCTTCACTTTAACAAAGGCCAAGAAGACCAACAACTCGTTGGCATCAATCGCTTTTTATAGGCAAAGAGCAGGTGTTCAGTTTACCCTTTGAAAAACGATAACGACTGTAACAATTGTCATTTATCAATTTCACTCAAGAAACTAAACGCCGAGACATGGAATTTGAGAACAATTTTGACTCAATGCCTCGAAATAAACTGCTTCAGTTTTCAACAATTTTTAAACAAACCGGAAAAAAAATTTAGGGGATTAACCAAGTTCATCATATGTTTTAAAGCATAAAACGTTTCTAAGATACTACACGGATCTTTATCTCACATCATTAGTACATAAAAGGTGTTAAATCCGATGAAAAGACCGTAAATTAAAATTTCTGAGATCTGTCAAAATGTTGTTTCTAGACAAACGAAATCACGAATTTATTGCTCTACTTTTTTTTTTCAATGATGTACTTCAACTTTTAACGAAATAGTCATAACATCAAAGCGACTTCATAATTTTAGTAAATCTTTTATTTGCAAAATTTTCAGTATATAGACAATATCGATGATCAATGTTTGCTTTCACACCATGGAAAAACAATCTTAGCAGAATTTAAGTATTTCATTGTTCTCTGCACATTGTTTTTCAACCTGGAACAAGTTCCTAAGACTCCGTTTTGGCTGATACTACCTCTACATGAACAAAATTCTTTTTTAAAGCTCAAAAAAAAGAAAACCTCCAGCCTCAGCCTGTTGAGTAATATGTAGAAAATCCCTTCTATAATAGCATTAATTAAAACTTAAAAAAACAAGCAGCCACAAGTTCCGTATTGAAACCGGCAAATAGGACTCTGACAGGATTTGCACTCTCTGCAGCTTTCAGCTAGATTCTAAGAAATATTCTTCGACTAAGAAGTTCTTCTAAAATAAAATTTCACCTTAACGACTACTTAGATTTATTGAGCCCAGCTACACAGTCCAATATATAAAATCTTATGAATTACCATACATTTGAAAAACGAAACCAGCTCAACAAAAAATATGTAATAATTGTAGTCTTTGTTAATTTCCGTTTTTCCTTGAAAGCTTTCATTAATAGTAATAGCACTTTTTGCAAAACTGGAATATCATGTTGTTGTCATGCAAATAGTTTTTGTTGTTATTGTGTCTTTATCTCACTGGAAATCAAACTTTTGTAAACTGCCTCCTCCTTTTTACTGTCAGAATAGATATGTTCTCCTTAATTTGTATTTATTTCCACAATTCTTTTCCCGTTTTTTTCTCATTTTTTTTTTCCTTTTTAACAATTGAAACATCCGCTGGGTAGTGTAGCGAACCATGGGAACTTTTGTTTGCTCTTTTGGATTTCGGTGGTGTTTTTCCTTAAAATAAATAAGAAGTTTGTGTTGAATTGGCAGTCAAAATTGGAATGGTCGCAAATATGCCAGAAAATTTGTGCTATCTAATAGTTTTACTCTGCAACGAAATAATTATGTATAGTTTACTTATTCATTCGTGCTTATTAACGTTTAGTTTATATTTAAGCTAGATATTCGGTTGTCATTAGAGTAGATCGAAGATTGGGGTAATGAAATGGAAAATGGCTTAATAATTAGCCGTGAGCTAAACAAACGATGATCTCTGATTCAAAACTAGCTTGCAGATTTTCCATGTACTTGACACCAGCAGGTAGCGAAATAACAGAACAAATCAATGTTTTGTTCTCAACTGGTACCAGTGACGCAAGTTTTTTTCTTATTTCAGAACTAGAAATCAGCCATTGTAGTTGTTTTCAAAATGTCTTCCGATAGTCCAAATCGAACCACGCTTTGAAATCAATTATGACTCGCCCAAGTCAAAATTGAGTTATTCACAGGAAGGAAAATTTTCATCGTCAGATGCTTCATTTTAGAACGAGACAAAGGATTTCATTTAGTCAAACGAGATTATTATAGGTAAATGTTTAGAAGGATTCGCCGTAGATTTTGTCGGCTCTATGCATGTCAATGGCTATTTGGAATAATATACGTTCTCGTGATAGCCCTGGTCGTTCGACACAACAGGCAGCAGTCGGTGCAGTTTTCAAAGATTTTAATTTCGAAAGACTGGCGAGCGACGGCAAGCAAAGCCCCCAGTGAGCGCACAGACAATGATGGGCGAGTAAAGGACTGGGAGGGAGTTAAACGGACCCCTGGAAAAAATGATGTAAGACACGACACCATTGAGAAAATGGAAGATACACAGTCAGATATCAACGTAATAGAAGACGAAATTGCTAACATTGACGCCAATTCAAGAATCAACAGAGGAAATGTTAATTTTCATCTCTGGAGGGGACTGTGCTGTCCCAAAATAAATAGCTTAAGACAGTACCCCTTATTTCCAACTCTACCTAAAGAACGTTTGTTTCGTCACACTATCAACTCTGGTCCGTCGGGGACCTGGTACGGGCAAAGAATAATGGGATTCGTGTATCCTCCTATCACTGGTAATTACACTTTTCACTTAATTGCACATGTCTTCGCTGAACTATGGCTTGGCAAGGAACAGAACGCGACGGATGTTGAATTGATTGCAAAAGTTGCAATAGAAAACAACAAACATTCTTCAGCCAAGTCTATAAGCCACACGTCCCGGAAAATATATCTCGAGAGAGAAGGGAAGTATTTCTTTGATGTGCTTCACGTGATGAATGGAGGAATGATGAGTCGTGATCACGTGAATGTCACTTGGCTGGTTCCCAGCGGTCATGCGTTTACCGAAATTTCTGCTAAGTTTCTCTCACCCCTATTACAGGATGATCCTTCTTTTTTTAATCACAGAGAGTTGTCAGAACGCAGTGATGTGCTACGAGCATCCCCCAGCGTTATTGACTCGGAAATCAATGATGCTGACGCTGGGGAAGGCGATGAGGATTACGAAGGAATAGAGATACCTAGAAAACAAAAACTGTCAAAAAAATTTACATCGTATTTTGGAGAGGATTTTAACATCGAAAATCATTACGACTCGATGACTTTTGATCAACTTCCGGAGGTATCTCAGGAAATACTATCCATTTTTCCGAGTTGCCCTTACGAACCAAAATATGTCCAAAAAAGGACTTTCAAACGTTTTGAAGGTATTTGGAAAACACATTTCAGCTCCGTATTCCCAGATGACGGCACGAAAGAGTTCATATGCATTGGAAACAGACTGAAAAGAGACTGTCATGGAAACAGTTTAATTACTGCGGATGAAGTACTAGAAATTGTTCGGACTTTTATAAAGACTATTCAAGAAAAATATCCCAAGTAGGGTCAGAATGTTTAGTTATTTCACTTTTTTCTTAACTCAAAGATATCTTGGAGCAGTTTAAGAGCGCGCAATTGTTTACGCCGTAAACATGCAAGAATTTGCGGAATCTTGTCACCAAAATTTTGCAAATATTGCAAATTTGCAGCAAATATTGCACCTGCAAATATTTTGAGACATTTAAAGAGCAAAACATCGGGGCCCAGTTGTATAAAGGGCGGATAACGCCATTAAGCGGATAAGTGATAGCAAAACGTATGGGTTATCCAACGGATAGAGATTTCTCTAGTGGACAGTGTTATCCGAACTTCGAACAACCGGGGCTTGAAAATTAAGCTTACCTAACCCAACAACTTACTCTAACTAAATTTCATAAAGCAGGTCTGTTCTTGGCATTTCCTAGATTCAACTTTTACCTCCTGACATGGTGAACTAACCCGTAAAAATTATTTAGCATAAAACATATGTTTAAAATTTATGCCTAGTTTAGTTAGTGTGCACTATATGAAATTAAAAATGACTGTCCTTTTCTTTATGCCAGGAAATATGATTTGAAGGCTATCGTTAACGTCGAAAAAACCCAAGACATCTCGCGTGGAAGTCGATATTTGCTCGAGCTCATTTTCCGAGAAAGGGCTCGGGACAAGATTGTAAAACTATCTGGGTATGTGTACAAATTCAACAACAGTTCCAAACTTTGTAAGCCAGCAGGAATTTCTTGGAATAGGAACGTGACAGTAAATGTAATTCTGACCGTAAAGAACCAAGGAAACTGGGCCCAACACTTCATTAACGAGATTTCCCGGATTTCAGAAGAGACGCGTGAAGATCACGTGAACATAATAGTAGTGGATTATGGGAGTAAAGACATCAATATAGAGGAGTCTTTGAGGCAGTGAGTATTTGTACTTGGTCTTAACATATACGAATTACAATAGCAAAATTAGTGTTTAGAAAAACTATTAGGAATTAGTTTAATTAGACTATGCTGTTGTTTAGAACTATTTTGACAAGTAAAAAGCCTTAAAGGTTGCCATGATTTGTTGAAGAGCTAACTATGAGTTAAGCAGGCCATTTATTTTTAAATTCTGGATTAGTCAATCTACGAATTAAGAACTCTTTATATTCCTAAGGTTTTATCAAATTTTTTTGTCAAGTTTAAGGAATCTGTTTCAGCCGCTGTTCACATCTGGCCTTGTTGTTGCCCTTAAAAACCATTCTTGTATTTGCAAGTCCCCAGATACGCTCGTACAAGTCCAGTCTAATGTGAGAGTGCGGCTTTCCCCCTCCGATCATAATCAAGCTGCTTTGAAATTCACAGATAAATCAGTGCAAAGTGTCTTCTCGCCTATTGCATTTTGGTGAATCTCGCTGCTCTTATTCAACATTGCTATCACTACTGGCATTACCTTATTCAGGAAAATTCTGTTTTGTTTTTTCTTTCGACACATTAGTATTACCTTTGCGATTTAAAAAACTGGTTTCGTTTAAGAACTCGTCATTTGACCGCTATACAAACCTCAATTATGCATGTACAATCTACTTTTCCTTGTTGTTGAATTATGAATGTGTATGTGTTTTTAAAATTGTTTATGATTTTTCAAACAGAAGTTCGTTGACAAACTACAGAGTCCTGAAGCGCACTGGCGCGTTCCACAAAACAGAAGCCATTCAGTCAGCGGTCAGCACCATTACAGATCCACACAGTATTGTGCTGTTGTTTGATCTTCATCTTCTCACACCGAGCACATTCTTTAGCGTTGTCAGAAAGGTGAGAAAATGAAATGGCTCAATGGCCGACACGCAAGGAAGATATGAAAAGGTTTAAAACAAGACAAGAATCGTTGATATCTTTTTTAAACGTGAACAAACTGCTACGGTCCTGTTTAAACAGAGATGCTAAGGAAACTGTGACTGATATCATTTGATTTGGGTTTCACTGAATATTTGATCCCATTTATTGCTCTTCTCTAAAAAAAACTCCGCTTCAGTTACGTCATTGGTATTGGAAGTGAAGCTTTACTTAAGGCTACAACGAAAACGTCATTATGATGAAATTATAAATTATACGAATATTATAGCTTCAATCGTACCCTTAAGAGATTTCCAATGGTGCAACTAAGGGTAAAGGTTTCCAAAGTGCAATTAACCCTTTTTTGCCTTTAGATTTGAGTATCTTTTAAGGATTGGATTACTGGCATTCAAGGAGGGTTGGGCAGCATTTTCCAGTAAGGCGTCGTAGGGGTGTGGGCTTTGGATGTCCTATGCTCGTGTCCCATTGGCCTTTGGGAAGGTGTCAGATTTACTTTCATGTCCATTTGGAACTGACACAAAACATATTGCATCATGCACTGTGTCAATCTTGACTACCACATTCTCTAATGGTAAGAAAGCTCTTGAATTCGCAGTCGAGCATGTGCAAAGTGAACGGTAGTCAAATATATATATATATATATATATATATATATATATATATATATATATATATATATATATATATATATATAACGATACGAATTAAAAGAAATTGAATAAAAGCGCTCTTTTATCCGCACATGCGAAGCACACAGTAGAGGGAAGGATGGCGTTCACCCCAGTCCTCTTCAGGTTAACCTTCTGTGGAAGACCGCTGACGAAGACAACACAATCCAAAGGCTACTGGGAAACATTTGGATTTGGAATATTCAGTAAGAGACACTTTTCAACGTAATTCGATATCATATCTAAAAATGAGTGTTTTGAAAAATCTACAAAATCCGCCAAAAATTTCACTTTAAACAAATTTAAATCGAGGTAAATGTATCCGTGAAAAATTTGGGCGGTTGATTCTGTCTTTGTCCACCATAACCGATTTCAATTAAACTTTTCCTTACAAAATAAAAAAAAGGTCACCCATGGGGTTATGAAATAATAATTGCATCATAATGATAACAGTTACGAAGACGAGTACTCGCTTCTCCTTGCTGTACTGAACAAAAAAATTATTTGCTCAATCGCAGGTATCTTCAAGTCGGACTGGGACAGGTTTGGAGGGATGAACGTCCAGGACTTCCGAGACAAATGGGGCGGGGAAGATTGGGAAATGATTGACAGAGTACTGGCTGTGGGGCTAGAAGTCGAGCGATTGCGCTTGCCCGGGTTCTATCACTTTTATCACTCGAAAGATGGAATGTGGGACAAAAGCTCGTAATTTAAATGAATTATTATATAAACACCAATGAAATACCAAGTGAGCTTTTGCGCGAAAACACGACAACTTCATATGTGAAGATAACATGTTATGTTTACACTAAATAACATGTTATATTCACACGTAAAAAGATCACCGTTGCTATGGTCTCATGTGAAAATCTCACCTTTCGAAATGATTAATTATTTCATTGATGTTTATTCAATAAATAGAATATTACATGCCCGTTTGGAGAAGCAAATTTTCTCTCAAGTCGTGTTGAAAAATATTTCACGAGTGAAGCGCACGATTTTTAGTGCTATTCATGAAAAAATGCTCAATACTTATTTAAAAGGTAATTCGATCGCAATATATTTTATCAAAGCACGGCTTCAATAGAAACAACGTCACCGAGGTATTGGAAATAATCTTTTTAATCGCTGTGCTACCGTATTCTTCTACTGTCGTCTGCACATTGGATCGTTCTCGATAACATCAATTGGGTTGAACTGCAGGCGAACAAGATATTGTGCCGGGAAGGTTGTGGCTACAGGAGTGATACGTCAGTTGTTTTGGCTGGAAAGTGCTATGACAACAAATTGACAGCAAGAGAAAGCTGTTCATGGGAAAAAATCTCAGATATGAACTTTTAATGACCTTGGAGTTTAAAAGTTTCTAAGAAAAAATATCTCGTATTTGAGACGAATACGTACGAATTTCACATTTCTCCAAAGAGGAATCGTTTGAGCCGATCATAAAGTTATGAGAGATCCCTCGAATTTAAAGTTTGAAATAAGCAAATTTAAAGTTTCCGACATCCAATTAATTTACTGTGATAATTAAGAAGCAATACTTCTGAAAAATATGACACTTCCGTCTGCTATTTCATGAAAGTCACAATGATCTCTGACGAATCTTCGATTAATTAGTTAAGATATAATGCATACAGCTTAAGAAATAATTCGTTGCACAAACTGTCTACTCCACGGTGAATCTTAGGTCTTTTGCCCCCTGCCGGTCAAATCAATTAGTATGTACGATCTGGAGTCCAAATTTGAAACGAAGATAGCTGGTTGGTGTTAAAATAAAATACGTATTCTTTTTGGTTTTCAATTTCTCACGCCTTCATTTCCTTCTTCTTTGTTTTCAGTGATTATTATAATTTTCATTTGTGATGTTCAAAAGCAGAGAGTCACAGATGATATTCGAGACGGAGGAAACCACGCAGCGCTTTATGCAAGAAAAAAAATATAAACTTATAGTCACAATAAATATGCTAATCAGGGCTTTTAAGAGTTGCAATACAATCGTACTCTCAAGCGAATTACAAAATATTGATTGACGGCTTTTTTTCCGAGGTTTGGCACGAGACTTCTACAATTTTTCGCAACGCTTTCGATGAATCGATGATCATCTTTTTCAAACGACGTCTGACAAGCACTTTTTGGTAAGTAGCCAGTAAAAATATACTTTCAGTTTCCCGATAAATGTGTAAGCAAACTTAAGAAACACCATCAGTAAACTGTACCCAATATCAACTTCCTGCGAATCTTCTTGACACGTTTGTTTGCGGTTTTTTGTTGTCTTGTTCAACGATCCTTCCTTGCAAGCAATTTAAGTATAATTTCGTTGCCATCGCAAATTATATCTGCTATGTTCAATCTATGAACATATTTCGCGAATATAAGTCAATGTTGTCGTCTCTTCGAGATTATTTAGGTTGCAATGAACGAAATTATCGAAAACGTGAATCGTCCGGCAGACCTTTGCTCACTGAACGTTTTCGTATATTACAGCTCTACCATCTTTACTAAATCAACTCATGGTTTGGTTTTAGAATCAGTCCCATGGCTCGAGCTACGCTATAACTGTAAGCAACCGAAGCACGAGAAATCGCATTAGATCCTTCGAAAATTATTTCAAGAAAACAAGGAAGTTAATACGTATAAATAAACTGGGTACTACGGAAAAATAAGTGTTTAACCAGACAGAGATGTTCCTGGATGCTTTTAACTAGACTCAAAAGTAAACGGAATTTAATAGAAGAGCATTTTTAAAACAGAATAAAAATAACCCTCTTTTAGCCTAACTGGTGTGACCTATAGTTCTCCGAGTTGCCTTGTAAAATTTAAATATCGTAGGTGTTAAATGAGATGTGATTTAGTCTATATTTGGCAAAAACCAACGAATAGAGTGCAAACACTTGAAGATAATTGCTCTTATTTTGCATGGCATGATAATATCTAGCATACAAATCCGACCAAAATCCACAAGGCAGGGAAAGTGATTTGAAATGTTTTATCCATATTGTAAAAAAAATTGAGTCAAAGACAAAGATCTCTCTCGTGTCTTTGCCAAAGAAAGCTGCGCTTTTCTATTTCCTTCCTTTTACACTTGCACCAGATTGAAGTGAAATTCAAGTAGATGCCATTAGCCTTTTAATGGAAACAAGACTCGAGAAGGAAAATGTAAATACATCTTTTGAAATAAAGGAGCAGACGAGTCGACGCCGCCATATTGACACCTTTCTGCAGCAGTTCGTTCAATTATCACCACAATGTTCCTCCTTCTTTGTTTTAACATGAGAAATGGTTTCACTTTTGAGCACCTAAGGGTCATAGAAGAAGTCTGAGTGATAAATCTTTTATTAAATGAACAACTGTCCCTTTTTTTTTTTTTTTTGAGGGATTTTAAATACATTTGTCTCAACCATTACTCTGCAGCTTTCGTATGAAATCGATTCGTTCGGAAGGTAAAGTTAGGCCTTGAGTTTGCCAAAGTAAAGGTGTTTCCATCTGTTTGATAACTACACCTTGCGTGACCAGTAAGAAGCCTTTTATTGTAGAAAAGCTCGCTCAGTCGCATTCTTAGCGTGATATTAACCCTTCTAAACTTATAATCTCTACTTAAATTATATTCTACCATACCAAAAATTCCGTGAGCTGTCCACGGAATTTTTGAAAATGAGAAATGTTATTTGGAATGATTGTCAGGTGTTCTCAGCCAAATCATAAACGATCCAGGCAGTTATCGGATGTTTGTAACTTGAATGTTTATTTTTAGTTAAAGTAGCGGTTTGTTTGACGTCAGTGAAATTTGGCTAAGCATTTTACGTGGGCTAAATTTCATGAAATTCGACCAAGAAGATTCAGTTCAAATCGCATAAAGGCCTTGTTTAGCATATTGAATTTCATTACTGATGGAAACGTTAACATGGAAAAACGAGCAAGCTTCAGGTTTGTTGTTCGTTTGTAACCATAGTGAAATAGATTTTTCGTCTAACAAATTCAAGGGATGCGACCATATCTCTAAAGAATTTCAATGTGTTTAGGGAGTCACCTAATCTAATTTTCATGGTGAAACGACGGGCTCTTTTAGCATTTGTTTTTTCTTCCTTCAATACCATCTTTTCCGTATCCGAGCGATGGATTAGATACACAAGGAGTAATATTAATGCTTAATTAAAGCGGCTGGCTAATTTCCTTTAAAGTCATTTGGTTTTTGCAGCAGATCAATCCACGGATTGATTCTTGAGTATCCACACCAAAACTTAGAGCACGTCAGTTCTAAAAGCACTATCTGTTAAACAATGTTACAAGGTAGGTTCCTTGCAGGAAAGAAGCCTACGATACACGGCGGCAGACATAAAACTAAGTTGACAATTAAGATGATGAAAAGGGAGGTTTCAGAAAACTTCTTCTTTTTGCCGAAGGTTTCTTTCATTTTGTTTTTTAATCTATAAACTTTGTTCGTTTGATTGTTTGTCTATAGAATTACTGTTTGGCTTTGCCTACAAACTTTTGCAATTTTTTATTTTTTTTGCGTTGCAAATCCTTTGTGAGAACGCTTGAAACGTCGGCTTTGTGTGAAAATTGTATAAATTTTTCATTGGTTGCTACTTTTCACGCCGAGATAGTGGTTTAAAGCCACGAGCCGAGAATTGCTAAAAATATCTGCAGTAAATTTGTTAGGAAAGTAACCTTTTATCTGTTAACAATTCCTAGCACTTGAAGGAGTAATTAAAAATACGAGGAACCAGACAAACAAGTATACGTGAGAATTCGGAATATGTCCCAGAACTTTTCAGGTGCTTTTAAAGTTTCCTCTGACCCTGATTGTTATCAATGACAGCCATAAATAGGAACCGCTTCACTTAGGGAAGTAACATGCAAACTTAATTACCGTGAAAACACCCTTTTTATTTCCTTGAAATCTTCCTCGGGATACGTTACGTTTTTGGCCTTGAATTGAGGCGAGGATTCGATCTGTGCAATCTCAGAAAAGAAATTTCAAAAGTCAAACTAACAAAACACATTCCTTTATAGTGGAAGCATGCAATTTGTGTTAAATATTTGTCGGAAATGAAGCGCGCAATTGTTGATGTGGCGTAGATTCAAATTGTCATGACAACAGAAGTTAACCCCTCTTTAAACGTTCAGTAATCGTGTGGTCCAAATTTCTATGTGTGATCCTAATTAGTTTCCACATTTCGCTTTCAAAATCCTGAAAATAAATTTGCAAAGATTCATGAACGCCGCATTCTGATAATTCTTTTTTTGTCGAGAGCCTTTTTACCACCCGTCAGAGTAATTGTTTTTGTACAATAAAATTTTCCTGTACTTGTAATGATTGGCTGTCTTTGTTTCACAAGACGCTTAGCTTCCAGAGCAGAACGAAGTCGTATAATTAGCAGAGCTGTTTTGTCTGCCTTTTTATTGTTTATTGATTTGAATGTTATTCACTTTTCACCAATAAAAGCTTGTTAAGTTTGCCGTGTGATAAAGTGTTGGTGTGAAAATGTGTTTGTTTTAAAGCAATTTTGAAAGCGTACGCGGAAATGTAAACTTTGGGAACATAGCGCTAGTATTGTAGCAGGATATGACGAAAACTGAGTCTTTGAAGCGTTCAAAATATTAAAATTTCGGTCGCGTCCTGACAGGCCGTTTTGACCTTTTTAAAAATAGAGCACAGTTCTTTGAAGCATTTCATGTATTTTGCAAATAGGTTTTAAGATTTCACTGGAGATTGAATATGAGGAGTTCATTGGCTTTGTTCATGTGATCAAACTATTTCCCGCGAAGAAAACGCGCGCAATTTATCAGTCATGTGTTCAAAATGATCATAACCGCTTTTTCCTTCAAAACATTGGTATCAGCACGTTCGAGCGTGAACAATCTTACAACTTGTAACCTTTAGAACTTGGAAAATAAAACAAATTAAGCCTGAGAAAGTTGTAGAATCAAAAATGAAATTATAACAATCTGGTCTGTAATTTTCCTGTTCACCAGGCCAAGTTACCACGTAGTTAATATCGAGATCATTAATTATGCCTTCATATTTTATGCACAATGGTTTTATGGCATTCAGCTGATTCTTTCAAATACACGTTACACACTCATTACCGATTTGATCGGCGTCGTCTGATGTAGAGGTTGACTTAGGCCAAGAAAAATACCCCATCACGTTGGTACTGCTGTATTCAAGCTACTATGGAGGCGCTTGAGGATCTAATGTAAGTAAAAATTTGGTGTAAATAAATCATAAAAAGTGCCCTGTTTTAAATAGCAAGGTGCTGTATTTGTTTCCTTGTGTAGATTTTAAACAAATCTCTCAGCGTGGTTCGCAGCACGCTTTTAAAATAAGACAAACTTGACTTTGTATATCTAAGTTTTGTTTAAATTAGAGTGGCTGATGAAAAGGTATTTTGAATCGTATACGTACGGGCGAATTTACTAAGCGGCTGACAGTGTTGTTAGAAGATTCTGGACGATAAGTACTTAACGCTACAACATCTACTTACTGAATGGAAATTAGGTAAACAAAACGTTTCATGATTCTTTGATGTCAAGTTAACGATGCGAGGTTTGTTCGTGGATGTTAGAGAGACGTAACTAGCACGACATGAGAATATTGCCTAAATTATCTAAAAAATACTTCACTGGTAACATAATCAATGAGAGCAGTTGTTTTGGGGTAATAATTCGGTACATGTATGACTCGTCTGCCGATCATGGGCACAGTTTAACAAATATCGTTTGCTCTTGGCTTATCATAAAATTCGCCGGTTCCCGGAATCTGAAGAGCACTTGGCCATTTTCGAACTTCGCTAAAAATTGCATAGAAAGCAAAATTCTCGCAAAACCGGACGCGGCTGACGAAAATTTATCTCCTTCTCGAGTACTTGACTTTATGATATGCAAGCAATATTCGATTCGACACGTGACATTTAATCGGACGCTACGCTGTGTTGTCAAGAGGAGTTTGATCAGCTCTTCACTGTAATGATGAACAAGAGAAAGCTGAACCACTAGAATAATTTCGTTTGACGTGTCAAGAGGGCGGTTTTAGCGAAAAAAATGAGGAAAAATATCAATCTAGGGTCAACACTCTAGAAAGGCTGAATTGCAAATTCAAAACACATCCGCAATGTTTTTAGCGTTGATTACATCGCACTTGTAAACGGCGCGTAAAATTTTCGTAGTTTTTAAGAAACCTATTTATTTTCAAGTGGCCGCAAAATGCTAGTTACTCAGGCATTAAGATTTTTATGAGAGAACGGCTCGCTGAAAAGTTTACATTGTGCGACGAGGGCTGTTGACATATGACAAAGTCTACCTAAAATGCAAAAGAAGCCTTCGCATAGGTTACAAAAAAAATCGGCAGTTTCATTGTCTGGCTCAGTAGGTTACAGAAGACTGTGAGCTACTTTTAAGATAATGTCAAGCTGCGCAGTCATGAAGGAAAAAATTAAATCTCCAGAAAAACTTTTAAGTGGGGGCTTAATTGCAGAAGACACAGCAGGTTCGAGGCGGTGTATCTTATGAACAATCTTCCCTAGGAAGAAATCTTATCAAAACATGTAGACAATCGACTTATTCTTACTCCACAAATACACATCATACTTTTTATTCTTTCGATGTTGGCATAAGCGTTGTTTTTGAAAACCAAACTTTTTTTCTCTTTTGCACCTTTTCTGAAAGTAGATGATTTGTCGCTGCAGTAATCTGATGTTTTGTGATAGAAAAGTTGTCGAACAGGTCATAAAACTCATGATCCATAACAGGTGCTATTTATTGTAGGCGTATGGCACGGCAACTTCGAAACGAGGAGGCTTCGTTTGGCTAGAAGAAGAAAGCTGAATTACTTCATAACATTTCTCGTCCTCTTTTTACGATCTTCTTGAAAAGTAATCCCATTAAAAAAAATACATTGTGAAATATTAGATTGTAACGAAGATATCAAACAAGGTGTAAACGACAACGATAAAAGATCATAAACAAGTTCGGTAAAGTGGAGAAACCTTGAACATACTATTCTTTTAGGGCTAAAGAGCTGTCGACTGCAGGCGACATACCAACAAAATACTGACAATTTTTACGTATACGGGTTAATTCACAAGAATAGTAAGGTTGAAGTCATTATCTATGGAACAATGCTGGGCTTTGTTTGCGTCTCCGCTATGTTATTGAAATCATAAACTCTTTTTTTATCTCGTCGTTGTTAATTTAAGATTGGCGGACAACTGCGTAGACGGTGGTCAACCTTTTCGTTTGCAATGGTTGACCGCGCAACAAGTCTGAGAAAATAAAACAATGAACACTTCCACGGGAACCAAGTTTAAAGAGAAAATGCTGCGTTGAAAAGACAGGAGTATTGTTCCTTTCCAAAACTCCAGTTAGGTCCGGCGATACTCTCATCTTCTATGTCAAACGACTTTAAATTATTTGGTCCATTCTCTGTAAAATCAAAACTAAATGAAAAGTAAGTTGTTAGTTTTCATCATATTTCTATTTACCTAGAAGACGGTCAACCTGAACTTTCAAATGATATCAGGTCAGCTAGAATGGTACGAAAACTGATCGTTTGTTTTTAATTGATTGAATTGTCACTCGACAAGACTTGTAAAAAATCATAATGGCTGATTTACAATAAACCAGTTATTGACTTAGCACTGTTCCTCCTCTATATTTGGGAGACACGCGGGGTTCGAATCCTGTCGAAGCCTTACTTTTTTTAAGACTTCGTTTCCTGTAATTGCTAAAATTGCAGCTCGCCCGTGAAGATCGGCGCTCTGCTTGATAATTAACATCTGTAAATTCAGTCAGAGCTAGAAAAACAATTGATACTCGATTCAGGTTATGATATATACTTTTGATACCGATTTGAATCAAAATATTCGAGTGGACTTGAGGAAGATCTCAAACACTGTCAATAAGTATCTCAATATACGAAAAGTGTTGCGTATCAGTTTACCTTAGGTTTTCAAAATTGATAAGTCCTTTCTGAACCTCTCAGACAACGGGATAAAGGTATCGGCTTAAGCCAAGGAGTGTTCTTATCATAGAAGGTTAAAAATGTAGGGTTTTTACGGCTGGGACCATGACTTTGTTTTTGGTTAGGGGAGGCATCTTTCAAAACAATGATCCATTCACTGTAGTCGACTGTAATCGCGAAAATAGAGCTAATCTAACAAGGTTTCCGCACAACCAGAGTTCATTGTTCACCTTTCTATCTTAATCTTTCACAGATATGAGCAACCATCGTACTCTGCATGTATTATCCATATCACACGGTCGGGCAATACGACGGTCTCGATCTGAAGAGCATTTGTCTTCTAGCTACAAAGCCGAAGAAGATCTTAATATAAGGAGGGATTCGGTGACAATCAGGACAATCCCGAGTTTTTGTCCAGTTGGGAAACTGACAGTGCAGTATATAAGCAAAGAACAGCAAGAAGCAAGAAAAAGTATAGAAGAATTTTCTGGGAATCAAGAGAAACAAATTAGAAGGAGGAACAGAAGCGAAGGAGATTTGCAACTAACTGAGAGAGGGCAAACGGATTCATTAGATACCACAGCTGGTTCACAGCCTTGGTTAAAAATCACAATGTCCTTGGTACCGGCTGCATCCCCCCTTAAAACTGTCCATGGTTTGGAAGAGGCTCGAGATACCATCAAGAAGCTCAACGATAGCCTTCTGAAGGAGAAGAGGCTATCAGAAACGAAGGACATGACTATTGAAAATTTGCGACATGAGATAAATCTCTTGGATCAAGAACTTGTTGATAAACGTAAAGAGAATGACAAACACAACGAAGAAATGCGGAAATTACGATCGAAAACAACTGCACTAGAGACGGAGAATAAAATTCTGGAGAGACAAGTGAAGATGATGAATGAATCGAATAAACGACTTCATAACGAGCTACACGAGTTACGAAACAAGCTTCGGATTCAGGAAACCAAAGTCGGAGAGCTTCGGGTGCAGAGGTCGGAAGCCGTTCGGAAGTACGCTCATCTTCTACAAACAAGCGTTGACAAAGGAACACGGCTACGATATTTTCTGCAGCAATTGCAAAATGAGATTTTGGCTCACAGTGTAACCTCGAAGAAGTTTCATGTGCAAAAACAAGTGCTGGAAGATCTTATGAAAGAAGACAGCGAAGAAGATCTACAGTTCAAGAAGTACGGGTTAATATCACCGCGAAAGATGAGAAGAAGCTCGTGTTTGTTGTCAGAGGAGGAAAAGCAAATCCTGCGCAAAGAGTTGGAGGTTGCTTTGGGAAGCAAAAATAACAAAAGACCAGACAAAAGTATCCCCATTGAAAAGCTGACGACAGCTACTGAACGAATTGTTACTGAGGGCTTAAAATCTCGGCTGGGGAAAGACAACGAAGAAACCTCGCAAATGTCGAAGTTGATCGAGGAGGCGAAGTACCAGATCAAAGGTTTGGACCGGATAGAATCTTCACATGTGGAGACCTCCAAAAGGCTAGAGGACAAAGTTGGAACGCAATTAAAAGTGCTGGAAGGCGAACTCAAAGATTTGTCCAACGAGCTAAAATTGGCGCAGATCTCAAAGAGAGAAGACGAGGAAAAACTTAGATCTATCAGAAAATTCTCGGTCGCAGATAAAAAAGTTGACAGTATCATTCTAGCTCGAAGAACATCCCAAATTGAAAAGTTGGAGCTTGAAAGCGTCATAAACAGCATAGAGAGAAGAATGAGCGAAGACACTAACACCCCTATGTCGCCGAGAGAGGCTGAAATGTTGTCAATGAAGCATAAAATGGCTGAAGTGCTGGAGGACAAGCTAATGCTTTCAGATGAGCTGATTGAGTCTCGTACCAGTCTCTCTAATTTGGAGAATCTACTGGAAAGCAGGGGTCTGGAAAATAAGAAAATGGAGCAAGAACTCGAGGAAAAAGAACAGCGAATTTCAGTGGTACAGGAACATTTGAGGGAAGCAAGCATTGAAACTTATAATCTTAAGGAAGAGCTAGAGGCCACAAAACAGGAGCTTTCGGCGAGAAGAAGAGAGGAAATAGCACAATCGGAACTAAAAGCCAAAGATCGACCTCACAGGGTTGAATTAAATTTTACACCTACCAGCCAGCCTGCATTGGAACAAAAGGCATGGAACGTAAAGAAGGAGTCATCTAGAGTGAGAAGTAACAGCCCCTCCCCAGAACCAAGCACGGAAAGTTCTCCACTCAAACGAGAAGACGAAGAAGTACAAGTTGGTAACGAACCACCGAGTCCCAGACCACTTCAGAGAATTCGATCTGAGGAGGATCTACGTAGAAGAACTTTAAGAAGGACGTTATCCTTAGATCCGAAAGGATGGGAAAGTTCTCTGCAAGGTTTAGAAAGAAGAAGGTCATTAGATCCAACAGATTTTCGAACTAAACAGGAGCGCAAAGTTACCACAACAAAGCTGAAGTTGGTACGGCGAGCAGATAAAGCGATTCAGGCAGAAAGTAGCGAACAACTTACCAAGGCGCCAGAAAATTTCACAGATTTTGAACCTACAAGAGAAGCCTTGAACAGAGACAACCAAGAACTTAGAGTGATTCTCGGAAAGCAAGACGAAGAGATCGCAAGCCTCGTAAATGAGCTCGGAAAAATACGAGATTCTGCCGAGAGTGGAGAAGACAGTATGCCTTTTAACTATCCCAAGAGAGTGTCTGAACTGTGGACGTCCCTTGAAGGGGCTAGGAAGGAAAAAGAAGAAGGAGAAAAAAGGAACAAAGAGCTGCAAGATGAGCTTGAAAGACAACAACGAGAGATACAAGCTATCATAAGGAATTTGAAACGAGAGAACCCCCAGTTACCGTTTGAAGCTAGGGACAGTTTCAAAGCAAGCCTACAAACCGAGAGAAAAAATTACTTTGAAAAGGGAAACCCAGATTCTCAGCAAAGTCGTAGCTTGCAAGAGTTTGTGAGTGCAAATGAAACAAAAAACATGAAACATGAATTCGTTTTCGACAACGAAGACGGCCGACGGATTCCTAACGAGCTTCAGTTAGAGGTATCATCGTGGGACGGCGACACGATTTCGACCTTGGAGTCATTTATCAATCTTATGAAGAAAGATCTGGCGACTTCTTTACAACAGAGTAAAGAATTGGAAACAGAGCTCTATAGAAAGGAAGAAGATTTACGAAAAGCTAGAAAGGAGATAGCGCTGCATGAAGGTAAACCCCCTGAACTGACAGCTCGCTTAGATGAAAGAGTCAATGGGGAAGATAGGACTGCCAGAGAAGTTATTACGTTACAAACTAAAGTCGCGGAACTGACTGCTTTGTTAGAAGAGACAAAGAAGGAAAAACTTAAAACAGAAGAAAAGTGCGAGAGATTCACATCACAAATTTCAGAACTGAATGCAGCATTTGGTCAAATAAGGGAAGAAAATGCTCATCTCGTAAAAAACATTGAACAGTACAAATCTCAAATTAATGACTTACAAATTTCTCTTGAAGATTCAAAGACACATTTACTCAGAGCGGAGAAGGAGATTCAAGGGTTCAAATCTAAAATAATAGACCTACAAATTTCTCTGGATGAAATAAAGGCAGAAAAAGATGAGGCGAATGAAATTATTGAGCGATCAATATCTAAAATTCCAGAGTTAACGGCCTTGCTGGACAATGCTAATGAAGAACTCGGTACTGCTAAAAGGGAAATTGAAATGTACCAAACTGAAAATTTGGAACTGAAATCACACCTGGAGAACACAGAACATGAAACTCGCAGTTCTCTGGATGAAATTGCTCAATACAAGTCTCAAATTTTAATTCTGGAGGCGTCGCTTGAGAAAATTAGGAAAGAGAATGCTAGTTTAAGAGAAGAAGTCAGACAAGATAAGTCAGAAATTTTAGATTTGAAAGCTTCGCTCAAAGTTAAAAGGAAAGAGAACGAGTGGGCAATTGAAGAAATTGAAAGATACAAATCCCGGTCGGAGACCTTGAGAGAGTCGCTTGATAATGTGAAGAAAGAAAACAATGACAATTTGAAGGAAATTGACGACTACAAACAACAAATTTCTGATCTGAAGACTTCACTTGGTCGATCAAAGAAAGAGAGCGCCAATGTAACGAAAGAGTACGAGTTGTACAAATTTGAAATCTCCGATTTGCAAACTTGTCTTGATGCAGAAAGAAAGGAGAATCGTGCTGCAGCAGAAAAAATTGATAAATATCAATCCGAAATCTCTAGTCTGAAAGACTCTTTGGATAAAGCAAACAAGGAAGTTAATGCCAAACATTGTGAAAATGAGCGCTACAAGAGTCAGATTTCAGACCTGCAAGCTTCGCTTGAAACAGAACGTGAAGAAAATCTGGCAGCCAGGAGACATATTGTGGAAAATGAATCCGAGATTTGTGATCTAAATAGTTCTCTGCAACAGGCCAAGAAAGACAAGGAAACAATGGTGAAAGATAACCAACGATGCAAGTTCCAAATCTCTGATCTACAAGTTACCCTTGAAGACGTAAGAAAAGAAAATCTCGCCTCAGCGGAGAAAATTACGAGGTATGAATCTGAACTGTTTGACTTGAAGAATTCTTTCGAAAAGGCAAAAGAAAAAACCAGCCCTAACGATGACGAAATCGAAAGTTATAAGACTCAGATCTCAGATTTGCAAGCTACAATCGAAGATGCAAGGAGCGATAAAGAAAGATGTCAAAATGAACTTCAGAATGAAATAAAAAAGTGCGACGAGAAAGAACAGGAGCATAAAATGAAGGAAGCAGAAACGCGACTTGAGATGGAACGACTGAAAACTAGTAACTCCAAACTCCAAATTACGATCAACAATTTGAAAGCTCAGCTCATGGAAGCCGACAAAAAGGTGAAAGCCTTGGAAGATCAGATAGAAGAAGACAACAAAACCATTGCACAACTTATGGAGGAGCAATTAGGAGTTAGTCGATTACAGGAACAAGTTAAAGTTTTAGAAACAAAACTCGGTGTAAGGGATAAGAACTTGGAACATAAAGTGGAGGAAATCATAGAGAAAAATAAACTTATTGAGCACTTACAGTTAGAGAAAGACAAACTCGAGCGATCATTCGCAGACGATTCACTGAAACGCGTAGAAGATCCTTTATATTTTGACTCTGTTGACGGAGAAATCATAAGCGAAACAGCTGCAGCTCAAAGTTTATCTCAGAGTCTTCCGGTAGATGGCACAAATGTTGAAGACATTGAGGAGATAGGAAACGAGGTCGTAGAAGTCAAGGAACAATTACAAACTCTTCAAGTCGCGCTGGACGAAATTCAGAAGGAAAAAGGATATTTAGAAGAAACTGTGCGGCGACTTCAGAACGAAAAGATCAATCAAGAAAAGGAATTAGAATTACTAAGGAGACAGGTCCAAATTCTCGAGGATAGCGTAAAGGACACAGAGAAAACACTGGAAAAGAATGCACAAAAGATGTTAGAGAAAGAAAACGAACTGCATGAACTCATCAACGAAAAAGTAGTGAAGACGAGTCAGATTGAGAGTTTAAAAGCAAGCTTAACTGCGGCGCTTCGCGAAAGAGATTCCACACTGACAGGTAAGCGAGTTTTCATTGATGATTTACCGGTAATGAGCTATTAAAATTAGAAGTGTTCGGAAAGACTAAAATTAGGAATGTTGTGGCTATGTGTTTGGGAATTGTTTAGGCCTGTTAGGTTATCTTGAAATCGTTGTGCGAGTCTTGTGAGCCTTGGTTTGTCATGTGCTGCAAGACCACACATTTATTTTAACCTTTTGAGTGATGTGTCTTTGTAATAGGGCTCAATTCTCATACAATAATCGTGATCGCCAGTCGTGTTTGGGTTTGTCTTTGACCTTGCTTAGAGTCCTCAACGGGAGGTTTTATTTAGGTTTTAGTTCTCGAAGATTGATTGTTTTTCAAGTACTTTGTTGTTCATTTCGAATGTCTTATGGAGTTGTTTGGGTTAGCGTTCTAAAAATGTGTTAACTCTGCCAAGGTCAGTTATCCCGTAAGCCCAAACATGCCTAACGATAGCATATTTAAGAGCGTGTACCTAGGGCTGAATTAGAGAGACTCGGTCATTCAGATGAAGAGCCATTCCGAGTCATTAAGCAGACAGAGAATAAAAGTTCTTGGTCAGATTCCTGGTTCCCACGTTTGCGCGAGTTGATTAAGCTAGTTAACCTCAGCAATCCCACAAGATTGAACGAGGATTTCAAGATAATCTAACAGGCCAAAACAATTCCCAAACACTTGACCAGAACATTCCGAATTTTAATAGTTTCCAAACACTACTAATTTTAGTATAGTTCAAAACAATAAGTACAAATGATGCTTCGCAAAATCACCTACAAAACTGATTGGATAATAACAGTTTACAGGTTTTGGGCGCCGATGGATCATGACTATGACTATGCCTGGTTGTTTTTTTTGGCATAACACGATCATCTTTGCAACGTTCCAAATTACTACAGTAATGCAAGACTCCTTTGATTTTTACCTTAAGTTCTGCTTACTCAAAAAGGATGTTCTACACTCTCCGTCTTCTTTCTCATAGCCGGCCGAAATATCAAAATGTCGTTAAAAATTGATATGACCAAATTATTATCAAAATTATTTAAACAAAGTCATTTTGAGGTGGGGTTACGCCGAATAAACTTCTCACACCCAGCAGTTATCAATTGTAAATTTCCCTTACAATCATTTATACATTAACGATGAAAGAGATAAGGAGAATTATAAAAGTATTATCTAGGAGATATTGCCTTGATATAAGACCAAATTCTCACGAACAATCAAATAAGAAATGTGTGATCATTAGTTCGGAGAATTAACTTTTTGACCATTTTACGGCTAACGGTTGAAAATTGAAACCCTCTACAAGGCGGCAGTGCCCGCAAAACCAGAACACGAGCTTAAAGACAGCTGTGAGAGATTTATAGTTGGCGGTAGACCGTTAGTGACCGGCTTTTATCAAAACCCCTGTAGAGTCATCCAAATTACAACAAAACTTTGCAATAATTGTTTTATTTTCACAAATCTCACTAAAACCTATGTATGAAGCTAATCAAGTACAAACGTTTTCAAAATGTACGAATATGTACAACTTTGACTGAAAGTAAAGAAAAAATTTTAAAAAGGTGGCTTTCATTATGTGCTGATAACCTTGTAAGTTTACAAACATACATTCAAGAACTAGGAATTCCCAAAGGGAATGTCCTTTTTGTTCAGAGCCTCTCATTACGCTATGTGTGCGAAGCAAAAGGCTAGCGCTTAATTAAAAAGGAAAAAACAACGTCAATTAATGACCACACAAAAAAAAAACATTACTTTTGCATTGTCCTAGATATAAGTTCTTGATTCGCATATATCTTAAACATAAGACAACCTTTGTACGTTATGATAACGTTTGTTGACTAAAATCATTAAACAACATTTGCCATTACCACTGCAATTGGGCCTCACAAACGAATTTGATAAGGCCTTCGTGTGTTTTCAGAGTAACAAAGAAAGAACAATCAAGTGTGATTTCTACTCAACTTTTGGCTGCGCTGTCATTCAATTACTAATGACATGCTCCTTGAACCTTTTAATTTGCTATTGATCATTTCAAATATTTTCTTAGCCTAACAACTTGAAAACAGTGTCAAGCAAACGGGTCTTGAAGTAAAAAAAAAAACCTTACCATCAGGCCGATGTTGTCTTCGATTCTTATGAATAACTTACAAAGGAACATATAACCATCTGTTAGGAGAGTAAACTCCCAGATCTTGTTGGAATGGGTAAAACATTTGCAATTAGCAGTCTAATTGACTTCTGAAACAAAGCTTTAATGGAGCTACAATTTCCTTTACAATAAAACAAGCCTCTCACCGAAAGCGTGGGCATTCCAAGGTGGAAAGAAAAAAAAATCAATTACGAGCAACTTATAAGGCAGTTTTCTTGTGCAGACATTCAATTAGTCAATGATAAATTTATGATGTACAGCTTGGAATTTTCTTCCTTTTTCAGCGGAATACTTTGATCAGAAAAGTATTCATTTGTCAAACTATAAAGCACATCCAAAGTTTACTATCATTTGACTCTGGAATTATCGCAAGCGACTTTTCTGTCCACTGAGGATGTTTTATCAGCATAGGGGAGTTCAAAATCAGCTGTTATACTCTCTCGTTTGATTTAATCTTTGGCGGTCTTTTACAACTAAACAAATGTGAACAATAAGTTGCCACTTTTACGTTTAGCGGAGATAAAAAACAAAGGAAAACTGTAAAATCGTTGTTTAACGGATGGCACGTTTCTGAGAGGTAGAACAAATATCACAGAAAAGAAAAAAAAAATAAAACGATCACGGAATTCTCGATAATTTTTTTCCGTACACAGGATAAACCTATATATAGCCTGATAATCTTTTGACGCAATTACATCGTAATTTGCAGAATTTACATTAAATTTTCTATAACTGTTTACGTACAGGAATTTATTGGCTTTAATGAAGATATTGCTAGCTTTGCTCCATCAACCAACTCTCTCATATTAGGCAAATTTGCCCCGACCGGAGAGAAATTCTTATATCTGATATCTAGTGCAATGTTAATAAAACTGAGTTAGACTTCTCTGGAAAGTTTTTGATAAGATTTGAGTAAGCGTGTTGAACACTTCGATTACAAACCTTTGTCCCATTATAATGCACGCGTTTTCCGTTTGATTCAAATAAGCTTTTGTTTTGTTGAGCGACGCCGACCTCGTGAACACAAAGGATCTAACGCTTACTCAAAAGTTATCTAAAACTAAGTCGGATATTCATAAACATGAATTAGAAAAAATATTTGGTTCACACTCAAAGAAAGGCCCGTTTAATTGGGTGAGTTAAAGTTTACAGTTCACATATTTTTTAATCGGTAATAAAAATGCAAAGAACCTCAATTATTTAAAGACCCAATTCCCACTTGGATTAAGAGAGAACAATAACTTGTATTGGTAAATTCGGCGTGGACGCGTTGATTTGGCGTTAGCTTGTTTATAGCTAAGGTATAAGTCAGTTTACTCTTCAAATTGTCAAGTGTTTGTTTGTTTGTCTTCTTGCCTATCGTTACAGCCAAGTGTTAAACATTAACGTTTCTTTTTTGTAGCCAAAGACGACTCCATCGAGAAGCTGCAAAAAGAAAACAGGACACTGCAAGGCCAAGTCGAGCAGCTTAGAATGGAAGTTCAGAAACAAGCCGTCAACTGGCAACAGAAAGCGAAAATGGAAGCTGAGTATCACGGTATTGCTGACAAGTTGAAAGAAGCAGAGCTGAAGTATCTGCTCACCAAAGAAGAGAAGGAGAAGGTTGAAAAAGATTTGAAGAATACCACCGAACGAATGATCATGCTGCAAAAAGGACTCAGCGATGCGCAAGCCTCGGTTAAAATGAAAGAAGAGAAGATGAAACAGCTGACGGCTGAGAATTATGATTTGCGATCACAGATTAGGGATAAAGACGAGAGCATTCATCGAGAGGAGAAACTGCGCATGGAAAACATGAAGTCTTTAGACACGCTGAAGATAAAGTTGGAGAAGATGGAAGGAGACAATAAGAAGCAACGAGAAAGATTGTTTAGTTTGAAATCAGCGTGCTCAGAGGCAAACGAAGCGTACGAGATCGTCAAGAAACAAAACTACGGGATGAAGCGTGAGATCGAAGAAGTGAAGAAAAAACTGAACGAAAAAGATTCCGCACTAGAAGTTTCTGAGAAGGAAAAAGAAAAAATGGAGGAGCAGATTTTAAACGCGTCAAGAACTATCGACGACCTGCGCAAAAGTTTCCGAGGAGATGAAAGCATTTCTCCGGATTCTGCTCTAGGAGTTTCTTTAACATCTGCTTTTGAGTTCAGCTCTGGCCCAAGCAGCCCCAACTCTGTTGCCTCAGATAATGCATTCTCCGGTGATGGTTTCGGCCAGGAAACTGGACTTCTATGCAAGATGCCGACCATGATCGAAAGTTTCCGTGCGGTTGTTCGAGATAACGAAGTATTGCGCGGGAAATTGTGCGAATTCACTGTGCTAAAGGAGAAACAGGAGAGCCAATTGAAGCATTTATCGCAGATGAATGAAATTCTGCAAAACGACGCTGGCATAAAGGAGAAAAGTCTCATTGGTCTCGGAGACAAAGTCAAGTCGTTGGAGGCCGAAACTCGAGAAGCTAAAAATAAAGCTGTCGAGCTCGAGCGCAGTTTTGCCGTGGTATCGACGCAGGCGGACCTCTTGAAAACAACTCTTGAGAATCGCGAGAGGGATTTTGCAGAGTTACAGGAGAAAATTGACCTACAGGAAGAGAAAGAAAAAACCTTGGAATTGTACTCCAAATCTGTGGCAGAGAAGTTTGAGCATGAAAGCAGTGAGAAAAAGAAATACGAGGAACTTTCTCGACAGCTGCTGGATGAAAGTACCCGTCAGAAAAACCGGTTTCAAATCATAGAAGAAAAGCTTTCTGCTTTGTCAAACGATCATGCTGATATTTTCCTTTCCGCGCCAAGTGGTGTTTCTATAGCAACGACAGCTGAAGACAAAGTGGATGTGCTGTTAAAGAAGAAGAGAGATTTGGAGACGTTAGTGAGTAGCCTCCAGGCTGAGTGCACTGATTTACAACTGGCGAACGGCGAACTGCAGAAGGATTTAACACAATACCAGGAATCTGAAAAACGGTGGCAGGAACTCGAAGGCGAACTTAGAGCTTCGCGCATTCGTGACGAGCTATCCAATGCTAAAGTCAATAAGCTTGGAGAACAAAAGAGGTCTTTGGAAAATGAAAACAAAGCCATGGAAAAGGATTTGGCCGAGGCGAGGAAGAATGAAGAAAACTTGAAGATCAAGGTTGACACCATGAAAAAGATCAATTCGGATCTAGAAAACGCCAATGGAAATTTCCAAGCGGAAAACGAAAGTTTGAAAGACGATTTACGGCGAGCAGATGAAGAAAGTTCAAAACTGGCAAACGAGCTGAAGTCGTTTGAAGTAAAAATGGCTGAGATTGAGATAACAAATGATGCATTCCAGGTCGAAAACGAGAAGCTACGGAAAGATATCATGGCGTTAACTGAGGCAAAGTGTGGGGTGGAGTTGACGATTTCTGAAGCTGAAAGACAGATAAAGAAACTCAAAGAGTCCGCCGACAAGGAGAAAACAGACAGGGAAGCTATGCAAACTGTGAAGAACGAAACTTTGAAGCATTGTGAAGAACTGCAAGATGAATTGAACAAAGCGAAAAACCATATCGCAGCAATAGAGGGGAAGCAGAAAGAAGCTGAAAAATCAATGGAAGAAATGGAAAAGAGCAAGATCGCTTCATCCTCGGAGATAAGAGGGCTTTCCGACGAACTACAGTTAGTCAAGAGAGACTTGTCGGAAATGGGAGAACGGTACAAGAAATCAGTTCAAGAGGAAGAAAATCTGCAGCAGAAATTAAACCTGGCTAACTTAGATATGGCTAAGCTGACAACTGCGCACCAAGGAAGTCTAAAGAGAAATGAAGCGATGGAAAAGAGCCTCCTCGAGTCGAAAGGTAAAAATGAAGAGTTGGATATATTGCTGGAAAAAACCCGTTTAGAGAAAGCGAGTGTACTCAGAGATTGCAGCGTGAAAGAAGAAGTCATCCAAGAGCTGCAAGCAAAGAAACAAGAACTTGAAGATGAAAGGCAGAGTCTAACAAACGACTTGTTCGTTGCCACAAGAAAGGTGTTAGCGCAGCAACAGAATGCAGAGAGCTTAATCAATGAGATTAAGCAACAGAACCGCGAGATGAAAGGAACCATCAGAAATGCTCTTAACAAAGAAGGAAGAGTCGCAGAGGAAGAAAATTTCAGTCAAGTAGACAGCGAAACTAGTGTTTCAGACAATGAGGCTCTAATGCAGAGCTTGCGCCAAAGTATCCGAGCTACAGAACGAAATCTTGATTTCTTCCGCTCGGAGGCCAAAGTACCCGAACACGAGACAAAGAGCTATCAGCGAGACGTCGATTTTATCAACAAGGAGTTCGCGCTACTTCGAAATCAGCTGTCCTTGTTTTCAACTACTTCTCAAAAGTTATGCGTAGAGATAAAAAAGCTCAAAGAAGATCTGGCTCAGAAGGAATCTTTGTTGGAAGAAAAGAAAGAACAGCACGCCCTTTTGAAAGAGGAAAATCTGGAGAATTGCGAATCTATAATTCAACTACAGAACAAGTGCAGTGAGCTGGAGTCACTTTTTGGTGAATACGAGAACAAAGCAGAAAAACAACACGCGGAGTTGATGCGCGCGAACCAACAGCTATCAACACTGGATTCAAATCTAACAAGAACCGAACAGAAAAAGACAGCTCTGGAGAAAGAACTACTGGTCTGTCACGAGAAAATCTCGCATCTAGAAGCAAGTGCGAGAGCAATGAAAGAGGAAGCTCGGAACGACAAAAAGAAGATTGCCTCGCTAGACGCCGAATACAGCGAGAAGCAGACACTCAGTCGCGAGTTGGAGAATACGGAAGCAAGTTTACGAGAACTCAGGAGCAAGTTAGACGATGTCTTGAAAGAGAAAGAAGAGGCCAAAACTGAGTTGTGTACAATAAGAGAGGAGCTGCGACAGGATCAAGTCGAATTAAAGAACACCCGTAAGGAGCTTGACAGTATGAAAAAACAGATGAATTCGGAGAGGGACATACGGCAAAAAGTGGAGCTGGACCTCAGTGAAAACACTGCGGTATGCAAGACGTATAGGAACAATCTACAAGATTTAGAACGTTCGATTAGCAGACTGCAAGAGGAGAACTCGGACCTGGAGGAAAAAGTCAGTATTTTAGAGACAACGGGAAACGCACTGAGAAAAGAGACGGAGCTACAGGCCATTGAGATGAAAAGACTTGAGGAAGAACTGGCGGATAAGAACGATCAGTATACGAGTCTTTGCAAAAACCATGAAGGGAGCGAGAAAGAGAGAAAGAAGTTAATGAATGAGATGATTGCCGCAGACGAGAAGATTTCGAAGCTACAGGGAGCTTGTGATGAGCTCCTGAAGGAGAAAGAAACGAGTTCCAGTAAAGTTATGTCCCTTAATGAGGCTTTAGAAGTCATAATCTCAAGCAACGAAGAAACTGCAGCCAGTTTGAAGAATGATTTGCTGCTAACGAAGAAGGAGCTTTCCGTGGCCACAAGTGCGCTGGACCGGCGACAAAAACAATTGGAAGAGCTACAAGAAGAATTGAAAAAGGACGAAAGCAAGATCAAGTCGTTGGAAGAGAAGAAGCAGGAAGTATTTGAGAAGTATTGGGCTAGTCAAAACGAGCTAACGGAAGCCGAAGGAACCATTCAAAACTTACGAGCAGAGATCAGGGAACTAAAGGAGCAGATTGCATCAAGCGCGCAGAGGAACCAACACCTTCAAGAAACACTGCAATCTGAAAGAGAAACAAACGAGAAAGAAGTATCAGCATGGAGCGATCAGATGACCAAGTTGAAAACACTGCATCAGAAGGTAGTCGGAGAGCGTGGAAATTTCAAGCAAGAGTTAGAGATCACTCAGACAGCTCTAGCAAAGATGGAAAACGATCTAAAACAAACAAATGACGTTCTAAGCGAAAAAGAGAAAGTTTTTGAGAAAGACATTACCAAACGCAATCAAGAGTTGGAAGATTTGTCAATGCAAAACGCAAACTTGAAGAACGAGCTGCAGAAGACCACAGAGGTGCTGGAAAAAACGCGCGCAGAAAGCGATGATCTGAAGGAGCGCTTGGATATCAATTTAGAGAAGGTAGAGTGGTTGGAGAAGGAGCTCAAGGAACGAAATACGGACGTAGAAGATCTCTTGGCCGAAGCGCACGCAAAGCTTAACGTTGTACGCAAGATGAAGGCTACGAACAGCGGCGAATATTTCGCAGAGCTGCCGTCATCGGAATTCATGGCTAAAGAAGACGAGGAAGGGGTTGACGGGGGTGATGCTCGCCCAGTTACACCAATGAATACTTCAATGAAAGATGTAGTGACCTCTCTCCATGAAGCGTGCCTCTCGTCTTTTAACGACAACAGAGGACTTCAACAAGTGTTGGCTGAAAAATCAGACGAAATTGCTCGTCTGGACGAAGGTCTTCAAAAGGAGAAGAATAACGCAGCTGAGATGAAAAGATACCTCCATGATTTGGAGAAGAAAAAAGGAAAATTGGAAGACGATGTTAAAAGATTGCGAAGACGTCTTGAAGCACTGAAACTCAAATGCGTGGAAATGGAAAAGGAGAAGGATAATGAAATCACTGACACTAAAGGAGAAAAGATCGTACTGGAGAAGGAGCTGTGGGATACGAAAGAGGCATTAGAACAAACAAAGGCGCAGTTGAAAACCTCAGAAGAAGACAAGGAGAGATATTACAAGGATCTAGAAGCCTCGCGAAGGCAGATTGTTGATGCCAAGAACGAAATCAAAGGAAGTCAACAACAGCTTGATGCACTTCAGGAAAACATTTTGCAGTTAAAGCGAAGGACATTTGAGCTGGAGGCAAACGATAAAGCGCAAGGGCAAGTGATTCAAGAAAAAGATAAAGAACTTTGCATAAATCAATCGAAGATCCAAGAACTGGAAGAGATGTATGACAATACCAATGAGAAGAAAACGGAGCTCTATGCGAAGCTTGCAAGAGCGGACGAACGGATGGCCACGTTAGAGGAGGACTGCAAGGAAAATAGACTGGAGAAAGCCAGCCTCGAAAATCAAATTGCAGACTTGAAAAACAACGTTGATGACAAAACTTCGATGTTAGAGAAAATGAAGGATGATTTACAACATTCGCGCGAGAAATGCGAAGAACTTGAGATCCAGAGTGGAAGTCTTCAAGCAACTAACGAGATCTTGAAGCAACAACTAGACACCACGAAAAGAGATAATGCTCAATACCAAGCCCTGCTTCATAAGGAGAAAGAACTTAGCAACGCTTTCAACGGCCAACTGCGCGAGGTCAAATGCGAAAAGGAGAGTCTCGATCGCGAATTGAAAGGAGTCATTGAACAGAAGGACCATATAAAACATTTGCTGAATAGATCAGAGGAACAACTGACAGCTGCAGAGCAAAAATCCGTCAATTCCTTCCACGAGGTTGAGAACCTCAAACGACAGATGGTGAAGATCCAGAGTGGTGCATGCGCTGACTCGGCGCGGAAACAACTGGAGCTTGGTAAGCTGAAAGCTGAGTCAGAGTCGCTGAAGAAAGAGCTGAAAGAAAAAGAAAAAGAATACAACGATAACGTCACCAAGTTCAAAGTGACAGAAAAAGAAAACGAATTCCTAAAGAAAGATCTGATGCAGAAACACAACCGGGAATCGGAGTTGAAGCTGGATCTAACATCCACTAACAGCAAACTTCAGAGCTATGTCATCGAGAGAGAATGCTGGGAGAGAGAAGTCAAGTCTGTAATAAGTGAAATGGAACAGCAGAAGAACGCCAGTCTGTCAAAGGAGGAAAGGCTTGAACGACTGCGCACGCGCTACGAGAATGAGGTCAAGGTTTTACAAGATCGCGTTGAGGCCCTGGAGCGAGAAGTTCGCATTATCCAGGAGGCCAGTGAACAACAACGACACGCGGATGAAATAGCAGCCAAGCTTGCAATTGAGTCCAAAGACATGGAGATTGACAACCTGAAGCTTCGTCTCCAGGCAACTAGGATGCATACCAGCGAAAAAAGCGACGTGTTGGAGATCATGAAAGACCAGCTGGACGAGAGAACAAGACAGATTGCGGATCTAATGGAGCAATTACGGATGTTGAAAGAGAGTTATCATCTTGAACTAGGGAGCCTACACGCAGACCTTAAGTGCGCCCAGATGGAGAACATGCTTCAGAAAAGAGGAGAGCTGGGAAACACCTCAGGATCACGGCAGGAGGCTGAGCTTCTGGAGGCCATTAAGCAGAGCAGAAAGGAATCAGAGAGATTGAGAAGTCTTCTGAAAGGCAAGATGAAAGAAATGAAATCACTGAGAAAGCATATCCTCACCGAGCGAGTAAGTGGAGGGAGAAAACCCGGGTATACAATGTATTAGAGACCTTGTTGACTCTCTTAAGAACTTTGCAAAGCTGTACATTATATGTGAAGAACATTTATGTCATAATACAATGAGTGAATATCACTAGCTGAGTTTTTTTGCGTTCGCAAAACGATCCAAAATGTTTTTTTTTGTTTTGAGACGGCAAATAGTTTGTTTGTACCATGAAAATCATATATTTATCGTGTGTGGACAAAGGCAAAGTTGCATAAATTACGTTTAACGAATAGTTTATCGAAGGTTTATAGAGTAACTATGACTTCCAGAGATTAAGAAGATGATTTCCTCATAAAGAGCCTTTAATATATTGAACTGAAACAGTATTTTTTTAACGTTTCGAACAATCGTCATTTCAAAAACATACTGTTTGGAATCAGATGAGGTAAAATGTGCGTCAGTTCCAATGCATGAAAGGATTTTTCTTTTAAGGAAAAAGTTTTAATATTTTAACGTACTTACACGAATGGATTTGCGATAAAAGCAGTTTCTTGTAAATAATCTAGGGTATGCGTTGATTTTCAATAAAGTTATCTTAAAGGAGTTCCTGTGTAAAAATCACTAAATGTCCCTGGATCTTTGTTTTTTTTTCTATGAGAAGAGGAAACTGCAGCCAAAAATATTGAGTACAAGATCGTTAGATCACAGAAATCGTCCTTTGTTGGATGAGAAATAAGTAACTTGTCATGTTAGTGCCTGCAAACTTAAAATTCTAGCCAGAAAATGCGTCTGAATTGGGGTCAAACGCACTTCGTGCTCTCACTGAAACGCGGTTTCAGAGCATCACAACTTCACTCAGAAGAAGGGATACTCCCCGAAAAAAGGCTATACAGGTATGAGGCCTTGAACAACGCAAGTCGGTGAGAACCGGGTCTGCCAGGGGGGTACAGCAAACCTCTCCTCGATTGACTCGTTTCAAATCTTCCCGCCGGCAGAGAAACGCGCGTCTTACTGGCTATATTACTGCAGCTATATTGGTTAAAAACCATAAAATGGCGGCCATGGTGTTGTTTAAAGCGATCCTAGGGGATTGAACTCCTCTCATATATGTACAGTTTCTTTTGCTCCAATTCTGTCACATAGCTGCTAAGCAAGTGATTGAAAACGTCCCATAGCCAAAAGTATATTGAATTATTTACACTGTCTACAGCAATACGTAGTTATTGTTTACGTATTCGAGAAGCTGTAGGTAAATGGTAGAGGATTCTACAGTTGAATCTCTGGTACTGACATGGTACTGAACTCCATCTGTGACACTACCTGATATTAAACGTAAAAATACCGTATTTCCTCGAATAAGCGCCCACGCTTTTATAAACGACCTACCCAGAATAAGCGCCCACCCCCTAGGCTATAGTATCAAATAAGCGCCCCCCCCCCCTTCTCCCTCACTCTCTTAAATAGCAGGGATACGAGGAAAGCCTGTTCTTCTTGCCACTTCATTTATAAGTTTTCCAAAGCTTCAACTACAGCGAAATTAGTACAGGAGAATACTTTCTTTCCCTTTCCTGTTATTTCTATCTGCTTGCAAAGTTCTTTATATGCGTTATCTTTTCTTTTGACTTTTTTTTGGTTCTATTGCTGTGCTAATTTAATAAGCACCGCCCCCCCTGCTCCTTTTCACCAAATTTTCATTAAGTGCTCGGGTGATTGTTCGAATTATTCGAGGAAATGTAACACTTATCAAAATATGTTATTGAATAATCTAGTCTCAAAATAGTCTGGTTATAATGTGAATGTGTGAACTTTATTTGATTTCCAGAAACACTTACACAAATTGACAATAGTTTAGCAGATAAGTTATGAACAAAACTTTTGAATGACATATCACGTTCACTTACGGGCAATTTTGTACCTTCTTTAAATTATTTGTCAAACTCGTGTTGCTTCTTGACAAAATTATTCTCTAAGTTGTTTACAACTGGAAAACAAAAGACAATGAACTGGTTCCCAAATGCACGCAATTATGATCACATACTTAAATCTTGTGAATTACACAATACACAGATTTTTGTTGAGGTAACCTCATTAATTACAAACTAATTTTAACTTGCTGTGTTTTTACAATAAATATTTTGACATTACAATACTTTTTACATACATTTCTAAAAGTTTGGAATATGTGTAGTGAATAAAGCTTGTCTATAGTATAGTTAAAAATTCATGGAGGTTTAAAATTTTTAGTGATCAGATTGGTTTTATGATCATCCGAAATTGAGGAAAATAAAAAAAATACATTTACTATTCCAACTGATTAAGACAATTTTAAACCAAAATGACGAAGTGAAATGTATATCATCGTTAAACTTTATTCTTGGTTCAAAGCTTATTTATGAAGTGTATTTTGTTCAAATAAATTTGCATTCATTACTATAAGCAGCAAGAAACGATGACAAAATTTGAACCAAGAGAGAAGTTCAACAACATCAGGTATAACCTAGAGGATGATAATTACTGCATGAGCAACTTGCATAAAACATTCTCAAATGTCACTTATCAAAAATCTATGGCTTAAGCCTACAGTGCTCTTAGTACTATTACTAAAATATAAGGTGAACATAATTGCAAGATCAATTTCATTGATGTTATCACTGACTGAAAACCATAAAAATCAGTACATTAAGTTACAAAAGCAAATATTTGATTAAGAGTAAATTACTGTCAAAAAGGATTCATACTTTAAGTGGTACACCATGACTGGAAAATCAAATGCAAAAGATTGAAAGTACGCCCACAAACACAGAAAAAAATTCTACTACAAAGTTACAAAATTGGACGGTTCCTCTTAAATTATAGCATTAAGCTGGAATAAATACCTTCTCTTGAAAGTCACAAATACAAGATTGTCACAAATTTAATTCACATTAACTTAAGTTTCAAAATAAATTGCTTCAGTAAGCATTAGTTTTGGTCATTTTATCCTGAGTAACTGAAAGAAATCTCAAAATGAAGGGAAACTTGAAAAAATATGGCTTGAGCCTGAGGGTGAGGTCTGAGCTTGCATTGTCACAGACGTCTTGTGAGAGAAAGAAAACCATGATTGAGAGGCTGAACTAACAAAAGCTAGAAACAATTATTAAGAGGACCCGCCTCTGCTATGCCTTATTTACTAAAAATACAAAAATACTGAAATTTATTAGTTACAGCAAAAACTGCTACACAACACTGTTTGTTGTCTCTGCTGGAAAGGCTTGTTTGTTTGTTTGTTTATTTTTTTTATGGATATCTTTTTATTTTACCACCTTGACAGCTTATTTATTAAATATAACTTACAACCCAATGTAAGTACTCACCATTTGTGCTTAAAAGCCGGCCAAATACAATTCTTATCAACAACTAAAGTTATTCTCCACATAAAACCTTTTTCTTAACTGCTATATCTACCTTAATTATAGTTTTTTTAAAGAACGTGAATTCTCAAGCAATCTTAACAGACAAAGTTTGATTTACCACAAAACATTCTCGATGCTGTTTTCCACCTAAATTTATATATCATCTTTCAGCCCACACACAAAATCTGAAGAATTTTTGAGACAAACGTTTCTATTCAGAGATCATTATGTGAAGAAATTGCCAAATGTCAAAATCTTTTTCAACAGATAATTAAATTTCCCAGGGAGTTCTTATTCAATTCCAACTCTTAGAACAGATCTCATGGATTTTTTAACCACACATGACTTGTCTCATCAAAAGATCTCTTTCCTATACAGCTTTTTCACCTTTATGTTTGAATACAGCCTTCAATTAAAAATCAGAATTTTTTCATCAATTAATGCAGTCAATAAACATTGCCACGTCCAAAGAGAAATCTGGAGTTTTAAAATTTTATAAAATTGAAAATTCACCGTTGCATGCATGCACTTCAACTTATGTCTGTTACTGGAGATACTAATTAAATACATTGGGTTGCTGCTGTCTATTTCAACCTCAAAGTGTGCCATTTTATGCAATTGAACCTGCCTTTTAATCATGTATGCGTACTAATATGTTGTCATGTGACCAACAATACTGGCATTAAATGAATGCCAGAATTCATGCAAGAAACAATCTAAACAGGATTTTCCGCATCACCAGGAGTTTGCTTGTCATCTCCTTCACCAGCTACAGTGCTGCCAATTTCATTCAACTCAAGTAATGATTTCTGTATCTCCTCCATGTCAATAACAATATCTTGCTTGTCCTCATTTATTGTAGAAAGCTTTCTTCCCATTTCGACATCACTTCCTGCATCTTCACCATTTTCCTTCTTCTTTTCAAGCATCCACAGTCCCTCTTCGTCAGCTGATCCTTCACGATCTCTCTTATGACGATGGTGCCTATTTTTGTGATGGTGTTTGTGTTTATGCTTGGATTTGTCACCAGGTTTGCCTTTTCTGCTTTTTGCTGTTGTTCCATCCTTGACAAACTGTTTCCACAGTGAGCTCCTGCACATCTCCTCTGAGATATTCATTGGTGCTACAACATTTGCAGTGCCATTTAACTCCTTTCCATCAGCGAGGGCCTGAAAAAAGGTTTAAAATGTAGAATTTACTGAACAGGGAAACGCATCACAAACAAACTTTTAAATCCTTCAGTCCCAATGTCCAACAGAAGGAAATGTCGCAGGTCTTAGTTCATTTTTGATTTTCATCTTTGAGTTTTAATCATGGAGAACAAGTAATTTTACATCTGTAAATATTCAAAATGAAAGGTTCTCTTTTTTCCCATTGCTTACTTAAGCATGAAACCAATTGTTGCTTTGCCTTGTATACAGAGAAAATAAGTCAAAATGGAAATCAACTGTCACACACACAGATTCTTTGCACGTCTACAGGTAAACAAATCAGGTCAAGATGGTCTTCGATAACTACCAAAAGCACCAATCACCATCACTAAAGTGTGGTAGTTTTTTCAACAGGATTAGCATATAAAGGAATTTGAGACTCTCAATCTACACAGTAAACACTATCAGCTTTACTGAGAGAAATTTGCAAGAGCAGAAACACAGCACTAATACACAGCACCATTACCAGCAGCACAGCTGTCTACCTTACAAGGATAGGGAGGAGTTTAATATCAAATTCACAAAACAGGTACATCATGAACCCATGCAAAAAGTAGGCTTGGCTTTTACTGGCTCCACCGAGACTAATCAATACTTAGAGCACAATCTTCTTCAAAATACATGAATTACCAAGGGTGACTTACATGGAAAAGATGATATCATGCAAAACTTACACCATATACACCACTATGTAAAGATTAGCTTATATTCACCTTTTTGCCATCAGTTTCATCACAATGATTAAAACCGTCCTCATCATATTCATCCTCATCAGAATCATAGTCATCATCCTTCTTTTTTGCTGCCTCATCAGCTTGCTTCTTTTTGATGCTCTCTGGCATCAAGTCATCCAACACTTCAAGTTCATGGAGGTTGAAAATCTTCTCCATGACTTTACGTACAGCAACCAACATCAATACCTGTTAACCAAATGGAAAGGTTTTCAGAGAGTCTTTTATAGCAGCCAAAACATGTGAAAAAATGGTTCCTAAAAAAAGAAGCACTTGACCATGTTGCAGTGGGTCTCTTAAGTAATAGAAGACATCAAAATTCGGTAACATCAGAGACAAACTTGGCTGCCCCTTGTGTGCCACTTTTTTTAAGGTTACCACATTTTGACGTCATCTGTGACCTACTAACTAACAGACGTATGACAACATTACAACACTGACAATGCAATGCAAATTTTAATCACCATGCAAAAAGAGAAAGGTGATTTACATCACAAATAACTAGGTTTACAATATTTGTTAAATATCATATCGCCTCATTCACAATCCTAACCCCTTGGACAGAGCACATCAATATACTAAAATAGTAAGAAAATTATAAATTGGTGGTACATACTCTTTCATCTACTGATAAAAAAGTTTTTCATTTTATATGCATAAAGCAAGTACAAACCATAACAGGGAAGATCAAGGCAGCATCGGTGGATTTGATGATCCACAGTACAGCCAAACAGAATAGCTGAATCAGTGTAAAGATATGGATTCTCTTGAGAGGAATTTGTCGCAGGAACATCAGATCAGGTTGATGCTTCACAGGCATAAACATGATCTTTAACCTATCAAAGAACTGTTGGCCAAAAGAAGAATTGCATCAGTAAATAATCTAACGATTTGGTGACCAAATATCTCAAGAATATGACTATGACCTCTTAAGTGGTATTTTAGTTTATACCTTTAAGCTACACACATCTTTTTCAAAATTTGTTTGGTAAACAACATCTCCCCCTCAGCATTTTAATGAGGTTTTTGGTCCACTAGAAGACACCCTGTAGACTCTGCATTTTTATGAGGGTGGGAATCAATTACGGAGTCTCACACTCCCTTAAGCGTTTTTAACAAGGTTGGCATTCTACTACACGAATCCTCCCAGTATTTTTGTTGGTCCATTATCAAGAACCAAAACCTGAATTTCTCCTTGAGTATTTAGGGGTGCCACCACAGATTCCTTTCAGTTTTGTCCTCAGCAAGCTGTAACTAGTCCTTAAATTACAGCACTATTTACATTTTCCCAACAATTCATGAGTATCCCTGAATTGTCCATGTCTTCAGGTTCTCCTAACAATAAACAGCCACTACTTCATGCATCTCCCAGTACATTTAATCAATAGGCACAGGTTGGCACTAACCTGCAGTCCCCTAAGGGCTGAGAATCCCATGTAGAAGAAGAGACCAAAAAGAACAGGCATTGGAACAAACTATAGAAAAAAAGTGGCAAATTAAAAATGAAGCAATCAAATCCAGTATAACTTAACACATGGAAAAGATTAGAGCACATTATGATTGAGTGTCATGTGACCAACACAGAAGTAACCATAAATGCCAATCAGAGTAAGTGAAATTATCACAATGAACCAATGAAAGTTCAAAGTAAAGAAAATACCCCCCCCCCATACACACACACACACACACACATACCAACTGCTTATTTTGAAGGAAAACAGGAGTGACCATGTCATAATGAGTTTAGTTTTGATCAATTTCAACACTTCTTGAAACCTGCTGTTAGTATTACAAAAGCCAAATAAAACAAAATTTTCTTTAAATTGCATGCAAAAAACAGCTTAAACATAAATTTAAGGGGAAGTTACAAAGAAACACAAACCTTAAGTATAGGAGCAATAAACACAGTCAGGCCAATCAAGATGAAAATGAATGTGCCAGTGATACGTTGCTCCCTGTTAGGTACATAACAAATGTACAGCTGGAGTTACTAAAATCTCTCCATAGAGTGTTACATGTTGTTATTTATTACTACTATTCTTTGATGGGTTTGATGTATCTAGATCAATGCAACATGTAGCAAACGCTGTTTAAATATTGGAAAATTTAGCACTAGATGTATATCCAATGTATGTGTAAGCTGCAAAGCTGCAAACTAAAATGTCTACAAAAATTTCTTGCAACATGGTGGATCTACTTTCCGTCATTCACTGCAACACCTTTCAGGCACCTTGCAAATGAATGCACCCATTTCAAATGAATGCACCCCTTTCAAGTAACTTCATTTGCTCTAAGGTATGTTCAAGAGTGTAATGTATTTGCATAATGACAAGCCAACATACCTCACACCAAGAAATTGTGCTTTCTCTCCAGGAGCTGTGCACTGAGATTCTACAAACAAACTCTGCACATGACCGACTGACAGAACAGTGGCTGCTACTACCCAGGGCAAACCCAGCAATGAACATATACCAATGATAATAGCCACAAGTAGAAGATCAAGATGATAACCTGCTCCTTTCTGTAAAGAGAAATAACATAATGTGAGTTTAATTACCAGTCTAATTGAAAGCACATATTTATTGCTGATAAGTTTTTGGTCCAAAATGTTAACCCATTGTTGGCAACATAACCTTGGTACTAAGTAATTTCAGTTTAAAAGGTAAAGTGGAATGCTAGGTAAAAGTTGATCTGTTTTGCCTAAGGCTTTTAAGTGTTCAGGCTTAGATTGTAATTAAAAAACCCATAGAGTTTGAGATCTAATTCAAGGTTTTTGTGGCTTATTTTGGCCTTGGGCTAGGATTCCTATAAGGTAGCATTGGTCTTAGACTAAAACACAGGGGATGGGTATTTGAACCTTGCCGAGCTGGAGTGGGGAAATTGAACCAGAAGTGTCAAATCTTTCCAGCAGAATACAAGTATTTTACCTTAAACATGAAGGTATCCATAGGCAAAGAGTTAATTTTTGTGAGGGAATGGCTCAAAAGTAAAGGTCTTCAAGGTCTAGTTATTAAAAGGTTGGTCAATATGTAGAAAGTCTCAGTTGCTGATTTTGCCTCTAACAAAAAAACTGACCATTGAATCCAGCTTTGTGGGGGCAAATGTTGAAGCTTCTTATTAATCAGTGTTATTAAAATTTTACCGACCCTTTTAAGTTATTAAGTATTGTTTTTTAAGCAGGTACTAAAAAAGATCTCTGTACATTATGCCTTACACAGAAAACAGATCTTCATACCTTAAGTTTGTGTTCTCGTCTGTTTACAATCAGTGCTGTAATTTGCTGATCCATGAAAACTAAGATAGTGGCTAGTAAGGCTGGGATTGCTGCGGCAGGGATGGTCCACACAGGATTCTTACCCAAAGGTGGGATTATCCATCCTCTGGCTTTACTGTTTGTTGGCTCAAATTTCAATGGGATGTCAAGCTTAGGAGTGTTGACACCAAATGCCAAGTCCACACCAACCATAACCATGATACTTATCAAGATGGCAAAGTCAGAGATTACTGAGCGGACCTGTTATGGGAAAGACATTGAAAATTTAGGTTATTAAAATTAGACACCACATCCTTGGCCAGGAAGCATAGGATAAACTATTTTCCAGGGGGTTTCAAAATGTTCTGAAGTAGGCATTAGACTGAAAAAAAGTGGGTGACTGTGAAGAGTTAATTTAGGACCAAAAGGTAATCATTTTGACCATAGTAACTGCTGACATGTTATCAAGTAGCCAGCAGAACTCCAACTGTCACTGGCTTTTTTTGAAATCCTGATTTTCTGGAGCAAATATCTAACATCATCCTTACTGTGACAAGATTTTGCTAAAGTCTGAGACAAGAAAAAAAAAATAACAGGATATTGGGCATTCTTATCACTTATGATGCAGTGATTGATTCAGCCAAAACATGTGTATGTTTTGCCTTTGTCTTCCTATAGGAAGTTGATGCTCATGTACCTGTAGGACAGTCTGGAGCATAAAATGAAATGAAACTCACCTTTGTTGGGAAATAACTGCTGCTACGGAATTCCTTCAGCGAGACTGCCAGGAAGAAGGTTCCGAGAGAAAGGATGACAGACAGGAAAAACACATTATCATTGCATGCCGCACCCACAAGCTGACCACCATACCTTGCACAGTCTCCTATAGGATAGTTCAGGGGTGTTATGTTGTAGAAAGACGAGCTGTCTGTCATGTGATGATCTGATGAATCTTCCTCTCCCGGATAACATAAACAGCTATGATTAGTTATGTAACCTTTAGTCACTGGGCTATCATGCAATACATGGAACAACTTCTTGAAGCCCTCAACAATGAAGATCAACGCAATTAAAGTAGCAAATGACTCTTCTGTGAAACGGGTGAAGTATCGCACAAGGGCACTAGCATCTGTTACCACGAGGATAAAACAGTACAACATCGTCCATATACCAATCCATAAACGGAACGGCATGTAGTCGAGGCCAAATTTATCACAGAATGTATAAAGAATTTCTTCGAACACTAACATAGGCCCAGTGGCACCCAGAATAATAAGTGGTTGACCACCAAATACGGAGAAGAGGACTCCACCAATTCCACCAGCAAGAATTTGCTCCATGGCAGCCTAAAAATTTAGGAGAGGTAGTAAGAGGAGAGAGAATTTAGGATAGGTTACCTGGACAATTCCTGAAGGCAAGAAATTGGAAACATGCCTATTTAGAGCTTTGGAGAGAAATAATATGTATATGTAGCTAAGAGGAAAAAATGTGTAAAACAGAAGGAAAAATCAACTGAAACAGAAAATGTTGAGCTGCTGAGGCAAACTAGTTTGTTCCCAGACATTACATATATAGCATTTAAAGAAAGGTAACCTACAGCATTTTTATTCAATAGCAATAGTAAGCTTATTTTATTTCATTTTTGTTAAACAACAGCAATCAGCAACTATATTTTTTTCAAATAATGATGAAAATGAGCAAAATTGACCATGTTTCATACCAAAATGCTTTGCAGTAGCAACCAAAAAGGAACATATAGCAGTAAAACAGGTGCATTATCAGTCACATCTTACCATGTTCTTCCCTGTCTTTGTGCCCATTAAACCCCCAAATGTAATAATTGGTGTGAGACAAGCAAAGTAAATAAAGATGATTGATGCGATGCATTGAGGGTTGAGGGCATCTTTAAAATCACTCCAGTACCAAGGAGCACGACGTCTAATGTCAGCTATAAGACCACCACATAACCTGTCAGAGAAATAAAGAATGACTCCCAGTTATTGCAAAAAAAAAAAAACTAGGAAAACACTCTAAGAAACTACCCAATCAGATCTGATTGGAAAGTTTGGTTCATTTGAGGCTTAATTCTTTTAGCTGATATTTTAGTCTTGGGATTTAGAGGTTTAACCTTCAATTGGGTTTTAGATCCTTTTTTTTTACAGTCTAATCACCCAACTGTCAGGCAAAACATGATGTATCAAATTCTCTACATTGTTTTTTGTACCAGTCATTATCTCCCTACCTTCCTGTTTTCTGAAGTTGTTCCTCTCTGTCTCCTGCAGGATCATGTTCTTCCACTTCTCCACCACCTCCAGACTTCACAGTCTCAAGACGGTTTCCCTGGCATGGAACAGCATCTGGGGGCTCAATGCGGATGGATGGATCCCATTCACCAGGTGGCAACACTGTCACCTGAAATCACAAAATAAAAAAGTATTCTCTAAGATATGAAATGAAAGGATAAGAGTTTCCTTAGAGTTGTGATGGTTGGGTCAAATGTAAGGTGACATAAATTATTGACACAGTGAACAAGACTATAACCAAGAGAAGCATGGCAAATGGCATTAATTTATATTTATGGGCATCAATTGTGACAATGCCTATATTAACACATACAGACACACTAAAATTTTTTCAAGATGTTTGCTATTGAGACAAGTGATGTTAGACTGTGCAAGGAATTAGAGATATAACAACTATGTTGTTTGCTCCATTTTATCCACACAGTCAGAATGAAATAAGATAAGATCACCAAATTTAAATATCAATTCATATCCATTCCTCCTTAAGCATTTTTTAAGAAACTAGGGATCAAATTGTTCAATAAGCTACCTTTTCCACCATACCCCCAACAATGACAAGACTGTTAATCCAAAGCTAATAATATTCCATCAGTATATGGCTGGTCTAATCAGAGAGGAATACCAACCAAATGCCAGAGGAGGTATCAAGGTAAAAGAGCACTACAAGACAGGGAGGATTGGGAAAAACTCATGACTAACTACTAACAGCAATTGGATGATGAAATATTGTTGTTAAATTACCTGCATTAAAAACTCATCAATTCCAGCCAACAAATCCTCGCGGCAATGTGCTTTGTAGGCTACTTCGTGAAAAATCTACAAAATAAACAAAGAGGTTAAAATTGAAATAAAAAATGCTTATTTCAATTAATCAGGTTAAAATTATTTCAAAATTGTTTCAATTTCACTTTTCCTTATTTAAGAACTATGGTTATGTATCTAGAAAAAATAAAAATTTGAATCAAACTAAATATAATCCACTCGCACCTGGATTCATTTTGAGCTATAACATGTCTGTGCACTCAAATCAAATTACCCAAATTTGAATTCCATCAGATAAAATACAAAGCCATGTTTTTCCTCATTTAATTAACCAATGTCTTAAAAATGTGTAGTTTCAGGTTGGATTTAGTATCACAGGCAATAATGTATGGATACACATTTTGCACTATTACAGGGCTGAGAAAGCGAGGTATCTCAAGTTAGAAACACTCACAACAGGAATTTAAACCAAGTTTGGCATTTTTTAAACCCTTTAATCTTTTGGGGTGATTAGTATGTAATTTCTCATTAAGGTTTCGCTTCTGAACCAAACCTTAGACTCTTGAGAAATGAGGAAATGATCATAAACTTGAAAAGCTTTTGATTTTTCACTAAATTCTCCTTAATTGGTTTTCACTACTGCCCAAGTAGTGCACATTACTGTGAGGATCACTTTCATTCACATAAATTCTCCTTGTCATTACCATAGGAAATGTATAAAGAACAGCATGGAGAATATACATGCTGATGTCAGGGTGTAAAGGGTTAATTAGTTAGTCCAGCTTTAGAGATGGACAACATTACCTCATCTGACATCAATGTCCCAATAGCACGTCCAACTTCCATGTACCTTCCTGGTGTACCAGGTGGTCCTAACATGAGAAATATAAACCTCGATGCCACTGGAACTTCAGTGAGGTCACCTAAAAGTGATGCATTCTCCAGACGTACAAATGCTGTCACTGGCTTCTTTATGACATCCATCTCACCAACTAAGACATTGGAAGCCTCAGCACCCTGGGGAATCTTCTTCATAAAGTTGGCATCAAACTGGAAGGGAAATTTTCTGATTATCTTGATGATAGAAACTCAACACTTAATAGGTGAGTGCATGTGGATCAACACAACCAGAGTGTTGCTTAATTCCCTTTTACCACCATAAATGACCAAGACAAAATTTCTCCTTACAATATCAATACAAAATCAAGCAGAAAATTGATAAGAATGAAGAAAAATAGCAATTAGGGGATTATTAATTGATCCAATACCAATTTCTCCCCACTAACATTATAAGAATGGTATTCAACTAGTTTGGAGAATTACAAATGAAATCTTGGGAGTAAAAGGCTTAGTGTTTCAACTCTTTTTGGTTTCAAAACAACAAAGCATTGAAGGATCATAGCATGATGACCTTAGTTACTTCACCTAGAAAAGTTTTCTTTATAATTATTTTTATAGGTACATGAAGCTAAACAGTCCACATGGACAGTGTGGTGGTTGACCCTTGACCTTTTACAGACTTGACATCACATTTTTCAATAAATGTAGCTTATAAGAATTTCAAATATCTGGAACAGGTAAGAAAAAAGTTAAACTAAACCACTTCTGAGCAAGGAAGGAATCTTTCAGGTGAAAAAAAATACAATATCGGGCAGACTTGCCATCAGAATAAAAAATATGGCTTTTCATGGTTTTTGAGTGTAACAGCTAAGAAAAAAGGGTAAACCAACCGCTTCTAAGCAAGTCTCGGAGTCTATCTTGTTAAGACCTGCATCACCATTAACACCACTCTCTTTCCCTTTTCCCACCAAGTCTGCAGCTGATGGTAAATGTGGGAACTCTCCATCATATTTGTCTTCCTCGTTCACCACCTCTAAATTCTTTGGAGCAGTTGTCTTATGGGATGAATCAGATCTTTTGAACATGTCACCAAAGCCTGCAGATGAGCCTTTCTTTGCAAATGATCCAAAGCTACTGATTGGGTTGGAGTTCTTCTTCTTTGTTGTTTTGTTTCCCTGATGACGCTTCTTCTTTAAGATTGCATCACGTACTTGCTGCCTGTTGTCCTGATCCAATTGATTTTTATTCACCAGATCATCAAGGACAAGATCTGAAAAGAAAAAGATTGTTTAATTTCACAAGAGTGTTTACAGTACTTAATAAAAATGATTTAATGAAGTACAGTAAACACTTAATGACTGCACATCCTTGTTAAATAGCTGAACCAAACTCCTGGTGAATCATGGTGAATTTTAATGACACATACATGCATTCTTCACGAATGTTAACCTGATGATTTTCTCTGTCCTTATTTGGAATGGCTTGACATGAAAGAAACACATTCTTTACAATTAACTAGAGTACATGTTTTAGTTGTTTAAAAGCTCTGAGGAGACACTTACCAGCAATTTGAGATAAATTATTTGCATTCATGTCCAAAAGTACTGTTCCACGCAAAAGTGCACTTCTCAACTCAAACAGACTGTACAGTGAAAGGGTACCGACATGCGGCTTACTCCAACGATTTCCTCCTTCTTCCACATCCTCCTCAAATTTCAACCACCGAGCCATTTCCCTCCACTCCTCATTCCCCTCTTTATCACCCTGGTATTCCAGCAATTCTGTGAACATTTTGTGTTGCTCTTGGTCAGCTTCTTCTCCACCAAGAATGAAGCGCACTTTGTCTGTTGGCAATGATGGTGTCCCTGCATCTAAAAACAAGCAGAATTTGTTCATGCTGAATTGTATAGGAGAAGAGGATTGATGAATGAAATATTTCAGCTACTGTCTAGTTTTCTAAATTACAAAAAGCTTGGTTGGGGGAGAATTCACAACTGGATACTGCAAAGCTTATTCCACCTTTTCAGAGGCTAAAATAATAAATTATTACTCCCAATCATTTTGGGTGACCCTGTAGGATCACTAGGGTAACTTAACCCTTTAACTGTGGTGAGTGACTGTAACAGAATTTCTCCATACAATATCAATACAATATCAAGAATGAGAATAAGGAAAAATAACAATTAGCAGACTATTGGCTGATCCAACACCAAGTTCTCTAAACTAATATCATAAGAATCGTATGGCAGAAAGTAAATAGAATTACTTGTGAGATCTTGGGAATGAAAGAGTTAACATAATGGGGCTGTGTGTGTGTATCTATGACCAATGTTCTTGTCCACTCTAGATGTTTAGAAATCAATGCTGGATGCTACTCAAAACAACACCCCTTTACTAAGCTTTGGTGTCAACAAATTGAAACTGGTTCTTTCAGAATATCAGTGAATTGAGGTTTAGTAATACTTGTCAGGCCAAATATCATGCCAATATTCTGTGCCATGAGTGATTTTCACTTACAACAATAGCTAATAAATCCATGATCTGTGGAATTAAGTTGAAGTACCTTCAATGTGAAACTATCAAACCCTGTTCAGTCAGCTGTTGCAAATAATTATAGATTTTCCTGCTTTTACTTCATCAATACTTCAGACAAGCAACATTTTAACACCAATTTCTCTTGGGAGCTTTTGGGGTTTTCATTAGGAAAAGTTGTGAAAAGAGAGTAGTGTGAAGTACAAGAAAAACATTCTCTGCCTCTGAAGGAAAAATAGCTCAAACCCTTAAGACTTAGCTTGAGAAATCTGCATAGTAGCCAAACAATTGTCTGATCTTGAATACCTGTTGAATTCTTTGCTCAGTTCCAGACAAAGGTTTTTAAATCAGTGCACTTATGCGATTAACTCTCTTTGACCAGCAAGTCACAATGGGCACATAATAGAGCATTATACCATTGCTCACATCCATAACAATACTCTGTTTGGCGAGGGAAAAATAGGTCTAGCTAATGAGACAATAATGTCATGATAATGTTCATGTTTGTTTACGGCTGTTATATCCTGTCTGAAAGCATTTATTTCAGCTTGGTATGCTTTTTGTATGTCCTTTGTACAGTGTTATCCTTTATTTTGAACACAGCTGGTAAAATAAATTTTCAAACCAGTAGAGTTATCCATTTGCCTGTTAAATTTTCAAGAATTCCTAGCGATTTTGTATTAAGCTGTGATAAGAGGTACTAGATGTGATAAACATTTTACTCATTACTGCCTGAAAAGGGGGACCCTGGACGTGGAGAGTGAGATCAGGTTCTTATCTTAGGAATAACAGCTGTGTGTGCAAAAACATTAATTGTGCTCTTTTTCTCTGAATATCAATGACTTAGACTAAGATCAAGAATTCAAATTTGCTACAAGCTTATATCACAAGATTGTTCCATTAGAAAGAATAACACATTAAGCATTGTAGAGAACCTGTTTAGAGCAGCAGTTCAATGAGAATGGAAATTCATTGAAATAAATTTCTGTTTAAGAATGGCTGATCTTTATTATAGGTTAAACAAAATCTTTGTTTTTGTCAACTGAAGTAAGCACTTCATCTAAATCATCATTTAACCCCATGTGGAGGTTTTGAAACAACAAAACACAAGTGTGTGGAAAGTGTGTTTGAACAAATTCAAGCTAAATATTGCTGACAGGATGAGACTTAGAATGAACAGTCAGAAATAGGACTACAGGGACCGAATATTCAATTAACACAGGAGTAATTGTGAGTATTTGAGATGTGGTTAATTGTTAACAGAGAACAATGTGTTAATTTATTCCAGTCAATTAACCTATGACCAAAATCTTCCTACTATTAAAAACATCACTGTACATGCACAGCTTGGGCATAAATAGTATTTAAAAATTACACTGCACAGTTGTTACTGTGAATGGAAGTTCACAATTTGAGGGTCAAGTAATATTTAACAAAGACGGATTGTACAAATAACCTGGCATTAGGTAATGAGGATGTAAACAGAGTTGATGTTAGCAAGAAGCTTTGTGAGTCGAACAACGCACAAAACTTGTGCTGTAACGTTCACGAAATAATTTTAGGTTCTGACATATTTCTTGAAAACTTATCATTCTAGAGACTTCCTCAATAAGTTACCATATGGAAATTTTTTTCGAAATTCGCTGAGAAATAAAGGATTTCTGAATATCAAATTTGAACACACATACTGTAACAACATTGAACTGAAGGAATAAATTTGTTCCCCTGGGTTTCAAAAATACACATGCACAATTCTCTAGCTTTCGATGCAGTGATATTAGTGAATAGAGACTTCAATACAGACAACATTAATCATCAGTATTTGGTTTTTAACTGCTCTTTAAAATACTACGAAATAGGACCACTACTTGACCAGAGTGAATCGTATATAAACTGGTACATATATTGAAACGCATGCCTCACTTAATGGAACTTGAGTTGATAGCAAAATCGTCGCAAAAAAAAGATCGATATTATAAGCTAGAGAAAAATTACAATATGAGTTTGCACGCTGGGTTCACGGCACGAATTCGTGCAATTTTGGACTGACAATCATTACCAGCTCTCACGGAATATGAAACCTTAATAATTCTTTGGCTTATCGATCGTTGCGTAATTTTCGATTGATTACTACAAGTTGCCAAAGTAAAAATAACAACAGCCCTAAAGCTCGTGACACGAGGATGATAATAAAAATTTTCTATAGAAAACAAGCAAAGCTTTTTGTAATGCTACTACAAATTTCTCTGAATAATATTTTATTCGCACCTTCAGAGGAAAATAAGCATTCACGCGCTTATATGATATAAACACTACTCGTTATAAAGGTTTTCGCTTTTCTTTCCTACCCTCGTTCAAACACAAAAGAGTGAGCGATCCTTCGACAAATAAAAAAAAATTCGGGCAAATGTTACAATACGTAATATAGTACAAGCAGCTTAAAACAAAAACAAATTCTAACCTGATGAGAGTTCATCTTTGGATTCCAGTAGGGACCTGTGCCTGCGACGGTGGTGATGATGCCGCTGATGGTGGTGATGTTTCCTTTGTCGAAGAGGAATATGAACTCCAACATACACCTGACGATGATCTGTAATAAAAATCACCATATTAAGATGTACGATCAAAAAGTAAAAATAGTACTCTTCACGGTAAAAATTGCAAAAATTTCTGTACGCGGCTAGCGTGAGCGTTTCCGGCAAAAAATTCGATTATCCGCGCGTACTTTGATAGTCGAGCTCTCCAAAGTAGCCATTCCTACTGGATACCCCAGCGTCAACGGGTCCGGGAATACTATCGTAGCTCTAGGAGAAAGAACGAAAGTTATAATTTCTACCCAAAATGGGTGATCACAAAAAAAGTTCTTGGCTATTCACCGGTTGCCGGATCTCCATGATTCGACGGCCCTCACACTTTTTCTGTTTGGACCTCGATTACGTGCGCGTCGCGTTTTTATCCAGAGCTCAGGAAGACTGGGGCTAGTCGTGTGATATTTGCGTCAAGTGTTTATATCTTATTTGCACTTGCAAATAATTATAAATTTTGCAAAGTTTTAAACGGAAAATTTGTTGCGAAAGTTACTGATGCGGTCAAAAATTACATAAAGAAGATTGAAAAGTTTTATTGTTTTCACTGAGTGAGTATTCAAGCGAAACCGTACCATTGTCAAAGCTCTTGCACGTGAACATCAAATGGCGATGGTATATTCGCGTTCCTTACGCAGGTGGCATGGGACGAAAGCATTTACCTTCGACCCCATCAATTTCAGAAGTTTGAGGAAAGAAGGAATTTTTAATTTAAGAAGTAAACTTTCTATCATTTTATGGAAGAAAAGGAAAACAGGTGAAATAACCCTAAAGGCCTTCAATAATGTCACGCGTAAGGAAGGGAACAAATTGTCGATCACCAGATTAAAGACTGAAAGAGTTTTCTCAGACTGTCAATTATCCCTTTGAAACTCATCCAGATATGTCCACCTATACAATTATATCATACAAACATGTTTATGAGCACAGAAGATAATTTTTTGTTTTCCCATTTTCCTAGTGTCATTTACATGACGATAAATGTTGTAGATTCATTAAAATGGGCGCGAGCTCAAATAATTTTCCTTCCCATGGGAGGTAGTAAAGGCTCCTTCACTGGTCAACTTTGGGATTTTGAAATGTCTTTGCTTTAATGAAATCCATTTCTTTATAATTTATCATTATTTTTTTACTTTATCGGGTTTTGATTGCTTTTGAAAGAAAAAAAAATTCCTAGGGTAGAACGAAGTAAGATTTGTAAAGCCGTAAGAGTGATATACGAAAGACTTACTCCGATTTATCTAAGCGCTATATCCCTCAATTTGTAAAAAGAACCATAAACTGAAGAAGTACTCCAATCAAAGTGTCAATATGAAATATTGGAGAGCAATCATAGAGCAACCACAGGATAAATAAACGCTCAAAACGACACTAATTAAATAGAATGAGCATTGCGGTACAATTTTACAAACAGAACAAAGACGCATTCTGATATAGCATATCTCCTAATTTGATAAACTTCTGCCGGATTCGGTAAGACACTGACGTCACGAATCTACGAAAGTTTTGTTTCCCGGAGGTAATCGATATTGAGCCAGCCACCTGGTGGAGTCTCGCGATACTCATAGAGCCGGTAGTAAGTCAATGCTTAAGTAGAAAATACCGCAATTGTCCGAGACTTGCCTTCGCAACGTTAGATCAAAATATAATTTATACAACGATGCAGAGGACAAAAATCGTGTCTTCGATCAATTAAGGAACAGGCAGTCGCTTTCAATATCGCTAGTCTCGTAGTTGTCAAGACGCGACGAAATAAATGTCTCCATGGAGTGATGTTGTGAAATGAATCGCGATTTCCTATGATTTGAAATATTCTGTAATATACGAAACAATACTAAACATAACCGCGTCATTTGTAATTGTTTGCGTAGTTCTCAAGAAGCCAATATCGAACATTTCTTTCTTCGTCCTGTTGCTACTGTATTAGCTTTAAAAATTCGCATTCTGCAAGACAAAAATAATCCCCTAAGCTCATATCTGCCAAAATTTTAATGAGATTTTTATAGAAAGAAAGGCTTCTAAAACAATCTTGAGCACTTAATAACTTGGAAGCGTTCCGTACTGGCAATCTGATCAATATTTTTCGACGACGAAATTATGTCTTCGCGATGATTATTCATAAATCCAAATTGACCCATCTCGGTGCTGCCAAGAGAATATTACCTTGAATTTCAACATCTTCAATCTGCGCATGAAAAACGTCCAGTGCATGAGGATCTACGGCAACTTCAGAGGCCTGAAATTAAGAAATGAAATGAACATCTGTCGGTTTCAAAAGAGCACACTATCACGGAACATACAGAAATACTAGGAGTACGGTTCAACAATATCACTGGTTCGGGAGATTTTATCGGATCTTTATGGTAATATTCTTCGAATTTAATAAAGAAATAGAAGATCAGAGACACTTAAAACAGTAGTTAGGGCTCTTTCAGAGCAAGTCAACTCCCTATCTCTCATTCCCGGCGTACGAACCGGAGAATGACTTCAAAGTTCTGGCCGCTTCCCAGTTGGAAATTATAAACAACTTCAACTTACCACTCTCGGCGGATATTCCTTCGACGTCATATTGCGCTATAACTGACCACTCAAAACACTCTTTAGTTCATTTAAGTCAAGAAACTATGAACCTTCCAAGCAAGCGGTAACCTCGATTTTCAAAATCCGCCATTGGAAATGATTCTTTAGGGCTATGTGCAATCTTTTACGGCAGTCGGAGATGTCATTCACGAGAATAGCCCAATCAAAATTAAGCGTCACGCTAACAATTCATTTTGCTAATTTACCTACACGAAGAACAGCTTTTTGCATAACAAAAATGAGCACTTACTGCGTGCACAATAGGCAGGTAAAAACATATTAAATATTCATTTTTCTGGTCAGCTCACTTCGATTTGATCGTGCAAGGCATCAGTGGCATAAGATTAATGATCGGTTCCTGGCAAATTTTCAAAAGTTACTTGTTCTCAAAATGAGCGTTCATTTGATTTCACTATTTCTAGATCTGTGAAATTGCGAATTTTAACCAACGCTGTATTGACACAAAAAAACCGCTGAAAGATTACCTAAAAATTTTATGATTCTTATTTTCAACGTTATTGGAGGACCTATTGGATGAAAGTGTGTGTACAGATATAAATAAATATCAGTAATGATAAAAAAAAACAGACCGAGGTCTCGCATAGGCTATGTACGCTCGAGTTCAACTGATAATAAGTTGAAGTTTAAATGATATGCATCGAGCCTAACAAGAGAGTATTAGTTAAAGATTTTGTCAATTCAGTTTTTTTTCCAGACAGTGATAGTATATATTCGTCGCAAATACATCATGACAAGAATCTCATTATATATGCCCTTTTGTTTGTACCGAGCTTTTGTCTGTGAAAATTAGCGTAGAAAAAAAAACGAATATGTGTTGACATCTACTTTATCCGAAATGGATTATTAATTATGGTATTTCTCATTTTATCGCATGAATTTTCCATTACCCTTTCCCAGATATAAACGCTGTCTACCGGCCTAAGAAAATTACGTCGAGAAATATCCGTGCCCCAATAGGGGAATTGATCGTAAAGTAAAGCGTACATTTTGTGGACTTTTTTTAGCTTCACTGAAAGATTTCAACTTCTTAAGTCGGTTTTGAAATGATGACAACCTCTTTCTTAACCGAAAAAAAACTAGTAATGTAGCACAAATGTACACTGTGTCACGCAAACTTTTGTGACACGCACAGCTTGCGTCGCTGAGTCATTCCGTGACCATCCCATTTTCCTCTTGATGCGTGCGATGAGATAAGCGTATCCACCTAAACTTTGTGACGTGGAATGGGTTCAAGGTTGAGATCATCGCGTGACTGCACAATATATCAATAAGAGCAACCACTCGAAGCTCATCAAGGCGTAACCTCTCATGTAACATAAAAACAAAAACAACCACCTGCCAGTTGATTTGATGATACCTTTCTCATACGCCTTGAATTGTATCACAGACAGAAATCTGACAAGTCTTGCCGCAAAGAACCTAATTTGAGACGGCAAGGAAAAAGCAAGTTACTGCACTGTACTGATCTCTCTCTGACGCGTTTCCTACAACAGGAGGTCTCAAGAAAAGCATTCGGGTCTAATACCGAATGACGTAAATCAATGAGGGATTTCACGCAGTTCGAATTCTTTCAGTTTGAAAAGCAGGATTAGTAAGTTGAGCCTAGCAAGCAAAGAGAGATGGGAAGTCATTGTCCTTCTAAGCTCTCCTTTCATTACCGTGTCCAGGTTGACGCGGAATTTCAAAGTTGACAAACCAAAAGGTCTAAATAAGAAGACAGAGCTCATAAAAATAAAAATAAAAATAAATAAAAAAGATAGCGTATACGTAAAGTTATAAGTCGATTTTTGCATTGAATCTCAATGTCAGTGAACACGCCTTAAGGGACACCCTTGCGGACTGAGTTGGTCAACCTGAAAGTGATAGCTTTCGGGTACTTCAAAAGTCGGAGAAGGAAAAAGAGTACATAATTGGTTTTTACAAATTTGGTGGTGACTCATGACTAACCCCTCTAAGCCTCTGAAGAGCTGTAGCTAGCTCTTAAGATACTATATTAGAGGAAGAGTAAAACTCGCTCAATGCCGCCTGTCTCAGGGTAAGAGTTTTCATCAAATCATCTCAACGCAACATTAGTTCATTTTTCATTATCGTCATCTTTACAACTAATTTTGTTTTAATAAAAAAAATTACAATTTCCTCGATTTTGATTGGTTTAAAATTTCTAGTTTTCCCTAATTCACTTGCCAAGTTGTTATCAGACAGTTTGTTATACGGAAAGTTTGTTATTGGACAGTTCAGTAAGCCAGTCACATTCAAAGTTGTAGCTTAAATCAACCAATCAACTGTTTCAATCATCATAGAAACAGTGTACAGACTCCGAAATTGTCAGTCATTTAATGCAAATTTTCCCTTTCTGTCATAACTTGGCTTTTTTTTTTACCCAGAAATTGTAATTTTTATGATTACTTGGTTATAAGACTTCGTGTCGCCCAATTCGGTCTGTAATCATACTCGTGATGAACAAATCGGACTCCCGCTATGCGGTCGTCCAATTTTATTATCACTCGTATGATTACAAACAGAATTGAACTCCACTCAGTCCTATTACTATTGTAAAGTATCAATTATAGTAATAATAATCAATATCTACTGTTAGGCATCGATTATTTCAACAATAACATGGAGAACAATTCGAAAACATGATTACTTTCTTTGCCTTTAATCAGTATCTTTTGTAATAAAAATGAGTTCCACACATATAAATTAGACATCATCAGTTCGATTCTTTCGAAATACGACTCGTCTTTTTAAGAGTAAATAAAAATATATTACATCTGACAGTTATAAATTAAGTTGGGTGGGAAAAATTTTGAAGTTCAACAAATTTCGTTCGTTAACTTAAAATGTCAGCAAAAGTGCATATTTACAGAGTCGACATCCTTGACCATAGATTAGCTGTTCAACTGCCAAGCATTCGAACATTTACGAATATCTCCGAGCTCTATTTCGGCCATTCCCGGTTTAAAAGCCACAATCACATTCACTTTTGCAGAGCCAATAAATAATCAATAGTTCCATGTATATCACGTCACTGTTTAACACAGCATCTCTTCCTACTGATGTACATAAGACACGTTTCTTGTTCAACAACTGTGCGATAAATGTTGCCTGTCCCAGTCCCCTTGATGCATATGCAGACCTGAAAACTTCACCGGCGTAGTACCGGTCCCCCAGTTTCCTCTTTACATAAGGTCGTAATCGTAGCCCTCTAGTTTAGGCAGACGCATGCGCTCCTCATCAAACTTTCTCTGCCTTTCTTCAATTTTTTTCTCTTGGCGAATTTCTTGTATTGTAATCTCACGACCTCGCATAAGTTCACTGTTGGAGGAAACGAGAGAAACATAGTTATCAAGTTAGAACAAGTTTTAATAAAGTCTAGAAACTGATCCGGGATCGATTGATTGATTGATTGATTTATTGATTAGACAGAAATGTCACCAGAAATAAACATCACCCTCTCCACCAATTAGATACAAACTAAAACTAAAAGAAACTTGGCCAACCGCGTTTTCCTGCGCTTTAGGTGGTTTGCATGTTTTTACTTCGAGTTCTCATTGGCCCTTTGCGGTATTTTCCTTCGTTTTGTTAGGCAATTGTGATCCTCCAAGGATTAGACAATCTTTTTAGAAAATAATATTAGCCATTTACCTGTACTCAATTTCACCATCGTCATTTATGTCGATGAAGTCAATCAAACGATCAAGCTGCCTCTGCAATGGAAGAAGACAGAAACTCAAATTTGAGTATAAAATAATGATCTGTAAGGGAACAGTAGATCAGAGGGAGAAACCATCAAATCAAAAACCGAATGATACCTGCGTCATCACAAGCCCAGTCTCCTTCAGCCCGATCTTAAACTCCTCGCGAGAAATACCACCACTGTGGTCCTTGTCAAACTGGTTAAACCAGTCAACCAGGCGAAGCCGGTTATCTTGAATGAAAGTAAGCAGTATACGCATACCAGGGGGCATTTCCTGAAAAATTAAAAATAATTTTGAGAAAAACACTTAAAAGATGACGCTATTCTACTAAAAAATTATGCAAATTCAAAATAAAAAATAAACAGTTTATTAAAAGAAGCTGAGAGAGCTTCATAATATATGTGACGCCATAAAGTGACAAATGTTTTCGGCAAGTATCATGGAAAAAGGACATTCTTGAATCATAACTGAATCTACGAGATCCTGAATGAATGGAAAATGATTGTTGCACCATCGAGGGACTTCTTATGATTTCAGTAACCATAAACTATACCAAACCTTTGCCCTGATGTGGATTACAAACCTACGCAAATCGTGTTTTAAAGAGGTGTTTACGTTGTGGTTACTTATTCAAAGGCAATGGTAAAAGAAACTCCATTGCAAAACATAAAAATTCACTGTCTGAAAATAAAATATATTCGCAGCCTGTGCACCAAATTACAGCAAATTACTACAAGTAAACGTAGGGTACTTCACAATACAACTGAACGCAGGCAAATTAAGACTAATAGTAAAATATATTAGTTGTGAGTCGGAGTGGCTCCTCTCGAAACTATCACGTCAATTTGACCACTGTTTAACGAACAAAGTTCGATGCCAATACTCGATGTCACGTGCAGATAAAATACGAGTATATTGCCTACATTTTGAAACGTATTTCATTCGTCAAAGCGTTATGATTAGCAAAGCAATATATTTCTTTAAAATTGTACCACTTAATTATATACCGTCTCGTCTAAAGTTCATGGTATGAAAATGAGGTCACAAGTGTTAAAACAAGGTAATTTAAAAATAATGTTTCCGATGATATGAGAAGTGTTCTCGGCTTATCAATAGCCATAAGTCATTTTCAGGGTACTTGTCAAAAATTGCCCAAGAGACAGCTTGAAACGATAAAATGACTCAAAGAACGACAAAGAAAAAAAAAAGAGGAATGGGCATCGATGGGGAATTCTTAAAAAAAAAATCTCTACAAATGGAGTTTGCAAGAACTGGAAAAGTAGGTAGACAGACCTTGTTGTGTAATTGTGTAATTTCGTATGAAGCCGACAAATCATCCTTGTACGTTACGTAACCTTAACAAACCGGGGGGCGGCTGGGGGGACGGAGGGGAGCGCACTCGCAAGGGAAAATTCGGAGCCTAAAATAGAGTCACTTCCAGAATAGTCAGATATTAAAACCTCAATCAAATTGAAAAATAATTGATAGTAAAGGCCATATAAACTGCGCAGCACCACCATTTCGCTTTATTCAAGACATCTTGTCTTGAAAGAAACGTTGTTCGGGAGATTCAAAATCCCGAAAACTATACCCTGTTTGTGGAATATACCTGTTTAGGCCGAAAAAGGGAATGGCCACCCCCCTCCCCTTTCTTCCCCGGCCTCTTAACGTCGGTAACTAACTCTGCCGACCGAGACGATTTTTTTCCCTACTTAGAAAGAACGAAAATATCCAAAATCACAACCACCACAACATATGGGCCCTTTAAATCGCAAGGTTAAGATGTTTCTGGCGCCATTAGAGTGTGTTATATTGAAATAAAAACGCACTGTCGTCACCCAGAAAACACTTAGTCAATTGTCTCTTACATATGTCGCAGTTTTCTAGAGGTCTAACATCTTTATATTTAAATTCAAATAAGGAAAAATACACAAAAGGCCAAAACTTTCGAGCATCTTCGGAATTGATGAAAAGCCATTCTTGAAGGCCATTACGGAATTTGAGTCATAAGGCTTCTCCACTTTTAAAAGACCTCGGAAAACGGTTGGAATATCCACAAAACCCGAAAAAGAAAACGACCGAAGTCTACAAAAGGTCTGTTAATATATCAGCACTTAAGCCGTCTCTAACTGATATCAGACTATTTTAACGACCTTTCCATGGCTTCTATTAGTAACTGGAATAAGCACAGAGACAAAGAAAGGAATACAGGCGTCATTTGGTTCTTGAAAAACACGAAAACACGAAAACACAAATGGTTCGTTGGGTCGTTTGTTTGTCTTCATTCATTTATTCATGAATTCCGGTTTCTAGAGGACCCAATAAACTACACGTGCCATTTACTAACCTTAACCGACAGTTTTAAGGAGCCTATTAGAAAGTCGTTAAGATTTGAAGCCTCAGCCAGTATTGCATTTATAGCAACTGTCTGGCATAACTCACGATTTGTTGTGCTTTTGACTTCCATTAGAACTGGCTGGTAGACCGTATCAAGTAGCTAGTTTTTGAGTGAGTTTTCATGAATAGGTCAATGCTGTTATTTTCAAATATTCCCTCAAAATAATGAATAAAATTTAAAAATTGACAAACAGACTCTAGCTGGGCAATCATTCACAGTCATTGTTTGGTGTTGTCACGCAACATGAGGAGGGAGAGCATGTCGTGTGATGCGAACGAGGATGGCAAAGGAGATCAAGCTTGTCACATCCTGTGACATTTGAATGACACGTATTATGACGTCAACAATACAAGGTTGATGCAAAAAAAGGAAACTTTAAAGGAAGTTTATAAAAATTGAAAAATGATAAAAACGTTTCACAATTTTTGGAAACTAGTTAATTTTTTTTCAGTGAAACCTTGTTCTGAAAAAACAGATGTGAGGACGAGATTGGATCTTAAAGAGTCCCAAAGAATCAAGGAATAGTTTTTTTTCCAACAAATCATCGAGCAGCATTTTTGTATATGGAAGGGAATCTGTGGGTCGATGATGGTGACAGCCCCTCGCCGCGACAACAGCAAAAATGAAATGAGCATAAAAAGGTACAAACCTTGGGTCTTTTATAACCACCAATACCGCCTGTAATAATAGTGACACCCTTTTCCTTCTCGATCTCTTTTATTTCATCGTATATTTTTGGAGATACAGTGATGTCCTAAAAAAGTAAATGGATTATGAAAAGCAGTAACGAAATCAAAAAATCGAATTCTGTTATTTTTAAAACATGTAGGGTAGCCTTTGTAGCTGTCTATACGAAATTCACCTCTCAATCGAGAGGTTAAGTCAACCACCACTGGGAATTTTGAAAATTTGACACTTCGAGCGTTATAACCTCGTTACCGCACATTAAGGTCGTGAAAAATGACAGAAACCTCGCCTCTACATCACCACTCTCTCTTTCCACCCGTCCAAACGCTTGGGCAACTCTCAACCTTCCAACACTCCTAAACATGATTACCTGGGACACTTCTCAAGAACAAAGCATCACGTTCTTTCGCCCCTCCCCCTCTTCCAATGTTGTTAATTGCCAATGTTTCTGTGCCATCTGTCAACTCACCCTCATTTAACCCTCTTATGTTTCCTGTTTTGCATCTTTGGTCAATGCAACCGCTGAACTGAAGAAGCGCTAACGCATCACGCACCAGATTATAAAAATTTGATATAATGGTTAACGTAGGTAGTTGAGCGAGTTACAGCATAACTTCATGTTGGTAATCTAGTAAGTGTTTAATTCTTCCACTTTTACAGCCAAACGGACCCTTACAAACTAATTACTTCATTCTTTTAAGTCAAAACTACATGAGCATACCTCAAGAGACAAGAACTTGATTGCTCGATGAGCTTTAATGACATTTAAAAGTGTCTCAACACCTCCGTCACCTATTGGATTCTTACCGATCTGTAGTAAATAAAAACCACCAAGAACGTTGTCAATCACCGAAACCACGTCACGAATACCTCAAAAGAGATTCTTCTTGAACATAAAGTATAACGCGCATTTCAACTGCGTAAAAGCACTACATGTACCAGTAGTCACTACAGCCAATCCGAACAATGGAATATCTCTCCAGGAGCCAATCATAGCTAACCGCCTGAGACGCGGGAAAATGCAGATGACTAAGTCGCGATTGATTTTAGTTTTGCATTTGATTGGTTGAGAGGGTGGTACGAGTTTTCTGGACCAATCACAGAGCGTTTTCAAGCAAACCCATTGCAATCCTGTATTCGACAAAGAGGTGTTAACTTTAAAATCTTACTGCAAAACGCTGATTTTCTCACTTACCTTGAGAACCTTGAGATTTGGATGAGCAGCAATGCCAAGGGCTAGCTTTTGCGTTGCCAATAGTCCAATACGATTGTTACTACAAGTAATAATTAGAGAAATTATCTTTTGTCGACTAGTGTCGAAATTACGTGTCGAAATTCTTTTCAGTAACATTCTAAACATGAATTTATGTTGTACTTCTTTAGGAAATGATACCTTATGTCGAGTGATTCCAAAGCTTCATTCTTCTTTAGAAATCGTCCCAGTGCAACACAACCCAGCAACGATAAGCCATTCCAAGAAATGTTTAGATGAGCTAGACAATCATTCGTCTGGTGTTACAAGACCAAATGAAACAGTTCAGTATACCTAGGAGATCTAAGACCTTCCCCATTTGCAAGAACGAAAAGCAGAAATTCAAAGTTTAAAAAGATAATCAACCCATGCACCTCAAAAAATAATTTACTCCTTTCACTCCTTAATCTCATTTATTTAGTAATTCTCCTTACTGTCTGCTAAACAATTCCCCCATTACTTCAGAGAATTGGTATTGGATCAACTAATAATCCCCTAATTGACATTTATTAAATCTCATCACTTTTTTGCTTCATATTGTATCGATATTGTGAGGAGAAATTCTGTCTTTCTCACCTATAAGAGTTAAAGGGTTACACAAAATGAGTAACAGAAAAGTGAACAACGATTTTAGATATATGAAATTCATATATTTGCACTGCGGTGAAGAAACGAATGTAAGAGATCCACGCCGCTAAGAACACTACTGAAACGAGTAGTTGAAAATAGGACCTGAAAAAGATTCAGGCCCGTACGGGATTTGAACCCATGACCTCTGCGATACCGGTGCAGCGCTCGACCAACTGAGCTAACAAGCCAACAGGGAGCTGGTGAGCGATACGACTGAAGTTCAACGGTGAATGTGAGTTACCTTCAAGCCCTGTGCCATTCCAACAGCACCTTTGAACCTTATACAGTTCCAGCTGACATCCAGATGTTTCAGGCCATAATTCATGCCCTAAAAAAACAAATTATCAGTTAACCAGCCACTGTAAGTGGACATAGCCTGTTGCAAGTGTTCAGATAGTAAATCGAAGCGCGATAATAACAGCTTGGGTCGTCAATTGCCGAGATGTTTTCTTGTTGTTCTGGTCTAATCTGGAGGACTGCCACACGATAAAGCAACTAGCTCTCTCGCTTAAACAAAAAGAAATGCGTAGAACTTAGGGGAAAAAATGGTATTTTCTTAGCTTCTTACAAGTCCTGCTCCCAAGTAAATACCACCCATCTCTCCAATGTCATTGTGGCTCAGGTCGAGGTATGTTAGAGTTCGATTTTCTCTCAGGGCATCTGCAAAGGCTTTGGCGTCCTTGTCGCCTAAGTGATTTGCTAGAGTGAGAGAAAGATAGAAAAAAGGCAAAACATAAGGCTAAGACTGATCATTCGCTCTGACGAAGGGCTAACGCTTGAAGCGTCAGCTTTGAAACTCTTTACGGTGGCCAATTTACATCATCAACTCAGTTGATAAATTCCAAAATTACAAAGCAAGTTTACTTGTCTGTTATGTTAAAAGGAAAATGAGAGTAGAAACCAATTCCCCCTACTAGCCCTAGTCCGCGCGGCTATCCATATAAATTTGACCTTTGCGCGAATCATACAATTAACAAATAGATTCCAAGTTGCCGTGCGTCTGTTCAATGAAAGATCACAGAGGACGTCAGAACATCAGTAACACACTCGGCTGCGCCTCGTGTGCCACTTTTCTGTTCTTACCACATTTTGACGTCCTCTGTGATCTTTTACTGAACAGATGCACGGCAACTTGTTTTATATAATAAAGGATTAAAAAAGTTTTAATGATGACGTAATCTATACGTCTGTCCTCCAATAGATCATAAGTAAGAACCAATCAGAATGCGTGCATAACTGAGCTTATTATCTTATTATATGAGCTTATTATATAAACTTATTATATAAATAAAAAAAGGTGTGAGCTCGAGTTAAAAGGTAATCGCAAGTACGTTCTTATGCAGCCGTATTCCAAAATCGTCAGGTAAATTGCTCTTTCGTCGAGTGCCCCATGTTCCTCATGTTATCAGTATTGCCTATGCTATACACATTTCTTGTTATTTGTATTTCCTATGTTATTTCCAATCTTGTAATCAGTCGATCTGTTCTTGATGTACTATGTTCGTAATACTTTACTTAAAAACCACTGACAATGGCGTGTAGATAGAAGAGTTCGGTCGAAAACGTCTTAAATTTAAAACTGGTGCGTTGGTTAAATTTAAATCAAGGAAACTTGGTGCAGGAAAGGTTATCAAAAATCAAGAGAACGAAATAATGGGAAAAAGACGGGAGATGAGGATATCAGAATACGGATGGAAAATAATTTAAAAAATCCATTCATTTGACAAGGTATCTTGTCGTCACCTTCCTTGTTTACCTAGAATGTTCAACAGAACTATCACTTTCTTCAAAATTCTCCACCCTTCCTCTAAAAGGTTCAACAGAACTCTTACTTTAAAATTCTCCACTAAATCATTTACTCACATCTTAACACCAACTTTACCAAAGACTGATTCTTCAGTAACATGCTGGCAAAAGCTAAGCCACCCTCTGAGCGGAGGAAATTTTCTGACAGGTTCTATGAATGAAACATGATACATCAGTACCAAAAGATGGCAGCTGTGATCAGTGTACATTTAACCCTTTAACTCCCAGAAGTGATTAAAATGTAACTTCTCCCTAGAGTATTCACACATTATCTAGCAAACAAGTAGTGAGAATACTCAAACTTATCAGGTACAAGATATTACCTTGATCAAACCCTAAATCTCATAACCACTTTACAAGAGCAGAGAATTAACAATCAGATCTTGGGAGTTAATTCATGGCATAAAGCTGCATCCAGAAACAGAAGAGACCACAATGAGCCAAACGAAAGATAACCACTGCTTTGTTAAACATGGTATAAATCATTTCCTTTTTATCAACATTTTGTATTCACAGTGTACTCCTACTCTATATTTAAAGTCAAAGAAGTCAAAATTATTCAAATCAATTTACTGATTAAGAAATTTCTCATGAAAAAGTTTAAATCAAGCCTCTGTGCAGTTACTTGTAATGACCTTTATAAGTAACGGTATGTGCTAACTGTGAGTGTTTGCCACACATTCGTTATCACATGCAGCCAATCGTTCAACAGACTCATTTCACAGTGCCGTGCCTGCCAGTTCCTTTAGGGGTCATGGCTAAGTTGCCAAGGTTACACTCTTCCAACTCAGGAGATTACTATGTTAATGATATGTATCCTATGGCTAGTTAAATCAAAATTTTTAAGTTTGATTCTTGTCTAGCAGAGAAAACTTAAAACTTTTAGAATTGATCAATGCAGCACTTATTATTAAGCAAGTTTAGTATCATTTGCGGAAAATAGATTCAACTCACCTTTAAGTTATTAGTGCTAACACTGATGATTTCATCAAAAACTGCCATGAAATAATCATTTTAATACATTCTTCAATAAGTTAAAACAAGTTTTTAAAGTGTCTTTATTCAAATGTATATCCAATTAAATATTTACTTGTCACTTCAAATATGATGATTTATACTAGGACAGTATTTATAGAGACAACACTATCATTTATCACAATTGTAAATATTCAGGATATAAATTATGTTGAGGAAATCAGTTATTTTAAAATCTATATCTATTACATTTTAAAATCCATATTAGTACTGACTGAAGTATATTATTGGATACTGAAAACATGTCTCATACAAATAACTCTCATTGTTAACAGTTCTTCTTAACACTGGAGAATCTTTAGGTGCTTATTCCATCAGACCTATTTTTGGTCTTTCTAAAGTGACAATCATTCATTAAAGTGAGCTTTGAAAAGGTGACAATTCTGACATCTGTTTTTCCCTAATGTGCTTGCACTCCACTTGAAAATCGTTAACTGCACAAAATGTCAGCTATACATAATTCACCTCTGTAGCTAATTCACCCCTATCAACTGACGTAGCCAATCGATACAGTATAACAGTCCCTTAACACACTGGTTAAGATACATATAGTCAAGTGTTTGAAAAAACACTATTTTTCAGATCTACTCTCATTAAATATTACACAGCTAATGTATATGTAACTATCTATTCCTTTTTCAAATTACTAAAGTAAGTAACTTGAAGTTCACTGAAATCATACTATACTTAAGTTTTATGATTGCACATGTGGAATAGAACAATACCTGGATTAAGTGTGACTCTCGGATTGGCAGTAGCTATAACTTCCTGTCTAGATCTGTTGTCTAAGCTGCCAAAAGAAACTCTAACCAACATTGATTTCTTGATGCTCATTGGAGCAGATTTTAGAAGAATCATATGAAAACACAGAATGGTTTACCCTTTGTCACAAGTAATGGCTCGGAGTAAAAGCCAAAGTCTTCAGACACAAAGCGTTCAGAATATGATCTCTTTAAATGTCCAAGAAGTAAATGAATGTAAACCATGCTATCATGATATTTCTCTCTGACTCCTTATTTAACATGCAGAAATAAATACCTCATTTTCTTAGTCTAATTATGTTATAAATGATTACTGCACTGGAAAGAACTCAATTATATGTATTTATATAATATCATATCTAGACTGGAATTAAAAAGCTCTTTAGAAGCATTCTATGTAGATTCAGAGTTTTAGTAGCTTACAATCTCAGTGATGTAACAGTTATCCAGCAACATTCTGGCAAGCGCTACCCCTCCAGCTGCCTCTATATAGTTATCTGTCAGATCTAACTTCTCTGTAAATGTGTTTTTCTGCAAAGAAGATAGAAAACAAAAAAATGTGAAGATTTAGTTGTGCTTTGCTCCAAACTAGAAGGCATATCAAGCATGCCCATTGCTGGTTACCTCTAGGCTTTGTACAATAGTGACATTTTAATCTTTGTCTTGCCCCCTACTATGTCTTTGCCTGTGGCAAATTTGACCCCACCCTCATAATGTGAAAAGAACCACATGACAAAGATTTCCTTACATTATTTTTCAAAAATAACACATTCAGTCATTTTCCATGACACTGAATGACCTTATATCAAATTTCATGACTTTGAAAGGTTGGAAATTATATTACAGTATTCCCTGGCTTCCCAGGTTTTCAATAACCCATATAAACCCATAAGTTAACCCTTAAGCCCTTAAGAGTGGAAAGCTTCTAATTTCTCCCAACATTACCACCCCTGAATCAAACATTGAAGTCACAGGAATAAAGGAAATGATCATGAACCCAAGACACTCTTAATTATTAGACAAATTCTCTTTATAAGTGACATAGGAAATGTATAGAGAACAGTATGGGGAAATTGCATGCTGATGTTAGGGTGTACAGGGTTAATGAACATACAATAAGAGCTCTAGCAATAGGAAATGTTCCCTGTGATCCAAGCCCATGATGTTTCATGATCACTTCCTGACAGTTGAGGCGGTCTGACAGGAATGAAACTGGAACAAGATCTGTTGAAGAAAATTACAACTATTTTGAAATTTTTACTGCATTAAAAAATTATCTCAATGAGCCATCAACCAACTAGATGAATAATCTAGGAAAGGAAGACTCCCAAATATAAATTTTAAGGCCAATTATAATATCTATAAAGGGATGAAAATAATGATCTAGCACTCACACCTTTTTGTGTTTCTGACTTAAATGAATTTAGAGTTGAGCTACTTTCACTGATAATGGTTAACATTCTATAATCTTTGACATTTAATGTAACATCTGATGATAAAAGGCTACATTGAATTATTCAATAAAATCACCTTTACAAAGAAAATCATAAACATAAACTTTGTTACAATTTTTTCTAATCAACAAAATGCGATATGAACAAGTTGTTATCTCACCTCCCTCTTTGCATAACTTGTGGTATAAATTTTTTCCAGTAGGATCAAAAGCTTTTCGTGGCACTGAAAATAAAACAGTTGTTTGATGACACAAAAATTAAACTGCACTGTAACAATTTTATATCAGCAAGTGACTAAAACTGTAGTTTAAGCACTACTGGCATTATTAATAGTTACCTGGAAAGTCTTCTTCCAGATCAGTATCATATTCAGAACTTGCATCATGGTCCAAGATATCTTGAAATGAAGGGGAGGCTAGTGAAGCCGTGTTTTGATTTTCATCAGTTTCTGGGAGGGACACCATGGTGGAGACAGATCCAGGAATAAGGGCACCTGCATTGAATCCTGTGCGTCGACGAGGAAGAACTCTCTCTCTGTCTAATGAGCTCCTTGCCCATGTTTGAGGAGTTAAAGAATTGCCTAATAATTTAGATAATTAAGACAGAACAAATGTAGTTTATAATTTATGATAATTCAATTATCTGGGTTGTTAATGCAAAATTACTGATCGTAAAGAGTTTTTGATTAAAGCTGATATTTAAAGCATTGGCTCTTATTTTGTAATATCCCCCAAATATGCAGCACCACATTTTCTTTAGAAACTTATCCCCATTATTCATTTTCAGTTTATAATTAGACTAGTTCACAAATGTATAAATGGAAACTTTCAGGCATGCTGATCAAAACCTTTGAACTCAGGCATGCTCATGTATGCCGACTAATTTACTGTGCCAGATGAGACTACTTGCACTAACAAAGCCATGAGTATGCCTTTATTCTAACACGCAAATGTCTTTGTAAATAATGTAGTAAATAATGAACCATAAATTTACATAACTACAATTTCAAAAGGGCTAACAGATTGCAGGCCACCTTGAAAAAATGGCAACTTAACAAATCAACATTGGCTTGAGGACAGTCTCACCATCTGTACTCTTATTGTCAATGATATTTGTCATTACAGTGGTCAAAATGTTGTGGATTATGAGGTGTAAGCGAGAGAGTCTGCAACAAATTTTTACCTCTATGATGACAAATATCACTGTGGATATTGGTATAGACCACACTAAACCACTGTCAGTTTGATTTTTACCACAATATCAATCTCAAATAAAAGGATTCTTTCGGTGACCGGTGCCTGACACATTGATGCAAGCAGCATTGTCTGTACCCTTATCAACAATGGCAAATTGGCCAATCAGATTACAACATTACTGCCAATTGAGGTAAAAAATTGTCTTGATTCATTAAGTTAGTAAACTTACTCCCACTGCCATTTAATTTTGGTTGATCAGCGTTTGCCGATTTTGCATCAGTGTTTGTTGCTTGTCCTTGCTGTTCAGCATTATCCTTCCAGACCACTCTGGCTTTTGGTGGAACTTTCTTATATTTTTGTGAGCTCTTAACCCCACTTTTACCTTTTTGAGGACCTTTCAATCTGTGTGTATATCAAAAATATAGCATACAATTCTCACTATAATACCACTTTTTGTTCAAACATTATTTTAATCCCAGTTAATGTGAGAGTCTCCTGGATAGTTTTAAAGAACCAATCCCACAGTCTCCCAAAGAGAAACAAAATCTTATGAACTAAATTAAATTTAGATTTTTTTGGAAATTTATCTCCATAAAGCAAATAGCCAGAGTTTCTTTTCAAGGATGTTACAAGCATGTTTAATAAGTGATATCTTTTTTAATTCTCAGATCAAGTTTTCCTATTTTACTGACTTTAAGGTTTTGGGGAGAGTCTGAGACAAGGTGGTTGATTAATAATTAGGAAAATCATTGAGTGTTAATTATCTACAGACTGCAGATGATCACAAATTTTTCATAATATCAGATTTACAATAAAATAATCAAGATAATGAGATTGCACTGCATCCTTTAGAACAATAGTTTGCATTGTATATCAACTGTTAAGTACCTGGAAATTTTGTGTCCACTTGCTGTTCTGTCATTATTGCTGTTGAATCCAAATGCGGAGCTTGGTCTGGACTCAGTTGACAAAACATCAAAGCTACCATCCTTCTCATTATAAAGCCCTAGGGAAGTTTGTGGTCTTGAAGTTGGTTTAGCATTTGAGGTAGTTTTAGGAGGTAATGGTGTAATTGCTCGGCGATATATGGCCTTCTTTGCTGCCTGCTTTTTAATAGGTAAAATATCTGGCTTATCAACCTAGAAAACAACACCAAATGATGATTATATTTCAGCATAATTTTTAAAACAAATATCAAATATCTAAAATAATTAACACCATTATGAATAATGAGGCCAAAAAACTCACTAGAGGAGACTTCAGTCTCTCATTACACAGAGCTTTCAATAACTTTTGCCATAAGCGGTTGCCAATGGTGTAATTAAAGCAGCTGGGCATCTAGAAAAGGAGCCATTAGGAGAAACCTAAACAAGAGAGACTGCTTGCAAGCTTACCTGACAGCAGTAAGTCTTATAGGCAGCTGTAAACCACCATTAACCAGCTTTTATCAATATTGAAACTCCTCTTAATATCAAGATAGATGATGTATAAGTGGAAGATCAGTTTTATCATTTTAAATGTTATTATCTTCCCTTTCAAAATTATTATCAAGTATTAACATTTTTTAAAACAAAGGAAAAGGAATCCTAAACCAAAGATAGGTCTGAACTGTAAGAGTTACATATCTCTCAGGCATGGAAGTTGGGAGTGGAAAAAATGTTTGGCATAAGGAGATCAAACTGCAATTCCTTAAGGACCAAAAAATACCATTGATAGAAAAGTAGAGAGTAAAGTGCAAAATGCGATTCTCAGAAAAAGGTCAAGACCTTACAATCTAATACGAAAACAAACAAAACTGCAGCTCCTTGTAGCGTAATCTCAAAGACTTGCAAGATTTCAAAATTGGATCAAAATTTTTCTGAGGCTAACATGGTATCAGGGTGTAGATCACAATTCGTTATGGGTAAGTGCAAGGTTCATAATCTACCATCCTTGGCTTGTTTCTGATTTGGAATCCAAACAGATGTTTTTGGTGTTAATACGTTTCTAGTTGTCGGTTGGTAAAGAATGGATAACAAATGAGGTCTTCGAATTAATTCCTTTGAGCCCTAACCCAGTTCACTGAGTTAAATCGAATCCACTCAAACATTTATATATATAGCAGGTAAGGTTAATATTCTTAACATTGTACAAATCCTGTTTTACATGATACGTAAGAAATCTCTTGTTTGTGCAAGCTTTCCTTGATATACTTTTGCAAAGCATTTTCTACAACAATTAAAACTATCGTGTGATTTAAATGAAATGATTATAGTTCCTTAGTTAGTCATTAGTTTGCTCATTAAATAGCATCATTATAACCTCTTCATCGCCAAAACATTCACAGATTTTCTGGGATGAAAAGCAGCTTGTCGCATATCAAAACGAAGGAGTTCCAAGCATCAATAATGATGCGGTTTTAATCCTGGCGGGATCAAAGCAGTGTTTTAATTACATCAGTTGCAAGCTTCATTAATTTAGAAAGTGAGCATTAGAGACGCCTTCTAAGACTTACGATCAAATCATCTCCTTAACCATTTACAAGAATACGGGTAACTAAAGAGGTCACGTAATTACATTTTCAAGCGCTGTTATTTCTCTGTTCACAAATAGGGTTAGACCTTACCAAATTCGTCGCTGTGATCGTGTCTCCATGGATTCCATGAGTATTTGTTCCATTAGATTTAACAGACTTCGAGGATTTCATGGTGAGAAGTGAAAAACATTATTTGCCCTACCTTCTTAAAGAAGGTTTTAGGGCATTTAACGCGTCCAGTAGATAAAGAACATTCCACTTAGTTATGAAAAACAAAACATAACTGCGGCGCAAGATGTTCTGAATATTTTCCAAATCTCTTTTAATGTCCTCATTTAGATGTCTTAGTTGCTACGCACCCGAACCTAAGTAGGGTAGGGTGAATAGTGCAGTTAACGGTATCTTTTATGGAAAAACCCTACGATAGAAAATTACCATAAGATTTCAATCTGAATTTTTAAAAAAATGTTTTGTTCTCCTTTAGTTTTTTTTACATGAACCCTTGAGAAAGAAATGAACAATGTTACATCATTCTTGACCCTCACCCCGATGAGTTATTCATCAACTCCTCCCTAGCCCCCCTAATGTGTAAACAGTTTGTGGAAAGCTTTTAAATCATGGCGGTCACAAAGTCTTCGCCTTTTATTATTCCTTTGGAGAGTGACAAGGGGCAACAAATACTGCAAGAAAGTTATTTTAACCATCTGCTTCCTTATTTCTGTAATCAAGTAAATTTCAAGTACTGTGGATTTTGTAGTGCGGCAATTTGTCTAAATGAAATTCTTGAAAAGCGCCAACCCTCAGGTCCTCATCGTGACATTTCTGACCTTGCCCAACTAAAGAACAACAAAGAAACTTTAGGAGAAGATGATCTTTTTGCGATTGGAGTAGACAGATCAATTATTAGGAGAGACGATGTTTTAAAAGATGGAATTACTCTCGATACGTTCGCAAAACTCATCAGCAGCATTGGTCTTCGTGGTAGATTTTACTACGCCTACGATTTAACCTGCAACCAACAGTCAACGATGTCACAATGTCCGGGGATTTATTCGGTGGACGAATTTCGATCCTTAGCTGTTGAAAACCTCAAAAAACCAGGAACACATGTTGTTGTGAATTACCATTTTCTGACGTTCTTCGCAAAAGTGAATATGGGGCATTTCAGCCCGTTAGGTGGTTATCACTTTGAGGAAGACAGGTTTTTGTTGATGGATGTGTGGCCGAGCCATCCAGTTGGTTGGGTAAAGACAGAGAAACTATTTGAGGCTATGATATCAAAGGATATGTCTTCTCAGATGCCAAGAGGGTTTTGCATTATTGACGCTATCACTTTGTAGAGATATTTCAACAAAGCCAACAGCACGTAAATGTCACGCGACCGTAATAAGTAGGCAAATGATTGACCTAGATGGGTAACACGATGGATAACACAATTATACGAGACCAAATATTGAATTCTGACGAAAATATCGCATACAATGATTAGAACAAAAACCATTCAATCAATAAAGGAAGATCTTTATGTAATCATCCTGTTATCAAATGAATTCAACAATGGGTGCTTGCAGCCGAGGCAAAGTGAGGGGAATATCCTATGAGTTACTTTTCTATATTGCCTGCATGACATGTGCAACCCAGTAAGGCAGTGTTTCCAGAACTTCTTAATCTCATTTGTGTATCCATATTCATATAATTTTCTAAAGGAAGGTACAGAGATATGTATTAAAATATTTAGACTGGTGAGTTGACCCCCAAATGTAGTTATTTTGTAATTTACCAGAAGCAAGAGATATTTGCAAGATCTCTGTATTCACAAGGCTACTTCATGGTGAGCCAACTTATGTAAGGTACAAACAAGACATAATTTTTGTTGTTGTTGTTGTTGCTGTTTTTCTTTTTTTGCATACTGTTCAAATTTTAAAACCTTGATATGTCAGACTCAAATTAAAGTCTTCACTTTGAACTGAGTTTTACAGTTTTGATGTTCAGGTTTTTTTTAGATTACATTTTAGACCCCACAATTCACCATCTATGTTTTATAGTCTAATCAAAACAGTTACATTTACGTATCATGACCATCATTGGTCACAAATAATTTCACTCGGCCAGTATCATTCCTCCAAGTGAATTTTGTTGGTTTTTTTTTTCTTATTTCATGAATTGCGCTTGTGGATGAAAATTGAATTGGGTGAACAGTTTATGTGAAACATTGATTTGGTGATCATTCATGGAGTCGAGTGGTCTGTTGACTCGTAAGACTTGTTTTGTTTACTTGTCAGTCAAAGCTCAGACTTTGCACCTTCAAATAGCTGCCTCACACGAATTCCATCAAGAACTCTGATTGGATAAGCGACGAACGGATCAGAGGGCGTCAAGTCTCCTATTCATAAGACGTTATGTGATTGGTCGATAAAGATCAGGCCACTGAGAAATATAAAATTACGGAAGAGTTCGATCTTGAATCAGTGCGAGTGGCCAACGAAGGTCGCGAGGGAACTATCTCGAGACCTTACGCAACACAAGGGAAAATGGCAGGATTTTGGGAGTAACCGAAGCTTGTTATTCTTCTCGTGAAGATACTCTTTAAACTGCGCGGGAATTTAACCCTAATTTGCATTCAATAGAGCGCCAAGCCTCTCCTGTCATTAATTTTATAACGTGATCTACTACGTATATAAACACTCAACCGCTGTTTTTGATCTTTTGTGGAGTGATACAGATGGCAGAGCTACGACGGAGGCGACCGAAAATGAGTGAAGTAGAATTTGTAGATAAGAAGCACGACGAAAACAGTGGTAAAATGAGCGAAATCACGGAAACTACTCATGAGCTGGTAGAGGAAACCGAAGGACTCGGGGAAGAAGATAGTTTGCTGACATTAGAACCCCAAACGGAAGACAAAACGTCACTAGAATTACCTAGTGTCGACGTAACAGTTGAAGGTAAGGACACCGAAAATGAAGAAGAGAGTGTAAGCAGCGAAGAAACTGATGCTCTCGGTGAAGAGGACCAAGAGAGAGCAACCTTGATTGAAAAACGCAAGGAAGTATGCGACGACGACGATAGCGCGGAAGTTGATAAGGTGGATGATGAAGAACAAGATGACGACGACAACATTGAAGACGAAACTGTCACATGTTCCCTCCTTGGTCTTGAGCAAGCAAAGGTAAATTCCTTTCTATTTGTTCCTTTAAAAATGTAGCATTGATTTACTCTGCTTACGGAACATTCTCAAAGGATTAGTGTCGCGGCACGTGTTTTATCCACTCTGAAGTCAATCTACGTAACACAAAAGAAATACAGTAGATGAACAGATGTCTTTAAAATAACGCGAACTTTCGCGAAATTTTGAATCAATATTTTATTCAACAGAACATATATCAATATGAGAAACTTTTTTCCTTCTTTTTTTTTTCGGACCGAAAAATGGCCAACGAAATTCTGAATTGAAAGTGCTTGGAAAGAACCACAAGGCGTATTGGAGCTCCTTTTCATGAAAAATTTATATTTTCACCGGTCCAAAGTGTACTTGAAGTATTCAACTACATGCTAAAATCTCTGATAACCTGAAGATTTGTTGAAAATTTCACAGTGGTAGCGTCTTTTTCCCTTCTCTCCAACTTTTTAAAAGATTAAGGAGTTGTTGGGGACGACTTGCAATAGTATGAGAAGTTTTAATATTATTTTCCGGCAAAGCTACCTGTGGTGTATGTGCGCTGTTGTTGTGCTTTAGTGTATCAAGACTAAAGTAATTCGTCAGCAGAACTTGCTTTCAAATGACTTAATTTTACCGAAGAAGGCTAACGGCTGTAAATAATTTCACTCTACAGTCTAAATGTATCAACCTTCAAATATGCGGAATTTCCTTCTAGATGATATTAACCCTTTTTAAGAGAAAATATAACGACCTGTAGACTCTCCATGGTCATCCCAATGGAAGCTGTTTTATTCTTTGAGGGCAGCATGAATTAAAAGATTTTACCCAGCACAAGGCCACCCAAAACACTCCAATATTATATTTGCTTATTCAAAAGAAATTACATATATCAGACTCTTGAAGATAAGTGTCTATTTAATAACTTTCATATAAAATTGTTACCTTCTATCAAATTTTCAGAAATATGACTGATCAACCTAATTTTTAATTAACTCCTTTCCCCTTAGCTCTTCTAGAAATGAAAGTTGGTTATTAAAATCTCTCAATCAATTTCCCTTTCAATTGTCAAGTTTGATGCTCCTAGCTCAGGTCAAATGATAAAGATAAGTTTATCAACAGCCTAACCACCACTTTTAATAGCTGAAAATAGCAATGGAAGGACAACTTTGTCTTAGAGAAGGAAATGGTATATCTACATGGGATGGTATAGGAGAAATTTAAAGCCCTTATTGGCTGGATTAGACAAGTTTACTCAGCTCTCTGGAGAACCTGAATTTAATTAAAACATAACAGCTTGGTAGGTGGAGACACTGTAGCATTTCAGACATTTTTTCCAGCTGATGACAGTGGGGAGATGTCCAAAATTAAGGCTAGGAAAGTATTATAGAATATTTCAGCTATGGAATGATTCTGCCTCAGAACTTAATTGATTGCAGATGAAACAAAAGAGAGCTGTTGAGGTTGCACAAACTTTTCCTCAGCTCAAGACAATGCAAGAACTATTAAGGTTATGTCCAGTTTAATAGGAACCACAATACTTGAGAGTTTTAAATTCATTGGCAGTTTTTCTTCAAGTATACCTTATAAATATTATTTTCAAGAATAAAAATGATATAGTTTTTGTAACTCAACTCCCATGGCAATCCTTTAAATTATTTATGAGGACCCCTTGGTATCCATTTAAGAAAATCTTGTGAGGAGTTTTTGAAATGCTACATCTCAAGATCAACCTTTCTACAAATTTTTGCAATTTTTGTTTTTCTCTTTGCAGTTACATCTTGAGAAACAGGAATTTTTGTTCCTTGAAGTATGAAGAGTTTTTGAGCTTTTTATTTCCTAAAATACAATAATCTTTGGCATTTTCAATACCTGCTATTTTTCAAGAGAAGCTAAGAGGAATGCAAATTAGAGTTAATTAATTAATCATTAGCTGGTAGCATCTCTATGCAAACTATGCTAGCTTGGTCAGCTTTGTATATACCATTATTTGGTGTTTCTGGAAGACAAAGGGAAGCTCCTTAAAAGATACTGTCCCAGTTCTGTTCTGCAATTGTGCTTGGACAAATCCAAAGATTCAATTAATTTACCATCATCACTACTAAAAAGTTATTTTTTTGAAGGCAGTTTTACTCTGCTCACATTATGGCAAAACCTATCTTAACTGGTTTGTCTTGCTACAATTCTATATTTTTTATCACTAATTCAAACAAGAGTTTGGGAGATGAGAGAGTGTTTTTAATTCCTACCTGTCTTTGTTGATTTATTGAAATTGTAGTCAGCAAATAAATTTTAAGTTACACTCAAGTTTACATAATTACTCAGCACGTTTTTTTAGGTGTCTTTTTATTTAGGGAGGTTTTTCATGAGTTATACTCTACCTGTTAAGGAAATCTAAAGGAATTTGTCATTACTAACACAGAATTTTTCATGTATATTCTCAGGAATTTATTGTCAAGGGAGAGGAAAATTTACATGTTATGTTCCAGACTGTTAAGGGAAATGTACAGGATACAGCAGTCAGGATAAAAGGAAACATGCATGATGCAGCTGAGAAAATGCATGATAATATGCATGAAGCAGCTGAGAAAGTGCATGTGATGATAAAGTCCACAAAAGATAATATGTCTGATGCTGCAGAAAGAGTTCAAGAGATCCTGAAAACTGCAAAGGACAATGTTCAGGAAAGCATGCATGACGCTGCTGATAAGGCAGAGAGGATCTCAAAGAAAGCAATGGAGTTGGCTCGCTCAGGGTGGTATCTTCTTGCACACATTGAACTCCCAGAGTGGCTGCGTGACAATGACTTTCTATCACATCATCATCGACCACCAATGCCATCATTCAGATCTTGTTTTAAGAGTATCTTTAAAGTTCATAGTGAAACTGGAAATATTTGGACTCATTTGATTGGTTTTGTTGCATTTATTTGTATCACAATCTACATGTTTCTTCGACCCATCACCAACACTAATCCATTCCCAAAAGACTGGCAAGAGAAGCTAGTGTTTGGGGCATTCTTCACAGGAGCAATCTTGTGTTTGGGGTTCTCGTGGATTTTCCATACAGTGTACTGTCATTCCATCACAGTTTCCAAGATATTTAGCAGGTAATCTGGTTTAAAAAGATCTTGTTTACAAGTTGCATCTACATATGCCTATGAATCCATAATTTTTTTGTAATAAGGAATTGATAATGACACTATTGAGGATCATTTTTTCATGAAGGATAAGAGCAGAATGGGTCTGACCTGTTTATTTAACATTATGTCTGTAAAACACAGGAGCTCTAGGATGTATAATTGAAATTGTTTTTTTGTCAGGTTCTTTTCCCCTTTCATTAAGGCCTACCGGAAGTATTGTTCTGTCTATCAGTAGCATGGTGGTCTTTGCAAGTGTCTATTAGTGTGTTTAATTAACAGGTTGGAGTAGAATGTATTGGTTGAATTATTTCTCATTCTTGGACCAATTAAGCCAATCCAGGTATCATTTTGATTTAATTTTACATCTAATCTTTGGGCATAGCAGAGAGTGTTTCTTTCAAGTCTGCCTTAAGCAGAGATGAAAAATCTTGCTAAAATTCTCAAGGGGTATTACTACTTATTTAGCTTAAATACATATGACTAACTGTTAATTATTGCTTTTTAGGCTTGACTATTCAGGAATAGCTTTATTGATCATGGGTTCTTTCATCCCTCCACTTTATTATGGGTTCTATTGCTCAAGAATTCTGAAGATCATCTACATGTCTCTGATCCTTACTCTGGGAATCCTCTGCATGATTGTGTCTTTGTGGAGTAAGTTCAGCACACCCAAATACAGAGTTCTTCGAGCAGGTGATTATTTAACTTTTTTGTAGGCATTATGTCTTTCTTAATACCAAATCTGCAAGGGATAACAAGAGATAATTTTGAAGTAAATTTTTCACATCCCTTTGTTAAAGGCAAAGTGCCAGATGCTTTTTTTTTTTAAATGCAGTGATAATTTTTAAAGGTGCAACTCCCAAGAAACAAATTCTCTTGATTGGTGGAGTGGAGGCTTTGAACCTTGAAGTGCCTTGAACTCCATGATGACATAATTTTTTGATGCACTCCTAAACAGGTCACGTGTCTTTAACAGCCTTGTCCATTAAGTAATGTAGCTGGGTATGGAAAAATCATCAGAATAACTTGAAAAAAGTTATGTGATTAGCCTAGAATTGACTAGACTACTGCTTCATCTTAAATTGTTTTATTTTTTTGTCAGGTCTTTTCCTTACATTTGGATGTTCTGGTATTGTCCCTGCTATTCATTTCATAGTAGCATATGGGGTAACTCTAGCTCATCGTCAGGCATCTGTTGGATGGATGGCACTAATGGGCGCCCTATACATAATTGGTGCTATTATGTATGCTACTAGAGTTCCAGAGAGGTTTTTTCCGGGAAAGTGTGACATTTGGGTAAGCATTTTAAAGTACAATTTTACCTCTGCATTGATTTTCAACCAGTGTTTCAGTCAGGTTAACTACACATACAAGATCATGAGTCAAAGACACAATAACTCTTTGACTTTCTTCTTAAGCTGTTAAGCTTGTAGAATAAATGGTGTACGAGTAGGGCCTGAATAAATTGGTGGGAATGTGTCCTGAAAGTCCCCTCTGGGTACCCCTCATTTAGTCAGGAAATAAAACACTACCAATGCTGATAAAGGATAATTTACTGTAGAACCAACAATTAAAAGTGAGAGATACACATGCACTCTTCAGTGCTTCTACTGACAGGAGTAGAATGATATGCTGGTGTTGTGGTTACCATGTGGAACTGTTAGGTTGCCGTGTCTGGTGTAGCTTTGAAATGTAATAAATATATATTTGGTTATAAAATCTCACAAACTTTATTTTGATAATGTACCAAGTTAGCCCTGACACAACCATTTCAGTGCAGGAACCACTTGTTACCAGTTTTCTCACGTGCTCTTTTTTTTTCCTCTTTAGTTTCAGAGTCATCAAATTTTTCATGTGCTTGTAGTAGCTGCTGCCTTAGTCCATTTGTATGGCATTTGTCAAATGGCATACTATAGGTTTGACCAGGGTGCTGTATGTGAAAAATAATTAAAAACAAATGTGATTTTGCTGTTTGTTTCATTGGTGAATGTGTAAATGTAGTTTCTTAAGTTAATTATCAGTAAATGAATTTCGATCTGTGGAACAGAGTCTTGTATGTAGTGTAAAGTTAAATTTCTTCATTTTGTTGCTGGTAGATTTGTACACATTCTATTTAACACTTAGGTTTTCCCAGATTAAAATTAAGAATAACAATTTGTATATAGACTATATTTGCTAAAGAAAGCTTGAAAAGATGTGCTCAAGGCCTCCATCAAGTTGTCTTTTACTTTGTTATTAATCAAATGTTTTCTTAAACCAGTTTTCAGCAAGGGATGTCTTTGATAGCAGTATTTAATATGATGGTTTGTTGTAAATTAAAAATTTGATACAAGAAATGCATTACACATACTGATCATTCAGGTGTTAAAACACTATTGTGGCTTTGTAGAGTGAATTACTTTGTGAGAAAGGAATTGAACAAATAATTTTCAATCAAAGTTATTTTTTTTAATATTATCTTCACTTTCAACATAGTTGTGAAAATGAATAACATGCATTTTATTGTTTCTGGGTGTTTTGATATTATTTTTGTGAAATAAATTATTATTATTAATTTTGGGGGGTTTTCAATGTTAAGGGCTGTCTGCCAGAGAATCTTTAGAGACAGTCAAAGTTATATGAGTGGTTTTTTACTTTTACTATGTGGGAGAAAATTATTATAGGGAAAAAAACTGATGGCATTTTGTCTTAAAATCTGAGATGTTGAATTGGGAGATCGTTTCCTAAAAGATTTTCACAAAACATCTCTTCTTTACTTGAAAGTCATAGATTTACATTGCAAATAGTTTTATATTATGTCATCATATCATCATTGTTGGAAAAGATGGCTGGTTTGAAAATCCAGCAGATTTCTTTGTTCTATTGTTCTAGCTTAGTGTGGGAGTTCCCAACATAAACTACAGCACGGTTGTTTTCATTGTCCATTTTTGTCCACACTCCTAACCAGTCACCCTCTCCAACAATGGTGTCATTAATTCCCATCAAGAGATGTTGCATTTATTTTCAATAGTGTAAAAATATATTGCGCATCTCTCTGGACAGTGGCCAATTGTATGTAAGCAATATTTTTTTTGTTTAAGATCTAATGTTTCTCATTTGGCAGGCCCAGATGGCTAATATTAATAACTAATTGATATTTTTACTTGCCATCTTATTATTGTAAAGAGGTGTTTAAAACCATTAAAGGTAGTTATTTAACCAAGCAAAATATGTTGTGAGGTAGTTTATTTTAATTTGTTTCCCACGGTTTATTAATGGATTGTTTCGTTTTTCTAAGAATGTTTACTTGGTTTATTGTCAGTACATGGGAGCTTACAATAATGTAGATTATGCATCCAAATTTCCCAATCTAGATATCATATGAGAAATTGAGTTCACTAAGTTGAAGATTTGTGTGAGATGATGGCATAAGCTTTGTTGCTCTAAGTTTAGGACAAGTGGATAGTAAAATGAGGTAGTAAAAAAGGGGTAACATTCGGTGATTGCTCAGAGTTATAATCTGTTTTATTACTAGTGTTTACGGTGTGTTAAAATTTGTAACTCTGAGGATGGTGTTCTAAATGTTCTAAAATCACCTCATAGGTCCCTATCCAAATTTTTATTCTCTTTGTTTTTATTTCAGTTGTAATGCGTCCGAGAAAGAATCAGAAATCTGAATCAAACTGAATAACAAATCTTTGAATCAATGTCCTATGTCTTATAATCACCCTACAGCATATATGTAATATCTGGTCACACTGAATGAACTCGGGGTAACGGAGCCTTTTACGGCGAGGTACAATATGCAAGTTAGAGAGAGGCAAAATGTTCTTCAAAATTACAGCTCTAAATACTGCCCGTCTGCCTCTTCTTGTAACCTCTATTTAAGGTATCAAATTAACACCTGGTAGTCTGTAACTGACCGAACCATGGGCGAAAAGTTTTATTAAAAGAACAGAAAGCAGTACCAAGGATACATTGAAACGGATATTGATCCCATTGGGATCAATATCAGTATCTGGGCAACTGCCCACCTACCCCTCCCCTAACTCAACAACAGTCGATTGTCAACAGGTTAAGGTTAATGTTGGGTTAGGGGAGGGGTAGGTGGGCAGTTGCCCAGATACTGATATTGATCCCATTGAAACTAAGCACATATGCATCTAAAACTATTCTTACGTCGTATCTGAAAGTATGGCAAGTATTGAAGGAGTCCTTAAAACGGTATATTGCTCAGTCTGAGGTGTTGAACATTCACCTGTTGCATAGTTGTCAACAGTGACTCGATTCTGGGGGCATTACCTTGGACAGTTTGGGGACATATATCGCTACGGTATTATTGAATAAGCTCCTATCAGATCACCCCTATCATCCAAGGTAGGGATTGGCCTCGGTTCTGGCCTCTATCAGAGTGAAGCCCTATTAAAATTTCTTTTTTAAACCTTGCTGTACACCAATGGGGATCACAACCAACAAAACAAATTTACTTTGTTCTAAGGCATGTAACTCATGTTATGGGCGAATTGGAAGTAAACATATAGTTATTTTCTGTTTAAGTCAGTTTGTTAATCTCGCCAAAGTTACCTTTATTGCAATAACCCTTTACGCCCTAACATCATTTTGCATATTCTCCATACTGTTCTTGGTTAATTTCCTCAGGTGCTGAAAGGGAAAATTTGTTTAACAATCAAGGGATTCTTTAGTTGGTGATCATTTCCGTTACTCTCATGACCTCAATGTCAGATTTAGGGGTGATTTTGTAGGGAGAAATTAGATGCTGGTCACTCTTAGGGGTGACATGGTTAATGACGTCATCTCGGGTACATCTCAGGTTACTAATTACGAGACTACAATTGTTGTTATATTGGATGGTTATTGGGAAGGAATTAAGAGTGTTTCAGAGTGTTTGACTGCCGTACTAAAATCATACTATCTTCATTTATCTAATTACAAGTGTAAAGTACACACGATCCGTCATCCCGGTCTCAAAATACAAAAGGGAAGAACCACACTGATCTTCAAGTTTTGACAGCTGGAATTAGTGATCTGTATTAAAATATTTCACAAAAGGAAAAAATGTACAAGGAGGAAAATGAAGATCTAGCATCGAACTGTTCCGTATTGTGAATAAATTTCAGATGAAAATAAAAGCTGGAAACTGGCCCCGCTTCTCGGTGGTGCCGTTGCCCGAATATTTACTACGCGTAAAAGTGAAACGTACTCCTTCACATTCAACGGATGATTTTCCTTCATGTCCATACCATGACATAGGACCCTTGATAAGCGACACCAACTTGTACTGTCTGTTTGCCTTCAGACGAACCGGACGATCGAATAATACATCGAAGCCAAAAAATTGTTTAGTCTCGTCACATTCCGAAATGTATGTTCCTGATCGTTTCACAACAGAAAAATAGGAATTTACATCTCTAACTTCAGTAGATACTGTATACTGACCACCTGCACAGCCAAAATGTTGAACACCGCACAGTGTGATAGGAATGTTTACACTGAAGTTTATATCATCAGGTTCACCACTGTCATAAGACCACCAAGAAGTTTTCGTGCCGGCTAGAAAGATTTTGGAGAATCGGTAACATCGATTTGGTTCCTTTAATTCAAACCTTGGCGCTTGTGAAAATGGTAAAGATACGGTGTCAGGTAAAACTGATGTGTAGTGTTTTATCATTACCGCAACCTCCTGAGACGTAAGAATGTTTGAATCTAGCACAAAAGATGAAAACTCTCTGTCTGACATCAACGGAAACCTTATTGCTTTCACGACATCCTCTCCCAGAATTCGCCTCTTTGTTTCTCCATCGGAGGTCAATCCTTGCCTTTCACATTCTTTAGTGGCCCAATGATCGACAGCTTTGAAAAGTTTCACTTCCGTCACTTTCAGCCTATCCTTCTTAACAAAAGATTGAACAAGAGATCTGTCGACTGTAGCAAATTCAACTGACGTCACAACTTCTTCTGTTTGTTCCTCAATCACTTCCCAGCATGGATGTTCCAAATCTTTAATTTCAAATTTCTGAGCGTGAGGTAGTATGGTAAGCACGTTCGATGCTGCCAAATTTTTTCGCAGATATCGTTTACATTTCTCAGCGAGTGAGGGCACCATGTATTTGTTCGCCAAGTACAAAACTTGCATCACATTATTTCCGCTTAAATTTGCTTTGTCACTGTACAAGAAGCGGAACAACTCCAACAGACTCTCGTACTCACAGTCAGGCAGTTCAATAGATTCTTTAGTGTCCGCCATTTGACCATAGAACATGGCAAAGAACACTGGACTGCTCAGAGCGAGCACAAACTTGTGAGCTGGGATCACCTTTTTACTTTCACCTTCATCAGTCGACGATGCTACGACAAACTTCACATCGCTTAACAACTCGTTGTTGAAAATAAACTTTGTTCTCTCCGCAATAGATGATAGTTTTGTCTGCCAGTTTTCTTCATGTGTCATCGTTATGTCTACTTCCAGTGCACTTCGCAGGGCGGTACAGTAAAACTTCAACAAGCTTATCGGCAATAATTCCCACTAAACTCAACCAAACAGCACGCAACAAAGTAAATTCCTCGTTCCCAGGCTAGGTCGCGTGCATGTTTTAAGGTAGCTGGCTACAGTTTTTCCTAAGCTCTGACCGTCAAAATTCAGAGTGCTCATGGTAATATTTACCTGACCATTAAGGATAAACTTGGAACTAGGCCCCCCAGTTTTGCGCTGAACTCCAGTAGAGAGCGCAAAATATACTCAAAAAGAAGAGGTGGGGGGGGAAGTTGGCTATCCAGAGATATCAATATCAGCTTAGATTTATTGGGTGAGAAAGTGAATTACTAACAACATAATTTTCCTTGTTTTGGTCATAAATTGAGTTATTTTCCTCAGTGTATTTTACTTTAGCTTTTACGATAAGAAATTGGAACCATATGATTTAATGGATTGAAGTTTGTTTCGAGCGCTTCAAATTCTCACTGTGCGAGCACGAGCCGTCCCACATATCACATGAAAATGAGAAGGACAAACGTCTGAAAAACGTAAATGTGTCAACATAGTCCACGACATAAAATTAACGATCAGATTATACAAAGTACCTTGACAATTTTTACACGAGCTGTATCTTTTTCAATCGATCTATTAATATAAACTTAACCTGCGAGAAAGTAAGGTATTCTACCATAGTCTTCAAGAATGTTGTCAGTAAACGGCATGAAAAAATTTTTATTCTTTTTTTAATTTTTTTTTGTGAATCCAAAAGATAATAAATTGTGCAGCCCTAGTTTTCGCTTGGCTTAATTTACATATTTATATCATGCAGGAGCCTTGCAGTATCATGATATTTTATCCCAGGAGGCATGATCAGATTCTATGAACGTGTTTGCTCTGAATGCGTGGCTTCCGAGTAAAACGAATCGACTGTAGAGGTACTTGGTTCTTGCGCTTAAACTTAACTCGAACTGCATTTTCCCCTCTCGCATTCTTGTTTTCATTTTTTTTTTACACGGAACACTACCTCAACTGACTTAAATTGGAAATTACTCGGAGTAGAGAAAAAAAATTCTAATGGACACTGTACTTCAAACATTCGAGAACGACAAAATAAATATGAAACTGAACGCATTAAAGAAAATGCTCTTTAATTTTAATGCATACAAGATTTCCCCTTCTAAATGTCGCATATCTTAATTAACATCTTCAAAGTAGCTTTGAAGGTAAACAATCAATAAAACTATCATAAAACTTCCGATCCTCTTAATGATTTCAAGATATAGTTTACACCGACATCAATGGACACGTGTTTCTTCAATAGAACGCGTGTTGTGGAGATTGACTTTTTACGGAAAACTGTTAGGGATTACCTGTACTTTCGAACATGAGAATGATACTACCAAGGTTCACCTGCATCTATAAACTGGTTTTTATCAAAATATCATACCCTTGTTAATCTTACATCTAAATACTTAGTCCAAACCATCTTTTTTCGTTTTCTGGTGTTCATTTACCATTGATTTTCTCAGAGTAATCTCTTGATTTCGAACCTCTGTTATAGGTCCTACAGTACAATTGATTTTTCGTACAAATTCCAGTTTCACTGATTTAGGCCGAGATTTGATGTAACTAATAAAAACTAATTGTAGAATCAAGCACACTTTCTGTTCAATCCTATCGATTCGGTATTTATTACAACAAGTTTTCCGCAACGTTAATCTGAAACATTACCGTCATTCCTATTTTTCACGCGCCCGTGTGGAATTTTTTAAAATCCATTTGACATTTTGGGATCTTCAAAGACTACTCCACCGAGACGCTTTTGTGGATAGACGTATGAGATACAAAAGGTGACGAAGATATCTTTAAGTCCTGAGCCCGTTTAAGTGGGCCCGCTCTGCTCTCGAGTATTATTTTGCCTCTTCTAAAAGATTCTCCACAAAATAAGTTTTTAAACCCAAGCCGGTATTGCACAGAATGAAAAGCAAAAATGAATGGATTTAAGAATGGATTGATTAATGCAATCACAATAGTAACAAAATGCGCTGGAGTATTGAGGCGAACCAGGTCGAAGGCGAAACACAAGTAGTAAATTTGATTTGGTAACCAGCAAAGAGCTATCATCAGAGTTGAAACAGCTGCCATTCGACTGATGTTGTTGCGCATTCCCTGACCCATTCTGCGGCTCAGTACACGTGACTTATCGGTTGCGTTCAAAACGCGTGTATACAAATTGCAGTTTATCGCGAACGGAATGACAAACTTGAACCCGAATTGAGCGATCCCAAGGAATTTGTGGATGGCTGGCGCAACCAAAGGAATCTTGGCGATTTCGCAGCGTTTCGAAGCTGAGCTTTTTTCTGGGCTATATTTAACCTCGAACGGCAGCAAAGAGTTTGCAAGTAAGGATAACGCCCATATTGTAATAATCTCGTAGAGAAGACGTTTTCTATGGAATCTTGCGCGGTATTGTAGAGGTTTAGTGACAGCGTACCAACGTTCCGTGGCGAGTGCGACTGTGATGTAGATAGAGGTAGTAGCACTCCAAAACGTTAAGAAATGCGACGAAATAAGGCGACAAAATATCTCTCCACTTATTCTTCCCTCAGGCGCGGGAGGAATATCTTCGAAGATAAATCCTGGTGTCAAAAAAGTGACGAATGAAACCAGCAAGTCAGTTATAGCCAAGTGAAATATGTTCACGTTATAAGGACTTCTAAGCATAGTTTTGTTTTTGATGTTCACGGCACACACCATGAAACTTCCTATTATCGTGCATAGGACAATGACGGAGAAAGAAATGCGAAAAAATGATACCTCCCCTTCTGAATGAGGAATCCCTTCTGAGAAACCGATGTCTTTTTTTTCTTTTGTGTGATCCATCAGAACTTCTGTGGTCGGTTGAGACGGAATGAAGGCCATGACAAAGGACAAATTTTCAGGGCTCGGCTTCGCCATGTTGCCATGTACAAAGTTACACGTCAATAGCGATTTGCTTACAACTGCTCACTTTATGCCGGCGAAGCTTTTAAAGGGTAGAAGTTTCACGGAAGTGCAATTATCCGATTTCTTTTAAAAGACACTTTCAGTCAAAGCAAACAGCAAACGTGATTGGCTAACACAGACCATTATGCATTCACGATGTTGTCGTGTTAACATCCGGGAACCAATCAGAGAGTTTCTCCGCAACGAACAGAGGGAGCAAGCAAACAAAATATACAAATCGTGTTATCATTGTACACAACTTGCTTTTCAAAAGCCTCAAGGAATATTCTTTTTTCTGCAATGTTGAAAGCCTTTCTAGTTGACTCAATTGTCAATTGGTCATAGGAAGCAACAGTCATTTGTAAAAGTGATTTTTTAAAAACGTTTTCAAGACTGCTCCAGTGAACTTTGCCCGCACGGAAAATAATCAATGTTTGACAGTTTCCTCCGAGAAATTAGATTCATTTTAGGATATCGTTACTTAAACCCTGCACCTGTTTCTCCGAGTCATGTGTTTCATATAAGCTAAATAATATAGCACGTTTTCTGGTAGTCTTAGGTAGAAATCAGTTAAAAATTGTGTGATATGGAAGAGCTTTACAAATTTAACAAGTATGCCACAATGAGTTACCTCAGAATTGTGACTAATGAATGAAAGGACAGTATCCTATATCCTTCGACGAATATATTAAAAAGAGTTTGACCTATGGCGCCCTTGTTAAGATTTCGTCTTGACAAGCTAATCTAACTAGTATCATGATAGCCCTTCTATGTTTCATCAGACTATTCTTAGTCTATTGTCAACACTGCGCACAGTTCCATTTTGCCGAAGACGTCGATAGTGATTCTCTATTTTTCTTTTAATTGATTGCTTATACAGATTATCTTGTTCACAGAGACTCCTTTACAGCAAGTAACTTTGCAAAATTATAATCAGCTAACTTGAGCTAAAGTTAACTGAAATCTCTACACCCTCTCCTCCCTCACACACACCCACACATACACATACGTATGTGGTATTAAAAGGCGCGGAATAAGTTTCTGGGTCACATTTGTTTCAGATTTTGGAATAAACATAGTAAAGTTGCTCTAAAACGCTACGGTTCCGCCACCCGTCACGCTTTGTTTTCAATTCTGCTCACATCCAACAAAACCAGCACGTGTTGTATCAAAAGTACGTGCCTCTTCCTTTCCTACAGGTGTGGACAACTGCATTATCTGAAATTCTAAGTCAATAATGCATTTACGGTTGCACCTGACAGTGTATTATTTTCCTTTTACCAATTTGTACGTGCGCTGAAATATTTTTATCTAAACATTACAGTGTTTGTTTTTTTCGGTAAAACCGAAGAGACTGCAAATTCTCGAATTTATTTTGCAATAATCCAAATTTTGAATTACATTTAAGAGGGCGTTTTATGAACACTCCATTGTGGCCACTATCTTGGACTTTCAAACAGCGGAGAGTTGCGGAGAGAAAGGAATTTCCATTAATAGGGGGTACGATAGACAAAAGCCTTGAGACGCAAACTTGCGTTTTGCATCCAAAAGTAGTTCAATGGACCAGGCATTAGAGTGGTTTTCCTCACTGTTTCGTAAACCACAATTCATGAAATCCACTTTGTTTTGCGTTCCCTAACCTGAAAAAAAACCCTTTTGGACATTGCTTACCCAACACCTAAATTACTCAAACCCCACCCCCCTTCTCCGTCCCAGATCGTTTCTCTTGTTCTTTGCTAAAGCAAACTATTACATCTCGCGTCTTTCCTTCGGATGATCAACTTGAGGAAGCCTCTCTCTCTCTACCCGATAACTGATGTGAAAATTTTTCAACTTCAGGTTGTGCTACCACATGTTTGTTTAAGGACAGATAATTAAAACAGTTTCGAAATGTTCGATGTTGTGAATGTATTTTTCTGCATAAAATTCAGGTTGTGTAAGTGCTTCGCTGGAGAAATAATTTTGAAAAAATAAAACATAGAAAAAAATGATGCTTGTTAGACTCCAACAAGACATTTTAAAGAAAGATTCGAGGATTTTTTAATTTTTTTTCCTGAGCACGTGTACAAATAGTCAAGCAATTACAGCAGCATCATTCACTGTCTAGACAGGGAACCATACAGAGGAGATATTTGTCAATAGCAATTTGCGTTTTCACCTGGAACGCGCCACACTACTGCATGGTTGTCTGGTTCAAGCTCTGACCTCTCAGACGGTGTGTGTTCCAGGATGAGCGATTTAGACACCTTGATTAACAAAACGGCCTGAAACGTTCAGTTACAATTACACTCTTCTCTCCAAAGAGTGAGATACTAAGACTTATTACAGACTCATTTCTCGGTCAATCCAAACAAAATACGGACCCTTCTTGCACAATATATACGGTCGACACTTGTTCACTATAAACTGTTCATGCGAGGAAATAAATCGTGCGTGCGTAATTCTATTTCATGCGATACATTTCCGATCACCCTAAGAGGAAATGTACAAGATAAGAGCTCTTTCTAGACATCCTGTTTCTTCTTTTAGTTTCTTTTGCCCTTTTTTTATACAATGCGAAAAAGCAAGCAAACTGTGCGCGCGCGAAAAGGCTAAAATTTCTAACCCTTGCTTTGCACGTACGTGACTCGTCAACTCTAAACACTTGACAGTGTTTATCCGATCGAAGAAAAGCAAAGGAAAATGAAACATGCAATGAGCAGAGTGGCCAAGAACAGTCGATTTTACCGACAGAAATAAACTTTTATTGTGTGTATTTCTGCAATGGGTCAGTAAAAAGTTAAAATTTGAACAATCAGCTTGACAGTTTTATTTGAACTCATGCTCGTCACAAAATAATTTCATAAACTTTCACTTTACACAAACACAGAACTCGAACTTTCTTCCTCCCTCACCATACAGTACACCTTCGGCATACTTATAGGGGAGGGGAGAGAGAGGGTGGGATGTAAGTCCCTATTTGATTTCACGTTTACCGTCAGCCTTGTACCCTCCCCTCCCCTCCCCCGTTCTCTTCCACTCAGTTCCATCTCCTCCCCTCCCCAGTGCAGCAATGGTGTCCCCTATTCACATTAGAAATTTGAAGCTCGGTTGCGGAGTTATAGATGCGTCAAACGGATTTTCGTTCCCCTGAACTTGCTTTGATTTAATTTACAGTTTATCACAAATGAAAAAACTTTTAAAATTACAATATCATACAGTTTCATGATAAATTGATAACTCTACATTCTTGTTATAATCCCAAATTAATGTGACTTCTTATTCTATTTCCGAACAAAAAGCAAAATAATTATTGCGTATCTAGATTGAGATTTGACTATTTTGGAAACAGAAATTATGTAATTACCAATTATTTATGTCAGGTTACAAAATTTCGTGATGCTTTTTTTAAAATATCACTTTGACAAGAAATGTTACCTGGTTACCGGCCATACTAAAGAAAACCCCTTTACAGGATACAAAATTTCCTGAAATTCGCTTACATAAGCCTTTTCTTCATCAAAGGGTGTCCATTAAAATGATTTAAATATTCAGTTATTTGTAAAAATTATTCTTGATAAATTCGATAAAAAATGAAATTCTCATAGCATGCAACTGCAGTTACTCTGCCTCAGAATTTTCTACAGCTAGTTCTACAATAAGCTTAATCACATTAGCAATTTGATTGGTTCTTTCTTATAATCTTTCGGAGGACAGACGCATACATGACGTCGCCATAAACAATTGTCTGCTTCTTTATTATATTAAACAAAATTCTCCATGTTGCCGTGCGTCTGTAAAGTAACCGATTACAGAAGACGTCAAAATATGGTAAGAACATCAGTGACACTGCGCCTCACGCGCCAGTTTTTTGTTCTTACCACATTTTGACCTAACCTGTAATCTATTACTGGACACCGCGCTTACTTAGCGCCGGACTGGCGTGGTGGAGGTCGAGGGTTCAAGCCGCAGAACAGACCAACATTCAGGCTGTTAAAATAATCGAGGAGAATGTGCTGCTTTTGTTTTGACAACGGCAAATGGTTAGACATTCCAGTCTATAAGGACGCTAAGTCATAGACCCCGGTCTCCTGTCTTTTCTCTGTGATGGTTAGCACGGGACGTTAAGAAGCTACTCATTTCTCCCAAAGAGTAGGGAACATAGCTCCCTGTGTTGTGGTCTAGCCTTGTCATTGTTTACACAGGCTTCCGTTTAAACCAGCTCTGAGCTAAACTGGGCCAGCCTGTTTAAATATCGCAAAATACAGATACAATGCAATACAGACGCACGGCAACATGAAATCTTTCTTCTAAATTTACGTGGTTTAAAAAATATACCATGTTAAATAATATTTTCTTGTTAGACATGTTAAATACTTCGTGTATGTTGTTAGCAATAGGTTCCCCATAGAAAGGCTCCTTGCAAATCCAGGCCATGAGCTGACATTTCGCGATCACAATTCTATTTCGTGAAAGTTGACTGCTATCTCCATTTTTTAGGTCATGTCCTTTATCAGATGAACTATCTCAGAGTTTTGCGCAGATCTTAGTTTCAACAAATTTCTTCGTACTTTACCAGGAAACTTTACCTTGGGAAATTTGGAAGAGTGATCACCTCAAATTCATCTTCATCCTGTACAGAATATCACAATATGATTTTTAGTTTCTTAAACTTGCGATCATTTCATTGAGTACCAATTCAAGTTCTTGCTGCTACCTGTTGTTCTGTTTCCCTTTTAGGAGTCCTTTTTTAAAATATTCGATGCTTTCGGTTGGCGATACATATTTCAGCCCGTAGAATGACCGAAAATTGAGTTACTTCTTGAAACGTTTGTTAAATGGCCTTCTAGTCAACTTACTGAAACTTTACAGAAAAGGTTCAAGAATTCTTGAAGACATTAAAGGGTCATAAACGTGCTCCACGAAGCAATTTCAACGTCTCTTAAAGCCACAAAGTTTGCATTTACAATCGACATTAACATTTCACATTTACTACAAGACAACAGTACCACAATTTCTAACGATTTCGGCTCAGGTTGCGCTTCCTTAATAACCATCGCTTCGTTTGATAAACAGCTGGTAAAATAATGTCGGACGTCATATCTCGTGTGTCAAAAAAAAAACAAAAAAAAAAAAAACCAAGCAGTCATACACGTGGACAGACAAACAGACATACAAAGAAAAACGAAACGAACGTCAAGTAAGCCTCATGAAAGTTACCGTTAATCAAACCAGTCACTCAATTCACGGTGAGGGTATCTGTCATATTCATGCATAGAAGGTAAAACGAAAACAACAACGACGACAACACCAACAAAAACGGAACAAATCTAAGTTACTAGCATAACAAAATACCAACTAACCTCTTCGTCAACTTGTCTGATGTTGTTTTGATGAAAGCAGTTCTCGCATACTCTTTCAGGATTCATGTAACCAAACTGAGGTAGGCGAATTCTCTGTTTTGTACATTCACTGCAGAATACTTGACCACATGCTCTACAGAGCAAAAAAAGTACGCATAATTATGACTTTTCGGATAGCCCTGTAAAAACTTTCTTGAAGTTTCTCAGCCTTATTACGGTAAAGGGCGATGGGAGGGATTCTACGTCTAAAGCCCATTGAAAGTAAACTGCTCAAAAACAGCAATTTTCAATTGAGCGTCGAAGGAAAACCAGGATTACACTGACTTTGCTTCAATGCGATCTGTGATTTGTGTGGTCTCTAAAAATCGCGTTACCCTCACAACAAATTGAACCAATTGCGACTTTTTTCTTCGTGTTTCCCGCCGCTTCAGAGAGTCTGCCTGTTTTTACTTTCATTTCACTTCTTATTAGCTCATCGCAATATTAAAAATTGTTCTGAGTGGTCCTTGTAATTTCTTTGGTTAGGTTAATGGAAATACGTTCTTCAGTAGGGTACTATTAACGTTTTACCAAAAACATGGCGCACGCTTGAATACAACTACTCTGATGACTGCCTCTTCGGGACAAGCCAGCTCTTGATAGAACTCGAGACTCGGCCAACTAATTGTTAATTATAATTCAGTTATCACATTACGTTAGGACACAAGTTTGTTTAGTCCTTGAGAAAGGATCAAGAGATAGCTCTCAAAGGGTAACGAACTGCTCACCTGCAATGATGCTGTCCAGCGGGTGTCACAAAGGGAAAGAAGAAGAAAAATAAATGTAAATGATTACAAAGAAATTTTAACAAGAACACAAGTTAGTAATGACAGTCATCATAATTCAGCCATTGCTAACAAAAAATGTTAAAGGAGTAACAATTCGCTCCCAGATGAATTGAGGAATCGAGGAAGACATTGTAAAAGGAGACAGAGGCCTAAAGGGTTATTCATTGTAACCTTAAGTTTAATGCATATTCTTGGTTTAGGTTCACAGCTTTTTACAGAGGTTTCGTGTTTACCATTTGATTCCTTCAAAGTTGCAGCATTTGTTTCAAATACAGCAGCCACTGAAGTCTGAAAGTTTGAATTTTCAAGTTCTATTCGTAGGATTTTAAAGAAGAGCGGGCGCATAAGTTAAGAAAATTGGTGAGCGAACTTAAATACCTTTCTTCTGAACTGAGTGAATCTCTGCTTACAGTCGGCACATTCCCGCGCTCGCTCATCCGGGACCCATATAACTGAGTCCAGTGGCTTGGTAACCACAGGCTGAAATCATCAAACGTAATAAAGACGATAAATTCTGATCAACCTCTCTTGTTTTTTTAATCCTTATTTCCACTTGAGCGTGGCCTGACTGCTCTTGTCTTCGACAGCGTCAGCCATACGACTGTACAATGGGCGGAAAGTTTATTTCTTCCGAACTATCTGATTCTTAATTCCATAGATGCTTGCTCCCTCTGACTAGCCCAGCAAGTAGAACGCAACCGCCCCTCCCCCCACCCCGAGGTGCGCCCTTACCTCCGCGTCTCCCTCGTCATCCTGGATGGCCGGATCCTGTGTGGACCAAGCTGTCTCGTCGAATCTTAAGAAGTAGTCTACCCACAGCTGAAGTCTTCTTGGGTTGGACACGGGAAATAATGTCTGCAAAAGGAAAGGAAAGGAAAGGAAATATGAAAGTGGCCCTGTCACAATACGAAAAAAAGGAGAAGACGACAACGACGAAGAAGAAGAACAACTGCGACCAGGGAGACAGTCAGACTAATGCCTTTTTTTCTACTACCTCAGTAAATAAGAGCGGGACATGGCTCGAAAACGTCCTCCGGGTTAAGAGTGGGTAAGTTCAACGGTATTCCAATCAGTATCCGTAACATGGCTCGTCATGTTTTTCTTTGACCCCCATTAGGAGTGCTCTCTTACCATTTTTAAGAAGGTCAAGGGTTTTACTTCCAAAAGGTATTTTTCTTAGAGAGTTATAAGTCTTTAAAACACTGTAAAGAATTTTGAAAGTCAAAATGCCTCAATTCCTCCGAGAGCGTGTGGTGTTTGAACGAAGGAAATAACATACTAAGGAACTTACTAAGGGTAATTTGGTATTATCAATTGAGTTGATAACATAAATTGGCCACCGTAAAGAGTTTCAAGGCTGACGTTTCGAGCGTTAGCCCTTCGCTATTCTCTCGGACGAAGGGCTAACGCTCGAAACGTCAGCTTTGAAACTCTCTACGGTGCGAATTAACGTTATCACCTCATTTAATAATTCTAAATTACCTTGTTATACTCTCCCACCGACGCAGCACCATAGTTTCTTTAGAAACTTACTCCCCCCCTTTATCTAAGAAACATACTAAGGAAGGAACAAACCAAGAAACAAACTTCAAAAGCGGTGAATAGTATGTGGGGAAATGGGAATTTCCTTGGGTTGTAAAACTATTGTAGAAACGTTTTAGGGATGTTATGCTTGAAAACTGTTCCGGTGCATAAATCGTGCATTGCAGTCTTACCTCGTTATATTTCCTGTAAGTTGGATTTCGGAAGGCGTCTTCATCTGCTCTTAAGTGAGCCCATAGTGATAAGGTTAAGGTTGAAACCAGAAGCTTTTTTCGGTCATTCATGTTATTACAAAGAAAATTTCCAAACCTTAAATCAGGATACACGAAATTGGCAAGGAAGAAAGAAAAAACATTTAGTAAAGGAGAGAATGTTGGGTAGGGGGAAGTCTACAGGGAAAGGGTTGTAGAGAGGAAGGAGAGGGAGAAAGGGTGGAAAAGGAGGAGAGGGAAGGGAAAGAAACGGTAAATGGGGTCGAGGAAGAAAACATCCCCCGTGACAAACAAATAACAACTACTTACCATTGTGAATTAACCTGGTCTGCTATTCTAACTAAATACAGCGGAGTAAATTCGAAAGCACTAGGAAATTGTTGCACAATCTGAAAGGCACAAAACAAGCCTAAGTAACATCAGCGACGAAGGAGGGTTTGTGAGGTTAGTTCCTAAACTAGCCCATAATCATGTGACAAACCAGGTAGAAAGAAAACAATAACAATCAAACAAAGACATATGATCCACTTAATCGCATAAAAAACAGAAAATGGGTTCCACAAAATTTAAGGGCAAGTAGTAAGGTTAAGAAAGCTTAAAAGGCATTTTTTTACCAGAAAAAAGGAGGGAAACATTTAAGAGGAGTATCAGAAATACATAAACAGACAAACAATAATTTCGCGTCAATTTAATCAACTGACCTGCCATACACAATCCAAGAACTGTAAAAACACGGGCGACCGCTGACTAGGACATGATGGATGACCAAGCCGATCACGGAACCGATGACCAAAAGATATCCACTCTTTTTCTATAAGAACCTTGAATTGGAGACGTTCAAAGTTATTTTGAACTCTGTAAGAGGAGAAGTATACTCCAAGAAACATTTGATCATTTTCTTTGCGATTGAAAAAAACCACTCTTCTAAAATTTAGGTTTTAAAATAAAGTGCGAGAGTATGACACGTGTACCTGGAATCCTGTTATTGTTCTGTAGAACGGATCCAGAAGGAGCTGAGCTAGTGACGTCAGCTGTGACGTTCGATCCCACCCGTCACTGCAGTGCACCAGGGCAGCGGCTCCCTTATCAACAAACCGCGCTATCGTCACGGCACCCTAGAGCAAACAAGTAGACACAGTAAACAAACAGTTTACGGCGGAAAAAATGAAATCACAATAAAAAACACCTCTAAACATGACATCGGAAAGACCCCTACTGATGGAACCAAGTGTCGTTAAACTGACGAAAATAATCTTTAAAGTTAAAATTTCCTAGCGCAAATGGAAATTAAATATTGAGTGTGGGAAAAATCAAAATGAAGAACCACTTTTTAGAACTGGAAGTTTCTGCGCGCCGTCATGTTTGATCGTAAAACCAGTATTATCTGTACGATCCCCGAGAAATTCCTGCAAACAAAGGAGCTTATTTTTTTCTAGTTGTAAACTGTGTGACTTCAAGCGATCAAATTTGGCGCCTAACGTGAAATTTAAACAGCACTAATGCTTGCAATTGTTTCCAGCAATTTCGGTTTTTGTTTACCATTTGTACCAACAATTCTCTACGATGCTAGACTTTTTCATCAGTTTAACGGCAACTTGTTTGACCGGTGGCGACTTCCTGAACTGGGTAGAGGGGTGATAAATGAAAGAACTTAAGCCACAGTCTTCTTCATTCTCCAAAAAGGCATCAACTTTTAATGACAATTTAACTTTTTATCAAAACAATTAGGATAAAATGGAACAAAAAATTTGTCACGTCAGTAAGTCATAGAGGAGCGGGTTTACTGAGATTTTGATTGCTCAAAAGAGGGTTTCAGTCCTAAATGGAAAAACAAATACCATTAGTGTATTAGTACTTGGACGATGGGAAGAGGTAAAAAAAAAAAAGGTTTTTTAAGTTCAATAGTCAACATGACAGTACCTTTAGTATGCAAGTGATGTAAGCCAACCACTGTGTGGATTCCAAATGAGACAGCCATTTCTTTTGTGCCGAAGACTCACAGACACCTTGCAGTCTGTACAAACTGTCTCTCACAGCATGAATATTAGGAATATCAAGAAACAACAATTGACAGCCCTGGTATCGGTTTACTGTGTCCTCTGTTCCCTTTCCCTGTAACAAGGACATATTACATGTGTATAATAATGTTACCTAACAACATCCTAGTAGTTTAAGTACGTGATTTGTGATAGTTGTTCAAATCAACCACGCATGGAGAATCGATCATGCCTGTAAACTAGCTCCGAGCTCATAACCAGGCTCCGACTAAAAAGGTCAATGAATTCGTCAGCGAAGTGAGAAAAACATTTCTGTGAGTAAGCCATGAAGCACTGGCAACTTAAGAAATCACAGAACTAATAAGAAATGCGACTCCCTCATCCGCCAAAAAAAGCCACTAACTTCGGTATAAAAAATATTTCAACGTATTTAACGGAAAATTAAGAAGTTTTTATTTGCTAAGTGCGCAACAGAATTTATTTACATGTGGCAATGACGTTTGCTATCTGATCTCATTTTCGGCGCGCCCATGTAGAATAATTGATGAGGAGATTGATCTTAGCATAAGTCCCACACGAGATAATGAAAATTGAGTGAGTGAGTTCAACCGAAACAATGGAGACAGTAAAAGCAAAATCTTGGAGGCAGGGATGACTATAATCAAGAAACACAACAACAAGAGAGCGATAGGACAGTGGATCGGTGAAGCAATACATTATCAAAATGCTCAAATCACAGCGGAGCATAATATTTAAGCCGAATGGCTTTAAAGCTGACGCGTCACCAGCTGACAGGCGTTCAAATTCTAACTTACTTTCAACATGTTACCACCAGCTGCAAACATGGACCTTGCATCAAAGATTACCAGCTTATCTGTAAATTTGTTACACTTCCTAGCAGTGCTAATGACAAGTTCATCATCAATTGAGTTCTGAAAGAAGGCAACATAAAATTGAGGAAATGAGCTATGCGTCTAAATGTCCGTGTCAGTCTGTCGGTCTGCCCTTCTTTCCTTGTCCGTCTACCTGTCAGTCTCTGTCTGCCTGTGTGCCTATCTATTGGTCTGTCTGTCTGTATGCCTATCTGTCAGTTTGTCTATCTGCCTGTGTGCCTATCTGTTGGTCTGTCTGTCCATCTATCTGTCTGTCTGCCTGTGTCTATCTGTCAGTCTGTCCGTCTGTGTGCTTATCTGTCTGCCTGTCTGTCTGTGTGCTTATCTGTCAGTCTGACTATCTGCCTGTGTGCCTATCTGTTGGTCTGTCTGTCTGCCTGTATACCTATCTGTCGGTCTGTCTGTCTGTCTGCGTGCTTATCTGTCTGTCTGACTGTCTGTCTGTATGCTTATCTGTCAGTCTATCTGTCTGTGTGCCTATATGCCTATCTGCCTATCTGTCGGTCTGTCTGTCTGTGTGCCTATCTGTCTGTCTGTGTGCTTATCTGTCAGTCTGTCTATTTGTCTGTCTGTCTGTCTGTCTGCCTGTGTACCTATCTGTAGGTCGGTCTGTCTGTCTGTGTTCCTATCTGTTGGTCTGTAAATCTGTTTGCCTGCCTGTGTTCCTACCAGTCGGTCTTTGTGTCTCTCTGCTTGTGTGCCTATTTGTCGGTCTGTCCGTCTGTCTATCCGTCGGTCCGTCTGTCAGTCTGGCAGTTTATAACTTTCACTCTTTAATTAACTATATGTTACTCGCCAATGCATCACAATTTTTTTAGAAACCGTCTGTTTGTCTATCTGTCATTCATTTCACAGAGACATAGAAAGGCAAACGACTTAAAACAAATAAATACATCTTAACAGCCTAACTTAATTAAGTCAAGCAAGCCGTTTTAAGTGTATAGCCAATAACCAAGCGGTAGGTTGGCTCACGTAAGGGCTATAGACCAAAAAGAACGAGGGATTGGAATTTAAGATGACAAAATAAAATTCTGCTTCCTTATTGGTCAATTTGGGTCAAACATAACCGTTGAGAAAATGACGCGCTCGGTTTCGATAGACATGTGATAATACTAACTTTCCATGGAGCGTCCGTTCGGTCGCTTCAATATCATCGTTAACATGGAGGTCTTTACAAAAATGAACGAGACTTTTGATTTCTCACTAACTACAAATAAGTCTACATACCTTAAAAGCAGGTCCAGTCTTCGGCTGTGCACAACGCATAATAAAATTACCCTTTTTGAAATTGTACCAACACAGGACTGGAAGACGGCCCTATTACAAAACAAATACGGCAAAACTTGTGATTAATTTCCTTTAACCACGCCTGAAGTAAATATTAGTAATAAGCAAAAAAACTCAAACATGTAGAGACGAAAGTCTGGAGCACTTTCTACTATTTCAAGAAGAGAGAGGGAGATATATCCTTTCCCTTCCCTTCGTCCTTCCACGATGTATGTGTGGCTACCAAAGCTGCCAAAAAGTGACATGTTGGGCGAGAGATGGCGAAATATAACTAACGAAACACGAAATGCAAAGATACGTGTTTCTATTTCAAGAGGCCCAACGGCGTTACATTACTACAAGTCCGTGTTCCTGACAAGGACTGTAACAAGAAGATAAACGAAGCACTACATTTACTTACTTTGCTTCGAAATGCAGCACACTCTTTCAGTGTAGAATCCTGTTGACAAAGAATAGGAAAAGTAATCACCGGGTGAACCCACGCCGAATCTCTAACACGGAGCTACGGACATGGTTCAGAATGTTCTGAACTTCTTAGACTATTTAACTTCTATTAAACAACTACGCTGTCCCTAATCACTTAAATTGAATTTCAACCAATCAGGCAAAAATTAAGATCCCACGTACTAACATTGTTGAAAACGGAGATTTCTTCTATACGCTTACCCTTCCAAAAACGCTCCTCAGAGTTGATTGAGGCAAAAATTAAGATCCCACGTACTAACATTGTTGAAAACGGAGATTTCTTCTATACGCCTTAGCCCTCCAAAAACACTCCTCAGTGTTGATTTCGTTAAGAGAGCGTGAACGGACCCCAACAAAGGTTTTCGAGTACGTGTGGACAGACGACGACAAATCGTATACGCTACGAGTAGACCCGTATATTTTGAAAACAGAGAAAAAAACGTTTCGTTTTTAATGCTCTCAGGAAAAGAGCAGACGTAACCTTATTCACCTGTATTTCTCCAGGAACATAAAACAGTGGCGGGTACGATGAGCAAAGGAGAAACTCTTGGTTGATTAAACTGACACGCCATTTGTCAGAGACCTACAGCAAAATTAAAGGATCTTTTCATCTAAGAATCATCACTTCACTATGTTTGGGCTCATCAAAATATTTCAACACAAATCAAACATCAAAACCCGATACCAAGACATGGTGAGTGGGAAAACGAGTCCATATAAAGGGGTTAAGCGACGTTGTGTTCCCTTGACAAATGAATTTTCAGCACACAACATGGTTCGTTGTTACAAAGGAGTCATCACATCGGAATTACTGTGCACTAGAAAAAGATTTCACTGATGGAAAGTGTTTTACATATGTCAGATCAGGGTGCTGATCACAAACTTTTTAATGATAGCTTGTTTCACTCCATTGTAAAGGCATTACTGTTACGAGGTGGTTTATTCAACCGAGATGCAATTTTCATAGTCAAGAAAGAGATCTACCCGAGTGATCCCGTTTGGGATCTCCACGTGGACATACCTGTTGCCTTGCAAACTCCTCATGGAAGTCATACACACTCCAGCCGCTTAGTTCTGTGTCCCTTGGCAGTATTCTGGGTGAGAAGAAGAAAGTTATCTTGAATTCCTCCAAAATTATTCCACAGCTAGTTAATTAAGTTAGTTGAAAAATATTATTCTAACTTTCATTTGAATGGTCCCGCTTTAAGTGACCGATCAAAACAGATAGACTAAAAACAAACCCCTCGGTAATGGGTGACCACAACCGCTTTATGTAGGTGACTGTTAAATAGAGGTAAAAATTACAGTGTTTAAAGGGAAAGAACTAGGGACTTTGAAAACCAACCGTTTACTACAGTTAGGAGAGGGGGGGGGGGGGGGGGTTCGATGCCAACTATAGATATTCCTCCATTGAATTCCCAGAAGAGAGGAAATCTGCAAGATTTTCGACATTCCTTGGACGACTGGATTCCCATTGATGCTGACTTGACAATTTACACTTCGACTAAGCTTCTTCATTCTTTATTGCGACTACGGTTGGCATCGAACACGAAGGAATTCGTTTTGTGATGTTAACATTCATGTTTGTAACACAATACCTTTTTGTCCCCCCCAAAAATGACAATCTACCATCAACTGGGAAATTCTCCGAATCTGAAGAAAACGACCTCTAAATTACAATAACCAGTTGTTCTGATTTCACTCTGTAACTGAGCATGTTGTGCACCTACCCCTCCCCTAACCAAACATTAACCCTAGGTTGATATTGGTACACTACTGTTGGGTTAGAGGAGGAGAAGCTGCGCAGTAACACAGCTACTGGCATTGATCCTAAGGACTTTACTTACCGGGCGGTCGAACGTATTTGAAATCTCTCACTGTGTGACTGCATCACACAATCGAGTTCCATGACGACAGTAACAGTTATAATAATACGGACGAAAATTTACTCACTTAACAAAGTGCAGAGATGGAGGATTATCAACAGCATTCATGGCCACGTATTCTAGTCTTTGATAAAACACACTAATGTAAAGATTTAAAAATCTGCAAAAAATAGAGAACAAAACGATTTATCTTACGATTGTTGTCAAATTGTTGAAACACTATGCCTGAAACAGGGTTCACTATCATCAATAGAGTGCTTTTTGATTGAATGTCGTAAGACCGAAACCAAAGCAATCACCACAGCCAATCAGAACGAAGGAAGATATCACCGGGAATCAATGAGAACTCAGAGTAAAACCAAGCAAATAGGCCTTTTCTGATATATCAAAATTCTAACATGGCTCCGAGGCTATGGGGAACAAGACAAAAGAAATTAGTAATCCATCCCTCTATCTCGATGTGATTTCTTTTGTGTTATTCCGCCTCGAAGCCAAATTGGAATTTTAATATACCGAAAATGGCCTCTACCCTGTAGCGCGGGAAAACGCGAGCGTTGAATCTAATTGGTCGAGAAAATGACGCGAGTTTTGTGCACCAATTACAGAGCGAAGTAGAGTAAAAGCACAGCAACCTCGGAATACTTTTGACTTTCATTTGAAACTTGCTCTTTATGCAGACAATGACGTTAAAACTCACTTGAATTATATTTTTATCATAAACTGCATTTATTAAGCTTTCTTCTGATGTGTAGTTTGCTAGGAGTTTAGAGAAACTAGCGCGCGTACGAAGTTTTTCCCGAAGGAGAAAACCGTGAAAGAACATGATCACGGAGAAAACGTTTTCAGCCTCAACAAGGTTCGTTTTGGAACTATTTGTATACCAAGTTATTCTATTTGCACTCACGTGGAGGCCGGTATCAACTCAGTCTTCAATCTCTCCGATGCATTACTCATTGATCCAACACCGCTGAGTGCCGCTGCTAATAATCCTGGACCCAACACCCCTGAGGTACCTTGAGGAACAAGCTGTGGACCATCAGACCCGTGTGAGCTGACACCCGCCACACTGCTGCTACTACTGCTACTGCGTGACAGGATCCGGAAACTGCTGCAACTGCTGGGTCGTGTGAGGTTTCCCGCAGACTCATTTGCCGCGAGAAGGTCTGTTGGTTGAGATTGGTTTGAAGGTTGTTTCCCTGTTGTACATAATGTATAATCAGCGTTAAGGTGAACAATTTCTTTAGAAACAGCCAATCAGAAGAAAGGAGGATAACACAAGGAGCCAATAAAAACTCAAAATAAATAAATTAAAAATAAGGGCGGGAAAACGCGAGTGACCAAACGCGCCCGGTTTTAATTATGTATTTGATTGGTAGAAAGAGTAGCACACATTTTCCAAACCAATCACAGTTAAGCAAAACCAATGCAATCCCGCGTTACTTTCGCTGCTCAAAATTGAAAACTGCTCAAAAAAAAAAAAGGTGTTAAAAATCTCAAAACACGAACGTGAGATAAAGAATATCTGAATTCTCAGTAGGGATCAGGAACGAATCAGTCTGTCATTTGCATGTTTTGAACAATAACCATTGTGGGACACATTCCTTTGTCATAGACTGAAGGTGATATATTTTTGCGGCGTTTTACTTCGCGGGATATTTCCAGAATGGAAAATTATTTTGGAGAATCAAAGGAAAGCCATTTCCATAACACCGGTCGTCTCACCATCAGTGCCTTCTCCCTCCGAACCTGTTGACGGTAGGCTTGAGTCTTTGACACATTCCGCATTGCTGGGTTGTAGTGAAGCAAGAATAGAATCTGGACTGGACTGCATACTTCCTGGATCCGGAGGCATATAAAAGCTGTGCAAGTATTGAGGTTTCCTCATGAAGATTAGCCGGATTGTGCGGAAATCCCAACATCTTATAGTCAGGGTCTTCACATCAGAGAAACCAGCATTGCCTCTAACAGTCCTTGAAACAACCTTCATGAAAGACAGAAAGGAGAAGTTATGCGTTTAAGCATTGGGGGTGCTGATAACTTATCCATCAACCTCAGAAGCGTTGAGCCAAATAACTTATTAAAAATCAAAGGTTGAAAACAGAGTGCGGGATCTAACAACAAAAAGGGGCATGTTCTTAATTACAGGTTTTGTTGACATATATAGATCTCAATTCTCAAACTAATTTCCTTTCTTGGTTTTATTTACATGCACTTTTTTCATTTCATAATAAGTCTTACAGTTACTTGTGGGTGTGTTCTGAAGTAAAGTGCACATCTCATACAGAGTGTACTCCATAGTGATCTATAGGGAAAACAAAGCTAGTTTTACAGTAAAGGCATATCCACTTGATACCGTAAGGTGATTTCTGAAAGGAGGGATAGGGCCAATACCTGCTCTTGTGGAAATAATGAGGCCATTAGGTGGTGAAATTCAGCAGCAACCTCAGTACAGTTTTAGGCAGCCCACAGAGTATCTTATCAAAATTTTGCTTTGAGAAGCTTCACATCACACAGAAAAAGCAATATGACATCAGAATGAATGTTATTTACGAATTAATTCTAGGGTCTTTCTACACTCCTGCCTCCAATGTAGTTAAAAGAAAATAGATGAAAATGTTTATGATAAATTCAACTTAAGGAAACTTACTTTTTCATCTTCCCCTCTGTCAACTGACTGGATGTTATTTAGTGCAACTGTCAAAGACATGTCCTGTAACATGAGACCAAATGAAAGAAAAAATAAAATATGAATAATCAGTATCTTCACCAACATCAGTTGAGTTGCATAAAAGAACAAAATGTTCTTGCATGTTTTGTTACATCATAAGCAACACTAATTCTTCATGTAGACAAGTAAAAGGTTTCAGACAACAGAGCCATCAAAGGGTTACAAAAGCTTTGTTAGAAATCATTTCAATTTTAATTGAGGTCTAAAATAAATACTGCAGCCTTACTGTCCTTTCTATCATCCTATCAAAAATTTAATCTCCAAGAACACATTTCCATGTGTTATTTGACACTTCTGTGTACCATGAAAATTTTGGGAAAATTGACTGTTTGCAAATTCTGTGGATTGTTCTTGATATGCATTATTAGGCTCATGCAGGAAAAAATAAAAGATCCTGCAGAACAGAACACTGCAAAAAATGGCAAACTACCCACTTTTACAGACTGAGCCAATAAACTTTTGACAGAAAAAAAACCAACTACTTTTTAATTATAAGAAGAAACCTGACCTTACATGTAAATAAATTTTCTGAATCACAAAACCTAATTCTCACATCTTCAATGATAGAGTGGTGACCAAATTTAAAGATATAACCTTTACTGCCTCACTGCCAGTAATACACTGCTGCTAGAGCAAAAACAATTGCCAATTATCACTAGTTCCCAACAGAAATATCAGTCAGAGTTTATTCCAGATGAGGAAAAAAACACTTCTATGCAAAATTAACTCTCACAAGATTTTCCAGCAACATGATAGATACTCACATAAGTATACCCAGCTGCAGTCAAACCAGACAAGTGACAGAGAATCACAAGTCTGCAAAGGAAATGAAAAACAAATCAATTTAGAAGCCAGCATGTAAATTTATGCAGGACAGCTGTTATTAGAAAAATACAGTAAATGTCTACTCATTTTATATGAATACAAAACACTGCAAATAATGCCCACCTGAAGTTTGTAAGGTACATTCGCCCAATACCTCTGTGTTTACTGACTTCAACAACCACATCATCAATAACCATCTCCACTCTTTCTGCATCGCCTGCCAACATGTCAGATGCAAAATGACTACTACAAAATATTAACCATATAGATGGCAGCATGGCCTTTTAGCTGAAATGCTGGAATTCTAATCAGGCGGTTGTGTCATAATGCCTGCTACCCTGCTACTCATGGAATTTATTTTCTCTTTTCCTCTGTGAAATTTATTGGCTTTGTAAACAGTAAACTAGTTTGCCTCCTACTGTAACAAATAGTTTAGGTTAAAAAAAATCTTATTTTAATGCTACAACATACACCCAGAGTTACAAGTTACAAAAAATCTGAATAACTAACAAACCAAAAGCACATACAGTATTGCTGCTAGATTATTAATAGCACCCTCATTCTGATTAGTTCAAGTGCTTGTGTGTAATTTTTCACTGCTTATATAGAGCCTGAAAATTTATGCCAGCATAGTTCCAACAGTATTTTGTCACACCCACTTTTGTGCTCTAAAGCTTGTAACTGTTATTCATCTTGATTAGCTTTTCATTTTCAATGTGAGGTTAGATGAAAACAAAATGAAAATTTTAATGAGGATGAAAATAATCTTACTGTGTTTAATTTGCAACAAAAAAGAGCACTTTAAATACAATTATATGGATAGGGCCTAAAAATACTCTGTCAGCTGATAACTATTGAAACAGTCAAACACACATGTTCCACAACAAAATTTCATTGTACAGTACATGTACCTGGAAAATCAACCACAGAATCTCCAAATGCAACAGGAATCTCAAATCCAGGTTTCCTTTTGCAAAGTGAATACAGCTCATAGTCCATACACCACCTTGGTACTGGCTTTAGAAACAGAATCAAATAATGTTTTAAATATATCAGTAAACTCACAATAAAAAGAAAATTCATGTATTAAAAAGTAGAATAAATTAAAAAAATAAATAAATAAAAGTGAACCCATCACATCACTTCAGGGGTCAGAGGTTTAGAGGAGGTTGTTACTTAAGTTGAACTTGTATTAACTCTTTAACTCCCAGATCAAATTTGTACTTCTCCTTACTGTCAACCATACAATTCTTATAATGTTAGTTCAGAGAATTTAGTATCAGATCAACTAATTATCCCCAAATTGATATTTTTCTTTATTCTCATCACTTGGTCACTTATGGGAGTTAAAGGGTTAAGTAGCACCATATTAAGTGGTCACCCTGTATTAGGCTGTCAGTTATCAAAGTTCCAAATTGTTTCCCCTTAATCACTGTAATTTTCACCTCTATTAAGTGGTCACCTCTATTTTACAGTAGTGGTTACCCTTAACTGAGTCCCAACAGCCTGTTTGTTTTGTCCTCTACCTGAGTTGAAAGGTCACTTAAGCAGAAACACTCAAATAAAACTTAGAATAATCTTTCAAGTAAAATTTAATCCATGTTTCTCTCCCAAAATCAATGTTGGTTGCATAGCGAGTTTTTGTATCTGGAGTGGTCAATTATGGCATGTAAATTTTTTTCCTAATCACTTTGTTGTAATACTCCTGTTCTGTAGAACCTGTACTAAGCAGTCAACCTTTATTAACCCTTTAACTCCCATGAGTGACCAAGACAGAATTTCTCCTTACAATATCAACACAATATCCAGACAAGTGATGAGAATAAAGAAAAAATATCAATTAGAGGATTATAAGTTGATCCAATACCAAATTCTCAAAACTAACATGATAAGAATTATATCACAGACAGTAAGGAGAATTACTAATGAGATCCCTGTGTGTAACTGCTTGTAACAGGTTTGACTGCACTACTAACAATAACTGTGTGCAACTTAATATCAGCCAATACCTGAGATGCCTTCAATGTCAGTTCCAAAAATATATCACCACGAATATTTTCTTTGGCTGAACCTCTTCCCAGGGGGAACCAGCAAGCTGTTGTTTCTTCTGACAGAAGAGAGACTGGGATTTGAATCTTACCCATGAAGTCATCACGATTGAGAGTATCATGGTCCCACACATCAATCTGGATATAGTGTTGAAGGCAACAGTTCATGGCATTCTCAACTAAAAGAAAATCACAATTTTCAAAAAAAGTCAATACAAAGAGATTTTAGGTAAAGCCCATCTATTTTCATTATCCAGCTTGTAAAGAATATACTACATGTAGCTAATTCAGCTGACAATGGCTTATCCATTTTCATTTCACAGCTTGTAGAAGACAAAATGGTTCATACAGCCCACCACAGTGAGTGCTTAACCCTATATACCCTCAGAGTGACTAACATTTAAATCTCCTGACAGTAATACTACTGAATCATTCATTACAATCATAAGAATAAAGGAAATGATCACCAATCTAAGAATCTTTGATTGCTAAACAAATTCGTCTTGTTATTACCAGGGATATGTATAGTGAACAATAAGGATAATATGCATACTGATGTTAGGGCATAAAGGGCTAAACAGATCATGTCTGGCAAAACAACACAACACCAACACCTTCCTCTGTGCATCTCCTTTACAATGTTCAGTAATAACAGTAATAGTGATAAACAACTATACACTTCAAAGGATGGTCTCACTTGATTCATTCTGCATGAGCTGAGGTACACCACTGACTTCAAACTGTAATGTTTCGTGCCATACTGGAGCAATGGTGTTATACTGCACTGCCGTGCGCTTCTCCTGGTTGCCAACAATCACTATACAATATGGATCAGACTTTCCTGTGGGGTCCATAACTGAAAGGTTTCGCCCCTCAACAACTGCAGAAGAAAAAATTGCAATAGAACATGAATCACGAGTTCCTCAACTATTTACATGTAACTGCCAAGATCTAATTGTTAATTCTCCTCTCAGGCTGCAACACATTTCCTTCTCAATTAGCTAAGAGAATTCAAATCAATATCAGTATCTGGGCAACTGCCCACCTACCCCTCCCCTAACTCAACAACAGTCAATTGATAACAACTTAAGGTTAATGTTGGGCTAGGGGGAGGGGTAGGTGGGCAGTTGCCCAGATACTGATATATTTATCTGAGAATTCAGTATTAGATCAAGATAACAACTTCTTCATGATAACTTTGAGCATTCTTATTACATGTACCTGTTTGCTGGAGGAATTGATCAGATGCTATGGGGAGAAGTTACATTTTAATTAGTCACTTTAGGGGGTTGAAGGGTAAAACATCTAATTTAGAGATAGAGAGGTTTTTTTTTGCAAATTTAGATATGATATTTTCTCCTGAATTTTTCTACTGAATGATAATGATGATCTTTTGAACTTGCTTTTCTGATCCCATGTTTTCATGAATATTAATTGGTCACATTTGAGATCAGTCACTACTTTCTCCCACCAAACAAAGCAGATGTCCTGAGAAATTCTTAATGCTACTGCTATTACATTAATACAGCTTCAAAGAATGATAGAATTAGTAATGTGCACACACACTGGCTATTTGAAACAAACTGATTTACAACAGCATTTTAGATGGTATAACATCGCTGTCGTAATATGTTTTTGTAAATACTTTGTAAAATTGTGGCAGTGATGCACAATGATTTGAGAGTTTGTGATGATATGTATTCGGTGTTATTTTAAGCTCATTGATATTTACATATCTGATTATCTACACTCTTGATTATTCTAAATACTTCCCACAAGTCTAGATAATAAAAAAGCCTTTCGTCTTATGTCACCAAAATTTCGACAAAAATCAAAGAATAGGAAAGTTTCACAACACTGCAGTATGCTGTTTCATTGCAGTTAGGAGAACCTTTCCAATTACTAATACCATCAGTATCTCTGGGAAAATACTTCTCCTTGGCCCAAATATGTGCATTACCTCAAAGGCGTGGTTTTTAACCCTTCAAACTCTAAGAGTGACTTGCATCTAATTTCTCCTTGCAATAAAACTGCTGAATCATTAATTAAGATTGTGACAATAAAGGAAATGATCCCCAATGTAAGAAGCTTTGATTGTTAAACAAATTCTCCATGTCAGTAACAACAGAAATTTATAGAGAAAAGTATAGAGAATATGGATACTGATGTTAGGGTGTAAAGGATAAAGCCACATTGATTGGAAAGTGGATGTAGATTTTGACAAATATAGTTTTAAATTGGGCATGATATTTCAAAGGAACCATCAGAGATAAACAAACCATGTTGTTGTACTTTGAACTCGAGTGCATAATACAGTCATAGAAAAACAATATCTCAAAACAGAACACTGAATTTTCAAGAGAGTTTTAAACATTCTTAATTTCCGCACTGATGCAAAGGTTAATATTATTTTGCAACAAAGGGCCAAATCTGAAAATGATGCCATGTTTTGGTCTAAATTGAGACTCCCTCTGCTCAGAATTGCGAGTAGTATCTCTCCCCCCCACAAAGTCTAGTATCACATCCAATAATCTTATCAGCCTTTATAATTGTCTTACATGCACATTTTGCAATTAACTTGAGTAGGTGATAACCATTAGAATTAGAACCGTTAGCAATTGAATTTTCGTTTTTAACTTATGTATTTTAAGAATAACCAGATGTGTCGATACTAGTATCTCAAAACATAATTTTACAATCTGAGGCAATTTTTCAATACATTGAATAAACATTGCATCTCTTCACAAACAATACGTTGTATCATAGTTAGTAGTCTCCTCTACTAACTATGGTTGTATCTGTCAGCTTATTGCTGAATATTCATAGGGCTTTAGAAGTGATGCTGAAGAAACAATAGCATGCCATTCAGCTCTTTCAGTTAAGACCTATGAAACCGTGATGGTGAATATAAAATAATTTATTCTTACATGGAAAAGAACATAGGCTAAGTTATTAAAAGCCTTTGATTATTGCACCTATAAACAGCTCGCAGATGTGACCAATATTTTAAAAAAAAAACATTTATGAAAAACTGCGTCGCATGTACCAAGTTCACTGTTTCGCAGATCTTTCTCGGAAAACCGTATTTCGTTGAAAATCGCATCAAAATTGGACATCAGTCACGCTCACTAACTACGGTAAATATCCTGAATGGAACATTTCTGTAGTGAACTAAAACACACCTGTAATTGTAAGTGAGGCCGTGCCAACTCCTCTCTTTCGCTGTTCGTCCAATAGCCCAGACAAATTTCGAGAAGCGCACGCCGAAAATTGCGCGCCATCGAGACCGTCATTACTACCATTGCTCGGCGTTCCGCTCAGAGCGCCACTTGGTACGTAAAACATGGTTTTTACTTTACGCAACAACGGCTGAAAAAAAGGCTAACAATACACTTAACCTTGTTTGAGGCATTTCTGATGGAATATTTCAAGGAAAACGATGTAATGTTTTGGTCGTGACGTATCGTGACGGAACCGAGCCGACAGTTCGTGACCAAAGTTTGTTTTACAGCGGTCACTACCATTAGCCTTATTGGTTCCAGACCTCTACTTCGGGCTGCGAAACAAGATGGCGAACAGTACTGGAGAATGTCCACCGTTGTATTCCTCCTTGGAAAAGATCTATTTAGCATCTACAGATAAAGCATTGTCGAGGTTAGAGATCTGGGTTACTCTTTCTCGTTACTTAAAGCTGATTTTTCTTTCAGGACCCGAATTTAGCGTAATTTCCTTAATTTGCTCCTTCAGCTTCCGGTAACAGGTTTCGCACCTAAAATCATCGGTAGTTGATTTTCAAGATCGTTCCTTTGTAATGATGATTGTCATGTTATGCTCGAATATGGTGGAGTAGAAATTTAGCGCTAAAATTCAGGGGAAAACAGCATGATTTTTCCAAGGAAAAAAATTTAAAGATTTGAATTTTAATACTGTCAGGTACCGACACTAGCCGGTCTGTGATTATGTCACGTGATGGGAAATGGTTCCAGAAGAAACCGAAGACTTGTAACGCTTGGTGTTATGCTGGGCAAGATTTCCCTACAGCCCCATAATTCATTATGCATACAGTTCTTAAATAAAGAAAAGATTGGCGAAAATAAAAGACTGCTTTTAGGACAACGGCTTTGTTTTAGATTAGTATGGGGTTAGACGGAAATCTTTCCGAAAGATGAATGATATTTTATATCTTTTAGTGCAAGAAGGGAAAATATTTGAAAGGTTTGAGGTTGAGAGATAATTCAGAAATAAGGTTTTTTTTTTAACTATCCCATCCGCTAAATTTTTGCAACCTACAGAACATGCACAATGGCCCCTCATCATTCCTTGTAGAGTATTATTTGCAGAGAATTACAGAGGTTTATCACCATGTTTTTGCAACAGATTATACTGTTGGTACAAATTTAATTTATGGTTTGAGGAAAATTGTTTCGTAATTTGGTTTGGTAGACAAACAAGGTTTGAAAATCATATTAATTTACTAAATTACACTAAAGTCCTTACATTTCATCAGTGTAAAGTAGGGGCACCTACACTATGGAAACCAATTCGAGGGCAGAACTGAAACAAGAGACACCAAAATTTGAAATTCAGCCAATAAAATTGTGGTCACAGAACAAAGATATCTCAATTTGTTGAGTTGTAGTATTTAGTTAAAGGTAATAGTTAAAGGTAATGATACTGTCCTTCAAATGATAAGTCTAAATGTTGGTCCTACCACAGATATTAACATAAATGGAACAAAACCTGTGCAAAATGAATTCTCTTGATCACACTCTAACAATCTGTATGTAAATTTAAGCAAATGTAGTGTGTTTAACTATGAAACATGACTGCAGAAGAAGTTCTAAGCTTATCCATTCCTCTTTTGCTTTAAACCAGAGCAGTAAACTTCCACACTTTACAATTTCTGAAAAAAATTATGCCATTGTATTTTTGTATTGCCATGGTTTCTTGCATCAGGCTGTGAAAATTTGAGGCATGCATTGTATGTTACTTAACTGCCTAATTGATATCTTACGGTTTCTATCTTTTTTATAAGGTATGAGAAGATCAAGGAAGCATTTCATAGCAAGTTTGGCTGTTCTCCAGAGTTCTATGCAAGAGCCCCTGGAAGAGTAAACATTATTGGTGAGGGATACTATGTTTGCTTGTGTGGTCATACATGTATGTGGTAATTTAAAACAAATTGCAGGTCAAAATTCTCATAGCTGGAAGCTATTCTAACTTCCCATTGCTCCAAAAATAATTTACTGTAATTCTTAAACACAGAAAAACATACATCAAACAAGTTTTACTTCATTTTTACTTGAAATCATTTTAAATTGGAATGTTTATACTCTGTGTTGCTTGAGGTTTCATTGTGTTAGCAGCATTTCTTTCACAAATATCTATGTGCCCATTGTGGAGCAACACATTTTCAGATATGTTATCATTTTGCACTCAGTGCAAAATTTTGTACTTACCAAATATAATTCACCAATTTTCTATACTATATAGCTGGTGGTTTTTTTGTGTGTTTTGAAGTGTTGAGTGGTAGAGCAGTAGTTTCTCCCACTTTAGCTCATTCCAAACTTCTCTTTACTTGTTCCTTAATGTCTCAAAAGTGGGCTCAAAACCACCATCAATGCAAGCTTTTAATTTGCCATATTACGTATATATAACAGGAGAACACATAGATTACTGTGGTTATGGAGTGTTACCAATGGCTGTAGTGCAAGATATTGTGATAGCAGTGGCAGCTAATGACCAAAAAATGCTTAACATATCCAACACATTTGAAGACTTCCAGTAAGTAATAAGGCATAGAGATATGTTATGGAATAAAAGAGAAAATTCCAAAATGTCTTACAACATAAATACATGTAGATCAAACCAGTGAGCAAGTAAAAGAACAGACATTTATCAAATTCCAAACTTTCTATGTTACTAATTTGCAAATTTAGAAAGTAGGGTTACCGAACAAATCAGCTCCAGGGAGATGAGGGGGTTTACTAGTCGTTTTAAAAATACTCATAAAAAGATACTAGGTTGACCTTAGGTAAGAATATTTTATATTTAAACATCTTAACCCCTACCTTTCATTTTGTTAACTTCTAACTAAGTCACCTGTTGATATTTGCGATGTTATACAACTCAGAAACTTCATTCTGCAACATGATATGTAAATTTGAGGGAAAAATAAGTGTTTAAATAACAAAGAAAAAGACTCTTGTCCACTCATAATCTTAATTAACAACTCCTGTGATTTAGAGTGCAATACAAATAACAACCCTTAAATGAATTTTTCATAAAAACACAACCACACCTATGTTTGATGTAATTTGTTTTTATCCTTTCCACTTGGGATTTATCAGTGACCTGAAACAGGCCAAATTGCTTCACAATCAGTGAGCAGTTTTTAGTAAATCCTAAAACTGTGGATAGCATTGAAGGTGCACTTTGATTGGCTACTCAAACTCCAAATATCCTTTCAATATGTCACTGTTTTAGCATATACTTAGTAAGAAACTATATCACCTCAGAGTCAGTAGCCTGGTTGGATATTTACCTCACTATTTCACAGCCTGGTGCATATCCCCCACCAAACACTTCCATTTTAGTGAATAGTTTTCAAGTACTGCACAATTAAAAATGTATTTAACTTTTGTATCCATTTTCTTGTTTCAAAATTCTTTTATCAGGGATTTCAGTGTGAGCTGTGAAGATTATAAGATTGATGGAAAGGAATGGTATCATTATTTTCTCTGTGGCTATAAGGTATGAATGAAAACTTTTTTTTTGCTAAACTGTACCCTCTTGAAGTCTCTTCATGTGATTAATTATCATATGATAACAATAGTGCTTAATATAATCATGATGATTATTATTCAAACATATCAGCTATCTTACTATTGTTACCTGTCTTTAAATTTTTTAGGGGTTAGTGGATCATATGAAGATTGAATCTCCAGTTGGATTGAACCTTGTTATAGATGGAACTGTTCCAAAGGTCTGAAATGTCAACGTGAAACTATTTAGTCACTCATTTAACTTTCTATCAGCAACAACTTACTCTTCCTTATAATTTCATATTTCATTTTTGAAGTTAAGGAATGGGTGACCACTGATGATGTTTTTTTGACAACGCTAATGATTTTGTCTCTTTTTCATCAGAGTGCAGGGCTTTCAAGTTCATCAGCTTTGGTTTGTTGCTCAGGTTTGGCCACACTCCATGTCAATGGGCTCAAGCTTAGTAAGGTGTGTACCATCAACTAGTTAAACTAGAATTTTTATGGTGGAGTGACTCTCAAAATAATGTGGATGTTCATCATTTGAGTTAAAGTTACCATGACACATTTTGATCTTATACCATCAGAGCAAAACTTTACATTTTCTGCTATGAATTAACAAAGTATCCTTAAGGGTTTAAAATACTAATTAAAACAAACTTAAATTGTGATCACTCACTTTTAACCAGGTCAACTTGAAGGGAAATATTTTCACAAACACTTAAATTCTAATTTCTTTTTGATGGTGAACTCTTTATTTTTTTTTTAATAATCCAAACTTTATGAAAAGTCTATATTTTAAAATCTGTTTCTTTTATGCTTAACAGCATGAACTTGCTGAGATATGCACAAAATGTGAGCGCTACATTGGGACTGAAGGAGGAGGGTAGGCATAGAAAATCTAACACATAAACCATTACAAAAAAACTTTTGTGACTTATTTTTTATGCCATGTACATGTTTGGTAATATATTTGTGAGAAAGATATCATAATGGTAGCATAGTAGTCAGTGTGTTTAAAGGTCCTACCTCTGGCTAGGATCATTATGCGGTATTCTTTGGTAGGACACCTACCAGTAAATCTCATAGTATGTTTAGGACTAGTTTATCTATTTGCACCAGAATATTGTCAAGTGGAAGGGTGGCAAAGTTCTAGGGGGTAATCTGTGATATTTCAATTACAGTTCAAAAGGAGTAGTAATAATTTAAGAAGCCTGTGGGAAAGATTTCCCTTTTTGAAATTTTTCAGGAAAGTAAGGCCAGGGTGAGGGAAGCATGAGCAGAGAGCAAAGGGCAAGTCTTGAGCAATGCCCACTCCTCACCCACACTTTGCACTTTCCTCTACTCACCTTAAAAAAAAAGTGACAATTTTTTTGCAGGCTTAGCTCCTACTTACTTCAGGCTCCTGAAACTGCATTCAGCTTCTGCAGCTGTGTGAGTCAGTCTGAAGTCCAAGCTTTGTAAAAATTTACCAGTTTACTGTGTCACTAATTCACAGTGACTCTGCACATAACATTTAAGGGATTTCTGGCAACAACTTGTTGCTACTCCTGAGTTCACAGTTAGATCAAATTTAAAAGCTCCCTCACCCATTTTGAACAATAATTTGTTTTCAGCCCTGAATATCTCCCCAGTATTAATATCTGATAAATAAAATTTAAAATCCTGTACTCTAACTCGCCTTGTGTTTTACAGAATGGACCAATCCATTTCCTTTTTGGCTGAGCCAGGAACAGTAAGAAAACAATTTTCTGACTAGAAGGAAATTGTACAGGATGTGAATTAACCTTTAAATGTTGATGTTATTTGCCTGCATCAGGTGCCAACTTATGACACAAAGTGCAATAAACAGATACACCATGATTGAAAGAACATTGTCACAAAAATGCAAAAGGGAAAAAGCGAAGGACAAAACATGAGAATTATTACAATAGATAGGATAACAAATGTATGTGAAATGAGGAATGAAGTAGCTGCTTGATCTACTGGTGTTTACAGAGTTACATGTAAAGTTCATTTAAAACTTCTCTGAACTTGCCAACACTACTAGCTGAAGAAACAGCTTTTTACCTAATTTTTCATTTTTATTTCTCATTTTTAACTCCTGAAGGCAAAGCACATTGAGTTTGATCCAATAAGAGCTTATGATGTCACCCTTCCAGAAGGCATTGTGTTTGTGATTGCGAATAGCTTGGTATGTAATTTGAGAAACAAATTATTCTTTTTTAGGAATTCAAAATTAAGGAATCAAAAATGTGATGAGCTTTGTTCTTTAGCTAACAACAAGAATGAATGACATCACAGGTGAAATTGAATGGTGAGGTCAATTTGGCAAATAGATTCCACGTTACCGTGGATCTGTTCAGTAATAGATCACAGATGACATCAAAGTTTGTTAAGAACAAAAAAGTTGCACGCGAGGCGCAGCCGAGTGTGTCACTGACGACTTCTTACTAAATTTTGTGGTATTCTGTGACCTTTTACTGTACAGACCCAAGGGAACATAGAATATGTTTGTTTTTGGAGATGAAATCTTTGCGTCTGTCCTTTCAAAGATCATAAGTAGGAACCAAATAAAATCCAATTCAGTTTATCGTAAACAAAGTGATAAGCATTCGCACAGCGCCTTTCTCTTATAATAAACTGGGTTCCGATCCAGAGGAGAGTAGCTGTGCTGCAAGTCACTTACTTCTACTAAAACTGGACTAAGTTGCGATAGAAGACTTTTTATATTATTTTGTCTTTGCAGGTGGAGATGAAGAAATCTGCGACGGCTGGCACGCATTTCAATGCAAGAGTAGTCGAGTGTCGTCTAGCAGCAAAGGTATTATTGATAAACGCAGTTCTGCAAATCAGGAAAAAAGGCGCCTTTCAAGCTTGGCACATACTACCTTTTTGCGTCAAGGGATAACATCAAGGACTTTTTTTTACGTAAGGGGAAGGAGGAACGAAGCAGTAGCACTCTAGGAGAAACTCTACTTGCAGTTTCTGAGAAAGTGGTTTAAGATCCGACATAGCTGGTCCTTAGACTGGATCCTTTTCTTGAAACTCAACTCACCTCTCCTCTTGTAAACAGGTTCTGGCGAAGGAGTGTGGACTGGACTGGAAAAGTGTTCGTCGTTTGAGCGAGGTACAACAAGGCGCGGAAAAGAGCTTGGATGAAATGTAAGATTTTGCACCTTGGACGAGCAACATATACCATTTAAGATGAAATTGCTAAACCATAGTTAAGTTCATACTTTCGATTTTACTTAATAAACTGTCAGTAGACCCGAACATAACAATTGTGAGTGTTTCTTGGAATTATTTTAACTAAAATCTAAATTCTAACAAAGTTCAAATAGCCCTTATTCCAAGTCATTGATCGATCGAAAGTAAGAATGCAACGTTTAAGAGGTATCTGTTTTTTCCGCTGTATTTTGAAACAGGGTTGCAATGGTGGACTCATGCCTGCATGTCGAGCCGTACACGAAGAAAGAGCTATGTGAATACTTTGCACTTACGGTATGTTGATTGTATAAAAGTTGGACGGACCTCGAGTAGGATATCAAAATAGTCCAAGAATTGCTTGCGGTGATAACATCTTAGGAACAGTCCTTGCTATATTTCCTCAAATATTCCAATTACATGTATCTAGTAAAGGTATGGAGAGATCTCTACATTACTCCAAATTCCTCTAAAATATACCTGAATACCCAGATGAAATAAGGGGGCAAGTATTACAAGATAATTTGGTTTCATCAGCTGAGTTGATAATGTTATTTGGCCGCCTTAGAGAGTTTCTAAAGAGTTCCTAAAGCCGATGTTTCGGGCCGTAGTTCCTCGTCAGAGCGAATGGTGAAGGGCTAGTTCAAAACGTCAGCTTTAGAAAGTTTTTTTCGGTGGCCAATTTACATTATCAATTCAGTTGATAAAACCAAATTATCCCGTAGTCCCAAAAGCAGTCTTTCGCTTTCGCTATTGTTTTTTCAGTCTATCCAACAACTGTATGCATATTGAAGTATGGGGTCATACTGAAATCATGCTGAAGGTTTCTGTCTGTCTGTCTGTTTGCTTGTGTGCTCACAGGACAAGGAGTTAGTGAGCCAATGCATGAGTCCTTCAACAGCAGGAGTCACCAGCTTCAAGTTGCACGATCGAGCCAAACACGTGTATTCTGAAGCTTCCAGAGTGCTCAAGTTTAAGTCAGTGTGCGAGGAAAAACCTGCTAATGCCGTCCAGGTAATAACTGTTTGGTGTCCGTTGCTTGTCTTTTTTAACGTAGGTTGCAATTCTCTGTGCTGGGCATTTGTGGCATGCTTTTTCACCCTGGCAAAGGTTACCTGCTTTCTTGCCTCCGACACTGGTTTTATCTCTTTTTGCTCTTCGTACCGGTTGCATGGTTTCCCGCCTTTGGAGCCGGCTGTATGTTTTCCGGCCCTTGACACCAGTTGTCCATTTGTCTTGGCACTGGCGTCTAGTTTCCCAGAATTTTGAATATTTGAGTTATTGGCTTGTCATGTGATTGGTTAGTTGATCTACTATGTCATGTGATTGGTTAGTTGATCTACTATAGGGTCAGTCTAGTCTACGACTTTCATGTGACAGCCAACTTTTGTGTCTCGTGAGCAGGTCCTGGGTGGTCTTATGAATGAGAGCCAGGAAAGTTGCAGTAAGATGTATGAATGCAGCTGTGAAGAACTTGACCAGTTGGTACAACAGTGCAGGTATTGACTCTGTTTCTCCGGAATTTCTCATCAACAAATTTATCATATTTTGATAAATTGGTGTTCGATTTTTCTGTATTTTTTTTTAGAAAAGCTGGAGCCGTTGGCTCCAGGCTCACAGGAGCAGGATGGGGCGGTTGTACAGTGTCCCTGGTGCCGAGTGATGTCCTCGACGACTTCATTAAACAAGTGCATGACGGATACTATGCCGCTGACCCAGAAAGGCTTACAAGGGTTTCTGAGAGTCTGTTTGCCACTCAGCCGGGAAGTGGTGCTGCGATACTTAAACTGAACTAATATATTTTTGACCTAGAGAAAAAAAAAAGGGTTAGTATAAAAGTCTGAAATAATAAATAATTTGAGTAAAGCATAGCGAGCCATTTATTCAAGAAAACTACATTCTAGTTACTTGTGGTTATTTTTCAGAGGGATTTTAAAAGTGAAAATGTATAATTCGTGCAAATAATCTAAACTGCAAATTTCAACCGTAGTTTTCAGTCAGGTCAGCTGATTGTTAGAATTTGATTGACTAAAGTGAAAAGGTCAGCTGAGCTACCCTGGTATCAGTTGCAGAATTGAAGTTCAGTGCTTCTACCTCTAAAATCTAATGGCAAATTCTTCTAATTGACAACTTCCCATCGTTCCTCTGGTTAGCCGCGACAATTTTTCGCTTTTTTAAAGGCAATTTCCCTCTGTTCCTCATTTCACTAAATTCCTATGTAATTGACATTTGGGAATTCCGTGGCATGTTGATGATCAGTCCAATTGATCAGTCCAATAGGAGTCCAATTGTTAAACGGGTTAACATACACAGATAACATACACAGATAAGTTCGCCATCGCAAATAAGGGAGTACAAGACGTACCCACCCGCAATGCTTTGAGTTATGATCGACTTGAGTCATTTATTCATTGATTGACGAAAACTTATCTTTTGTCTGAGTTCTATCTGAGCTCTGCCGCATATATAATTAGTGGGGTTAATGAAGAACTTACCACTGATTTCACCCTCTACACCCTAACATCAGTATGCATATTCTACATAGTCTTCTCTATACATTTTCCAAAGTGCTGACAATGAGAAGTTGTTTAACAAGAAAGAGCTTCTTTAGTTGGTGAACGCTTCTTTTATTGTAGTGACCTTAATGTTTGATTCAGGGGTGATGGTGTCAGGAGGAATTTCAGTGTAGATGCTAGTCACTGCCAAGGGTCAAAGATTAACTCGAGACCATTTTACCTTTTATTTTTGTTGAGTATTTGCAATTTACATATTTGCTGCATTAGCCAATCACGACACACTTAGTAACTACGAAAGATAATAAATCAAATTATTTTGGAGTCTGGGATTGTTGTATTTTTATGAATCGTTTTAATTCGTTGTCATTGTTTTGGGTAGTGCTTTGTTTCCTCTCATGACAATCCACCCTCCTGCACGAGGCCAGGGGTTCTTCGTGCTTGGGTGTTTCTCGATCTCTGTAGCTTAGAGCGATCAAGAGTCTGGCTACTCCTCAGGGGGCCTTTCTTATAAGTAAGTTGATTAAAAATGGGCCACAGTTACGTATTTGTGCGCCTCTTACGTGAAGCGGATTTGACCACTTCTCCATCTCGTGTGCCTTGTGTATTCAGGAGGCAAGAAGGACGGCAAGTGCAGTATCAAGCACAAATAATGGTTTTTGCTATTGTAGCCGAAGTCACGCGTAATTTTATTCATCATTCATTTAAAACATCCACACGCCTACGGTACTCAACGGTCGATAACTTTACAGGCAAACGACAGTGACGCTGCTTGTTAAAAAATGGACATAAACATAGATCCACAATTACTCGACCTGACTTCGTAACATGACGCCACTGTACAAACATTAACCACAAGTACACACTACACCTGACAAAACGTACAAACACTCACAGGTAATTAACACGTAACGCAATACACAAAGGAAACGGTATGACTATAAGTTTAGCGATAACAACTGTGAAGATTCTTCGTTTTGCGCTTTTCCGCAAACCTTAATTGCAAGATGTGTATGTTATTGAAGGGGGAGGGGTCTGCAAACACCTTAGGCCAGGGTAAGACCCTCCTGACGACGCCCTGCACCACTGGAGTAGGACAAGGTTCTCAGTCTTCCCCAGGCATCCGTTCTCTCAGGTTTCCTAGGAGAGGATCCTTTCCTGCTGATGTTCATATTCTCCAGGGTAGAGAGAGGCAGTGTAAAGGTGAAGTGTCTTGCCAAAGAACTGACCTGGCCGAGGCTCAGTTGAACACGCAGCTCTCCACCCAAAGTCAACTTTGCGAATCGCATAGGGAAAACGCTTGCACTGACCCTGAACAAAGGTAGTTGAACTTTTGGACATAAAATTATCAAAGTATTGGCAAAGAAAATATACAGAAAGTTGAAGAAAGAACCTTGGATTATAATGAATTGAACTTGGACGAAGAGAAATCCTCTCACTCACTTCATGTCTATGTAACTGGCAGTTGCTCGAGTGCTTGATCATCATCGTCATTATAATCACTATCATCACCATCATCACTTTTTCGTAGACACCTTTAATTAGATTATATCAAGAGAAAACCCGCTCATAAAGCACCATTAAACATAGCTGTGCGAGCACGCCCTCATCATTAACTCAGTTCGGCACGAGTATTTCTTCGCGAGTCACGGCTGGCTGCACCAGACACTTACAGATACTTACTCGCGAGTCACAGGTGGAGAACAGGAGCCCATGGGCTCCTGTGGAGAAGAATTACCTATGTTAGTCCCGGAGGAGGATCTGACTCAACAGCCAGTTTTTGTGTTGTTGAAGAACAACCATATGGACGAAGAGGAATTGACAACGGTAAGCTGTGAGGAGTCACTCGTAAAGGAGTTGTTTAATCTCGTACACAGATCCTACCGTGTAACTGAAATGTAGGATCTTTAGACCGTTACTACCACCTGGCCGTGAAAGGTCTGGGTACAAGACAAGGAGTTGTATTTAGTTGTCACTGGGTGGAATCTTGCTGTTCTGAAAGGGAAGGGTGGGGGGGCTGTCATGGTGGTATTCGATCTCAAATACCACAAACCAAAGATCTTCTTGCCAGCGTATGCGTAGGCGACTTCACCAACGAGTTTGGAAATTTAAGATGTGACCTGCCTCTGCGAAAAATTCTTTCAAAACGTTATAAAAGACTGTTACAATTTGTTATTTACAGGTTTAATCGAAAGCGCTGAACTCTGGGATCTCGCTGTCAACTGCCCTTTGGAACTTACAGTTTCTTAGCAGCTCTCGACATGCTCGAGATGACGTTGTCTACTCCACTGCAATCCTTGAGTGAATCACCATACGGACCGTAGAGGGATCGACTTTTTATTCTTCTGTTTATACGGTCGGCTTCTTCTTTTACTGTTCCCGTGTTGCTTATCTATCATAGCCTGTTCACCCTCAGTGAAGACGCACTGTACCAACCCCTTTCGATAACTTTGCCGTTTGTGACCCAACCCCGTCACGATGATTCACTTTAAGTCCCTTTTAAGGAAGGTAGAGTTTATTACTATACTATAGGGACAGTACAGTTTGATCACATTTTTCCTCCGTGCAAAGAAATAGCATAGGGTTTGTTTCCATCACTAATCTATTGAGTAAAACACTTACTTTCACCAAATGATTGATTATTCGATCCCGGCTCTGCTACTCAACAACACCTCATGACGGTCAAATAGTAACCGCACGTCGTTTATACTTAACTTTATTATTACAAAAAACATTTGTAAACCAAGTACACAACTGATGATGTCGCAATGAACAAACGATTATAGCCATCGCGGCGGTTTCATAAGAAAACAGTATGTGTAATTATTTTCTTTTAAAGCTTAATGAAAAACAAACGATTGTTGAGGTCGAGACGCGCAGTCTGGGAAATCGAGGAAATCTGCTGCGCGTATGTTGAAGAAATTGGAACAGAGAAGTCCTGTGCGTGAGTTTTGTTTCCTAATCACAAGAAATTGTTTTTAATGTTATTATCCATGAAATGATAAAATTTTCTAAAGCAATCACTCTGCTATCAGTAATAATGTTTGGGACTTTTAATGAACCTGAAATTAACTAGTCGAAAATTAACAAGTGAGATGGTAGCCTCCCGCCCACTCACGCCGGGATGTTGTCCTTCGTTTGTCGAGGTCTGATTGCATAATGAATTGAGCACTGCTCAAATTTTCCGCCGATAAAGCGCAAACAAAAGAACTACGAACCAAAAAGAAACGGAGGCAGGAAATCTGCAACACGATAGTGTTCTGCGATCTCACATTGAAAGACGAAAATGCCCTCCGTGCGAGTTCTTCGATCCTGCGAGAGAGCAAACCGCTTAGTAATTTGTTTTCGAAATATTCTCGCGCCGCAAAAAATTCCGGACATCCCTCTGGTAAAAAGATACTCTACTTTTGTTTCGAAAAGATCTAAGCAATTTTCTTTTTGGCAGCAGACAAGCACTTTATACTTCAATTAGCTTGTCAAATTAGATTGATCGATCGTTAATAGTTATCTCAGCTTTATTTTCTGTAGGACTATCGTTCCATGATGTTTGCCATCGAGCTTAAATTGTTGTGAAATATTTGTAACGTATGTTTCATTGTACACGAGCTTTCATGTTGAATCTCGTGCAAAGTGAGAGTTGTTTTAGATAATCGCATTCCACAAACAAATTCACGTCGTGTTAAGTGAGTGCTCTTCCGCCAATATCCGTCTTACTGGCACTTCATTTACGCAATCATCTTTCTCACTTGGTGCAAGCCAGCCGTGATTATAGAAAATCTTCAATGCAATCCATTAAGCTAATTCAAACCATTTTCACTATTATTGAGTCACGCACACAATATTCCAGACATCAACCACTCATTATGCTGGCATTCAGTCGCAAAGTTTGAAAAGGTCCTAAAAGGTTTGGTATGAGAATAAGCAACGGAAGAGGTTTATGTTCGCACAAATTAAGCTTATTCATAAAATTCTTGGAATGTTTTATTAATTCCCTAAAATCTTGTGCTGGTGTCTTGTTAGTGTCGTTGCTGTATTTCACAGGCAAATCTGACTTTTTCCGTCTATAGTTACAGACATCTGCGAGATGTACCCTTGCTCCGAGTTATAGTTTCCAGATTGTCCATTGCGAGTGTTGCGTTCTTAGTCGTTGTTAAAATTCAAGGACCAGAGGCCTCCCCTTCAAAGTACTCTATCCGCTAAAGATTATCTTTCCTAGCTTCCGACAAGACTCCAGGAATGAAGGAAAGTAGCCTTCCCATATGCTTGTCAAATTTGATATCAAAAGTCACTATCCGGGGGTTAATTAAAATATCTATAAAGCACGAATTTTATTTTGTTGATGCGCCCAGACTGATCGTTGATTAGCAGAGCAGAGTGTGGAATTGATCATGTGGACCGCACGACAGACCAGTAAACTGCTGAGAAGCCATAGTTAAAAAAATAAAAGGGAAAATGAAAATGAATTAATATAAAACAAACCACTAGAGAACCATTAAACGACAAGAGCTATTAAAATCTGAATGGAAACGAACAGAAAGAGGCTCCAGGACTGATTTTATAATTTTCAGCAGCCAAACGAAGGGTCATTAAAAAAATCACATTAACCCCGAAAAGTGGTGAAATGAAGAACAGTGCGCGCACAATTCGAAAAATGAGGTGTAGCGAGGTGCTATCACGAAGGCGTTTTCCACAAGAATGATGAATAAGATCACTTTTTCCCAGGACTAGACAATAAATCTTTTGGTATCTTGTTTCCCATAGGCCATCATCTCTTCGTAGTCATCAACGCACAGAATTCTGTTGTTAATTAAGTAGAATTTGTCCCCGACACAAAACCTCTGATGGCATCTTTGGCAAGAAAAACACTCCAAGTGATACACGTTTTCTCGCGCACGCATCACCATCTCGAAGGCAGGGATAGTTTTACAGCACACTGTACAAAAGCCTTTTGTTCCGAACAACCTAAGAGAGACAGTATAAACAGTAAGTAATCTTTTTATCCGAGCCAAGTGGATGAAAAATCATATCCGGAGAGACGAGAGGTCAACTCACTGACTGACTGCCGGAAAAAACGTTTTCAACTCATTAAAACATGACTGCAAACAAGGCACTTTAGACTGATCGCTGTGTTTTTCCGTTACTAAAAGCACTCTTAATGGAATATTTACTAATTGATGTACATTAGAGTTCACCGCTAAAAGGCTAGGCAATATTTTGAAGAGGACTGACAGCAATCGACGGAAGTATTGAAATGTGTGATCATATTTCTTGACAAGCACAAGTGAAGTATATTTAATAATGTGAAAAAGTTGCTCTTTAATGTGTCGAGCTAAAGAGAAAACGGAGTGTTTTTAATCTTAGAAAAACAAAGTAATCTGCTCAATCCCATTAAATACTTCTGAAGAAAAACTATTTCTTGTGATGAATTCCCAAATAGATGCGCCCATTTGAAGGCAATATTCTCTACTGGAACTTTCGTGTCAACTGTCATCATTTTAACCAAACAAATTGGAGACGAAATTTTAGTTTGATGGAAGAAGTCTGCAAACGAGACCATAGAATTCCAAATCGCTAAAATAAACAGTAAATTTTAAAAGAGCATTTGATGTAAATACTCACCTCAAATAATCCCTTCTACATAGGATTAAATTTGCTTTCGTGTACAATGTGGATCCCACTTCGCCAAGCCGACACTCGCAACAACCACATTTCAAGCAGTCTTCATGCCAGTAGCGATCGAGAGCTTTGAGGAGGAACCGATCATTAATGGGGCATCCACAACCTCCGCATAATCGCTTGTTTGGGGGCTCTTTGTGAAAATCAAATTTTTCTGTGGCTAGAGAAAAATGTTAATAGTAATCAGGGAAACAACTCGACATTTTATCGCTAAATAAGAATGTTCTTGGCTGAGAGAACGGAAAATAAAAAAATATCACGTAATTATTACCGAGAATACTTTGGCGAAAAATTTTCCAAAGAAAACTGCGCTTTCGCGTATTACTAATCGCTAACTGAATATGGTATAAAATTGAAGAAATTTTGAACCTTCAATCTTCTTAAACAATCGGGACGATTCATTAATTGAAGTACTATCCTTAGCGAGAAAGTAACTTAAACGCTGCCGCTGCAACTACAATTATGCTATTTTCAGCCAGCGCGAGGTTCCTCAACGCTAAAGCTAAGCGTAAATGTTTTGAATAAAATCGAGACAGGACACACCAGTTTGAAGCCTCACAGCCGTCTCTCTGGAGCCGATAGTGGGTAATACAGTAGCCATTGTTAGATATAAATCTTCCAAGACTTTCCGTTATTGGCGCTGTGTTTACCAGCGCTCTTTTACCAAGATCTGATAGCGTATGGCGGCAAACATATAGAGGTCGCCAAATCGACCAAATATTTTCAAACAGAACGAAGTGCTCCAATAAATCGCTTACCCATAACTCTTCTCAGAAATTCTCCGCTCGCTCGCGTAGACTGGGCTTAATTAGATATCTGCGTCAAATCCACCACGGCCTTGCACGCATTCACTTTGCTAAGCTGTTCTGAGGCCGGGAAAGTGTCTAATACGATATAACATGATCAGAGATCACTATATATTCTCATTTCCTGCCCATTAGCTCGACTGTCAATTATTATGTTGCGTTAATCGAAATCCAACTAGAACTGGGTCGCCCTCCTTTGTTCTTCGAATGACAAGTTCATTATTTCATTTAGTGTTTCCACGCTCCCAAATTCGTGTCAGTCGCCCGCGTAATGTATCATTTGATACCTCGAGGTTTCGATTTCGCCGTCATCCGGCGAAAATCTTTTTTGGGGCGTTTACGTATCGGCTAAAACCCCAGTTGATGATCTTCTCCGAACAATTCATCGCGTTCGCAGTTTAGCGACTTATTAAACGCAAATGACATTGTTAGTATAAGGAAAATTTACAATTGCTGTGTGCAAATATTTTGACGAGTCCATCTCCCTTTTATGCCGCTAATGTTTTTAGCAGACACTCTAATGACAAATAGTTTGCTTAAGGAGCTAATTAACAATCCTTGTCGGAGATGACTTGAACACAACAGCGACACTTCTGGTTTCTGTTAAGCGACAGTTTTGTCCGCGAAAATTTTGCTCACGAACCTTTTGCACGCCCTCCAAACAATGTTGTTGCAATGAATCTTTTTAAGACTGGGTTTTAAATATTTGGCAAAAATCTATTTCAGTGATGCTGAATTTAACAGATCATCATGACGGAGAAAATGGAATTCTTTTGTTTACAGTGCGAGAAATTAATCACCTGACAGTTAAATAGAAGTCAGTTGTGGAGTGAATCAAATATGCGCGGAATAATGCAGGGCTATACATATATATTCCTTTTAACATTTTCTGCTATAACACGATGCTGGGATTCTTGAAAGAAAATTAGCTTTGGCTTACATAAACATTACATGTAAAAAAAGGACGTAACAATTATGATATTACACGTGTCTTTTTATTACACCTTGCAGTTAATTAAAGATGAATTTTGAGCCCTTTTTATTAAAAACATAACGAGACGGATAACAACAAGTTAACCAGATGACGAGTTCGAAGAGAGGTGTCTATATTTTCCGTAAAAACAAAATATTTGTCTAAGGCGATTTAATAATTTTCGATTTGCCACTGTATTTGTTGTTTTTTTTTTGTTGTTGTTGTTTTTTTCAAACTTAGATTTCTGTGCTATCGAACGTAATGCTGGGCTGCATTAGTTGCACTTTACTCTGCTCTGTGATAGGTTCAGAAAATTCGCGCCTCTGTCTCAACTAATCAGATGCAAGATTACGAGCGCTCTCATTGGTAATTAGGTATCTCTAGCTGAGAGTAAGTAAACACAGTTGTGACATTTTTGAAAGGCGCGTGTTTTTGAGATAATATTTTACAAAAGCAATCGTAAAGGACTTAGGAGATCCGCGTTTTTATAGCCTTATCTAAACACTCGGGAGATTGGGAGAATTCGCAAAAGTTATGCGAAATCTCAACTGCGTTTCGGGTTTACTGATTAATGTCTCGAATTTACCAAATTGTTCCACTTGAACTTTCCTCGTCTTTAGATGAGGCCATGTTAAAAAGAAACTTGGTATCCCGACTTGGTTACTTCCAATTTTTCCTATTTTTGGAATTATAATTTTGCTCCTTGTTATACAGAAATCTAATTGCAGTGAGGTTGTCATGAAAAGACACAAAAAGTAAAAGGAAAAAGCCAACTAAGAATCATTTAACATAACTCATTGCCATATGGCTTTCGCATATAATTTTCCATTTTGCTTGAAATTTCTAAGCGACAACTGATACTTTCAACAAGTTTGAAATAACTTTGCAGTGGAAATTCTTTGAAAATTGTTCGGCTGCCGGGCAGAAGGCCAGAGGGTAGTTTTATATGCTAATGAATACCTATTATATATATATATTTTTTTTTTCTATGACAACGTAGCAAAAATGTCCGAGACAACAAAACGCAATACCGACGCAAAACAATAAGCTCCCATCACGACAACGTAGAGAATCAGAGATGACACAACTTCAGTTTATAAGTTGTCTGAACATCAGAAAGATCGGACATCGGCACGCATAATTAGTAGGCATAATTGATCACTTGTTGTGAAAGCTGCATCCTTGGTTTACATCCCGTTTTTGAGCTTGAAAGGGAATTCCAAGCTGCTAAATCATTCGTTCAGACGTTGTGTAAACCGGAGACAGATTAGCCCCCTCTTAAATTATAAGTCGCGGTCGGATGCCACAAATCGAAGAATCGTATGATTGCCATTTATTCTTCCCCTCCCCCCCCCAAATATACCGACTGCTTTCACAATACCATAAAAGAAAGGAAAGCAGTTGGAAATAGATCAAGCATTCGCTTTGTCTGGTGATCATAAACAATCGAAATAAACAACAGCAAAAGAGGCAATACGCATGTAAAAACATTTATATTTAGGGTGGAACCGTTTGATAGGGATACACGAGGCCTTACTTGAGCCAAAAAATTTGACCGTTTAGCTTTCACGCGTTGCCTCTACATTAAAACACCCAAGAGAAAACCAATAAAAGCACGGCAAAGGTTACAAGAGATTAATTCGATTTTAGTTTGTCTGCGCGGAGCAGATACATTTGAAACTGCGCTCTTTGCAGAGTTCCTTTAAGGGGGCAGTCAACCCTCTTCTGGGTGCCTTTAGGACCGGACTTTTGCGTCCATTTTAGAAGATTTCCATCTCCCACTACAATGTCGATTGAATTTTTTTTTAAAACTGCAAACTGGTATTATTGACAGCATTCTCCGCAAAGCATCACCTTGCGTCACAGGACAGTGTGATTCGAAGTAACGAAATTGTCAAAAAAGCGCGATATTGAGGAACTTTTTGTCACGCTTTGTCACGCTCTAGCCTCCTTGCGAATCCATATCTGACTCTGAATCCGACTGCTCGTTGTTCCCATCATCTGATTCATCAAAGAAGTCAGCGTTACTTGTTTCCAGTTCATGATCAGTAATGTCTGTTAGTTTTTTATCTTTCCTCTTGGTTTTTTGTTCTTCTCGGTTCCAGTCTTTCATCTTAGCGCCCATCATAAAGTCATCCCGTAGAATGCTCCATGATGACGCATCGTCGGTATCAGTGAGCTCGATTCCCTGAAACACCAAAGTAAAAGAGGATCGGTATATTTTCAAATACACATTGTCCGGAATTGAAGAGACAAAAAAAAGTGGACTTTGAAGTCCCATGTGTATGTGTTTTCAAACGTTTTTCGTTGCTTACGCTTCACTTCAAAGCAGATTTGACCTAACATTTAACCCTTTAACCTCTAAAGACTGACAAGCATCTAATTTCTCCTTAAAATATCAGCCCTGAACGAAACATTAAGGTAACAAGAATAAAGGAGATGATCACCAAATAAAAAAAGCTCTTGATTATTAAACGAATTCTCCTTGTCAGCGCCTGAGGAAATGTATGGGAAGCAGTGAGGAGAATATGCTAACTGATGTTAAGGTGTAAAAGGTCAAGGAAATCAGACAGCAGTTACCGTTCCTTTTTGTTCTTTATTCTCTTGAGTCTGTCCCTTGTCAGAGCTGCTCTTCAGCATGTCAAGAAAGGTAGATTTGGACATCGTTTCCACTAGTATATATAAAAAAATTGGGCCCAAAAAAAAAAAAACCTTAGCATAAGTTATTATGATACAGCACCTTTGAAGAAAGGAGGCATAGCAAACAAGCTGTACCCTCCTAAGAATAAAATCATCAATTTACTAATATATTATGCAAAAACAAATTCGAAAATAGAAAAAAGCTTAGCATAAGTTTTTATGATGCAGTACTCTAGAAGAAAAGAGGCATACCAAACAAGCTTTACCCTCTTGACAATAAAATCATCTGCACTCTACATGACAATTATTCTCGTTTGCTGAGGCTCTCACCTTTTGTTTTCTTGGCTTCAGTAGGAGCAGAGTTTAGTTTACTGTTTATCTCCTTCTGATGTTTACTGACAGCATTGAACAGTTTGACCACTAAAATGAAATGGAGATCAAAAGTTCAAGAGAGATTCTTATGAGTCCTCAAAAACCTGTTTTAAAATGAATCTGACTTCAAAACTATTTTAAACTGAGTTTGCTGTGTTTTTTTCCTGCAAATTGCACTCTGCTGGAAAACTTGTATAACATATTATTACTGTTGTTTGGTTTTTGACAGGTTGTTGAAAAGAAAGAGGGAAATTCAGACCACTTTACATAATCCCAAATGTTACAAAACTCATAAGTGTGATCTCAGTACCTGAAATATTTCTAATATGTAACTGTGAAAGACAAACAAACCACTGAGTTTGAGCAGACAAACAGTTGGAAGGAATTTAAAAATACAAAAACAAAAACAAGCTGCATATAGCATTTCTAAAAGCAGGGAGAGATAACTACAAATAAAATTATGAAACCAGAATAAATACCAATAAAATCAGGCAACAATAACAGTTACCTCCTCTTGTTGCAATTCTCATTAAGTTCTTTTCATAATCCAGTGTTGAGGCATCAGGTTTAATATGGTCTTTCTCAAGCATAGCATGCCGTTCTTGACTTTTCAGCTTATTAGACAAAAACAACAGCAACATCAGCGAAATAGTGAGTCAAAGAGAATTCAGCCCTGATGGATGTAAGACGCAGTAGAAGATGACATTTTTAAAGCTCTTCTATACTTGGAAAATTTGTGACCTTTCAAAAAACTACTCTTTACCTTCTTGGAGGCTAATTGTTCATTTCTCTCTGCTTTTCTCTTTTCAATTTTCTTGTATTTCAATAACACAGGTGGCTACAAATGTAAAGGAAAGATAGAATAAATAAAAAATTTGACAGTTATATCTTGAAAGTCTTTTAGTCCATGTTATTCCCAATGAAAAAAGATCTGAAACAGTATCCTTCAAGTATATCCTTTGAGAATACATAATATAAAACTGTGTAATAACAATTAATTTCCATCAATGTGTTTCACAAGGATACTCATATCCCATCAGACTATCAGTATTTCCCTTAGTTACTCATAATGAGTCCCCTAGTTAAAGATGCAGACTGGTGTGTTATGCTTAAAAAAGAAAAGAAAAATTGTCATTTTAGGTTGTTCAAATTTAAAGCATAAACAGTAAGTCGCTTTGATTATAACTGACAGTGACATTGTTTCTTGGGGTTATAGTTTAAAGCTTGGGAGCAACTTCAGAATACCCCGCAACTCATTTACATGTCATTGAATAAGAATAGCGTCCATTGTGTTATGCCTCGATCTTCAAAGCCTCCCGACAGGCGGACCAAAGTTGCGGGGTATTCTGAAGTTTAGCCAAAGCTTGTTAGTTGTTGTATAATTCACACAATGTGAGCAGAATGGTGACTGAAGTTTTTCTTTTGTTAGATACCTTGTCTTCCGGTAGCTGATTTTCAAGAATTCTTGCCATAGCATCTGCCCATCCTTGATTTACTTCTTCCTCACTACCTCCACCTAAATTTGGAAATATTTTTTCAATTTCATTTAATCAATCTAATATTATGTTTTCCGCACATTTATTTAATTCAAAGTTTTAGCGGAGCAGAATATACTACGATAATTGAAATGAGGGTTTTTAATGGCTTAAAAATATCGTTTTAGAGGTAGTTTATCTCGTTAACCTTTTTCGATAAATTGTTCTTTGTTGGGGTCCAACAACCGTGTAGGTGATAAAAATTAATTTCCTCAGCATAATCTTTTGAAGCTGGGCTGTTACTCCGTACATTCAGGTTTTCAAGTTGTGATTGAATGTTGGGAATTTGAAACGGAACATGAGGACTACCCATGTAGATCAGACTCAAAATCTTAGCTCACTTTCGCTGTTATTTACCAAACCGAACATGCAAATAATACGCGCACACACGTGGGGACACGGCATGTTTATCCTCATCATCATACTGAGTAAAAACTTTGAATCCTTTATGCTTTGCACACGTGATAAAAATAAGTGGAAATTGATAAAAAATCATCTTTCAAAGACTGACCTTCGCATTCCATTTTTGGCTGAGCGTCTGAAATTTGTTCCTCGAAGTCTTCGCTTTCATCCGCCATCTTAGATTAGAATGGGTGAACTGACCAAAACATGCAGGCTCAACTAATTGCTGAGCAGCCAGGTCTTGACTAACGTGCACAACAAGACGAGAGGTATCTATTAGGTACTTCGAGATTATTTGTCAATCTTTTGATTACAATTTTCGTGCGAGGGTGCCCTCGTGTCTAATAGACCTCCATTAAGCTAATTGATAGCTTTTGAGCGGTCATTTTCCGTCACGTATCTTACTTCCTCGTTTGAGTCATGACGGAAATGGACTTCTCTACAAACAGTTTTGTGAGATCATGTTCCTCAGACTGTGAACTAAAACCTGTCGATGTGGTAAGTGATAAAAACAGATTTGAAAAAGCAAGATCTGCCTCTGCTTTTGAGAGTTTTACATGCAGATGTTCAGTTTGTGATCGGAAGTTGTCTTGGGCCAGTTTGGTTGCATTTTTTGGGGAGTTTTTACAGACATTTTCTGATTCAGTGATGACCTCACTTATTAAGATTTTTTTGATGGATCAATTTATCAAATAGATTCCTCGTAGCCGTGTGTCTGTTCATTAACTCCTTACACCCAAATATCAGTTAGCATATTCTCCATAATGTTCACCATACATTTCCTAAGTTGCTGTCAAGATGAATTTGTTCAACAATCAAGAGCTTCTTTATTAAGTGATCAATTCCTTTATTCTTGTGACTTTGATTTTTGATTCAAGGGTGATACACCCTGGAGAAATCAGTTATCAATCACTCTCAGGGGTTAAATGGTTAATGGATCACAGACGACGTCAAAAAGTGGCAAGAACAAAAAAGTGGTTCAGCCCAGTTTGTCACTGATGTTCTTACCACATTTGGATGCCTTCTGCAATGTATTACTGTCCAGACCCATGGCAGTATGGAATCTACTTGTTTTATATGATAACACAAAAGTTTTTTAATGGTGAGGTCATCCATGTAATTGTCCTCTACTGGTCATAAATAACAACCAATCAAAATGCACGTAGGATTCAGCTTATCATATAAATAACCATGTTCATTGCAATCAGTATGCCAAGAATTATGAAAATACAAGAAAGTGAAAAAAAGAATAATAAGGAAAGACCCTATTATGAACATGAATCAAGTTTACTTATGAACTTTGTTGAGAATGCAGAGTTTGATCTATTTCATGTTTTTTTTTGACAGTTCAAACAGGCAGTCCCCAAACTCCTCCCATTTTTCCAGACATTTTGCATCTACTTCATACTATGGCTGCCAGAAGCCAAGAATCCTTCAATACTGGCAGCTGCAATAAAGATCTTACCCATCATAAGCCTGTGTGGCTTTGTCATCATGCAAGGAGTGAACCCCCATGACTATAACAGCCGCATACTTCTTGGCCTTATCTTCTCCATGTTTGGTGACATATTTATAGTTTGGGAACATAGCCATTTCCATTTTGGTGTCATCTCTTTTGGTATCGCCCATCTGTGCTATGCTTCAGCATTCGGTTTCACACCAGTTAATCCATTAGTTCTAGTGGGCCTTTTGATCCTAACTCTAAACACTTATTCCTTGTACTTTCCAAACCTCAATGGCTCCCTCATGGGAACAGTTGCTGGATACATGCTGATGATATCTGTTATGATCTGGAGAGCAATCACTGGTCTTCAGGTTTCTTTACGTAGCCAAGCTTGGCAGTGGACCAAACTTTGTGCATGTGTTGGAGCTATTTCATTTGGTTTTTCAGATTTTATTCTTGGTGTAAACAAGTGGTATTTTCCAATCCCTTATGCTCGAGTTATTGTTATGGTGACATACTATAGTGCCCAGTTAGGCTTTGCTCTGTCTTGTTTCACCACTAGTCAGGTTAAATTGCATAAAACCAAGGAATAGGTTTTAAGCTTAGGTTTAAAGTAGATTTTTAGCTTAGCTAAAAAATATACACTTAGTGTATGATCCCTAGGGAAACAGTTAGTTTTGTCTTCCCAAGAGTCCTGTTCAATGTTTCCTTGACTTTATCTTGGGAAAAATCAGGACTCTTGGGAAAACAAAAGTAATTAGTTTCCCAAGGGACCATACTTTAAGTTCTTTGTTATATATTTAGACTTTCCCTTAAACAGTCATGTGCAGTTGTATTCGGTGAGTGGGCAACAACTGCACAATTGTATCCCAGTTGGGATACATTTGAATCTGACTAGGGGCATGTGACCAAGAATCAACCAATCACAGTGCTTGCTTTGTTGAGTGAAAGTCTAGGTATATAACAAGTGGTATTTTTCTAATCCCTTATGCTTGAGCTATTTATTTGTTTTACCACTAGCCAGGTTAAATTACATAAAACCAAGGAGTAGGTTTTTACCCTAGGTTCCTTTGAAGGAAGTTTATGCAGTCATGAAAGAAAGTCAAGGTAGAGTTGAACCCAGCTTACTAAAACTTGGTTTACTCAACTCCCCTGTAACTCAAGCAAGATCCAATTTCCTTTGACCTAATTTTTTATAGTCATTTACAATCCGTTAACTCAAAAACCCCAATAGCTCAATTCATTTTTCATTTTCCTGGGGGGTTTGAGTTAGCAGGGTTCTTCTGTATTTTAAAAGAAAAAAAGAGCTTTGTCTCCATAGTTTGGGGTTTTTTCTAAGGCTAGTCAGGGTGTGAAATAATTTTTTTTTTCTGATAGCCACTTGGCTCCTAAATTCTTCAAAGTGGTAGCCAATTCAAAAAAAAGTTGGTCGCCATTTTCAAAGACAAACTAAACCTTTTTTTACACTGTCAGCGTTCTAGATATATAGACCCTCCAAAATTAAGTTAGGAAGAAGATCTTTAACGTGCTACAAAGTGGACACTAGGATGGGAGATATACAACTTTCAAGCTCACCTAAATCCAATATGGCGTCTAGTTATCAATTGAGATGCATGTGCTGCACTGTGGAAACAAACTTAACGAGGAAGTTTGCTGCAGATTTATCTTTGCAAATCATTTTCATTCAATCTATCTCTTTCGTAAGGTTATGATGAAACATTCTAGTCACCAATTTGGTGACTAAGTTTTAGGATTTGGTCACTAAAGTGAAAAATTTAGTTGCATTGGCACCTGTATTAGGCACAATTTCATGCCCTGCTAGTTCGTTTTTTTTTTTGGTTGATAGAAAGAAACTATTTCAATTAATATAAATTTGCAAGAGTAAACAAAAACCTGAGAGGCAAGAAAAAACTGAACAGGACAAAGAAGGCTCACTGACTGTGTAAATATTAACATAGATTCCAATTAACTATCTTGATGCAAATTTTTCATGCCTACCATAATTTTTTTTATAATTCATCACACACTACAGAGGAAAATTTTGTTCAAACTGACATTTTTAGTTTCAGCTCTTTTCGTCAGTGCCATGCTCTTACATGGGGCTATTATAATTTAAACATACAGTCAACTCTTTCCTTGCAGCACATTTCAGTTATGGACAGTTGCTAAGTAATGTTAATTCCCTACAGTTATTTTTGGTAGAATTGGAAATTTTATCAAGACCTCCAATGATCCAGGCTAGAAGAAGCTCTTTTTCAACTTTCTTTTTGCCTTTAGGTAAGACACTGTAGACACATAACCACAACAGAGACATGACTTTTTATTATGTACCGTAGGACTTGCAAATGCATGGAGAAGTGGAAAAGAAACTCCCCAAATAAGAAAGAAAACATCACAAATAGACAATTTTTCGTCCTGTAAACATTACTTGATGTAAAAAGATATTCAATTTTCCATTTAAATTACAAAGAAAGAAAAACTACAACTTTAGCCACGCCTGGTAGCAAACGGTTGATCATGTTTTATGGAGGGTAAGCCTGAAACAATCCTCTTTCCGCGAAGTCCGTTGCACGAGTTCAACCAAATAGTTCCATTATTTCTTTTCACTCTTCCTTTCCCCTTCCCTCCTCTCCCCCCATGCTGCGCCTCTTTCATTTCGTGAAGCGAAATAATATCTGATTTCCGCCCACCCCCATCGCCCATAGCCATAATATACAAAACATACTAAAGCAAACCCGTAGTTACAAAAGCAATCTATTGTTTTTGCTACTATTTTCTTTATCTAAGAACTGAATGCATAATGTAGTGTGGGGTTGTGCGAAAATCTTGCCCGAGATAATTCCGGAATATATGATGAACGCTTTTAAGAAAAGGTAACTTTCGATCTGGGTTATTTTTGTCAAATTTGTAACGTCAAAAGGTCAAGAGGTGAACTGAAGTAAATTCGTATCTGAAACTTCACCTCACTAAGATACCTTTTCTTTACTGCGGAGAATTGCATTTTCGCGGTTTCTTTTGTCAGAAAGGTGGCAACTCGGTGTGACGCATAAGTTGTGGCAGAAGTAACCAGGTTTCAAGGTTAATTTTTCCGAACGGCTTTTTGATAAAATAATTTGCAAACCCAGTTCTATGTACATCCTGTTTTGCTCTATTAAAAAAAATTGCATATAAAAACATGTCATGGAGTAGTTAAAAGTCACTCCGCTGGACTCAATAGATGTATAAATCGCGGAGTAATTGCATTGTTTGACGTAACTCATACGCATTGGCAAGATCAATGACGTCTGAATTTATTACGTTCCTTTTGTTCGTGTTCTATATTACATACATACATACATTCTTTATTTGATAAGTAGGTTGTGTGAAAGGCAGCCAAAGGGCTGATGTGGACCTACTATACTAAATATTAGGAATTACATATATATAAAAATTGCAATAATAACTTAGAACTACTATATACAAATAAAATGGTGTTCACTAAGACTAACATATAAATCTAAAAGTAAATGAAATGGTCCTTTCTGTTGGCAACTACTGTTGCCTCTTTCTCAAATGAAAAATTGTCAATAGTCTTAACATGTTTACGTAAGATTTGTTTAAAAGAATAAAAACTTTCAGGTACTTTAACTAATCTATTTACAAAATTCCAAATAACAGGACCTCTGTATCGTAGGGAGTTCCTGCCGGTCTCTGATCTAAATCTAATGACATTAAATTGGTTAGGAACACGAGAAGATCTAGAAGAAACTCTTTTAGAAAACAGTTCACATATCGACTGGGTCGTTGTTCCAAAATATACTTTGTGCAAGAGGAACAGTACAGATTTTTTATAGAAGTAAGAGATGGGCAGCCAGTCGGATTTCATGAGACATGTGTCATCTGCCATCGTTGAGTCGAGGTTATTCACAATACGAGCTGCTCTTGCATGAATATGGTTTAGAGAGTTCAGTGCGGAAGGAGAACAATTTCCCATACCGAAATTCCATACGTTACACTGGGGATAATTGTTTTAAAGTATATTTCCTCGAGAACCTTCTTCGGAAGGATTCTCATTCTCTTCAACGCTCCAACCTTCTGCGTAAAAGATTTCTTCACTGAGTCAATGTGCACAGACCATGTCAGCTTATTGTCAATTTTAACTCCAAGACAAGTGGTGTAATTAACCAGGTCGATATGGCCAGTGTTAAAGTGGAGGGGAGGTATAGGCCCAACAAAAGAGGTTTTACTTAGTATCATTGCTTCAGTTTTAATTGGGTGGATGGTTAGCTGATTCTTAATGCTCCACAGGAGAACTTGCTCCAATGATTTATTTAGTGACAACATAACCTGGTCAACATTTGGTCCAATACAGTAAACTGTAGTGTCATCTGCATACATGTATAGATCTCCCGAGTCGATGTGGTCAGGAGATCATTAACATATATGGTGTAGAGCCGGGGCCAAGAAGCGAGCCTTGAGGGACTCCATATCGCACATAGTCAGTGACCGACCTGCAATTATTAACTTCAGCAAATTGACATCTATCAGTAAGATAGCTCATTAGCCATTCATGAAGAGATCCTGATATTCCAATGGCGTGTAGTTTATGCGATAAAATATAATGGGGACAGTGTCAAAAGCTTTCTGGAAGTCAATAAAGACTGCTCCAACTGTCAGACCATTGTCAATTGTTGTCTTCCATCCTTCAGTCATAGAGGTAAGCATTCCTTCAGTCGATAGTCCTTTGCTAAACCCCCACTGTTTACAGCTTTTTATGCCACAGCTGTTCAGATGGGTATCAATTATGTTGCAGATCTGGCTTTCGAGCAGCTTGCTGGGGATATTTAAAAGTGATATTGGCCTATAATTTGAAACATCTGCTGGGTTTCCTTTTTTAAAGATTGCATTAACTTTTGCAATCTTCCATGTGTTAGGGAAGCTGGACTGAGCCATGCTGCTCTTGAAAACAGTTACAATGCCCTCTAGGGCGGATGTTCCTGCAATAGCTAAGCTACGAGAAGAGATGCCATCAGGACCAGATGCTTTGTTAATTTTAATTGTCTTGATATCAGTTTTGAGTTTGTTGATGTTGACCTCCAAGACCTGCACAGTGGGGGTAACTCTGTACATGAATTGATGGGGATCATCAACTTCGGGGAATTTTTCAGCTAGTTCCTTGCCAATATTTATGAAGTAAGAGTTAATCAGTTCAGCTTTCTCGTAGTCATTTGTGATTTCCTTATTTTCAGCATCTCTGAGGGGGCCAATATGTTTATTCTTAGGTTTTCCAGTGGCCTCGTTCACAGTTTTCCAGAAAGATTTTGAGTCCTTGGTCTCTGTAAATTTCTTTTTCCAATATTGAGCTTCAGCACGTCGTAGCATCTTAGATACTTTGTTCCTAGAGGATTTGTAATCAACCCAGAGTTTATTAGTAGCGGGTGTGCCATCACAGGCTTTCAGAAGTTTATATCTCTTATTCATCTCTTTCCGGATCTCACTGTTCATCCAAGGTAGTGAATTTTTTCTAACCTTGGCTTTACGTAAGGGAATGTGACTGCTTGCAATAATATTATACATGCAATTCCAAGCCCAAGTGATGTCATCCAAGTCCTCAAAGGTGGAACAGACCCACCAGGGAGCACTTTCCAGGTCATGTTTGAAGTCTTTCGGGTTTTCCAACACGTTCTTGAAGTTGTGGACATATTTAATAAAAGGCTTTGGATTCCTGATCTTCAGCTTGTAGATAACGTAGATGAATTTGTGATCAGCTATGCAATACTCAATCACATCAGACTTTGAGACCTTTGAGGTATTGATAGTCAAAATCAGATCGATCAAAGTGTTAGAATGTGCTGAGGTTCTTGTGGGTGCTTTTATGATGTTACAAAAGTTATAAGATTGTAAGATGCGTTTGAATTTCGCACCATTTCCATTAGTAGCAAGTCTTTTTATTAAGTCTCGCGCAGACAGAAGGACTTCTTAGGTAGTTGACGTTTTCAGCACACACAAAAAGTAAGACACTTGCGATGACCAAGAACGAAAGAAACTGCTCTGTTCGAGCAGACTCGTATGTATTACAGTACAAACTGGATAAGTCTGAAGTGGTAAGTTAAAAACGTTTTTTTCGTGGGATGGTTTCGAACAAAAACAAAGCAGTTCGCGAAATCGCGATCGATATTGCACATGGCTCTACTTTGTTTACAAATTTGCTTCTGTGACGGAATCATTTCGCCTCATTCGGTACTTATCTCTGGAGAAAAAAGCAACCTATTTTAATCTTCATTTAACTTTGTCGATTTGATATCTTGATTAGTGCTTGTGTTCATCTCTTTCGAAGTCTTACTTTGACCAGTTTTTCCGCAAACAAATCAGTGGCAAATATCACGAGAGCATTATTCGCTCTCACCTGGTCATTTTTTGACTGAATTCAGCGCAGTCGCTTGGATTCTGTTGTTCAGGAATACGTCTTTTATCAGCTTAACACTGAGTCAATACTTTCTTAAAAAATGCCCCACTGCAGAAGTATGTAAAAGTGAGTGTTATTAAATTTGAATCGAGTAATTTTCGTTCTCATACTGGTATGCGATAACCCCAAACTCCTCTATAAAATCCGAAAGCGAGTTCGTTTAAATCTTGTTACGAAATCTTCGTATTTAATCTAATCATTATTAAAGAATGTAGTTACTACTGAATGGTTCCTACTAGATGAATTTAGATACATTTAAGAAATCTGGACCTTTCGAATTCATTAACGTTTCATTTCTTTTTCAAATCTTTTAACTTTCGAGAGTGTTTTATGAAAATTAATTTTTGTGTCGTTTGTTTTTTCAAAGTACTGGACTTACGCAATAGGGAAGTTTGATTTTGGAAGTGTGGTTTTTACAAGTTCCTCTCGTACGACATGTACACTGCATGGAAAAATTAACCAATAGAGCGTGGGCAAGTAGGGGGTTTGGCAGGGGCGTACGTGCTGTTATGTCACCGCAATGTCACTCAAGGTTATCAAGAATGCAATGTCATTGCGTCATCCATTTATAGGAATATTTGAGCCTTGAAGTAAAATGATTCAAACAATTTCTATGGGGCACATCATGCTTCTGCTTTATTTTTTTTCAGTAGGGTTTAAAATGAATGTTTTGTTTGGAGAGAGATTTGAGCGCTTGATATTAGACTTAACTAGGTGTTAAAGATCACAATATTGTTATCAAAATTGTCGGGCACTGTGGCGTTAGTTCAGACCGTTTCATTGTCACTTTTTCCAGCTTTTTATTCTCAATTCCTTTCAAACTGATAATAAGAGTGCTACAGTGTATTCTCTTGGGCATATATATCTTTTGTGCCCTTCTTAGTGTCATTTTAACCTTAGCTTTGGGCTCACACTGAAATGAATCAGAGTTGGGGTCAAAAGTGATCTATGTCCATGAACATAAACTCTAATGTTTTAATGCCGTATATCATGGGGGGGGGGGTGAGGTCTTGAACATGGAAAGAAGGTGAAGCCAGTATTGTCTTTTTTCTTTTCTTTCAGTTTTTATTTGTTATTTTGTTTTCTTATTTTGTTTTCAAAGTGAGAGGGTTATGCTCTTTGTAAAGCAAGTGAGATACAATCCCCTACCCTAAGAAATTTATGATGCTAAAATTTGCACTACATGTACAAAATTAATTTTGGTTGTCTAATAAAAAGAGCCTTATCTCTCATAATAATCAGTGTGAATTTTGTCTTCTTGTAGGTTAAAAGTGTTGGACCCAAACTTGTGCCATTCCTAAAAACTGTTTGTGTTTATTTTGTGGCATGGCTTCCAGAGACAGAGAAACCAACTGTATTTGCTGCTCTCCTTAAAATTCTACCAATCCTGAGTCTATGTGTATTTGTCAGCCTGCAAGGAATAAGTCTTGAGAAAGAACACAACTACAGCAGGAGAATTCTTCTGGGTCTCATCTTTTCAGCCATTGGTGACGTTTTTCTTGTATGGAAAAACACTTACTTCATTCATGGCATGGCTGCTTTTGGTATTGCTCACATTTTGTATATTAGAGCCTTTGGGTTCCAACCAAGAAACCCCCTTGTAGGATCAATCTGTGTCTTACCAGGTTTGTTGGTGTACTACATATTGTACCCTGGACTCGAAGCAAAGCTGGTTATTCCTGTCCTTATATATGGCTTTGTGGTCACTGGTATGATGTGGCAGGCCATAACTGGTGTCCAAAACCAAATCGAAGAGAATGGATTATGTCGCTGGACAAAGATGAGTGCATGCTTTGGTGCTGCCTTGTTTTACCTCTCAGACAATATCATCGCCATCAACAAGTTTTGTTTTCCTGTTCCTGGGGCAAGAGCCTTGATCATGACAACATATTATGCTGGTCAGATGGGCATTGCTGTGTCAGCTTTCAACCTTGAGGAGGAGTACAACCTTAGAATGAAAAGCTGTAAAAAATTTGAGTAGTTTCATTGCGAAAATGCAATTTTTTCTCTTGGTATTGTAAGAATAAATCCTCTGAGTAAGGAGCATGAGGTTTTGATTCATATTACTTTAAAACACAAGTAGTTCTGAAAATATGTATTTTTTTCACCATGATACATTTTCATCTAAAATTCCCAGATTGTAAAATTTGTCACGTTTAAAATACCAAATCATTAACACTGAAAATATAGTTTTTTTGGTAATAATTGTTGAAAGCAAGTGAAACTATGAGCCTTTTTGACAAGACAATTGGAAAATATTTTAAGACTAGTCTCCAGCAAGCTATGATGTTTTTTTTTTTTTATCATTGGGGAGGGGTGATAATTTATTTTTCAAGAGTTGCAAATACAGGGAATAGTGGTATTTATAACCTTATTTATGGCCAAAACTGGACAAATTTGACATTGGTAGTGACAAGCAAATGCAAGATCCTGCATCTTGGCTTGTCAATTGAACCATTTCAAAATATTCTTATACTATTCAATTACTCTTAAATTATTTAAAGAATGTTATAGACAAGGTATTCCTACTTTAATGAGCTAAGCTCACTGTAAATATCTCAGAGTATTGCTTTACGCATGTAAATTAATAAGGGAAACTATTTGAGATCTGAAAATAAATTTGATTCCTAAATTCACTGTGCTCCTTTACTTGATTCCATCATTATCATAACAATAGACTCTACAATAGACTCTAATTGTAATTAGTTGATCGATTCTAAGCTTCAACCCCCCCCTGCTAAGCAAAAATTGTGTTCTAATGTAATTTGGTGTTAACAACTGGGTTGAAAATGTAAATTGGCCACCGTGAAAAGTTAAAAGGCTGACATTTTGAGCGTTAGCCCTTTCACTATTTACGGCGGCCAATTTACATTTTTACCTTCATTCTTTTGAGTTCAAATGACCTACTTGACTGACTAATTTGATGGTCAATTTTTTTTGGAAAAGGTGAGATCAGCGACTGTGACTTTCTGCTTACATAGGTAAACTCTTTTCTTTGAAACACCTCCATACTAAAAGATAAAACGTGTATTCCACTGGAGAGACTTGAGAGGTCTGGTTAAAATTCACCACCCCACCAAGGCAAGGTTCAAATTTTTACTAGCCCCTGGGAGCGACAACAGTCTAATGCCTCTGTGTTGCGAGGGGAGGGATGTTGAAGGTTAAAATGGATCGGTGCATAATTTGTAACACACGTATGGATAAGCATTAGACACACTTACAGGGAAAGGCAATTTCAAGAGACTGTAGGAGGCAGATGACTGTGCAGTGTATTTAGCTGCACAATTTATGGGTAACATATAAGTTATGTCACCTCTGAAAGAAGCATCCTGAGGTGCAGGTATTTTATTGCAGTGAGTTAACATTACAAACTCGCGATCGTCTATTCGACCGACCCTGCTTGATTTAGAATTAAGAGTAGAGGGCTTGGGTATGAGGTGGGGAAAAGCCTCAACCCCTCCCCTCTTCTTCCTTTTGACCGTCGCTCACCTTCTTTGTGCAAATTTCTTCCTCTCGCTCCGAATAAAGATGAGGTAATAATTGTATGATTTCTCGGGACACACTTTTGAAGCTTTCGGTTCAGTATTTGAAACACATTGGTCTGAGCTCCAAAGGTACTGATGCATTGATTTCTTGTTTCTTTCCCTTGTTCTGGTTCAAATAGTTTTGTGTCATCGTAGGGGTAAAAGATGAACAGGCATATTTGCAAGAGGATAAACTCGTTTATTAACGGCTGCCTCTACAGAAATATGTACACAGTCTATCAGTACGTTATTAAACATCCGAGGACTTAGAACTAACGAGAATACTATTATTATTTTGATAAACACGACAGTCATGGGAGTGTTATGACCTCGATTACGCCCCGACAACCATCTGCATAAAGTAAATAATGTCCCTTTTTAGAACCGTTTAGTAAGGGTTTTAATAACTCTTTCCACAAGCTGCTGCCGATGGTGTAACTGGCGGCTGTGCCGTAGAGTGAAACCCAAACAAAGAGCCTGCTCGCAGACCAAACAGACGGGTGTTTACCTGGTAAAAGATCATAAAGGCGGCGGTAGACCGCTAATAACCGGCTTTATTTGAAAACCTTGCGTTTTAGAGTACAAGTAATACAAAAGTGCACGAAAAAATCGCCTAATTTTAATCAACCAAAATGGTCGAAAATTCCGTATTTCTGGTGAACAATGACGCAACAGCTTTATCTTAAAATATTTTCAGAAACACTAGCTGTCAACATGATTTTCATATAGGAAAAAACGTACTTTTCGAATGTAGTTGGATATTAAGTATGAGCAGTGACAATTTTTGAGAAAACTTTTAGGGTGGGTAAGAAGGGGAAAATATTATGCTCTCTACATAACAAAATTATCTCAGTGTTGTTACAGTCTTCAAGGAGCTAAGTATTAACATTTTGAATCGCTCTTTTTGCCGCATGCAAAATAATCTCCAATTTGGAGGCTACAGAGAGATTACAAAAAAGAAAACGACAAAAAAGAGATCACCTTTCAAAAGAGATCATCAAAAATAAACTGAAAAAGGTCAACAATGACAAAATGATAAGTGAACAGATCGTTGTGTTCTGTTCTAAAAAAATTTTTGAACAAGATTTATAAGCCGAGCTGTAGCTCCTTCAAGGGAAAAATCTGCGATCGTGCCCATCGTTTTTATGGACGCTCTCGGTTTTGGGCCGAACTTTTAGGGAGAAGCGAGGACAGAAAATGGATAAAGCAAGGTGAAAAACTGCTTCCTGTTGTACAGTTCTATGTATTTTCTTCAGTTTCCACGTCTCCCATAAAAAAAATCATTTTCCACTATAAACGCTGCGATGGTCTGCATGGTGTGATTCTTGGACTAATCATCATCGGATTCAGACCTGTGCAAATGCAAAGATTCGCACCGTTAATACTGCGTTTTCTCAAACTCTAGCAACATTGGAATAAAGAGGTTAAGTTTCTAAAGAAACTGTGGTGCTTCGTCATGAGGGAGCATAACAAGATAATAATATCATAACGATGATATCAACTCAGTTGATAAAACCAAATGATCTTGCCTCGCAACAATGTTTTGGTTACATTCTCTCGAAAGGATCTTAGAAGCAACATCCGGCTCGCCACCCACTGCAACCCCCCCCCCACCCTGAATAGGTTTCCCTCAAGCGGCCTTACAACTTTACTTCAGTATTGACTGAAGTTGAGGAGGGGAGTGTGAAAAGTTCCACAAGAACCTCTCAATTGAAGTTACATGGTTGCGAACATTTTTTCATTCGGTGTCCATAATAGATTGAAACATATCATTTAGCTTATCAAGAATTCCCTGTAGCTCTGTGGTAAAACACCCGAACAGTATTCGAGAAAACCTTGCTTTGACAAATAAATTTAGTATCCTCGTCAACCAATGCACTTACGAGCTGAGAAGTTTCCTGCTTTTCTTCTTGGGTGTCTCTTGACTTGTGGATGGTCTTTCTTCGCCTTCAGCTTTATCTTCAATGTCTTCAATAAAATCATCAAGGTCGTCTTCATCCTCGTCACTTGACAGTATTCGTTTCTTCCCAGAAGAAGGTTTGTCTGCTTCGCTACTTTCCCCTTTCTCTTCCTCGTCCACATTGTCTTCCTTATCACTTTTATCGCTTTTCTCTGCATCAGATTTGTCGCTTAGGTCTTCATCACTTCTCCTGAAAAAAAAAGCAGAATTGGTAAATTCTGCTGATTCAGGTTTCATTTGGTTCAATCTTATTTTATGACATGCCTTGCCTTTTTCCAAGCATTTTTAACCTTCACTAATGTTTCTAGAAGTCATTAGACTGAGCTAAGGTTATTCATTCATGCAATGTATTGATTGTATTTCTTGAATGTGCCATTTTGACAACACTTCCAATGAAATACATACAATAGTATTGATAGAGGGGCTTGTAGTTCAGTAGACCTCGTAAACCAGTTGATTGCTGAAACAATGCTCACTGATATAGTGACACATTATACAAACATGTGCATCTCCAATCACACTAAGTCACGCTAAATTGATGCGGCTTCGCCGGATACGAAGACCCAAAACCACTATGGGGAAAAGGGAACGTATACCGCCATTAACTACGGTGCCGCTGGGGATCGAGTTACGACATAGAGTCATGCAAACTTGAAATTTTTTTCTTATTTTGAACTAAAAATAAGGAAATAAATGACTGCTGTCCTAGAACTGATAACATATCTGAAAACCATACCCACAATTCCTCTCGCTCGGCACCAATCCTCTTGCCCGTGCCAGCAAAGTAGTCATTTCTGCCTATTTCGCTTCGCTATATTGTCAGAAATACTATTTACTTGAAATGTCACGCCTCACTGTTGCTTCAATGATCTTAGCGGAAATAGAACTTCTTAAGTAACGCTATATGAGCTTTTTAGCTATATAATATTGAGTACTCACACATCAGCAATCTTCAATTTTTCCGCATCAGAATCGGACGAATCCTCAGATGATGACACGAACGCCTTGGACTTAATTTTCTGTCTTTGTTTCGATCCCAACCTTTCGTCGCTAGATTTCGTTTCCTTCGGTTTGCCTTTGGGCTTACGAGCTCTGTTAAAAGACAGAAATAAAGGACATCTGATAACCGCATAGTGTAGGATCTAACTGAAATCATGTGATCCAGCTTTGTCGCACAGCCTTTCCGCGCAGCTTTGTCGCGCAGTTAAGAGATCACTCACGACAAAGTCACAGTTTTTGGAACTTGTAAACCAGAGTTGAAGTCAAGAAAGCCCTTACATCATGATACAAAAATCAAAGAAAAAGCAGGTTACACAGGCACAAACAAGGTATTATGAGTGATTAACACGACTAAAGCAAGTTTATTACAGACACTCCATCACAAACCTCTTTTTCTTGGGCGCATTCTCGTCTCCTTCTTCTTGAACTCGTTTTCTTCGCCTACAAAATAACACATAGTTACAAGCCATTCTTACATGATCAACAAAAAACATCTCAAAAAAAAATTTCACACCAACCTTTTTTTCTCTTTTTTCTCTTTCTTGAGTTTTGATTTCTTCACCTCATTTCCTTCCTCGTCCACATCACCACCATCTTCATCTTCACTTTCTTCGTCGTTGCTGGCCACGAAATCGTCAGCCGTCTTTTTCTGAAAAAGACCAAAAAAACCATAATTAAAATGAGGTAAGACTGACGAAAAATAAACACGCGAAATCAAGGCCACAGGGCAGACTATTGAAGTATACAGCTGAAATAATGTTGTTTGAATACTACAACTGTTTGAGGACTATTTCCCGTTCGTTAGGCGCAACATGATTTTATGCTTCTTTTGATTTTTTTCAAATGGAATGAAATCTCGCTCTTCCGAAACCAATTATCATCTGACAGCAAAGTCCATGTGATGGAAGCTAAATGGCATAACATGCGACAGAGAGTTCTGTGAGTGGCTGAAAAGTCTGGAAAACGAACTGAAAGATATCAGAACGTACAAGCGGTTTTCTTTTCCCTGATAATGATTGGTTGATAAAATTGGAAACCCAGCACGAAGATGTCAAAGAGCTTTTTCTTACATCAGTAGTTTAGTTAACAATAGTTATCAACCATTCAAAACCTGTCACGAAAGCTTATAGTTGTTTTCAGCCGGTAGCTAAATAACATTGGTAGTACTCACTTGAAACGTTACGCAGCAGATAAACAAGGCTTTACCTTTCTTCCACGTGAGGCCTTCTCCTTTGGCGCTTGTTCCTCTGGTACAAATACCAGCAAGTTTTTGGTCGCTTCTCGGAATTGCTGACGTTTCTCCAGGAGTTCTTTTTCCTGTTGCTCCCGTTGCTCCCTTCTAATTTTCTGCAGAAGATGCAAAGTCATAAAGCTTTTTGAGCACCAAACAACCCATATTTCGACGCCTAACGCTTTCGACATTCCTAATTCCAGCAAACAGTTCTTTGCTTGAAGTTAGCCGGGGAGTTACAGTTTAAGTTTAGCACCAACTTACCGTTGGAATCCTACGCCGGTGATTTCTCTTAAGGAGAACAGTTAGCATTTACATCATGTTTACATAATGCAGAATGGAGAATGAAGCGCTTTGGATTGGGTGTGGTAAAACCAAAATCGAAGTAATCACAACTACCGATCAGGGGCAAAGATAAATACTCAAACTTAGTTCATGAAATTCGCCCGAGGCGCGGGAAAAGGTGGCTTAAGTTTTGAACCTGATTGGTTAAAAAGAGGAAGATAAATTTATGGACCAATCAGAGCCTAATGAGGGAAAACAAATCCAATCCCAGACTAATTTCGACATTCAATACAAATTGTTCTCCTGTAGCACCATAAATTGTTTTCAAAACAGAGATTGACCTTCAGGATAGCCGATTCTTATTAATCATACCTCCTCTTCTTCCTTCTTCTTTCTGAGCAGTTCTTTCTCTTCTTCCTGTCTCCGCCGTGTTTCCTGTTCTTCCTCGTCAACTTTTCGGGCGCGCGCCACATGGTATTGCGCCTGGCTCAGTAAATCACTGGTGTGCCTGTGTAGATGAAACGACGTGCTTTTACGTTAATCCCTCGTTAACATGCCTGTGCAAGCATGGAATTAGCTTTTTACCATTCCATACACACAGTGTTATTGTTCATCTTGATAATTCTGAGAATCAAAATGCATACTGAGATGTTTAGTGGTTTTAGTATAAACCAAAACAGTGCGATAATAGAGCACAAAAAGATGATTTTGACTCGTTCATTCCTGCAACGATGAAAATCTCTTCGGGCGCAAATCCTACGCAAGTTGCCCGGAGGTAAATAGCAAACGATTTTCGGAATTTGAGTAGCCAATCAGAGCGTGCCTTCAACGCTAAATACTGTCTTAGTACATACCAATAATAATCAGCACATACTACTCGGGTGAATCTTGCTTTTCGCGCACACTGGTTTGCCAGCTCGGAAAGGATTAGCCAGTACTATTCGCATCTGAGCAACCGAAGAGACAAAATCACTCATCAAGACTAAAATCTCCGGCCAATTTTCCGAATGTTGACGGAAGTAAACCACTTATTTTGTTCTTTTGTGGTATTTACTAAAACAATTATTCACTTCCATGTGGTTGAAAGTGATGAATACTACTCTCCACTTCGGCAAAGAATTGTTAATAACTTCCATGCGAGTACAAAAGCTCGTGATAAACAACAGAAAACCAAATTATTACCTAGACTCGGTCCCAGCCCAACTTAAGTCAAACTTAAGGCGATCTCCATGATGGCTTAACCACGTAAAATTTCTGAAATAAAAAAAGCGAAACCATCTATAATTAATGTGAGATCGTATTCATAAAAACGAAATAACTTCCAAGGGTAAATTGTTGTAAAAAGGGACATAATCGAAAAATTTACAAGTTAAGACCAACACAGTTTTTAAAACACAACCAGATGGCTCATTATAAATTTCGAATGCTTTCAGTTTCGGTTTCTACTATCTTAAACCTTATACAAATATTTAATTGATCTTCTAACTGGGAAAGGGAAAGTTTCTCTCAGAACTTTTCCGTATTAACCCTTTTATTCCCATGAGTGAACAAGACAGAATTTTTCCTTAAAATACCAATACCACATCAAGCACACAAGTGATGAGAATAAAGAAACATATCAATTAGGAGATCATTAGTCGATCCAATACCAAATTCTCCGAACTAACATCATAAGAGATGTACGACAGACAGAAAGGAGAATTACTTATAACATCAAATTGTGCGATCATGTAAACTAACTACCACTAAGGTTCCGACATATTTTCGACTATGGCAACACTTCAGAGAAGTACAACGTAGATATCATTCCTTGGTAATTTCACAGGAAGTCCAAGCAGCCACAGAAATAATTTTACGCAATGTCATCTTCGTTACGAAGACCACTTCGACTAAAAGTAGCCCTTTAATACCTCTGCGCCTGCTCCAGTTCTCTGACTGCACCAAGCACAACTTTAAGGGAACTCTTTTCGGCTTTCAAAATGGCTGTTGCTAGACGCTGTTGTACCAGGGAAATGTTGAACAACAGAATAGTGTCATTAGGAGCCACGTGACGAGCCTATTGATTAACAAAAAAAGATAAAGAATATTGATCAAAAAGGACAAAGACAAAAACATAACAAACCACGGTTCAGTTGGAGTGGTCACAAATCACTCAGGTTTCATCAGACTGTGGTGTTAGGAGTCCTGCACACGACACTTTATACTTTCCAGTCAACAGGCAAGATCAATTAGCCGATCTAACTCCCTAGGATTCTACATCTGATACCTTGTATTAACAGTCTCTTTCTATTCAAGGCAGCTCTCAAGACAAACGTCTTTTAAAACATCTTTTTTTCAAGGAATTACTTGGCTTCTCCATTTCTTGTTTTTGTTTTGTTTTTCTGAAAATATGCTTATGGTGCATCCTCATTACAATTTAAAAATCACTGAACTGAGTATCAGTACTTTGTAAAAGTACTAATTATTGTTTTCCTATAGAATGGTCACAAAAAAGAGTTTCGCTCACAGCCTTAAGATCAGTAGCAAAAAAAGAAAACTGCAAAAGTAGCTTTTCACATATGGTAATACATTAGTTTCCTATTCAATCATTAACCCTTTAACTCCCAGACCAAATTTGTAATTCTCCTTACTGTCAACCATACAATTCTTATAATGTTATTTCAGAGAATTTAGCATTGGATCAACTAATTATCCCCAAATTGTTAGTTTTCTTTATTCTCATCACTTTTGTGGTTGATGTTGTATTAATATTGCAAGGAGAAATTCTGTCTTTGTCACTCATGGGAGTTAAAGAGTTAAAGGTAGACCCATTTGACTGACTTCCCGCGAGGCTCTGAGAGTAACACAAACAGTTCGCATGAAGGAAAACAGTTGAGTATCACCAACAAAGGAACGTACCTTGAGTAATATTTGTTTACATTCTTTCAGTTTTCCAGCTTTGAAATATGCACGAGCCAGGTACAACAACACTTCAACGTTATGATGCTTGAAAAACTTCCGCAAACAATTCTCGTACTGTAAACAGACACAAAACATATTACCTCCCAACTGCAGTGAATTCAAACGAAGAAGTATTTCACTTTGCCTACTTATTTTCCTACACTTGGCTATCATTTTGTTGTTACTTACATCTACACCTACTTTCAGAGGATCAATATCAGTATCTGGGCAACTACCCACCTACCCCTCCCCTAACCCAACATTAACCCTAAGTCGTTATCAATAGACTGTTGTTGGGTTAGGGGAGGGGTAAGTGGGCAGTTGCCCAGATACTGATATTGATCCCTTTCGGATAGGTTGTCATGGAAAGATACAAAAAGCAAAGATGGAAAAAGAAAAAAAGAAAAAGGCAAGAACGGAAAAAGGAAAAAAATTGGAAAAAGGAAAAGAGGTAAGAGGGAATTGATCAGGCAAATCAAACTTTTCTCTCTTAGATACTAATGTTTGAAAACCAGCCAAGGAAAAACAAGAGGAGATGTGCCTCCGGTTTTTCAAATAACTTCAACTCTCAGCCTGGCATAGCGTGCTTCTTTCCTGTTTTCCCAACCCCGGAACAGGCTCCAGGTTTTGCGTTTTCCCGTCCCTGGAATCAGTAGCAGGTCTTATCACGGCCGGTTAGCACCAGTTGAAGCTTTTCATGTCCAGTTTCAAGTAATCGTTCAAGTAATTTCCTTCAATTTGATTCAAATTTATTATACTTTGGCATTAAGAATACCACTCACCGTGAATAGTTGTTTTAGTTCATACCACACAGAAACCAAAAAGTTAGTTTGTTTTTGTCAATATACCAAATATGTCGGAAATTAACTTGTTGATGCGCGATTTTGTCTCCCCGGCTGCTCAGAGGTGAATAGTACTTGCCAACCAATTCCAAACTCGCCAATCAGCGCGCGCGAAAAGTACCTGAGTGGTACATACTAACAGTAAATAGAAAGTACATCTACATTATTTGGTCTTATCTAAAAGAACCAAACTTAGTAGGAGAAAAAGTTACTTCTGATTGATGAAGACATTCCATTTAATCATCAAAGAAATATGTGAGAGTAATTTGAGTGCATTTCTCACCATTTGAATGGCAGCTACATACTGCTTTTGCTCAACATAAATATGCGCCAGGTTCAGCCACACATCGGGAATGTCAGCGGTTGCTTCACGGACCTGTAATGCATTTATGAAATCGTCATGGAATAACAGACAAACATACTTATATTTGCTTGTACCTCTTATGCATGAAACACAAAAAATAATTTTTTAATAAACAAAAGTTAATGTACTGCGCTTTACCTGCGAAAATACATCCCGAGCTTCCCTCAGAAAGCTCTTGTGTGCCAGAATACAGCCTGAAAAATGAGCAGAACAGTTAGGATTAGAGAAGAAGTAAATTTCCGACCCTGTTCATTTATTTTCGCTATAACTATTTATCAATATCTGATACAGATGTCATTGAATGTATAGGAAGTTGGCAGATAACTCACCGATACCGTTAGCTGCATACAGATTCCTGGCATCATTTCTCAACACTTGCTTGTAAAGAGCCAAAGCCCTGTCCTGATGTCGCTTCTCCTTGGCCTTGTCACGTGTTGGTGTGTGCAGAGTTTGAAGCCAGACATTTCCGAGTGCCAGTAACGAGTATGCATCATTTGCTGTGGATGGCTGTTTAAGAATGCGCTCGAACTTCTTCTGACCAGGGCCCCATTCTTGCTTGGCCAGGTGAAGGTTACCAATGAGGGACCAGGCGTCTGGGTGGTCCTGTTGGGTACACATTCAAGCGATGGACATGCATACTAGAGTTCTCAGAGTTATGTGCACAATGTGAAAAAAAATAGGTCAAAGTTGATTATCAGTATATCTGAGATGTCCAACACATATGCTTACCTGATTAATTTGGAGAGCCTCTTTGAACCAATCGGAAGCTTCGTAGATTTGACCCCTGTCACGTGCCATGCAACCTAACCGGAGATAACCTGTCAAGGGAGAAGGAAAAAAAAACTGTTTTAGGGCAACTTTGCAAACTACAGCACTCCTCCAAAGTGATTGACAGTCCCTCAAAAATCGATCAACGTTTGTCGATTCTCGAAAACTTCGGGGATTGAGGCTCAAGTCGAGTCGTGTTTCGAGACGTTCAAGTCGAGTTTTAAGACTTTCGAGACAGAAAAACAAAGGTATTTCGCACGATTAATTTTTCACTCAACTGGAAATAGAAGTATAGATTGTACAGTTACATGATTCCAAAATCGCACGAGCCCGTATGGCGAGTTAAAAATTTACAAGTGTTTATTTACACCAAATTACACAAGAGATCATGTTATTACCTACTAATAATTTGCATGAAAAAAAGCATCACAGAAAGTCAAAACAGACGACATTTTGATAGCGCACATGCTATTTGTAATTTGCACTTGTGTTACAACTTTGCACTCGTGTTGCATGAAAAATGCACTCGTTTTTATCCAATCAAAAGCGAGAAATTTTTTCATGTATATTATTACAAGCCTAAATGAAATGCTGGAAGCCAATAAAAAGTGAGCAAACTAAATCTAAGATATAAGATAATTTGGCAAAAGTTGGCCAATGATTCAAGGATTTCAGGCCCTCTTACTGGTAATAGTTAATATACATACGCTTCATATTGACATGAATTGCATTCTTTACCAAACCACACTGGCGAAGCATATTGATCAACCATGATGGGAATGTGATAGTATAGTCTGATCGTCCAGGTGAGTGTAGTCCTGAGAGGAAATTTTGTCGGTAGTGTTGACTGGCGTTTGGACAACCAGAGCAGAAGTCATCAACATCTTGACTCTGATAGAGACTTCCGCTCGGGTAGTCGTAACGTCAGTCACCACTAGCAACAAAAGTTCTTCTCAGGACTACACTCACCTGGACGATCAGACTACACTATCACATGTTACCACCGGGTTCAAACCCTTTATTATATCCACGGTGGGAATATACTGCACTTTATATCATTCAGTTCTAAGATTTTGGCGCAACAATCTATATGTCAAACCAAATATCCCCCTTCTGATAATTCTTCCAATTCTCGATAGTGTCTACTTGACAGTGCATAGATTTTGCAAGGAGAAGTTACATTTCGATCACTTTTGTAATTGAAGATCAAAAACACTCATCCACTTACAGTCTACATAGTTAGGATGTTCTCTGAGGATGTTCTTGTACAGAGCCTCTGCTTTGTCAAACTCGCACAGGGACTCGTGGAGGCGGGATAAGTTATACGTCGTTGTGACAGAGATTGCATTGTAGTAACTCTCATCCGCTTGGCTCTCTTGCTTGCACCGATCGAGAGATGACTCATAGAACCTCTGCAATGACAAAGCTACTGATTCAGTGAAGAGCTTAACATCTGCAGAATGGGATGCGTGGTGGTCTAGTTGGTTAGTAGATAGTCATTGGATTGAGAGGTCATCAGTCGTGCCCTTGGCTGGGCACTCCGTTGAATTCTTGGGTAAAACACCTAAATCTCATGATGCTTCTCTTTAACCAGTAGCATAAATAGGAAACAGAGAACTGTAATAATCTTTGTAAATAGTTGAGGGGCATCTGCAAAGGACTAGCAACAGTACTCCTTATCACCTCTAACCGAGGAAAATGGGATACACTCCAACAGTAATGGCTAAATAGCACTGTAAATGAAGACTTGAACTTTTTCACAATTGCAGAAATCTCTTAGCTGCCTAGCCAGGAAGTTCAAATTCAAATTCACTGTATTCTAAACCCGCTTCTAGTTTCCTTGTGTTTGGTTTTGTATTTTCAAATAGTGTCATAGTTTCGCGATTTTGTAATACTTTAACTTACATGTGGCTGGTTTCGGACTTATTCTCAGCCAAACTGGTACTGCGGCTAAAGCATGCCTTCATGTCATACAAGGTTTTGGCATTTCATACCCATCATGTTCCTTCATAATAATAATTTGCAGTTGAGCCAAAAACCTCTTTGACTAATCTTTCATTTTTGATAATTTTTGGGGGAAGTACTAAAAATGACTGCCTGCCTTTGTGGAATCTATGGAACAAGTAGCTTCCATTGCAGTTGTTAAATATTGATCTAATCATGAAATACAGTCTTGTGTGTTAAAACTGTACATGATGAGAGCAAACAATAGTTACAACCGAGACTATAGGAAAAGCTTTTCTCCCTTTTCTTTCGAGAAAATATCAACAAGAAAAATTTAAGTTGTAAAGTCATTTACATCCATCTTTTTTTGTCTGGATCTGTTGAAAAAGTCAGAGGTGGATTGAAACTATACAACAACCAATTACCTCAAAAAATATTAGCTTGAATAAAAAAAGCAGATTTCAACTAACCTTTGCTTCATTCAAATTTCCCAGTCTAAAATGCAGTGCTCCAACATTATTCAGAATCTCTGGAGGTACATCAGCTTTCACTTTTTCTTTGAGAAGCCGGGATGCTGTACCATATGCTTGCAAGGCAGCCTAACGTTAATTAGTGGAATTAATATTCTACCATGAAAATGGTAAAAAACTTTAGGTTCTAGGTAACAGATAAAAGTTGCATTCATCCTACAGCTGGGTTCTAAGACTGGTATAATGGAAGTCACCAAATGATTAATGTTTCCTGACAAAAATTCTGATTGAACCATTTTTTGGGGAAAACGCTACAAATTGCATGAAATTGTTCCAATATACAAGTTCCATAATCACAATACCAATATCAATGATTGATAATTGATCATTAATTGTTAATTTGCTAGATCAAATAAGCATTTCCCCATTCTAGCTTCTATAAATTTCCTAGTCAAAAATTAAGAGAGGTTGATGTTTTATCTAGCTGATAAGTGTGAGCATTTTAATCACCAGTTTATTATGTATATCTTGAGTAAATCAGTACATTCAATCACCTCTACAAGTACACTACAGGAAACAACAGAGCCCTTCCTATAAACCACTCCCTTTCAACTAACCTGCACATCTGTCTGCTCTAATATTCCAGCCAACTCAATCCACGCTTCCACATCATCTGGATATTGCTCAGTTACTTTCTTGAGATGATTCTGTAAAGGGTAAAGGAGATTTAACTTCACTTCATTCCAGTTCTGTAATCATGTGAAATTCCTAACAAACAATATTCCAATGTACAATAAAATATACAATACACCATACAATAAAATGCTCAATACAATACACTTCTTCTACATTAAAAAGTTGACAAATGAACAAAATTACACTTGCCTTGGCTGTCTCTCTTTTCTCTAGATCTGTTGATGTGCTGTACAGAGAGCCCAAGATTTTCAGAGTCTCATAATTTCCTGGTGTGGCTTTGAGAACTTTCTCAAAACATTGTGCAGCCTGTAAGGCGAGTTAAATTTTACATTATTTGTGTGAAAAGGAAGTGTTTAAAAGTAAATAAGGCCTCTTCACCTCTTTTTGTTTATCAGCATAATTATCTATTCATTGACCTCCTACCCCAGCAATGGTGGCTGAGAAATATCTACCGTATTTACCCATGTATAAGTGGACCTTTTACTGCCTAAAAATCGGTCCAAAAAATCGCCCTCGACTTATACATGGGTCAAAATCTGAGATAAAAAAACTTTCAGGACAAATTAGCATAATAATTATCTGATATGTTTTTGGTATTTTCTTTTATTTCAACTTCATTTCTACATTTTTTACCTGAATGAAACGAAAAAAATTTTATTTTTTAATTAGGAGAGAAAGACTAGTGGAAGTTACATGAATGAAAGAGAAATTCATCCCTTCACATTTTAAAGCCATCATGGTGCCATTAGAAAGAGTAGCTCTGGTTGACAAATCATCAATTATTAAATTGTAGAAAAAAATTAGCATAGATATCTACAATATATATATGCAATTTGTTGTGTCTAATTTTGTTGTAAGTAAGCACCTTTATAATGAGGTAATCAAATTACCACAAAAACTGACATTTACTAGGATGTAAAATAATCTAAAGAATGCAACAATATTTTAACCTCCTGTTTAACCTGTTAAATGCTAGAAAAGGAAGAAGACTTTCCTTTATGTCCTTTCACATACTCAGGCAGGTGTCCACACACATGGCTTAACATATCCTGCATCACACAGTTTATATTTCAATTGTAAACTGTATATCACTGGTTTGTTTTTTTTTTTTTTTTTTGTTTTTCTTTTAAATACTAACCCCAAGGAAAAAATTATTCACACCTTTCCTACATTTATTTGGTTACAGTAGTAACTCACATTGTTCATGTCTCCTCTGGCAATGTACATTTGTCCAAGACCAAAGTGAGGTAGAATGAAGTTTGGTGAAGCAAATTGTGTTGCTTGATAGTAGAACTGGAATGCCTGGTCATAGTCATTCTATGATAAAAGCATATGTGTAAATATTAATAAAACGTTTAATTCATTTTTAAATGATTTTCCAGATGCTAGCATCATCAAAATCCAGTCAACAACTTACTAGTAGTTTGTTTTAATATTCAAATATTCTTACTGCTTCCTGAGTTCTTCATTGGACCAAGGTCATAATATTTCATACATATTGGTTTGCTCAAGTCTCTGTCCACTCACGCAAAATTCCGTGTTCAAATGCCACACCCAAACACAGTTTTATTGAGCAATTTTCAATTCTTTGTATGTTTCAGAATTTAGCAACATTTTTGGTGGCCCTGTTTTGTTTTTGCTTGTAAGCATCATTGCAACGCAAGAGTTTTCTTCTGAGCCATTTGCTCATCAAAGTGGACTCTCAAACTTTAACCTCCCTGTGTATTCCACTGGCTCTAATACCTCATTCCACCCAGGCAAGGTTCAAATTCCCCAAGCACACACCACAGTCAAATGCCTGAGGGATGTGGGAGGGGGGTTAAAGCTTTGCATAGATGGGTGCATAACTAGACCTAATAGGCTCAGAGGTAAATATCTAAATCAAGACCCAAATTACCCAGCCATGAGGCACAATGTGACCATGCTGCTAAAAATTTGGAATGGAGAGTGTAAATATTGAAGAAAACAGATACCTGAACATGGAAGACTCTTGCCCTTTGATAGCAACTCTCTGCCTGCATAGCTTCAACCTCTGTTCCATGAAAAGCATGTAAAGCTAAGTGCTGTACCTTATTGTACTCCTGCAGGGAAGAAAATCAATAACTGGTAATGCCATGTTAAAACTTCATTTTAGTTGTAGTACTGATCAGCATTTAGAGCCCCATATCAAATGATCCAGTATGCATAGTAGCTGAGGAGAGTCTGTTGTATTCTTAAGATGACACTTTATTCCAACAAAGCATCTTGCCACCCAAAGGTTAAGACAGCCAAGGAAGCCAGTTAACCTGATGAAAAGGTTGTTGGGTAACCTGAGATAGAAATACAGTTTACCAACCTTGGGGGAGTGTTTGGGGTACCCAATAATCTGGATAACTAGGTCAGATCCAAGGAATAAGATCCAAGATGAAAATGATGTAGGGTAAACTGTTATCGACTGGTATCCAGCACAAGGGTACAGTACAGCTCAAAACTAAGTTGACAGTCTCGACTTGAAACTCGATCTCCAATACTGGAAACTATCAGCACTACTCCATTGCACCTTTATACCAAATTATATGTAGTTAAAGAATATCCATCTGAATTGTTTCATTGTAGCTGGGGACTTCAACCTTTCTACTTTATCTTGTATTTATTAACATGAAGGACTCTTACCTTTTTGAAGAAGAAATGGTTGGCCAAGTGATTTAGGACCATGGGGTTAGAGTTATCCAAAGCATAACCTCTTGACAGCAACTGCACACCATTCTTGATGGAGTCCATCTGAAACCAAATACGCAATAGCATAAGAATAACCAATTTTATGAAAATTACTGAACAAGAGGCAACATCCTACAGCGAGTGTCACAACTGAACATTGACATTTAGTTTATTTATTTATTTTTTTACATTTTTTTTACCTAGTTTGTACACATTGCTTGCCATTGCATTGATGATGTTGTGATTTACGCAACCTTGTGATTGAGATACATGCATGAAAAAATTAATAGTTGAGTTCTGGAAAATGGTCTTTATTTTAATGGTTGAAGCCCTCTACAGTGAGGTTGTCTAAAAGAAGGCCTCTGCCCTAGCTAGAGTGTTTGATGGGGGGGTTTCAATTGTATAGTGCATGTATATTCAAGGTAAGTCTTAAATACATGTAGATGTAAACAACAGTTGTGAAGATAATTCAAAATGTAAAGCAACTACACTGTGAATCCAAAGAAATATGAAAGTAGTAGGATAATTATCAAGTGACTAACATGCATGTGTCTTAAGTATTAATGGGGCATACTACCTTTTTTGAGTTGAGTTCAAGAATAGCAAGACCAGTCATAGCACCTGTGCACAGTGGGTCTAAGGTAAGGGCTCGTTCAAATGCCAGTCTAGGAAAGAACAAGCACATCATGATTTGTTTGTCAATCTGATTTAACACAGTCTCAGGCTCAAATTGACAAGCCATTGAGGTACATGTACATGACATAAACACATTAACAGCAAAAACAGATGAACATTACAACTGATAGTAGCAGGAGGATTGTCAACTCTAATCATTAACCCTTTAACTCCCAGAAGTGATTAACATAAAACTTCTCCCTACAATATCCATACATTATTCAGCAAACAGGTAATGAGAATATTCAAACTTATCGGATAGAAGTTGCTATCTTGATCTAGCACCACGTTCTCATAACTAATTTACAAGGAAATGTGTAATCAGATCTTGGGAGTTAAAGGGTTAACCCTTTTTTTGTTTGTCTCTCTCTCTCTCTCTCTCTCCACCCTTCTTCCCTCATTATCAACACCCTTGGTTAAAAATTTATTTCTATTACAGGCCTTCCTCCCCCTTCAAGAATTCAAGATGAAAAAAGCCCAGAGGCTGTACATGTATGTTTACTCATTTAATAGTTCCAATCATGGCTAAGGAAAAAGGCACAAGTCAGAACATTTACACAATAAAATTATGATAATAATAATAATAATAATAATAATAATAACGAATTTTTATACAGGATTGAAACCCATCAGTTTACTCATTTAAATAAATAAATAAAATAATAAAATAAAATTTAACAAGATATAATCAATCTTAAGGTCTAGGCAATAAATGAAAAAAAAATTAAAAAAAATAAAAATACTCTGAAAAGGATACCTATAACCAAGATCAGAACATTTTCAGTCAATAAAAAGTTTTGATAATGTTCTTTCAATATACCGTTATTCCTACAACCAACATGTATCAAAGGTCAAATAGAAAATGCAAGGTCCTGTAGATTATACTGGAGTTAAACAGTGAAGCTACATGTATGTGTCTTCCCCATCAAAACCTTGTTTTTTTTTTTAAATCTTATTCATAACCCCTAATACCTAGCTTTATCCAGTTTTCCAAGTTTCACAAAGCAGTGACCCATTCCAAGCCGGACAGAAGCTGTCGAGTAGAATGCAGTCACATAGATTATTCTTAATGCATACTGTGTATACAATTGTACCATTGTGTTGAAACAAATTTGTGGTATATGGGTTGACCCTGGATGGTTGGAAATTTGAAGAAAAAGTTGGAGAATTTGTCTAAGGTACATGCATCCCTTGTTTGTACAACCAACATTCGAGGTAAAACAAAACCATGTTCATGACTTGTGGTGTTGATTTTGTGTTGCCAGCATGAATAACACGCCATAATAAAGTAAAATAAGAATAACCACACATGCATAATGACATTGAGTGAGGAAAATTAACCCCCTCCTCTGTGTTGTTCGAATGAAGTCATTATTTTGAAGGCCTGTGTGAACCAGGCTTCACGCAAACATGTAACAGACAAAAGACTACATGTTTAGCCTTAAGTGATACTCTGCAGTGTTGTAACTCAAACCACAGAACAGGTCACACTTCCTGTACATACATGTATAAACCACATTTTCAAACAGATTTTTGATAGGTCATTCTATATATTTACTAATGTATATACAGAGAAAAAGATAAAGCAGATGTCTCTAATGATAGTTTTCCACTGTTGCTGATTTTAATACAATACCTGGACAGTTTGGATTTGTTCTCAAAGCTTTCTTGTAATAGGCTAATGAGCCCTTGTAATCTCTTTTGTTAAAAGAGATACAGGCTTTTCCTGTCACATTAAAAAAAACATCAAAATCAATACCTGTTCACACATACTGTAAATTTGTGCTTTGCAGGATGCAAACCCTCAGACAATCCTTATGGTCTTTCCATTTTTCATTTTGAATCTTATCATTCATGTATTTATACCATCATTTCAAAGTAAAATCTTAGCCCTTTGACCCCTAGGATAGACTAGCATCTAATTTCTCCTTACAATATCACCCCTGAATCACACATTAAGGTCATGATAATAAAGGAAATGATCACCAGCTTAAGATGCTTATGATTGTTAAACAAATTCTTCTTGGCAGCAACTTAGGAAAAACAAAAAGAAAAACTAAAGGATACCTGTAACAACAACTACAAGCTTCTTATACTTACCAAGTAAAGCTGGAATATTGTTTCCTGACTGTTGTTTGTGGAAAAAAAAAGAAAAAGTAACTTATGTAAGTAAAGTTGCATTTCCATCTTCAAGTCTATCAAAGAAAGTCACTGTTTGCCAATAAGTATTTAAAACATGTTTCACATTTAATTGATATGACAGTTGGTTCTCTATCATAAACAATTTCAATTTTCATACCTGTGCCAACACAAAGTTAAACTGTGCATCAGCTTGTTCCATCTTATCTCCTTCCAGGAGACAAAAGTATGCTCTCCCAAGTAAGTGATTCTGAAAAAAAATCATTTATCAAAATTAATTTAGGTATACGGAATGACCTACAAGTATTTCACAAAGAGTTTCCATGTTGCTACGTGTTTGTTCAGTTCATGTCATATGACGTCAAAATATGGTAAGAACAAAAAAGTGGCTAACAAGGTGCAACTAAGGGTGTCACTGGTGCTTGTACCACATGTTGACATCTTCTGTGATTTCCTACTGAACAAACCCATGGAAACATAGAATTTACTTTATTTGTATTTGTTTTATAGTTTACAATACAGAAAAAAAAATGCTGTTTAAGATGACATCATCTTGTATGTCCTGAAATAGATCTTAACCGTTTAACTCCCAGGATCTGATTCAATTCTCCTGTCTAGCTGCTACACATTTCTGTTTAAACTTAAAGTTACTTGAGTTTGGTGTTAAATCAAGATTACAACTTCTACCTGTTACATTTGAGTATTCTCATTACATGTTTGCTGAATGATGTATGGATATTGTATGGAGAGGTTAGATGCTAATCACTTCTGGGAGTTCAAGGGTTAAGAAAGAACCAATTAAAACATGTGTACACTGGTAATTCGGCTTATTGTATAACTGTCTGATAATATAGGTAGAGAGGAGGGAGGAGAGGGAAGGGAAGAGAGATAGAGAGGGAGATGGAGGAGGAGGGGAAGGGGTTTGACCTGCTCTTGAGAGAATAATTTTTAAAAATGGACAAAGTTCATATTTTACACAAGCATTTGTACATGACATTGCAGATATCCCAAAAAAATTTGACCAAGATTGATGAAAGGTGTTGTAATCAGTAAGGATTCTTCCGGTGTTAAGAGTGAGAGAAAGAGTCCTTGAAAAACATCTCCAAAAACAAAGGCATAATTATGTTGTTTGTGGAGAACTATTTCTGGTTAAATGATTTAAAATTGGTTAGAATTGCAGTTTCCCTTTTTTTAAAGATTGTGATAATTAATCAGGGTTATAGGAAAAACAAATCCTGTAGTTTAAAACCATTTTGACCAAAAGTTCACTCACAACTACCAACATACATGTATAAATTTATAAACTTATGACAAGGAATTATCAATTTTTGCCTTTCTTATTAGTATAGTACCTACCTGGTCATACATGATGATTTTGTCTGCTGTAGAATACAATGATGTGGCCTAAAGGGAAGATATTAATCATCTTTTAGGTCAAGAAAAGATTGTATATGTATGTGTTTTAGAGATAACCAAATAGGTGACTCAAGACAGAAGAATAACAAGTTGAATACATGTAGCTGAGGCAAGTGTACCAGACCAGGGCTAACCTGGGAGAGCTGCTGTAACATGTTCTGGAAAAGGTTGTGATATATAAAAAGGAGACTGGAAAAGAATGACTGCAGGAAATCACTGGGTGTGAGGAGACAACAAAATGACAAGAGAGAAACTGAAGTGAAATGTGACAAAGAATTCTGGCTCTTCCATGTAAAAGGGCACAGCACAATGTTCTAAAATTATATGGAAAACACTCATTACACTCTGAAAACCTGTTGATACATGTACAGAGAACATGTAGGTCATAGTTTTTAATGAACCATAATCTGGTTATGATATAGACAACCTTCATAAGATGTAATGGTAATTGGGAAAGTCATGTGTACTAAAGAACAGAACAGTTCAGAATTTAAACCTTTCATTTAAATAGATCCATTTACCTTAGTAAACAATTCCTTTTTAGTTTCTTTGTTTCTTTCTTTTCTTGCTTGTTGAACATAGAATGCTGCAAGTGTATCCAAGCAGACCATCTGTCCCTTCTCACTGTCCCGGTAGTTTCGATTGGCATCTAAAAGAAAGATACAAAGTAAGTGAACTAATTTTCTGAAGTGTAATAAAATATGGAATTTTAAACACTGATCAACAAGTTTCTCCTTCCCTCTTACATCTATATCATTTTAAGATCCATTTACCATAGGTAACTTGTCCCTTGAAGAGTGTACTCTGCTAGTAATGAATATAGTTAGAGTACTACAAATTGTGCATAAATGTGTGGAAAAATTCAATACTTAATGATTACAATGACAACCATCAATTCAAGAATATAAGCATCCCTGTGATAACAACTTGAAAAGACTGATCTTTTCATTGAGAAGTCTTTATCATTTCGAAGACAAGAGTCATGGTAGCATGCTGTGATGATCACTCATAAATGCCAACATGTAAGATGACACAGAAAATGATGATCTCAATGATAGTGATGATTGTGGCAGGTAAATATAACTGATGCAAGTAAAGATGATACTTATCATGGCTGTGGTCTAGCAGCGCCTGGTGACCCCTAGCACCTTACTCTTGCCTTTGGGCAACTTGGGAATTTTAGTTTTTTCATAAAAAGTGTATGCTGGGACCCTGGATTTCACAGTTTCAGAGCTCTGGGCTCCCTTCAATTTTTCTTAGAGCCCAGCCTTGCTTATAGTTGTTGTTTATTATAATGATCAAACACATGCCTGTTCTTGATGCTTCCAGAAGTTTGACAAAGTCATCAGTTTTTCCTTGCTTGTAGTACTGGAGCTGTTGGCACAAAAACATGAAGCAAAAACAACTTGCAAATCACAATTCGTAAACGTTTGTAAAGGCCAAATTCATGACAATATTTGGTGGATCTTGAAATCCCTTTTTCCCACTTATGCGTTAGGTAGTATGCTCGTCCAAATACCGCTACGCTTGCCAACACGTGTGTTGTTATTTACATTCGATGTCATTCACTTATGATTAAGAGAGTACCTAGGTTGCAGAAAGTACAGGAAATGCTTCATGCTAGGTTAACTGACTTGATGTCTACTAGATAAAAATGTCGCGAATCTGCCGTTGATTTCGCCCTTCTTTTCCACCCTCTTATCGTCCATTATTTCCAACGACAAACGAACTTTTGTGTTCAATTCTATGCACAAAAAATACTGTTGATAACAACAGTCGCTATCGCACTGTATGTGTGAATGATTTTAGGAAAATTAGTCCGTACGGCCGAACAGATTTCCTCTAAAGCTGTCAGCATAGCCAAAGAAACAAATATTTAAGCGGGGGCAGCAAAGAAAAATCCTCGAAGCATGCAGACAGATCGTGGCGACGACAAAACACATCTAAAGAAATGGTTTGGCTCACGTACCGCCAGCGTGATCCAAATGTGGAGTTGTGCATTTTCCTGCCGCAAAATACTTAGCACCTCGTCGCCTTCAGGTAGTTGGTCAAACTGTAGCTCTATAACCTGAAAACAAAAATACAAGTTAAGCGACTGGTCGATAATTTTTTGAGGGAATCAAGTAAATTCTACCTCGTCTTCCGTATCTCTCAGCGGAATCTCAATAGAAGTCGCCATCTTGGTAGGAGGAAGGTGAATTTTTGGCTATGTAACACTCACAAAATGTCGCGTTACTGATGTTCCCACCAAGCTCTCTCTGAAAATTCCGCACAAAACGGGCACATTGACATAGTTTCAAACGGTCCATGAAGGCGAAAAAATACCACAACTACGCCGATTAACATTTCATTTAACTTAAATGAGACATTCAGACCGAGATATAATTCAGATATGCAATTTTCAGACTGCTCCGAGAGGGGTCACCACCTTTTCGTGGTGGGGCTGTTTGCGTGTCTCAATTGCTCCTAGAGATATATCGGCTGGAGTCTTTCACCCCTGGTAGGGTCACCCGTACCGAACAGGCCGAAGGGTAGAGACCAGACAAAGAGTGATCCCCTGGTCCTCCAACATGTGACAGAAACCGGTTGCATTGACGACACAACTCAAACCGGCGGTGACGCTGCTGGGGCCGTAATGACACTCTTGGGCCAAAGCCGGAGGGAAGCCCAAAGGCTGATAGGCCCATAGTAGCCCCTAAAAAGACCAGGACCATGGCGGAGGCAACACGAACAGTGCAAGTGGCCAAAGAGATGGCAGGGTGTGGAATTGAAGTGTTAGAGATAAGCGAGACCAGATGGAAATGGGTGGGATCAAGAACACTGCAAAGTGGTAAGAGGCTGGTGTACGCGGGAGATGAGGAAGTGCAATAAGGAGGAGTCGTCATCATGATGAGTGTGAGGGCAAAGAGAGCCTTATGGAATGGATGCCATGCAATCAGTAAGAGGATCATTAAGATACGATTCTACTTAAAACACAAAAAGCTAACGGTGATACAAACACACGCACCAAGAAAGATGTGACGGGTGAGGAAAAGGATGAATTTTACAAGTAGCTGCAAGACTCTCTTGGAAGTTGCAGTAGTCATGATATGAGTGTGGTGATGGGAGATCTGAACGCTAAGATAGGGAGTAATAACATTAACAGCTAAAGAGGAGGTACCGGGGAAATTTGGTTTTGGAGTCATGAATGACAATGGGGAAAGGTTATGTGACTTCTGTGGTACGTACGAATGGATAAGTTGTAACTGGAGCAGTTTTCCCACATAAATAGATCCATAAGCTGACCTGGAAGTCGCTAGATGGGAAGACTGTCGACCAGAGCGACCATTTCTTGGTGAATGGATGCATGAGAGCATCGATTCCGGACACGAAAGTGATGAGAGGAGCAGACGTGTATAGTGACCACTACCTGTTGCGAACCAGAATTAGAATGAAGTTGGCAAAGGCACATGGGAAGAAGAAAGCAAGGGTAACGTTTGACGTATGTAAGCTAAGAAGTGAAGAGATCAGGAGGAGATATAACATTGAAGTGAAGAACAGGTTTCAAGGGCTAGGAGATACAGAAGATTCAGAGGAAGGGCACAACGAGATCTTGGTGACGTACAGAGATGCCGCAGAGAAAGTTATTGGAAGGTAAAAAAAGCAGAGCAAGCTATGGATAGGAGACAACACGTGAGGAAAATTCAGGAGAGGAGCAAGGTCGACCCATCGTATCTGCCTGCAGTTGTCCCACCGAACTCATTTCCATCTATTTAGAAAAAATTATGGCACCTATCGTCAAAACTTTACCATCTTACATGAAGGACAGCCATCACGTACTTGAAATTTTTCGTGACTTTAATTTCCTTGGCCAGAACAATCACTATGGATATTACATCTCTTTATACTGTTATTCCCAATGACAAAGGTCTCCGGGTCATGGACAAAATTCACAAGAGTTCCCTATAATCGGCAGCAAGACTTAAATTGCTTGCGAGTACGGACAGAGAGAAAATCAGACCTGAAAAAATGCACTTTCTATTATGTATATATGCCCAGGTAAATAAATCAAACAAACAAAAAACTACAGAGAATTCCCTGATGTTCTTAAAAACGTTTATTAACTTGCTATCGCATCTCACATGTTACATAATGAATACAAATCTACAACATTAGGGAAACAATGTTTGAAATTTTCTGCCCAACAGCAGCCTGTCACAGGGTATATTTCTAAAAGTGTCGTATAACAACTATAAAACTATAAAAGTTAGAGCAGTAATGTTTAACATTTTTCCGCCCAGAACGCACTGACGTGTTTATTATGCTTAGATTTTGTACGAACATTTGTATTTGTTACAATATATGACAGTACCGTTTATTCTTGTTTAACTTTTACATAAACAAGCTGTATTAAACACTTGACCACATTCATGATAGTAGGTACTTTGAGTTATACAAGTTGGCGAAATAACTCCCCTTCCAATGCACGTTATACTTCTTTTTCTACACGTGACGGTCACAACCATACGGGTACCACAAGGTTTCATTACTGTGCTGCCGGTCTGACATCCTAATGCCCGGCGCACTCTATTTTCGCGCGCATGGTTGTACAACTGCCGCAGGCTGCTAATGTTAGCACTAACGATGACTGGAAAGTCCATGGATTTCTTTTCATGATGAGCTGCTCGTGGAGACCATTGAAGCTTCTTACGGATGGTAGGAGAGGGTGCGGTGAAGTTGAAGGCTTGAAACAAGATTACGCAGAGAACTATTTCTATACAAAATAGCTAAAAGACAAAACGTAAAGTAAAGGAGAAATCAATTTTCCAACACGTAAATCAGTTACTGATAAAATTAAAAATGTTTTAACCCACACGAAAGAAGCACTACCGACTGATCCACTTAACTGGCCTGCAACAGGTCACATGTTGGTCTCCCCTTCCCCCACTTAGACGTTATGGATAGAGATATGAAATATAACATCCACGACAGAGACCCTATCCTGAGTATTTAGCAAAACTAGCTATCTTGGCGGGTACAGTTAAGCGGTCAGCTATAACGTCCAGCTTTCTTTTCGTTCAGACTTTTAAGGTTACTTCCCACCTTCGCAAATGTCCTTGGGGAAAAAATTCGTACGCGCACTAGTTTCACTAAAATTCTTGCAAACCATACATCAGAAGAACGCTTAATAACTGCAGTTACGATGAAAATATAATTCAAGCGAATTTTCTTTTAAGGTGTCAAGAACCGGTAAGGCGTGAAACGACCAAAGGTTCTTCTATTGAATTTATCGGGTATCGGATGCAGCAGCACGAGCAAAATGGCTGCACAGTATTATTCACAAGGCATCATTTTCTTTTTTTTTACCAAGGAATTTCTTCTGCTTTGATTTTTCCACGAGCAAAGTTCTTTCCTTAAGCTTCCAGGTGTGAATTTTATAAATGGGCGATGTAAACAAAATATGGAAACAACATGAAAAACGAGCCCCATCTAAAGCGGTTGCCGCGAAAATTCCCTCAGGCGATTCACCCAGGCCCGAGATTATGGCACCTTCCTGATTTATTAACTTTTATTTGAAAATACGTTTTTTCTAAATAACCCGTATGCTTTTAAAGATATCACAAAAGATGTCACAATTTTTTTTATGGAAACGTTGGGCTGAATGTTTGAATTCAGTTTATTCAAATAAATGAAAAAAATCGAAGTTTTCGGCCTCTGAAGGTGGGAAGTAACCTTAATCTGATTTGAACTTGACCCCTGGTATTTGCCATACAAAGTAGAGAAAAAATGCTCCATTTATTAGTACGAATCAGTACATATTAGATAATTTTCAATCGAGTTTGCATTATCGTGGCTTTAAACAAGAGTGAATGTGTTTTTGCTGAAAAACTCGGTCATAATAAATAAACGATAGAGGCAATGCCTGAATATTAACCCCTTCAAAGTTATATTTACTCACTAATGGCGCTAATGAAACCAAGTACGGACTTCCTAATTTTTAATTCAAAGGAAATTCATTATCACTAAAGAAAACTTGACGATAAATGTATACTTCATCTCCATAAGCATCAATATGATGCTTATGGATCCTTCAAGACGATAACTGGATTTTAAGATTATGAATATAGCAATGGATGAAAACGTGTCTTGATTAACCTTCACAAAGGTATGATCGTGTTTGTTTTCAGCTTCCCTTTTTTTACTTTGTTATTTGATTCAGTCAGCTTTAGCTACAAAATAGAGTGGTATTTCAAACTGATTTACCCGTATAATGCTTCAAATTAGAATACTGGATACAGTGGTAGTGGTGGTGTTAGTAGTGGTCAATCGTAATGGCAGTTATTTGTGCACGGTTAAAACAAATTACCACACAGCCGACGTGGTTGCATAGTGAATTAAAACCTTAAAATTTCAAAAATATGATAAATTACGGTGCGTGTAAAGGATACTAGAACTCTATGTAATGATCGCAAAACACTGAATTAGCTTGAACATATTTTGCATTGAAGTCAGACATCTAAGATATTTACACAAAATACTTTTCAGTTTATTATGATACAGCTTGTAATGAATAGCTCAATTGTTTGCTTTACTAATTTGCAGCAAGTAAATTTGCGACGGAGGTCTGTTTTCGAAAATGTGCTTCAACGTTCAGTTTCCTTCGTACACTTTATTTGCAAGCACAATTCTTAAAAATATTTTTAGATAGATACCGGAGTAGTTACAAAAAATATTTATGAGTCAAAAGTAGCAACCTTGTAGAAAGCATACAGTGAAGCAATAAAGAACATACCTTCAAATTTGAGTGCATTTTTTCTGATCGGTTCTTATAGCAATACTTCGTCTTCTTTGGGCTCTGTCAGTTGCGACTTTGAAAACTGCAAAAACCTTAGCTAGAGGATAGCTTTTTAAAGCAGTGTGCATGGAAAAAATTCCATTTTTAGAAAATCAGAATTTAACTAAAATAGAGCAACTTTCCCAATTGTATCAGCTCATACGAGGCTGTAACATAATAACAGGATGTTGCATTTGTTTTTTATCACAAGAAAATAAAACAATTGGTTTCCTGTTTTACGTAATTAGTTAAGTAAACGCTTGTAATCATGGAGATGCAAAAAGAGGGAATGACAATACAAATTTAAGTAGCCTTCATTTTTCCGTGTTGATAGTAACCTTGACAAACAGTGGCTTTAAACATAAGAAAA